GTATATATATATATATATATATATATATATATATATACAGGTGCCTACAAGTACAAGAGGCTTCGTCGATTAGAAGCCGTGCATTTGGCTGTTTGTGGGGGCCACGCACCTCCAACGTTGAAAAGAAAGATGCGGGCCAGGAAAACGCCTCGCTGCAACGGCTGCCACACCGAAACAGCATAGAAAAAACTCGAAAGGTAGTTCTACACCCGCAAATATGAGAAAGAAGAGAATTAAACGTGCAAGAGGCGGAGTCCAAAAACTCCCAGAGAGAGAGAGAGACAGAGAGAGAAGACGCCATAAGAAAACGAAAGATAAAGTAAGATCATTCCAATATGCAAAAAAAGAAAAGAGAAGAAGAGAAAACTGGATTTTGACTGCAAGAGGAGGTACCAACTTTGTGACATACGATTCAGAGCGCACCGACGGCATCGTTCTTGTCCTGTTTCTTCCACTGCTCCTGCAGCCACGCACGGCGAATTGGATCGAACAGCTCCTTCGCGCTCATCGGTAACTGCGCACACGGCTCTGCCTTCGTCGCATCGCCGAAGCTGCCATCGCTCGTCTCGCAGGAGTGCAGTTGCGTCAGCTTCTCCAGTGCCAGCAGCGCCTCCTCCAAAGCCCCCAGCGAAGTAAACCGCAGCACCCACGCCTCATCGCAACCAACACCCGCGCTGTTCACCATACGCGACACGCGCCTCGAGCTCGCTGCCGCCGTATTCGGAAAGGCGCTCCCCACTAAGCGAATCGTCAGCTTCGCAGATAAGCTGTCGAAGTCCTCTTCGACGTATTTGCGGTCGTAGTGCGGCCAGACCTCGATGCGCGTCGGCTGCATGGCGTGGTAGTCGATCTGGTTGGGGGAGCCTTTCTTGCTGAGCTGCAGCATGCCGGTCACGGGGACCAGCGTCAGCACGCGCGACGACCAATGGCTGTAGTCGTAGCGTCCTTGCTTGCGCACGATCACCTGCTGCATCGTTCTAGAGAAGAGAGGAAAAAAGAAAAAGAGAGGAAAATGGAACTAAGTGGAAGAAGAAGACGGAGCAGGAAACACAAGTTATTACTTTTAGTATTCGTTTTGAGGAAGATAACGGTGATTGGGGCAGTGAACCGTCGCAGATGGGTCTCTTGCGGATGGCCAAGGAAAACAGCGCAGGGGAGGTAGACACAGACAAACGCAATGAGAAGAAATCCAGTTGATATTCGCAGAGCCAAAACTCAAAAACAAACGAGAAGCATTGCAGTGTAGCAGAGATATAGAAGGACGGAGGAGAGAGAGACGTACATGCAAAGAGGAGATTCACACAGCACGGCAGAGACGCATTTCGTTGCCAGAAGCCGCAGCTACATCCTGCTCTGTTTTTCGTTCATTACCGCTATTCCCCGCTACGGGCGCCGTTCACAAAGTGGCAGAGGAGAACAAACGGTGAGCAGCGTTGACCAGCGCTCCTCGCATCATGACGCTTGTGAAAGTTGGAACTCTTGTGCTTTGACGGAAGCAACATCTGAGGTGCACACCTCGATGACAGTATTCTAACAGCAACAACAGTAGGAGGAGCACCATTCACGCCTCACAAAAGAAAAAACATGTTGAGTCTTTCAAATAATAAAAATAATAGAAGGAAGACACTTGATGAAAGGAAAGAAATGGAAAAGAGCACAAGAAGAAGCAGCGCACTGACAAAGGAAAGCAGAAAAAGTGAGCGAGACGCTCGAATAAAGATGAATCCCTCTATATACACTCGCTAAAGAAGAGGAAGTGTATTCATAAAAAGAAGAAGACACAGAAGAAGAAAAGAAAGAGAGTTGTGAAAACAACCTTCGGTTTGTCAGCTGCACTTGTAAAACGCGTTGGGCAGAGGGAAGTAGAAATGAGCTCCGCGTTTCGCTCGTTGGCTCACCGAGAATGCACTGCTGCCGGTGGCGTGTGGTCGATCAGGTACTCCGTCGCAAGAAGCGCCTCTACCTCGGGGCTCAGCGTGTAGTTGTAGATCTCCTCCATCGTCGCCGCATTACACGAACACCGGGTGCAGGTGCCGAGGTAGAGCAGGTGATCCGACACGGTCGTGGAGTAGACGCTGTTGCTGCACGCCGGGTCCTCGGCATCGCTGCGATCGGCGCACCGCATATACACGCTGTCATCTGCAGGGTACCAGTGCTCCTGTGGGACGTGCAGGTAGCCCCAGGAGCGCGGCGGCAGGTGCGGCACCGGATCGCGTGCATGGGTGACGCGGAACTGCCGTTCCTGCGACAGGACAGAGGTGGACCAATTCGTGAAGTACACGTTGCCGACACGCGGCTCACCGAAGGTGTAGAGCTCCACCGGCATCAAGTGCGCTGGATCGTCGGCAGCGGTGACGCCCGTTGGCACGGCTGCGCTGACGGAGAGGTTGTCCGCGAGGGGTGAGTGTGTCCGTGGCAGGTTCCACGTGGTGAACTCAATCGCAGACAACACCGCTATGGCGCCGCCGAGTGAGTGGCCAGTGATGAAGAGACTGTAGGTGGGGTACTGGGCGTGCATGGCCAGCACATCCTGAAGCAGCTGTTCTCGCATGCTGTCGTAGGCCTTGTAGAAGCCGCGGTGAATGGCGCAGAGCTCCCCGCAGGCGGGGTGTGGGTACGGCATCGACCAGAAGTCGAGGTCTTGAATCCAGTTCGCCGTGTTGGCGGTGCCGCGGAAGGCCACGACGATCTTGCCCGCCTCGTGGTCCATCCCACTGAAGCCCGAGTTGCCGGTCGAGGCATTTTCGTAGACGTTGAAGACGTGGAAGTCCGTCGTGGCGTTGCCGCACGCGCTGCCGCAGCTCCAATTCACCACGGCGTCCACCGGGCAGTACGCCGACTTGCAGAAGTGCAGGGCCCGCCAGGAATTAGAAATGTTGTACACAACAGCGGTGGGCGATGCATCGGGGAACGCCGGGGTGGTGGTGGTGGTGTGGTTCCCTGGCAAAGGGTGAAAGTAAAGAGGTGCGAAGATGGCCAGGCTGCTGAAGAGAAGAACGAGGACGAGGGTGGTGCACACGCATGTCCTCACCACCAGTGCAGAGGTGAGCGGCGGCTTCATGATTGAACAGAGCGCGGAAGAGACGACGAGACAACGCACCGCAAATAAGCGGAAGTAAAGCAACAAAGAAAGGGGACGAAAGACCGTGTGTCGCGTCCCTGAAAAAAAAAAACACAAAGCAGAGAAACAATAAAGGTGTTAAATTCGTACTTCTTCTCTACAGCATTTACCGTGCGGTGGTGTACTGTAGAAGCAAGCAGAAGATGAAGGCGGCGGCGCGCAGCTGCGAGCGCTGATGAGAGCATTCAAGAAAGAGCGTCCAGAAACGCAGCAGGAGAGAAAGAGAGAGAGAAGCGAGGTGAACTACGAGGGCTTCTCCTTTGGTACGCGTGTGCACTTCTCCTGCAGAGAAGCATAGGCGTACAGCATCAGATGATTCTAGAAAAACACATTCACGTAAGGTGACCAACGCATCGACATCTTCGCATGCAGCGTAGAAACGATCACACCCGATGGAGTGTAATCGCAGCTAACTTCGGATGCACCTCGACTTTCAAGTGAAATGGCACGATGAGTTCGCATGCAGTGAGCCGTCAATGCGCAAAAGAGAGTGATTTCCAAAGTGTAGTTCAACAAAAAATATAGAATGCCGTGATGTTTGCTTTCACCGTTTGACGCACATGCTCAGAAGCAGACGGATACGAGAACCGCGAACGAGATGTAAAACAAGAAAAAAAAAGGACGCGTTGGGCCTCCTTACTCATACCAGGATACATATATACTACTATAGAATTCAGTCATGCATGCACAGGGGAGATTTGCTTTTTGTAAAGAACGTAGAAGCATGAGCACGTGCAAAATTCGTGTCTCGCTGTCAGCTTCTTTCAAACAAACAAAACAAACAAAAAGGTAAAACGAAAAACGGCATTCGCTCATGTGTGCCGCATTCCATGGCCTGCAGGAGAAAGCGGGTGCGAACGAACGGCTAGATAGCCCTCTCGCTCTGCACTTCCGTTTGGTAGCATGTTTAGTAGATATCCTGCTCGGGCTTGAACATGTCGATAATCCTCGACACCCGTCGCACCGGCACCGTCGTCGCGAACACTTCCTCTCCATACAGATCATCGCCGCCGCGACCGTTGCCGGTGCGGCTGTTCGCGTTGGACGCCCGCTCCCGCCTCTCCTCGCGCATCGCGGCTGCCTGCTCCTCCGCCGCCCGCGCCGCCGCCGCCGAGCCGTAGTAGAAGGGCAAGAACTCCGACCGGCGCGTGATGGCCTGCCGCTGCGGCGGATGCATGCCGAGCGACTGCGCCAGTGATGCAGCCGACTGCACCGTCGGTGCAATGTGTCGGGCGCCCGGCAACGTCTGCCACTTGAAGATGCGGCCGTGTCGCTGCTGGAAAGACTCGGCGTAGTCCTGCACCGTTTCGCGCCGGTCCAACGCCTCCAGACGGAAGCCGGCGGGCAGCGGCGCGGGATCCGCCGGTGGCTCCGGTGCCTCTGCTGCTGCTGCTGGTTGTGGCGGGACCGCCAAAACGGAGGGCGCCGGCATCCCTGGCGTGTCGAGGTCGATCGAGTCCGCGCTGTCGCCGAGCTGCACATCCGCGTCAAACTCCTCCTTGTTTTCCTTCGTGGGCTTCGGCGACGGACTGGCTTCTTCCGCGGCGTCTACGCCGTGCTTGGTGAGCAGCGTGGTGAGAATGGACAGAATCGCCTCCACCTCCTTCTCGACGTTCATGCGGGGCATCGCCGCCACCATCGAGGGTGAGCAGTCGTCGCTCACGGCGGGGAACGCACTGCAAGGCGAGAAGAGCACATCCGCTGTCTCGCCATCAGCGAGAAACGCGATGTACGGCGCGGAGGCAGCAGAAGCCGAGGAGGCGGAGGCCGAGGCCGAGTTGGACCCGGCGGTGACCGGGCCGTTGTACTCCACCCTGCGCAGTAGCGACAGCGGAACCGAGCGCGCCACGCTGCCGCTCTCCGCCACGAACAGCACATCCTGGTCCGTGACGCAGAGGTACACGTGGCGCATGCACACCCCGAGGCGGCCGTGGGGGTCGCAGCCGATCATCCTGCCGTGCACGCAGCTGTACACAATGGCACCCGCTAGCTGGTGGAAGTGCTGCTGCAGGTAGAGGGGGAAGCTGACGAGGGGGAGCTCGTTCCGAGGGTCGACCCCGCCAAGGAGGCCGCCGTAGACCGGGAAGCGCAGGCCGTCGGCGATGAGCGTGTCGCGTATCAACAGGATCATGTCGTGCGCCGCGTTGTAGTAGGGGCAGCGCAGCGACCAGTCATCCCGGTCTCGCCCGAAGAAGTTCGCGTCGTCGGACGGGCTGACGGGCTGCTGCGACGGCCTCTGCATCTCGGCGCTGTCCGTGTAGGTGCGGATGCTCGGGTCACTGTCCTGATAGCTCTCATTGAGCAGGTGCGGGAGGCGCTGCAGCTCCATCTGATCTGCCGCGTTGCGGCTGTCCAGGCGATGGTGGCTGACGCCGGCGATGGTGAAACTGAGCAGCTCCTTCGCTTCGTAGTTCCACAGACGGAAGTTGATCGGCTCGCTGCCCTGCACGCACGCCGGCATGATCGCATACACCTTCATGCGGTGCTTCCACTGCCGGATCTTGGCATCCTTGTCGCTCAGGTAGGCCATGCGGGTCGCGGGGTCGTAGCAGAGGAAGCGCAGGGACAGGGTGTGCGAGTACTTGCCCTTCTTCTCAACCGGAATGATGAACATGGTGCCGTATGTGTGTGCGTGTGTATATATATATACGTACGTATAAGGTGACGTATTCTCTTATAATTATTCAGGCGAATAAGAACGTAGAAGAAACGGAGGCACTGCAAAAACAACAAAAGAAGGCGGCGTACGTAAAGGTAAATGACCTCAGAGAAGACCCGTGCTATTATTGGTCCTGTGCTGTTGTTTTTGTGTTCCAGAGGGTATAACGCTGTTTCGAGAGAAACAAAGGAGAATTGTAAGGGAACGTGCCTTCGCTGACACACGAGAATCGAAAAACCACACACGGGAAAAGCAGCGTCTATAAAGCGAGCAACAGCTTTTTTTCGTGTTTGCGAGGAAAGGCGACAGCGCGTGCTGCCCCAAATTATTTTGATAACACAGCTATAGTAAGCAGAGGGGAGGGGGGTAAAAGATGGAAAGCACAGCGGTAATAGAGAGAGAGAGAGAGAGAGAGACACGACATCGAAATGGGGAAAAGATACGAAGCAAAAAGAAAAGCCTGCGTGTCGACATCGCAGAGGGACTGTGCTTTTGTGTCTCACACAGAATTCAACTCACCGCGATCAGCTTCACAAGGCGTTCAACACGAAACGCACATACGAAGTTTTGCTCTTCAGAACACCCGCAAGACTCCATGAATGAACTCTCAGAAGCGTAGTAACATTACCATCTATTTACTTCTTCTTCTTTTTTCTTAGCTTGTACTTCGGTTAGTGTGCTTCTGTAAGCGTCAATGTAACTTCAAGAGGGAGCTGGCGGGTACGTTAGACCAGCCCATGTTATATGAAAAACAAAACAAAAATACTCCTCCATCGATGAACAGAGCAAAATGATTTCGTTTCGATTACAACTCCGGGAAACATTCTACTTTAAGCTCCGACTCGTGTCGAGAGGAATACGGTGCTCCAATAGTGCGTTTAATTCGTTTTTGGTTTCTGAGTATACTTCGTCGGGTGAGCATTCAACGTCGCTCATTCCAACTCAGTGGTGGTCGCCACAACGGGGCCTCTCATGAGCGACAGGTCGTGATTTAACTTCGCCTTCAGCACCTCCACCGCGACCTGGTTGTCCTTCCAGCTCGGCACGATGATGTCGGCCCACCGCTTCGACGGCTCAATGTAGGCGAAGTACATGGGCCGCACCGTCTTCTCGTACTGCTCAATCACGGAGTCGAAGGTGCGACCCCGCTCCATCATGTCCCGCTTCGCGCGCCGAATAAGACAAATATCCAGCGGTGCATCGACAAAGATCAGGCAGTCCATCTCCTTCCGCAGCTCCTCAACGGTGAAGAGGAGAATTCCCTCCACGATAATCACGCGCTTCGGCGTCATGTGCACGGTGTGGGCCGCACGGGTGTGGTGGACGTAGTCGTACTGCGGCAGGTCCACCGCCTTGCCGGCCTTCAGCTGGCGAAGCTGCTCCGCCAGCAGTTGGTGCTCGAGCGAGTTGGGGTGGTCGTAGTTGACGCGAATGCGCTCGCTCTCGGGGATGTCGGACTGGTCCTTGTAGTAGAAGTCCTCGCACACCACGCCGATGCTGTCGGGCGGGCAGGTGTCCATGAGGTCCGTCACGATGGTGCGACTGAGCCGCGTCTTGCCGGAGCCGGACGCGCCGGAGATGCCAATTACGATGCAGGACATGTTTTGCTGTAGTTAAAAAAAAAAACCAAGAAAGGAAAAGAGTTATGAGACGAAGACTGAAACACCGCCAACGAAGTCCTGCAGGGAGTAGAACAAAGAGAGTTCATCGCAGAGAAAGGAAATAATAGCAGCACCGATGCAAGAGAGAAGAACGTCCGAGAAACGACGACGCAGGGCTCGCACGCCTGTCACACCGTGTTTGCAGGTGAGCCATTTCCTTCAGTCATTCATATTGTCACTGAAGTTGGTTTCGCCTTTGCACGCGGTTATGAAAATGGTGTGCAGCACCAGCAGTAAACCACGATCTCCATAGCAACAACAGAAAGTTAAAGCGGCTTACAACGGATCTATTGCAATGTGAGAGAGGAGATGTTGCGTTGAAGCCACATCGTTATAATGGTGATGTGTTTTGTGAAGTAAGCAACCGCTAGCACAGGACGCTGAAGAACAATAAAAAACAATAATAATAAACAGCTGCAGACTGTCTCTTGTGTATTTCCCCCTCCGCGATGACGCCTTTCAAGGAGTGTAGTAGATCCTCCACGGATGCCAACCCAGCAGCGAGGCGATGGAGAGAAGAGACGGCACTGCCCGTCGCGCCATCACGGCGTGTTACCGCATTTGATTGTCTGTCTCATCGGGAATGACAACCGAGATGCCGTCCAGCTCCGGCGTCATCTGCACCTGACACGACAGACGGGACGTCTTGGTCACCGCCGGGGCGAGGTCGAGCATGTCCATCTCGTCCTCCGACGGCGTGCTGGGCAGCTTCCTATACGACTCCGCATCGAAAATCACGTGACACGTGCTGCACGCACAGGTGCCGTCGCACGCCGCCTCCATGTCCATTCGAGCCACATCGCGTATCACCTCCATCAAGGTCACGCCGACCGGGGCGTCCACCGTGAGCTCCTTGTTCTCCATTTGACTCGAAATGTGCACCCTGACTTTCCCGGGCGTCGACGGCGGCGTGGAAGACGAAGTCGAGGAGGAGGCCGGTGTCGTGGCGCAGCAGCGATGGGAGACGCCGAGCGCAGCGGCGGTGCTGCTAGACCATGTGGACACCATGGTGAACCGCAGAAGAGCACCACGTACACTCAGGCGGTGCATGGCCGTGCCGAGTGAGCTGCAAAGTAAGAAAGTTTCTGACCGCAATAAAAATATTTGGCTTCTTTCATATACGTTTGCTTCCTACAGCTCAACAACAAAAAAGAAGGTACGTGAGGGTTGCGGTTGACACACACGAAGGGACGAGGAAGTAGAACGTATGATTCGGGACATGAGCAAGCTTCATACATCAAAAAGTTCAGCAACAGAAAGAAGTTCATTGCCATTTTGCTCAGACCTCCAATGCCTCCATCTGCGAAACAGCTGCACGGTTTGACCGCCGTTGGGGAAAGAAGACGAGAGCGGACCAACGTGAGGAGCACGATACATGCGGACTGGGTTGAGTAGTGGCGATGCTTGTAGGTGTTCTATGCGTTTCTTTTCATTCTCTTTTGTGTTTGCAGGAAAGTAACTGTTTATGTAAGGTGATAAGTGATGCTAAAGGGGATAAAGACGTTGAATACTGCAAACAAACAAATAAAGAAATCCATAAGAGAAGAGGGCAGTGCCTCAACGGTAAAGCCATTGGCCTTTTTCTTCACATGAGAAGGTTAACCACACGCGTGGGCAGCGCCAGCTCGATCCCGTCTATTTCAGGCGTCAGCGGGATCTGACACGCCAGGCGAGACGTATCCTTGACGTCCAAGGCCTTGTCCAACACGTCCTGCTCCTGTTCGGCTGGCTCCTTCAGTTTCTTGTAGTACTCCGCAGAGAGGTACACGTGGCACGTGGAGCACTGCATGCAGCCATCGCACGCCCCCTCCACCTCCAGCATCGCCACATCGCGAAGGGCGTGCATCAGTGACATCCCGGTGGGTGCCTCGAAGTCCAGCGAGGTGCCGTCTTGGGTCTTGACCACCACTTTCACTTTGCCAGGCGTGCTGTAGAGGCGCGCAGGAGACGCGACAACAGCGGTAGCGGTGCGAGCGGCGGCGAAAGAGATCCAGCGACGCATTGTCTTGAGCAAAGCGGTGCTTCGGTGCACGTACGTGGTTGTGAACAATACAAAAAGTGTGTCCGAGAGGTCCTATGAGAGCGTTAGCGGTCCCGTTCATGCGCCTGAGTCGTGATCAAGAGAACAGGCACACGCGTGGGAGAAAAAGAGCAAGAGTCAGCTTAGCACAACCAAGACGCGGCAAACAAACTATCTAAAGCTCAATTTGTGAAGGTGCATTCACAACCCCGTCAAGTCTGTTTTCTTTCACCTAAATTTCATGCCAAACAGCGTCGAGGGAGAAATATGCTCTGCAAAAAATTGGAAGGCGCACACTCGTCGTTCTTCCCACTTCAGTTGCACTTGACTAAAAATACGAATTTCTTTGTATTTCAGCCGCGTAGAAGTCGGCAAAGGCGCACAAGCTGCTGAAGGCAGACAGCAGAATCTAACATATGAAATGTGAACAACAGCAGCGAAGAGAAGGGGCCCCAGCCACACCACCGAAGAGGAAGAAGAAAGGCGTTCAGATTCAAGCAATCACGCCACACAACTCACAAGACGCGAGACTACGCCGGCCTTCTGTCCGCCGAGCCGCAAGACATGTCCGTTACGTTGCCCGGCAGCTCCACTTCTATTCCGTCGAGATCGGACGCAAGGTCCACACAGCATGAAAGGCGCGATGTTTCTCGCACGTCCGGCGCCTTGTCCAGCAGGTCCTGCTCCGCCTCCGACGGCTCACCAGCCTTCGCAAACGAGGAGGCCAAGAGGTAGACGTGGTAGGTGCAGCACTCCATTTCCCCGTCACACGTTCCAGCCACCTCGAGCTTGGCGACGTCGCGCAGCGCCTGCATTAAGGAGATGCCAACAGGAACGTCGACGTCGCAGTGGGTGCCGTCTCGTTTCTTCACGTGCACTTTTATTCTACCGGGCGTGCCGTAGAGCCTTTCGGGTATCTTCAATGCCGCAGTGGCCGTGCAGGCAGCAGAGAGGAGGCGTGGCCGCATTTTTGGAGGAGAGGGAGAGTTCAGTACGACATTCTATTTACGATGTAAACTTCTTTGCTGAAGACGATGGAAAGGGAGAAAACATGCGAAATGAAATTGTCAATGGCGTGCCACTGTTAAGTGAGAAAAAAGAAATCCCTGCAGCTGCGGCATGAAACACAAGTACTAGAGAAGCAGCAACGATTAGACGAGCCCAACTTCTGCATGTCGATACGTCGTTGAAAAGCACATCAGCAAGGTTCACTAGCAGACACACACAGAGAGCAACTCTCCCACCGTGTTCTGCAGTTGCTTCTTATTTCTGCTACGCTAACGGGATGCAAAGGAAGCGCAGATTCGTCGTCCATCTCACTGTCACCCCAGTACGCACAAATGAGAAATTGTTGCGAGGGAAACAACGTTTCTCCGTTTCTCAAACAGTTGGTTCCTTTTTCCACCTCTCATAGGAGGTGCGTCTTCCCGGCCCCCAGTGCCGACTGGCAATACACTCTCGCACTTCGTACACGTAGGCTGTGACGAAGTAAACAGAGGAAAAAACAGATACGAAAACCTTTAGAGAATTATTAGAATGTGTGAGTAATAGTTGAGGCAAAACGACAAAATTTAATGCAGCGATCAGAAGAAGTGAAAAGGGGAGTTTATTGTTCCACAGTTGGCCTCCACTGTGGGAAGCGCTGAAGTGCCCGGTGCCTCCTCAATAGGTCGGCAACTCCACTTCCAAGCCATCAAGCTTCTCTGACACAACGACTTGGCACGACAGTCGCGACGTTTCGAGGACCTCCAGCGCCTTCGCCAAAAGGTCCACTTCTCTCTCCGAAGGTGCCGGAGTTTTTTCAAAGGATGCCTCCGAAAGGTGGACGTGACAGGTGCCACATTCCACGTTTCCATTGCAACTACCGGCCACATCAAGCTTTGCGACATCGCGCAACGCCTCCATTAAGGTGATGCCGACAGGTGCATCGATATCTTGGCACATGCCATCTCGCGTCTTGACGTGCACCTTCACTTTACCGCGTGTGCTGTACAGCAATGTGCAGGCAGTCAAAGCGTTCGCTGCACCGGCAAGACCTGCCCGCTGTCGCGACCGTAAACACCACCTCCGCATTCGTTTCCTAGAAGATCATCGAATGCGCGCTGAAGCGGCTGTCTAGCACACCTCACGCTGCAATTAGCAGTAGGGGAAAAAAAACTCCAGAGCAGACAGTTAGTAAGAATGAAACGCGCGTTCCACTTCGTCGCACTACCAATGGCACGTCAACAGACGGTTCCAGATACGGCAATTCGTGCTGCAGTGGGCTGTCTCTTTGTCCGCAATAAGCTGTGCTTATGAGTGTCCCGTTAGTAAGCTGAGAGAAGCGAGGAAGAGGGAGCGGAGAGGAAGGTAGAGCATTCTTCATGCAAGAGTCGATTCTTATTAAAAAAGTAATGCATCGATTGCAGCTGCAAGAGCGATGCCGTACGTGCATGCCGCAGGCACAGAAGAAGGAGGAGGCACAGAAGCAGGGTGCCGACGTTTACAGTAAAAGAAGCTCTTGGCTCTTCCGCGATAAGACGAAGGAGGATTCTGGTAGCGAGTATGAGAATAGCCTTCACTACAGGAGGGCGAAAGGAGAAACATACGTGAAACGTCACGATTGAGTATATATATATATGAGCGGCGAAGTATTGGTTCGAGAAACAAAATACTCTTGTTCTCATGCATAGAAGAAAAAAAGAACACCGAGTAATAATTATTTTCGTGTGTCTTTGTTTTCTTCGTCGTCCACGGCGGAGATGTGCGAGGTCGCAGCAAACAAATACCCACAGCACTTCGCTGAGAAACTAAGAGTGATGTAAAGCGCGTTGCGCGGACAGTGAGAGCGGAGATACACGGTCGTCTACTTCGCGGTCAAATCCACTGTGTGTTTCGGCAGCACAACGACAATGCCGTCCTCCTTCTCCGTCAACTGCACTTGACAGCTAAGGCGGGAGGTCTCCTTTGGATCCAGCGCCTTGTCCAGCGTGTCCAGCTCCTCCTCTGACGGCGGCGGCAGCTTCTCATACCACCCGTCCATCACGTAAGCGTGGCAGATGGAGCAGCGCATCTTCTTGAGGCAGGAGACGTCCATGTCGAGCTGCGCCACATCGCGAATCGCCTCCATGAGCGAAATACCCGTCGGGGTGGAGAAATCAAACTGCGTGCCGTCCTGCACTGTGATGTTCACCTTTATCTTTCCAGGTGTTCTGTAAAACAGAGATGACCCAAGGAGCGCTCCTGGCTTTGTGAACAACGGCGAGACAGAGCGGCTGCAGCTGGACAGCGACGATGTAAGGCGACGCATCGCCGCAGCTGTGCATCGTCTCTTTTTCTATTCACAATACCGATAGATGCCTTTAGTCCAACCGCTACCGGTTTCGTCGCAATCTTGGCCAACTCAACGACGGTTTCGGCAAGAGAGAACGAGAAAGAGAGACAAGAGGAGTTTCGTAAACACTTGAATCAGATTGGTCTCTTTTCAGTGCGTCCGTCCCACGATGCCACGACAGTCAGACCGCTTCGTACTTCTTCGATTTGTGCATATTTTAGATGGAGGTGACGCTAGCAAGCGACAGTGAGCAGCACCGCGAGCGTGATACAGTTGTTCTTCCTTTTTTTTCTTTTAAGGAGCTCCCCCGTAAGTATATTCTGCGTACCTTGCATTCGTGTGGCACAGCAAAGCATAAGGAGATGTAAAGGCTAAGAACGTACAAAGACACATACCAAGAGAACAACAGAAATGGGCCTCCGGGCGTGACACGACAAAAGCCCACATCCCCTGCGCCGGCAGCGAACTGCGCTACTTCTTCGTAGCGCGCTGGTACGCCGCCTGCCAGCGCAGGTCAATAGTCGTCTTGGGCAAATCAAGCTCCAACCCATCAAGCGCCTCCGTCAGCACCACCTGACAGCCCAGTCGTGACGCATCTGTCGCCCCGGGTGTCTTGTCGAGACAATCCTGTTCCGCATCCGAAACAGGATACAGCTTCTCCGTTTTCGCAAACCACTCCGGACTGCGCATCAAGACGTGACACGTCGAGCACTGGCAGGTACCGCTGCACGCACCCGCCGCATCTACAGGAAGAGTGGGATCGTCTCGCAGGGCCTCCATTAAGCTTGTTCCCTCGTCGTACGCGCGCTTGTAAGGCGTGCCATCGGAAGCGTTGATACACACCTGCACTTTGTTAGGAGTGAAGAACGAAGGTGTCGTGGTGAAGAACATCCTAGATGAGGTAAGCAGCGTGGCGCCGAGTAGTTTGCACACCGTGCCTGGGCGCGGCACAGCAGTGTTCATCATCGAGTGCCGCAGCAGCATTTGAGTGAAGCTGCTGAGTTCGTATCGTATGTTAATGATGATCGGCTACGCGAAATGGATCTGAAAAGGAAAATCGTAACGAGAGCGAAACCACCAAAAAGCTAAAGGAAAAGATTTCGAAGTGTTGGAATATATAAGCGGCAACTGTCTTTGGCTGCCGCATAATACGAAAGATATTTTTTCTCAAAGGATTTTAAATTGTTTTTATGAAGAGGTGGTAAATACGTCGGTACGCTCCGTCAGCTGCATTTGTGGATGGAGGTGACTGAAAAATAAAGAGAGAAACGCCAAAAAAAGGAAGTAGAACTTCGTTGTCGAAGTGACCGACACTTGGCGAGCAAGAAACGTCGTGTACAGCTGCATCCAGTACTACCGGTTCACTTCGCTTGTCGCACAGCCACAACCGCCGTCGAGCAATTTCATCTGCACATCGCCTCTGTACTGCTCCTAAGTCAATAAAAAAAAAAGAACAGCACCCCATCTCAGGCGCAACGACGCCTCTCATTAACAATGCGTTTTCTATTTGAGGCCGTTTCCAAGCGTAGCGCTGCGGTAAAGTGATGAGAACACTGTACATACACACCTCAGACTCGCCTCGGCTCGTGCGAGTACACAGCAAAAAACGATTCTATCGCACAGTCGTACTGAAAATAAATAAAGAGGGAAAACAAAAATCGTTGCCATGTGCAAAGAACACAAAGGAGGAGAACAAGAAAACAAGAACACACAAACGACGCGGACCCAACGCTTGTTCATCACGCAAATGCACATCATACCAGTTTCCTGCACCGAGAAAGCAAACTATAGCAGCGATATTAAAAAAAAAAACAGCTTCCGTTCGTATTGTTGCTGAGATGAAATAAAGAAAGTCAACATAAATGTGTATATACAGTGATACCAGCGACACAGCATTCAGCGAGCGCAGAGTACGAAACAACAAAAAAGTGAGACTGCAAGCTACTTTAGCAAGCGAAGCAGCAGCATTAGATGCCAGCACTCTGGGTAAAGTTCTTCACTGCTCCTCAAGAGCTTCCTTTCGGCGTTTGAACAAGCGTGCCAGTGAGACCTGTTTCAGCGGGATCGCGGTGAGGGGTTTCTTATGAATGTTCCTTCGCACAAAGCTCACTTGAATCACCTCCCGCTCTCTATGAGGAGCAGCGGGGACGGTGGTGCCGCCCACCGCATACGCCGTTGTGAGATCCACCACACGGCGCGTGCGCACCTCGCATGCCCACACCACCCCGGCGAAAACAATCATGACTGCCAACATCATGCAGAGCACCACCACCACCGCATCCGCGCTATCCGACACGCGATAGAGTGCACCGAACACGGAGGCGTACGTTCTGCACGCACGAGCATCCACCGCAGGCGTGCTGTACGAGCACGTGTACCCGCTCGCCGTCCCCACCAGCGACGTGTTGAAGCATGTCGAGTCGAAGCAGAACTCGCAGTCCGCGTGCGACCCGCACACCGCACACCCGTCGAACGAATACGCGCGGCACCCGTCCACCGGCGCCACATCGCAGTTCGCACCCGTCCACCCATCCACGCACACGCACGTGCCGCACTCGCAGCGGCCACCAAGCGCACTGCAGCCCTCGCAGCCGCCCTCGCCACACCTCACACCGTACGTCGCACCGCACGCGCCGCCCACGCACACACACCCGCCGCTCCCCGCCACACCGTCGTCGCACCGGCTGCCGTCCTCGCACACAGGACACGCACGGCAACTAGCGCCGTAGTAGCCGGGCATGCACCCGCATTTGCCCGTGTCCTCATCGCACGTGCCGTGCAGCCCGCAGTCCGGGCACGACGTCAGCGGCACAAATCGAGCGTGCACCCCGCTGCGCAGCAGTCCCTGCGGCACCAGCACGGAGGCGGGGTCGTCCACGCCGTACCGCACCAGGCCAACAAACATAGAAGGGAAGGTCAGCATCGGTGCGCCGTCCTCTACCATGGTGTTCTTGATCACGATGTCCACCACACCTCCCCGGTCAAAGTAAAGCTGAACGGTAAAGACGGAGTCGCTAGTAGAGGAGCTGATGGGCACCGACCCGTTGAGGAGAAACAGCGTGCCGACGTCACAGAGGGACTCGCGGCACAACTCCGATCCCATTCGACGCGATCCCAGGTAGCGGAAAGTGACGTACGCGTCGGCAGACCACCGCAGGGCGGACTGAAGGGCCAATATCGAGCGCGTGAAGTTGCCGTTCGGGCAGGTGTTGCCTACCGGGTTGCACTCCTCGCCGGGGATGCCGCCGGAACAGAAAAAGCCGGGGCCGCAGCTGAAGTTGTCAAAGTCGCGGCTGAAAAGAATGGTATACACGTACGGAAGAAGAGAAAAGTACGCGTAGTCGCCGAGATACGTCGTCGATGACATGGGGTCTGGGCGCACGTCAAAATCGCCGTTAAAGTCAACGGACACGGTGTAGAACTTCTGCGCAGCGGCACCGTCCTCGTCGGCGCGCATCGCCCACTGCCCGCGCGGGCACACCTCCGACACAAACGCGCGCGACGCACACGCAGACGTCGACGGGCACCACACGCAGTCCACGCCCGCATCACCGGCCGTCCGGCGCATCCCCGCGCACGCAGACGCAGTCGTCGCACCGTCGCATACGTCGTACACCGGGTCGAACCGGTACGCAACGATCCCGTTGTCCGCCGTCGGAGTCGGCACCACCTTGCGCAGCGTCTTGGAGTAGATCAGTCCGGTGCTCCGCACGTCGTCCGGCAGCGGGTCTGGAAGTTGCTTGTACCGCATCACAATCGTGCCGTTCGCGTACACCGCCACCTGCGCCGTCAGACCCGTCGCAGACGAGGGCGAGCCCTTCAGCGGGACGTCGCAGTACTCCACCAGCGTGTGAGGAGAAGCGCTGCCGGAATCCCGCTCGTGTTTTTTTCGACTCACACGGCCGTCTGCCCTTTCGAAGAACTCCTGAGTGACCACCAGCGGACGGGCAGCGTCGCCGCGGTTATCGAGCAGAGCGCTGTACAGGCTGATCATGGGCCAGTCGCCCCCGCCGTCATAGAAAATAGAGGTGTTGTCGGAGAAGCCGTAGTTGCCTTGCAGAGTGGCGAAGAAGTCCCGTGTGCAGAAGCCGTCGCACATGCCGTACGAGGTTGGGGAGAGGAACCCCGCGTGTGTCACGTACCACGGCGTGCGGTCGTACGCGTAGAAGGGTGTTCGCGTCTTCGAGAGTGAGATGGCGGGAAACACGTGCGAGAGCACACTGATGCTGTTCCATGACTGTGTTGGGCTGGTGGAGCTGCATATGGATTTGTAGTGAGCCCAATGCTCAGGTGGTAGCCGACCGATGTCGGCAGAAGAGATGGCGGTGACGGTGTAGTCGATTACCGTCGTCGCTACGGCACCGCCACCGCACAGGCAGAGGGCAAGTGCGCAAAACAGTAATGCAAAGAGCTTTACGGCACCGTTGTTGCGCTTAAGGGAGGACAGTGCCCTCAGCTGCATTGTGCCGCCTAAGAAAGAGATGGAAAAAGAAAAAGCCGTAGGCGAGACAAAACTCGCGTGTGAGACTACAAAGACCAAACAGACGACAAGACCACAATGAACCAACAGAGGAGAAAGGAAAAGGCTTTAGCGAATGAAAACGAGTCGATTTAGAAGATCTAGGAAAGTAAAAGAGGCTTGTTGGCTTTCAGTAAGCACAGCCGCCGTGAATGTACATGCATACGGGCAAGAACAGTACCACACCTACAAACGGAACGAAGAAGAAACAGGCACAGAAAGACGGGGCAAAGATGAACCCAAAACACGTAAAGGCACACACACGCGCGCATACGGAAAAAAAAAAGAGAATTCCTCTCTCACGGCAGCTCGTGCTGTGTGGGAGAAAGAATGCCTCGCGTATTAGGAATAGGTCTCAACTCGCATGCACTGATCACCGTTTCCTTTCAAAGAGAGAAAAGCGCTTGGTAGCCGGCAAGACCAAAAACAAAGTAGCGTTTTGTGAGCCGCAGCTTTTCGTGTGGTGGTACTCGTAAATGTAGTCGGCAGAAGAAACAGAGGAGCAACAACAACAAAACCAAAGATGGGTGTACAGCAGATGCAGCGGTCAGGAAGGACAGGAATAGTTCAGCGAGTGAAGTGCAGAAAGGAAGGTAAAACCGAGAATGAGAGAGGACGGTCCCCACGGCTCGCTGCCTGCCACGACAACAACGAATGCGACGCCGCACACGTGAAGCCGAGCAGGTTGAATAATACGCTCTCTGAAAGCAAACGACACTCTGCACCGCCGCACCATTTACTTCGCCACATGGTGGATCACAAATTGAATGAAAAGAGCATGAGCGTTCTTCCCAGTGTTGCTGCTCTCTCCTGACGAGTTCATTCACTTCTTTTTCATTCTCTGCGAGTCGCCCTACCGAGCACCACCGACGCAAGACGCAACGTACGTCCACACACACACCTCCTTTGCAATAGGACGCAGAGGGAGAGCATAATGATAGAAAGGCCAAAAGAAAAAGTAAATAGCAGGAAGGACAACAGCGTTGTAACGACACCGGCGCAGAGAGCTCGGAATGAATTTTAAAAAAGCAAACGTCAGGGGGATCGGTGGAGCCGTTCATGAGCCGCACGCCGGTCAGTTGGCCCACCGTTGCACCGCCGCAGACACCATCCACATCGCACAGCACACCGTCCTTTCTCCGAGGCCCCAGCGATGCTTGTGTGAAGACACCGTTGACGTCCGACTCAAACTTCGACTCCAGCGCCAATGTGCCAAAGTCGAAGGAGCCATCGGCACATGTATTCAGCTGCACCATTGTGCAGTTGAAGGAAGCGCTTTGAGTAGAGAAAGGGAAGCCCCGACAGCTTGATGGGGAAGAGCGCGCTAGGGTTTGTGAACAAGTTGACCGAACGGGGAAGCGCAAACGTGTTATTCTGAACTGGTGTCTGTTCCACGCCATCAAACCGACTGAAGTATGCCATCGCGGTTGGTGTAAAGTCCACAAACACGCTGTACAACTTCTGCGCAGCGGCACCAGCCTCATCGGCGCGCATCGCCCACTGCCCGCGCGGGCACAACTCCGACACAAACGCGCGCGACGCACACGCAGACGTCGACGGGCACCACACACAGTCTGGCGCATCCTCGCGCACGCGGACACAGTCGTCGCACATCCGTGCCACGTCAGGGAAAGAAAGCCGAGGTTGTTCACACGAAATGAGGTGCTGTTCCACGCGAAGAAGACGACACGCATGTCGGAGGAGGATACTTAGACGAAGACGCGGTTGAGCACGTGCATTAAAGGAATGGTGCGACTGGTGTTAGGCGAGTGGCATAGGGTAGTCTAGTGGGTCCAATGATGGGCAGAGAGGGAAGGGAGCTCACTCGACATTATGGCGGTGACGGTGTAGTCGAAGATGTTGACGGCGGAGACGGTAACGCTGCACGAGAGCACTGCGGTTCCGAGGAGAAGCACCACAGCCGCAAGACGAGTGCGCAGTTACATATTTATGTGGCGCCGAATGGGGATAATAATGAGATTTATCGTCCCGTTGTCCGCATCGTTCACCGCAACTCCGCTGATTGCGAAGAAAAATGCAAGCAAGGGGCGAGTCTGGAAGTAGCGGTATTCAGCAATAGCAACGAAGGAAAGGGAGCTGCTGCTTTCGAATGACTGCGAAACGCCAGATTTTGTGTTGGAGTGCCGCCAAAAGCACGTCGTCTGCATTTTATGGCGGCCCGACACAAACACACATACACAGAAATTGGCTGAAGAGCAGCGATGACTGAATCGTGATTCAAGAGAGCTGTAGCCGAGAGACCAATATAACCAGTGCGTTCTTTCTCGTGAACTCATCGAACATGAAAAACAAAGCGATATCAGATGAAACAGGGACGCGTAGTCAAGTTGTAGCGATGATGTAAAACGCTGGACACGGTGCGGTATACAGAAACTAAAACAAAAAGAGCCTTGTAAGTACAGCACAGGGAGAAAGAAAGTCCGGCCAACTTCGCTTTTCGTAAAAAAAAAAGAAGTGCGTCGTTTCGCATCCCCTGCATCGTTCATTGCGTCATGCGAGGTGATCAGCGGAGCGCGGTAGCGTCGATGTCTGAGGTCTTGGCTTTTTGGCTTTTTTGGCTCTCACAAAGACGAGCTTTCATCAGTTGGGGCCTCTGTCTCGCCACCGTCGTCGCAACAACGCAACACGACGAATCGTATTCAGGTTTCACGAAGGAGTTGGTTTCTCGCGACTGCCCCTTCCCTCCTTCTTCCGATCCATTTGATCGAGGTCAGCGCGGCTGCCGTCGAGGGCTGCCATACTGCGGTTCACGATCTCGTTGATGGTGCGCTCCTCTGCGTAGCGGTGCCGTGCTGCGCCTCCCTCCGGCGCGTTAGTCGTCCTCTCGAAGTCTCCACCGCTGCTCATCTCCTCCACAAAGCCGGAAGTATTGCTATTGCGATGTGGCGCGCCAGCTTGTGCACGCCCCGTGGTAGGAGTCGTCACCGCATTCCTACTCGATGCGGCTGGCGCTGTGGACATTGTCACAGAAAGTGTAGGAGCAGCACCCGCGGCCGTCGTTGGTGTGTCGTGCACCGCAGGCACAGACGAGACAGGCGATGCGTAACCGCCGCTCTGCCACTCCTCCTGCGTCAGGTATCGCGCACCGGGCACGACGTAGCTCGAGTAGTCGCTCCCCACCGCGGTGGACTCCGTCTGGCTGCTTCGCTCACTTTTGCTACCGCTGCCGCTGGGGTCGCCGCCTTGGTGTGCAAGCCGGGTGACGGTGGTCGCGAACTGCCCCTGCAGCTGTGGCGTCTGCAAGAGTTCCATCGTCAAGGGCATGACCTGTGTGATGGTGGTGGTGTTGGTGGTGGTAGGGGTGGTTGCTGCCCCGCTGGCAGGGTTGCTGGACCCATTGTTGGACGTCTGCACAGGGACAGTGGCGGCGGCACGCAGTCCACCGCCGCCACCGCTACCACTGACCACGTCACGGTGTCGCGGCCGGGTGCGGTGCGCATTTGCGTTCTCCACCACAGCCCGGCGACGCCGCTCGAGTTGCCGTGCGCGCTCCAGCGGCATCCCGACGACTTCGTCGCGCCGCTCCCGCTCCTCCTCCAGCTCGCGCTCCACGGTGGAGAGCTGATCCTCCGACAGCTCCACATCGCGGGCGTTGGTGCGGTAAATCGGGATGGCGGCTCTGTTCGCCATGTTGCCCCGCTCCAGCAGCTCCGACTGCACCTGCTGCCACACCACGGCCAGCTGCTCCTTCGGAAGCGGGCAGCTGAGGGTGCTGTTGTGGCCGCTGCCGGTCTGCAGGCCGGGCAGGCGAGTGCCCTCCCGCACCATGCGACCGACGTAGGCCTCGATGGACGCATCCGGCACCTCCTTGATGCGGATGACGCGGCGTGTGTTGTAGGAGGCAAAGCACGTGTCGTGGATCACACTCGCAACGCGGCGCACATCGACGAGGGGGTCGTAGGAGGCGATCGCATCCGCCCCGTACGCCGGCGCCGTGGGTTCGAAGAAGAGATCGGGAATCGGTGCGTCGGACAGGAAGGCGCAGAACGGCGTCGCCGTGTTGACTCGGTTGTCCCTCGACACGACGTCCCAGTGGAAGTCCTGCACCTCGGCCAGCCGCAGCCAGCGGGGGATGCTTCCCGACTCCCGCATGCACAGAACGGAGTCGTGGGTGATGCAGAGGTAGGCGCCCTCCAGCACTCGTTTCAGCTTCGGCACTGCCGCCGTGACTGCATCCCCCGTGCTCTCCAGTGCGTAGAAGTTACCCCGCATGAAGGTGTAGAAGACGGCCTTGTCCAGCGCTTTAAAGGTATGCCACACCGCCATGGGAATGTGCGCGAAGGCAACACCGTTACGTGGGTCATACGGGGGCAGCCCACGATAGGGGCGGACAATCAGCTTGTCGTAGCCCAGAACGGTTTGCAAGACGTACCAGAGCCGGCGAAACTCACGCTCGTCGCGGCAGCGGAGCACCACACGCACCGACACCGTCGCCGCATCCACTCCGGCCACGGTCTTCTGTCTTCGTGGGCTGACCAACGTTTGTACTCCGAAATCGACCGGCTCCGCGTTGCCTCCGTCGCTCGCTCCGCTCTCCGCAGCAGCACACACCTTTGCCTTCGTCATCTCCTCAAATTGATCTCGCAAGGCGTCGAACAACTCTTTCAGGAAGAAGGGGTCGCGGATGTAGGCAGCGTTATTGGCGTTGCACCGCGCCCGTTCCAGCCTGGAGAGCCCCGCGGAGGGACAAAGAAGCGGTCCGGCAGAGGGGTACTCGCCCGTGGCAAGCGGGCGCGACTCGCCTTTTATCTCCAGCTGATACAAGTCTCGCTCATTCGCCGTACGTTGCACAAAGCTGGCGCGAGTAGCGACCGGCACCACCGCCGTCACTTTCATCTTCCGCTTCCACACCAGTTTCGACGGGAAACTGTTAGGGTCAGTGGCCGCTTCCGCCGCAGCAGCAGCTGCTGCTGCTTCGCTCTCTCGCTCCGTCGTACTCGAAGGCTGCGACGACGCTGCTGCCGCTGCTGTGGGTGTGTTGATGCCGTTGTCTGCTGCGCTGGCAGTGACGCTCGAGCTCGCGTTGTTGTGCGTGAGGGGAAATGCATCTCGGGTAGGCTCGGAGTAATACAGGTAGCGTCGCATGGTGTCGAAGGCGACCTGTCGGAGCTGCCAGCTGCCAAAGAGGCTTTCGCCTTGCTTATCCGCGTAGGTGTAGAACATGGTGAGGTAGAGGCTCGTAAAAGAGACCGTTTGGGGGGAAAGAGGAGGAAAAATAAATAGAAAAACCAACAACAGCTTGACGCCAAGGCGGTGACGGAGGACTGTTCAGCAAAATGTATAAACAAAAATGAATGGAATGAACATCCAGACAACGTTTCACTGAACAAATGTTGGCGAATAAGAAGAGAAGACTCAGCAGTAAATATGTAGAACGCTACAAACAAAAGAGAAGCACTTACGACACGAAACTACCTTGTGTACGTGCGTGTGTGTGTGTGTGTGAGTGAGCCAGTCTCCGCCACGTGATCCAAGGCGCAGGAGCTGGACACCTATCCAATTACCGAAGAAAGTCGAGTAGGAAAGAGAGAGAAGTATTCTTGGGAAAACGAGAGGTCGGGAAAGCCGCGGGTCTGCCGGTAAGGGAGCAGAACGCCCGCTGCACATCGTTGAGGGGGCGTTTCGACTTCCAAAAAGAGAAGGTGGAGAAAAGAAGAAGCCATACGAAGAAAGCCAAAACAAAAAAAAAAGAAAAGCGGAGCTGGCGCGGCTTTGTGTGCGTGAGTCCATCGAGCCTGAGGCCGCATCACGAACGATCGTCCGGATGTACTCGTTACCTCTCTTCGCGCTTTCGCCTCCTTGAAGATTCCTTATTTTCGTGATCCTTAAAACGAATCGGGTGTGTAAAGTACAACAATTTTTTTCCGTCCTCAGTACAGGGGAAGAAGGAAAAAAAACATTCATGTAAGCCAAGGACCCGCTACACGTCGCCCGAGTCGTCAACAACCGCACCTCCGCGTGCGGCACACCAAGGGTAAGAAAGGGGGGCAGGAAAGAAGTCAGCAGGGTTATTTCCTTCCGCATGGGACATCTACGTACAGGGAAGTACTAACACATATATCGCTCCGACAGACTCCCTCACACCGTCACGGAGGAAACCGAAAACACAGCCGAAGAGCAGATCGTTCGAATAAAAAAGGAAAGAAAACAGACATTCACTGAACAGAGAAGAGAGAGAAAAAAGGGTGGCAGAAGCACAAACTACAAGGTCTCTACGAAAGAGAAAGGTGGCGTTATTTGGGGGAGGGGTGGGAGAGGGAAGGGCCTGTCCGTCCGTTTACAATCGAGAGAGAGAGAAGTGGTGTTCTTTTGAAGATGCGTCTTATTAAACAACGCACGGAATCCAAAATTCTGAGCAGCAGCGCGAGAGGAAATACTAGTAATAACAATAGAGAAACATACATATATACAAGTAGTGTGATAGTTACAAAGGACTTATAAGAGAGAAAACGAAAACGTCCATAGCACCGAAAGAGGCGAGAGTAAGAGCGCAACTCTCCCTCTCTCGCCCGCTCTCTAACGCAGAAGAAACAAGACAACGGCTACCGCTGGCTCCACCGCAGACACAACCGCAAAGAGAGCGGCTACCTGAAAAGTTTGACGAGGCAACCTCTCTCTCTCTCTCCTCAACACAACGCCCTCAACTAATTTTGTGCGTCAGATTGCGACGCCGCTCTGTCACACTTCACGAAAAAAAAGGTAAAATCGCCAACCACCGCCCCCCCCCCCTCCGCCCTTCTTACGTCTCCACGGAGGTGTCGTTCTTCTTCTTCTGTGTCGGCTTGGCAGCGTCCGTTTGGCGCTTGCCCGGCAGCGACGACGCGGGCTTCGACAGCGAGGAGCCGCCCTTCGAGCCTTTGGAACTGCTGAGCGGCTCGCGACGACCTGCTGGGCACCCCGCCGCCTGCATGGCCGTGAGACTCTTACTCATAATCTCCTCCACGTTCACCTCCGAGTTGGTCAAGAAGGCTTGCGCCGCCCCTTCGGGTCCCAGCGGGGTCTGGCTCATCAACACGGCATGGTGGTCCACCGCCACGTCAGTCCCCGCCTTCTTCAGCTCCTCCGCGGTCAGGTAACGCGCACCCGGCACCTGGTACTGCACGCTGCACGCACCGTAGCAGCTACTCGCGAAGCTGGCGTTGCCCAGCCCAGGCGAGCTACCCATCGCTGGGGTATTGCCGAAGTTGACGGTTGGGACGGGGTTGTCGGTGCCAAGCTGCGGTGTCTCGAGCCGGTTGGCAGGGATCTGCGTCCTGGTGGTATAGGTTTGGGGAAAGATTGTGGTGGAGGAGGTGGTCGCTGCTCCTGCCACTGCCGTTCCTGCCGTTGCGGCGGCTGGACTCCCAGGGATGGTGTCCGCCCCACGGCTCGGCGACGACGGCGACGCGTACACGTCGCTGCTGCTAATGTTGTTTCGGTTCGCACGGCTGCGACTTGCTCTCTCGGACTGGGAAGAGGGGGAGGCCATCTCTAGCGGTGACCCAGGAGAGGCCGCGGACGTGGAGCCGTCATTCCAGCCCTCGCTGCTCGTGTGGGGGAGGCTGAGATCGCGGTGTAGATGAGCGTCCCTCTCCAACTCCGCCACGGAGGTCGTGTTACTTCGAGGAAGGAGGGAGGAGGGCGGTGCCACCAGCTCACTGCTCGTGCGCCGCATCTGGGGAGACAAAACGTCCGATTGCGAGTCGCTGTGGTTGCGATGGGAGGAGTGCGCCGAGTGTGTGTTGCCGCGGCGGCGCGGCTGCTGCGACGACGGCGACGCCGTCGCTGTCGCCTCAATACGGTGGGCCTCCTCCAGGGACAGACCCACGATGTCATCCCTGCTGGCGCGCTCCCGTGCGAGACGGCGCGAGAGGGTCTCGAGCTGCTCCCGCGAGAGGTCCGTGTCATTCGTGTTGTTCCGGTACAGCGGGATGGCCGCCCGACTCACCACAGACGGGTCGCGTGAGGCGTAGATGCTCTGCACCTCCCGCCAGACCTGCGCCAGCTGCTCCTTCGGCAGCGGGCAGCTCAGAGAACTCGAGTAGCCGACGGCGGGGTCGAAGTCGAGGTGGCGGCCGGTCTCCCGCTCGTAGCGTGCGACAAACCCCCGCACCGACATTTCGGGAATCTCCGCCATGTCGATCACACGGCGGATCTCCAGCGAGGCGAAGCAAGTCTCGTGAATGATGTGGTAGAGGCGCAGCACCTCCACCGAGGGGCTAAAGCGGCGGATCGCGTCCGGGCCGTAGATGGGCGGCTGCGGCAGGAAGATGATGTCCGGCGCACCGGGATCGGAGAGGAAGGCCACGAAGGGGCGACTGCTCGCGGCGTTGTAGTGAAACTCACGGACCTGTTGCAGCTTGATCCAGCGCGGGATGGTGCCGGTGTCGCGCACCAAGAGGACGGTGTCGTGGGTGATGCAGAGGTAGGCGCCGCGCAGCGCCACGCAGAGGCCACCCGACGCGTTGCGGCCCACCAAATCCCCACGCAGGAAGGCGTAAAAGACGGCTTTGTCGAGTGCCTTGAAGGTGTGCCACACGCACATCGGAATCATGGAGAAGATGAGCCCGTTGCGGGGGTCGTACGGGGGCAGTCCACGATAGGGCCGCGCACTCAGCTTGTCGTAGCCCAGGACGGTCTGCACGACGTACCAGAAGCGGCGGAATTCGTAGTCGGTGCGCATGCGGAACACCACCTTGATGCGGCTGCCACGGTAGGCCGTGCCGTTCTTCGCGTGCGGTGACTCGAGCGTTTGTATGCGGCGTGCGCTCGGTGGCAGGACGGGCTGCCCACTAGCCAGCTCCGCCCGCTCCCGCTCCATGCGCAGGTCCGCAAACTGATCGCGCAGCGCCTCGTACAGCTCCCGCAGAAAGAACGGATCGCGAATAAACTCGTCGTTCTCGACGGTGAAGCGCTCCGGCAATCCGGACAGCCCAGACGACGGCGTCAGCAGCGGACCGGGCGCGGGCGTCTCCCCTTGCGCCAGCGGCCGCACCTCTCCATGAATCTCTACCTGGAACAGATCCGTCTCCTTCAAATGCGTGTCCTCGAGGATGAAGGCGTGCTCCTTGCCCACCAGCACAATCATGTCTACCTTGATCTTCTTCCTCCACAGCACGTCCTCGGGGTTGTTGGGCGGCGGCGGGGCCTCGTTGAAGCGTTGCTGCTGACTCACCGGGGAGAGCGGGGGACGCACGTTGATGTGCGGAACGGCCGGGTTCTCGCCGGCGGTGGACAGACTCGCATAGGAATCCTCGCCGTCCGTGTAGGAGTCCTCGGAGGTCGCCGGTGGGAAGGGGTTGTCGTTGGCGTTGGGGTAGGCAATTTTCTCCGGCGTGACGCTGTCGGAGTAGTAGAGGTGGCGGCGCATGGTGTCGAAGGCGAGCTGGCGCATCTGCCACCCGTCAAAGAAGACGTTGCCCTGCTTCTCTGCGTACGTGTAGAACATGGCTGTGAGCGAGGCGTCTTCTCGGTGAGGGGCGGTTGTTTCTTTTGAAAATGTGGAAAAGAAAAGAGCAGGGTGCTCCGTGGGAGCAGAGAAGCACAACCGGCGGTGCTGCCTGTGTGAAACGGCTTTGTTTTCACACACAGATAGGTAAGGGGAAAAAATAAAAATAATAAATAGAAGGGCTAGCGGCGTAGATCAACGAAGCAAGACAAACGACGACGACTGACAACAGCCTGCTCAAACACACAGACACACCCCAAAAGCTCAGCAGACGTAAAAACAAAAAAAAGTTAATAAAAGAGTTGACGAAACACTACACTAGAAAAATACATGAAATAAGAACTAACCAAACGACATCACACTGCAGCGCTTGCACTGATGCGACAACACACTGCCCAGAGTAGAAACACCAGATAGACGGCAGCAGAGGAGAGCATGGATGGAGAAGAACACTTATACAGAGAGAGCAAGCGAGAAAGAGAGGATCAGCCGGATGAGCAGGCGCCGTTAGCCCTGCACAAGTAAAGCTTTTATTCTTTTGTTTTATGAAGATAATGAGGTTTCGTTGTTTAGTCAGCACAGCGGCCGGAATGCGTAAGGTGGTCTTGCAGAGGCAGTAGGTACAAAGCGGAGCGGAAATTACAGTGTAGCGTGCGAACCCGTTGCAACCGTCCTCGAAGCAATGCCGCAGATAATGAAGTGGTCCTTCTTTTCGTTCGGTGAGCCACGTCGACAAAGAGAGACTAAAAAAATAAGAACAGAAATGAAAAGAAAGATAAAAGACACTAAACTTTAGTTCTCACGGAATATATCACTGAATAATAGAAAGCCGCCCAGTTCGCTGGGGAAGGGGCGGCATTCAACAGCAGAACACAATCCATCACCACCCCCATCACACGGTGCCACTCCGAACGCACCACACAACCAAGTGCTCTCTTCATCAGCGCCACAATAGAAAAGCTGCTCCTGCTTCAAAGCAGCAGGAAATACAAAGAAACACAGCATTAGCCGCTTCCAGGGTGAAAATACAAAACTAGTTTCCAAATAAGAAGCAAAACAAAGATCCCTTACTTCGGCAACACAGCTGGTGGAATGAAGGCGGCCATGTCTGGTCGAGCCTGCAAGCTTGGCGAGGGCGCCGAGGCCTTCTCACTTTGTCGGTCGGCCTCCCGCGGACGGAAGCCCGGTAAAAGGTCAGCGGTCAGCACCGTTGGCGTCACAACGCCCTCCGCCACCTTCACAAAGCCCGGACTCTCCACCGGCACCGTCCCTGCGCCTGGGGTGCCACCAATACCCGCTGCTGCTACAGCTGTAGAAGCAGAAGCAGAAGCAGAAGCGGCAAGGCCACCCGTCGTCGTTGATATCGCCAAGGAAGGCAGCGCCGCGTGTTCGTGCGTCGTTGGCTGCCCCCGCGACTCGGGTCGCTGCAGCATGTCCTCCATATCCTCGCTGTCGAAGTCCTCGTCACTCTCCTCATCTACCACGTCCCCGCCTTCCGAGGCATTCTCCGTCGTGTGCGTCACCTCTTGCGGCGATCGGCTGCCATTCGTCACGCTCTCTTGCGGACCGGCCGAAGAGGGCTGCCCGCCTCTGGTGGAGCTGCCAGACGCTGCACCGGCGCCCCCTCTGCTACTCATCGAAGCGCTCGGCACCAGTACCGCAGACCCCGCGTTCGCCGTCAGACTCCCGTTGCCCACGCCGTTTCCGCCATTGCTGGCCGCCGGGGTGGGCGGATGACCGAGGTACGCGGTGCCGGGCGCGTTCGTCGTCGTTGCTGCTGCGGGGGCGTCTGCCGGTTTCCCAGAGTGGGTCGATGACGGACAGGGCGAGGGCAGGTCGTGGCCACTGGTCGTCGTCTGCTGCTGTTGCTGCTGCTGTTGCATCGAAACATGAATTTCGCTCAGATGCACCCCTTTCGGGGCTGTGGCCACCGGCGGTACGTTGGGGGCCGCCGAGGAGAGCCAGTAGTCGAGGACGGTCGGGTCGGCGTGCAGCTGCGAGGGGACTAAACCGTAGGTGTTGGGACGAGAGGACGGCGGGCGCTGCTGCGAGGGGGCGCTGCCGACTACCGTGTTTGGGGAGCTCCCGCTGTCCGAGTCACCCGGCGGCTCAGGCGATCGTTGGCCCGTCGTACCCGGCGTACTGTGCAGTGGCAAGTGCGCAGCAGCTCTTTTGTTTATTGTCGCAGCAGTAGTCGCAGTAACCACAGCGCTGGCTGCTTGAGAAGGCGGACGCGTGTCGGCGCTTCGCTGCCGCGATGACGATGACGATGGCGCTGCCGAGACGTAAATGCGAGGCGGTGCGTCGCTCTGCGGTGCCGCTGCAGAGGGCTTTACGTAAGGGATCGTGCCCATGCTGGAGGTCGTGATGGAGGTCTTCATCGGTTGCGGCTGCGGCGGTGGTTGGACCGTCCCGCCTGCACCCGCACCGCCCACAGAAGCGGAGACAGACTCACCAAATCCACCACCGCTACCACCTGCCGCAGCCGGACTGACAGACGTGTCGACGGCCCCCGCTGGACTCGCGTTGCGGCGGTCGGTGCGCGTCACCTGCAGCCGCTGCTTCGCCCGTAACTCCGCCCCCCGCGAGGGCGGCGCCATCAGCTGCGTCATCGTCGCTGGCATGAAGCTCGCGTTGGAGTACATCGAACTCGCCGGCGACAACGCGCCCGCCCGCGGTGGGGTGACGCCGTAGGAAGACGACACCGCCGAGTGCGGACCCGCCCCCCGCTCCGGCCAGCGGGAGGTCGACGTCGCCTTCAACGGGCTTCCTGCAGACTGCCCCATGCTCAAGTGCTGCTGCTGCCGGGACGGCACCACCGCCTCGCCCATCTGCGCATGCGAGGCCGGCGCCATGAAGGGCCGCCGCTGCATGCGCGACGGCGACGCCTCCTCGTCATCGTCCGTGTCCTCGCCCTCGTCGCGCTCCAGGGCCTGGTAGAGGTCCCGCTTGAAGGTGAAGTGCGTCGGCGTCTTGGAGTTGTCCCAGCGCCAGCGCAGCGGGGTCGCGCCGGTGCTCTGCTCCTGCGCGATGTACTTGAACACGTCCGTGTGCTGCGCCGAGAGGTCGTGGATGTGGCAGAGAACGTCGTACTCGTCGGTGTCCTCGGCGGTGTGCACGGAGGCGCGTCGACTCGAGACGGGCGCCAGCGCCACCTCCTCGCCGGCGCGTAGACGCTGCATGAGGAGGCGCCGCACCATGCTCACAATCCCCTCCACGCACTCCTCGGAGTCAAAGGTAGAGTTGGGCGGGTAGCTGGGGATGATGGGAATGAAGACAAAGTCAGGATAGGGCTCCGCGGCACGAATGGAGATGAAGGAGTGGTTGCCGCGGAGGACGTACTGCACCCCGACGATGTCCTCCAGGTCCAGCCAGCGCGGGCACTTGCCGTCCAGCTGCAGGAGCAGAATCGAGTCGTGGGTGATGCACAGGTAGCCCTCCATCCCCCGCACCTCCCGCTGCTGGCGGACATACACCACGTGACCAATTTGCAGCGAGTAAAACACCACGTCGTTCAGCCGACGGAAGGCGTGGCGGAGGTGCAGGGGCACCGTGGCGAGGGCAATGCCGTTGCGAGGATCATACGGTGGCAGCCCAGCGTGCAGTGGGCCGCAGAGGCCGTGTCGCACCAACGCTTGCCGCACCCGAAGGCTCACAATGCGGAAAACATCGTAGTTGGCCGCACGGAACTGCAGCTGCACCGCCTTCTCATCCTTCACCGTAGTGCCCGCACCGACCCGCACCACGCGACGTCGGCGACTGAAGAAGCTGTACCCGCTCTGCACGCTCTCTGTGGGGCTGGAGGGCGGCGAATTGAGGGCGACGTCATCCTCGTCCGCCTCCTCCTCCGCGTCCTCATCACTGGCCTCCGTCTCGGCTTCCGAGGCGGCCACGGAGGTCTCCTCGTCCTCCTCGTCGTCCGGCGCAAGGTCGATGTCGCGGAACATGTTCTCGTCCTCGTCCTCGAAGTCCTCGTCGAGGGACTCGTTCACGGGGTAGCTCGGCATGTGAATGAAGCCCGACGGCGACTCCGGTGCCGGCACGTCGGTGTCCGCGTTGGTCAGGAGCGGCTGCCCCGCCGAAGCAGTCGGCGCCTCGTCCTCTGCATCTGCATCCGGCTCGCTGTCCATCCGCGTCGTGCTGAGCCACGACGTGCTGCGGAACCACGAGGCGTTGCTGCGGTGGGAGAAGCTGTTCTCCGAGGAGTTGCCGACGCTGCCCTTCCCGCGGTGCGGGCGGTGCACCAGCGAGCGCTCGTAGCCGATGATGATCAAAGTGAGCAGAACCCCCTCGTTGAAGTCGTCGCTGGTGGGCGGGACGATGTACTCGTCGGCGGCGTAGCGCAGCTGGGTGACCTTCACTTTGCCGCTCCACTTCACCTTACGACTGGAGGTGCCGCCGGACAGAATCGGGGAAGAGGAGCCGCTGTTGCCGGTTGCTGCCGCTACCGCCCCCTCCACTTCTTGGCTCCGCGTCATCACCTCCTCAATGTCGGTGCGGCTCAGCGGCTTGGAGTAGTACAGGTAGCGGTACTTGGCATCGAAGGCCACCTGCCGCACCTTCCATCGCAGGGTGAGGTTGCTCTGCTTCTCCAGGAAAAAGTAATGCATGAACGTCGCAGAACAACTATCGGTGTGGTGGTGGCAATAGAGAAGGGAAAGGATTTAGTGGTAATGTGGGTTCGAGAGAGGAAAAAATATATAATAGTAGTAGCAAAACGAGTAAAAAGAACAAACACGTACTTCAAAGACCTGAGAAATAAATAAGAAAGTGATTCATAGCAGTAGGACTGCGTCAAAGAAACGGTGCGCGGCGACTACCTCGGCAATATATGATTCTCCAAATACAAAAAGCGGCTAACACGCTCGTATACAACGTCTATGCTTTCCTGAAGTGCGGAAGAGTGGCCCATCCACACGCATGTACAAATCCACAGGTAATGCGTGCGTGCACATCAAGTGGAAAAGTAAAAAAGCGAAGCCACCACTCACACAGAAAGAGAACCTCCGCAACTCGAGATGCTGCCAAAACCGCAGTAATAATAAATAAGAATAGCGGACAAAGAAGAAACAATCTAGCGAAACGGCGGCCGGCAATGTGCGTCGATATCGTGAGCCGCGCCGGGATCCAAAAGCGAAAACACCTGAGAAGAAGCTGTGGAAATAAAATAATTGCGGCGAAGATGACACTGTTCGCCGTCGTTTGACGTGAAATACAAAAGAAGGAAAGGAAAAAGAGAACTTTTGTGTGTCGTGATGAGAGCAAACGCACGGAAAGGTGAGCCAAAAAACGTGGAATCAACGCGGAGGAATGACCGTGACAGAAGAGTAGAGGAGGCAAAGCATAACGAGGGGGAGAGGAGGGGGGGGGGGTAAAGAACATGCAGAAGGGAATAATAATAAAAGAGGAAAAACTTCCACGAAGGACAGTTCTTCACCGGCCAATACTTCTTCTTCATAGGTGATTACTGTTGGCAATCAGACGCAGCACAGTTCCTTTGTCGAATCGACCTTCCTCGCACGTTAAAGTAGAACATCAACGTGCGAAGTGCTTCACCACGGGTACGTTATCTCGTTCATCATTATTAGGCAGCCTTCGTTTGAATACCTTCCTATATGTACTACGTAAGTTACTAAGTAAAAGACAGTATTTAAAAAAGCCTCAGACGTATAACAGAAGAAAGAAGAGAGTAGGAAAAAGGAATCAACGTGCCTCAAGCGAGTCGCAGGGAGAAGCGCGGTAAGCACTCCTGTGTACATCAACGGTTACGCCATACACTGCTCACCACAGCCCTGATGTACGCCTCTCTGTCGCGAAGAAAACCGCACGACCGCGAATGAGTCTAGCGATGCAGCGCAGACCGCACTGCGCTTGATCCTTTCTCCTTTCTCCTTTTCTTCATTGCACCTCAGTACAGTACACCTAACTAACGTCAACACCATACTGTGCACACAACGGCAAAGGCAACAGATACCACAACGGATGACGCCCCTTTGTGATCCTTCCTTGTTATCGTGATTATTTGAGCGTGGGCCACAGCTTCGGGTTGACGCACACGTCGACGCAGTGCACGATGTCGAAGTACTGGTTGTAGCAGTGCGGCTCCTTCTCGGGGTCCACGGACTTGATGCGCTCCAGGCAGGCGTTGTACGCCGCGACCTTCTTCGCACAATCATTTGCCAGGCACTCCTTCTCCAGGTCTAGCTTAATGTCTACCGGATCCGACATGATTGAAAGTACTTCGGGTTTTTTATTGGATGTGATGAACCCACAAGAGGGCAGAATAAATACTTGGCAATAGGTGTGCGTGTGTGTGTGGTGGGGGGGGGGGGGAAGGAGGGACGCGAGGGCGGTGGGACGGCGAGGATTATGTTGATACGCCTAATCACGTAGCTACACTCGCAGAGATACAGAGAAGGAGGTGCGACTGAACACCGAAACAGAGAATAATAATAATAATAATAGTACTACAGAGAAAACGAAGATGCTGGAATTCAGAGAGGCGACGTTGGCTCGCTGCAAAAGAACACGGAAATCCAACTGCTTGCACCAGCGTCGTACAGAAAGGAAGGGCGGGTAAATCTCACCTTCACAACAGTGAAACTTCAATGCCGGAACTCTTCTACAAGAAGGTGAAAGGAGCTACGGCGATCAGCACAGCTGACAATCGCCATACATACAATCGGCTTTTCGTTTCTTTATACTGTCTACAGAAAAGAGTAATGAGTAAAGCGAAAAGAAAACACAGCTGGAAGTAAAGCTGCACTACGATGGCGATCAACCAGAAAACGTACGGGCCAGCCTTCCCATTCGAAATCATTTCACTGCGACTGGCAAACCATCGAACTGCTCTGAGAGGCAACGGATACTACTTTTGACGGGTTCATCCGTCCTACGAGCACAACACAGGAAAAAGACCAATGACAGAGAAGCACGCCTCTAATGTAAAACGATGAAAGCAAAGAAACAGAAAAACACGGAGAAAAACAACGATGAATGGAGAAAAGAATCACACAGTGAAAGAAGAGGTATCACAGCTTCTGAAACGAGAATAAAATAGCCGTTTTGAAGACCCCAAAGCGAACGCTTGAGGACACCGTCGTCATTCTACAAGCATCAAAAAAAGGGAAGTACTTCACGCGGGGCTCTCTTTCTTCAAACGATACAAAAACCCGATGCAGCATATAGAGACGGAGAAAGAAAGAGCGAAGCACCTCTCGCCGGCCCCATCTTATGACCTCTATCCAGCCCCCAGGAAAAAGCCACTCGATACAGTTTCCTTAGTAACGCCGCACGCTGTTGGAAAAGGGGAAAAAGGAGACAAACGGACGGTTTCGGCTGATAAAACAGACGGGACGAAGGAGCGAAACGCTTACGTTACGGCCAAATGCGCTCGAGAAGCATGCAGTCCGCTAATACAGCAACACCAAGGAGAGTAAACAGTCTTTGTCTTCTACATGGTCGCACAAGAGTTGTAAGTGCTGTTGTAGTGCCGTTCGTCGCTGTGCCTCTGCGACTCCCGCACCCGCTCCCGCTTCTCATTCACCTTGTCCGCCTGGCGCTGCAGCCGCTTCATTGCCGCGTTCACCGGCACCCGCGACACACGCAGCCGAAGCTCCCCGCTGTACGCCGTCGTTCCGATGTCTGCGCCGCCGTCGAGCCGCACGTTGCACTCCACCGTGTTGAAGCGGTCTGACAGGCTGCCATCGTGCCGGTCCTCGCCCGCCCACAAGGCCTCCATCGACATCAAGTCTAGGTCAGCGACGCCGATGGAGGCCGTCTCGAAGAGCATCACACGCAGTCGGTCGTACTTGTGCACAACAAAGTAGCCGCAGCCGGCCGTGGATTTGGCGCTTGACGTGTCGCTCCACACCAGCTTCGTGCGGTCCAGCAGCGCGGGGGAGCGGTAGGGCGTGTTGTCAAAGGCGGAGACGCTGCCGTTCACCGACACGACACTGTTCGTCTGTCCAAACACCCACACCTCGCCGTGGCACTGAAAGCGGCTTGGCATCTGCGGGTGCACCTCCACCACCTCGAGGAACTGCACCGCAATCGCGAAGAGGTCGGTGCGGTTGTCGTAGTGCTGCATCTCACGCCACATGCGGCCGTAGCGGTCACGCAGCGCGCCAGCGGCGACTTGGTCGTCCTCGGCACGCTCCTGCAGCGCCTCCAGAGTGGCCTCGGCGTGTGCGCTGCGGCGTACGGTGCGGCCCGTCGTCGGAGCCCAGCCGACCATGTTGTTGCCGCGGTTCAAAACAAAGCGCGACTCGCTGGTGCTGCCAGCCGTGTTGACGGCTGTATCGCCGTTGTGGTTGTCGGAATCTGCGTCGTCCACGTGCTGCGTGTGTTCACGTTGAACATCCTCCGCTGCTGCGCGACGGCGTGCCGCGGCGATGGTGTCCCGCTCGACCGTCATGGCGTAGGCCATCATGCACTGCAAGTACGGAATCACCCGCGAGAAGCCCTCGCGCGGGTCCACCGGGACGTACTGATGAATCGGCACGAGCTGAAAGAGAGGGACCGCCTCGTCGCGGCCCGCCTCAAACTCGGAGACGTTGGCGCGTGAGGTGACGGAGGTGCCACGGCTCGGCCCCCGTCCGTCCACGGAAGAGGCGGCGGCGGTGGTGTGCGGGGCAGCACTGCGGCCGTGCTTGTAGAAGTACTGGTCAAGGCGTCGACGGTTGGGAAAGAGGGCGTCGAAGGGCTGCGTGCCGGTCTTGAGGAGCGCACCGAGCACCACCGTCCGCACCGGCTGCGTCTTCTGCGTCGATGCGTCGGTGTAAGTGGTGGGGAGCTGCTTCTGCACCTTTGGGTCGTGCGCCTCGCGGTACACCGGCCACCGGTCCAGCTCCGTCGAGTACGGGTTCATCATGGTGCGGTTCTGCAGCCGCAGGTAGAGATCCGGCACGTCGAAGATGGAGTGGCAGGTGTGCCGCGCCGGCCCAAAGGACTCCATCCAGTTCGCGCCGATCACGATGCTGCCCACGTTCTCCGGAACGCGGTAGGTGAACAAGTCGATGAACTCCTCATCCCCGGTGGCGCTGGAGCCGCAGAGGGCGTCGCCGGAGTGCCGCGCCAAATCCCGCGCCATCGATCGCAGCTTGCCGTTCTTTGGGTAGAGGTGGTCGACGTAGTTGTTGTCCTCGTCGAGCAGCACGAGAAAGGCGTCCACGTCGTGCTCGCCGCTCCAGCCGACGCCGAAGCGGACATCCGACAGCGTCCACGCGGCCAGCTCCGACTTGACCTTGGAGAGGGAGTAGTCCGGCAGGTTCTGCAGCGCATCCATGCGGCTATTCGCCGGCACGCCAAGGACGTCAAACACGAGGGGGAGTAGGTCCACGAAGGTGTAGCCGAAGGTCCGCACGTTGAGCTCGCGAAGGTCCCACTCTCCGCCGGCTGAGGTAAAACCGCCGTCGTCGTTGATGGAATTGTGGTGGTGATGGTTGCTGCTGTCCTCCTTGCTGTCAGGCACACGCACGAGCATCGCGGCCAGATTTGCCGTGCCGTTCTCCGTCGACGACCGCAGGTCCATCACCCCCACCCGCTCATTCGTCGACTCGTTGTACAGTACCAGCTTCGCACGCGATAGAAGCGTGAAGTCCTGGCCGGAGTAGCTCGACACGGTCAGGAAGATCGCATCCGTCTCGCGGGGGATCTTCGCCATCACAAAGGTGAGCACCTCATCGGAGAGCTCGCGGTGCTGCCAGTGGCGTCGACGGCGGCGTCGCGAGCCTTCGCCGTCCGCCTCGTCGTTGCCCCCCTCCCGCCCCTCACCGGCCTCGTCGTCCGCGATGTCGTAGCCCATCGCCTCATCCACCGCCATCTGCACATCGGCTAGCTGCTCCTCCTCGTAGAGGCGGTTGAAGATGTTCGACCCGGCGTTGGTGTAGTCGCGGGTGGCGAGGCCCCCGCCGTTGCCGCTGTGCTGCTGGTGGTGGCCCTCCGCCCTGCGGCTCAGCTGCCGTTGACGCCGCCGTGCCGCGAGGGCCAGCCCGGGCAGTTGGTTCTCCTCCTCCCCGCCCACGGTGCTGTCGCCGCTGAGGAAGAGGTACGGGAGGAGGTGGGGGTCGACCATGAAATGCGCCCGCAGCGTCGCCTCATCCGTGCCCTCGGGGAAGAGGTGGTTGAAGAAGACGACATCGAGGAACCGGCCCTCCTTCGTGAAGCACACGGCGCTGAGGTCGAGGTCGACCGGATCGGCGCCGACGAAGTCCCACGAGAGACCCACGGACAGCACGATGCTGCCGGGAATGCGAAAGACTCTCTGGCGGACGTCTGAGTATGCCATCGTGTGGAACACGCAAGCAGAAAGAAAGAAGAACGTTGCTGATAGGAAGGAAAAGAAGAAGGAGGAAGCTGCGAAGTGCCTCGATTTCAAGGCCGGTGCACCAACGTTCGTTGCTTCTTTTCTTCGCTACTCCAACGTGGGTTAGCGTACGTTGCCCGTGATGGCGATGGTGGTGGTGATGACCGATATGCGAAGCAGTGAGGCCACGAAAGGCGGAAGACAGAAGAGGAGGGAGGACAAGTGGATGTGTGGAGGTGGGAAAAGAACGGACTTTAGCCTGCGCGAGAAATCTATTTCCGTAGTAGAGCATCTCGTCTCCTCTTTGTTGAGAGTCGTACAGCAATTCCGACGAGTGAAAAAAAAAAAACTCAACAGTGATGCTCTCGCTTGACAGGCTTCTGCGGATGACTGACCCCATTCTAAATGCCGCTGGAGAACCCAACGTGCCTTCGCTCTGATTCCACAGCGGCAGTTCATGCTGACACTTCCATAAGCCGCTGCACCACGTCAAACGTAGCCATTCTCATCTCTTCTTTTTTTTTCGCGGGGGGAGGGGGTGTTCCTCCATTTTCTCTTCATTTCACGTAACATCTTTTTCACCTTAGTTAGACTTTCTTTGAACCACATTCAGCTACAATAATAATAATAAGAATAATTTTTAAAGAGCCCAAACGGAAAACACCCGCACACCTTTCGAAGATACATATCTTCTCTTTTTTCTTTTTTAAAGGAACGTCGTGACGCCAAAGGAAGTCGTGAACACCGTAGGCGAGCGCGCTCCTCATTACCCCGCTCTCAGCACCAATGCTTCACAGAAAACGCGGTATACCAGCTTATGAAAAATAGAAGCCTTTCCTCGTTCCGGCTTTTTGGGATTCGAGTAAAAGAATGCTCCGTCCCACACAGACACGCACATGACGGGGAGGTGAAGCCAACGAGAACTGGGAAAGTGGGAAGGTACCGCATTTTGCCTCACAAAGCGACGCAATCAAAAGAGCCCAGGACGCCGCTGCGGAACAAAGCTGCACGGAGACTCCAGTTCTCCCCCCTCGTTGACACCTCAAAGCTATCTCCTACCACCGTCAGAGCCGTAAAAAAGAAAAGGGTGTATTTAGTAGGGTATTTGCATTTCTTTTCGTAAATACTCCAGTAGCACGTATAGTCACTAGATTTGATTTCTCCGTTGTTGTTTCGTCATACCCGGTACAATCCCTCCCAATCCATGAGAAACAAAGCGGCCAGAAACATGAAGGCAGGAGCGAGTCAGAGAATGATGAAGAGGAAAAAAGGCACTTCAGCCGGCGGGCCTCCATGCACACCCTGGAGTGCGCATTACAGGTCTTCGTCATCGTCGCCCTCCGGGGAAGCGGCTTCCGTCTCCTCCGCAGAAACTTCATCCTTCTCCTCCGCAATCTTCGCCTTGGCAGCCGCAGTAGCCTTGGCATTCTCCTCCTTTTGCTTCTCCGCCGCCGCCTCAATCAGCTGCCTCTCCTTCTCCGCAATGGCGCCGTAGGTGGCCTGGACCAGCTTCAGCACCTCTTGCAGGTCGTCGCCGAGGATGATGTTGTTGAAGATGCTGCCGCCCTGCACCTGCCATACATCAATGCCGACGTACTGCAGCGGAGCCGGCACCTTGTAGAGGTTCGGCATTGGCACGTACTTGGGGTTCGGGATCTGCTTCGGCTCCCACACGCCTTTGTAGGCCGGGTTCTTGATCTGGCGCGCCGTCCACGGTCCGCGGTAGGCCGGGTTCGGGATCTGCGGGGCCTCCCACTCGCCGTCCTCCGCGTCGTCCCAGTCTTCCGGCTTCACGGCTTCGGGGTCGACGATGGTGGCCGGCTCGTTGTCCCAGTCCGCGGGCTTCGTGTCCTCGGGGTCGTCCATCATCGAGTCATCCACCCAGTCCGCCGGCTTCTGCTCGTCGGGGTCCGGGATGGTCTTCGGCGCGACGATCTCCCACTCCTCCTCCAAACTGCCGCTTTTCTTGTAACTGCCGTCCATGTAGAGCTGGTACGTGTTGTTCGCCGCGATCTCCAGCGTGTAGACGTGCGTCGCCTTGTCCTTCGCAGGCATCGAGTTGCTCTTCCACAGGTAGTTCTCGCCGTCGTGGTTGAGGATGATGTGCAGGCGGTTCGTCGCGCCGCAGGTGTCCGGGCCGAACATGAGCCAGTAGGGCGACTCCCCGTTGAAGTCCTTCTGGTCCAGCTCGGAGAAGAACTTCAAGTAGGCACCGCCGCACTCCAGCTTCTGATCGTGCTTGACCGAGAAGGAGATGACGAGGTTCTTGCCGTCGTTGCTGACCGGCGTGGGCAGCTTCGTGGAGATGGCGTAGAACTTCGCGTCCTCGGAGAGCTGCAGGCCCTGCTCCTTCTTCGCGTCCACGTGCATCGCGCCAGCGGAAAGCTTCACCTTACCGTAGTCGCTGCGGTGCTCCGACTGCACCCAGCCGTCGAGGCTGTTGAACTCCTCGTGGAAGAAGACCTCGGCCCGCACGACGCACACGCAGAGCAGCAGCACGCCGACAAGGGCGGCCAACACAGTTCGGCGAGACATTGTGTAATAGGTACAAACGACGTGTCAGTTGGGGAATGGAGAAAAAAGAAAAAACGGCCGGAGTACTCGAACGGAAAGATAAGAAAAACGGAGCTTCTCGTGTTAGTGAGGGCTATCAGGATGCGAGAGAGAAAAACCTAGTCGATCTGGATGACGGCAAAGAGATGAAGTTGTGGACAGTCATTCAAAAGGCAATAAGAACCGACAGCAGAAAGGGTGCGCAAGACATCCGAGAAGTGAAGAGGAGACAGGAGTCGACAAGGGTACACCTTGCAGGAGGAAAGAAAGCAACAGGCATGCAGGCTTTACGCTCATCCCAATCACAGAGTGCAACCTCATTCTCTAACCTTTCATATACATATATACATTTTGAAGTGTTGCCTCAAAGTGTGACCTCCTTCCTCTTTGTTGCTGGGGTCGGTGCGGTGCCTCACCTTCTGCTCTGCCAGCAAACCGTTCGCTCCACAGCATCTTCCAATGAAAAGGCGTCAGACCTATTCCAAGCCGCCGCGTAGCGCACTCCTCAAAGGCCCTGAGAAGCGCAGACGACACATGAAAGATCCCAAATGCACGCACTGTACCGTTAGTTCTTGCTTGGGGGCATTCATCTAGAGATCTCACATCCCATAAAGGGTACTTACCCGGCAAGCACATCATCGAACAACTCACGCCACAGAGGGGAAAAAGAAGAGGTATTGTCCCTACAATCACAGAAGGAAATGGAGTCAACGGTGTCACGAGCAACAACCCACGGAAACAACGACGCCGAAACGTAAGAAACAACAACAAAAAAGAAGACAACGGCTCCCGCTTAAAGTTTAACTGAACTCAACCGTAAAAGCATGCCCCAACGGGCATCATTCAAAGGAAGAAAAGTACTTCCCCACATTCATCAGCAGGCGAGACGACGGTGCGAAGGGAGGCGGAAAAGGAAAACCTTCAAACATTACGATGTTCAACAACACCCGCTTAGCAAGAGAAAAAGAGAAAGGAGGATCCGCATTGAATCTGCGGTCTCTTTCTCACATACGTTTCGTATTATTCCTCCTGTTCCTCCGTCGGTGAGAAGTCGTGCGACGGCTGATTCGGGTCGTACGGCGCGCTGGCGCGAGAGTTCGCCACCCCACTCAGCGCACCCGCGAGGCCGCTCAGACTACCGTTTGAGTCCTCGAAGGGGTAGGGCTGACCTCTGCCGCCGATCGCCGGCGCCCCCGGCATGGGCATCCCCCCTGGCAGCGACCCGTAGCCGCCACCGGCTCCTCCATGGAAGGTCGGGGCAACCGACTGCAAGTGATAGGACGACAGATCCACATCCAGGGCACTCACACTCGCCATGTTTGACGACGCCACGTAGGTAGAGGCCCCGGAGAGGTGCTGGCTGCTGTGGTAGTCGCTCGTGTTCGAGGCAGCCAGCGCGGCGCCCATGCTGGGGTGCAGCACGCTGCTGAAGAGCACCTGACTCGCCTCGATCGCCATGCCAGCGTAGGGGCCCACCACGCCGCCTGCGCCACCGCCCTGCCGCGGGTAGACGGAGGAGGCCCCGATGCCGATGGAGCTGTTCTCGTGCACCGTCGACGGCGGCAGGTCGCTGTGCAGGCCCTGCATCGACGACCCGGGTGCGACGGAGGCCTCGGTGTGGTACACGTTCGACGTGCGCCCCTCCGTCGCCTTGTCCAGCGGCACCACGTGCTGCAGCTTACTCATGTCCAGCATCAAGTCGAAGAGGCCAGTGCCGATGCGGGCCTGGTTGCCCAGGACGAGATTTGCCGACACGCCCCGCACCGGGTCCTTCTCCCCAAAGGCCGCCGCAGCCATGAGCACCTTCACCGTCTCCTCAAAGGAGCACCGCATGAGGGGGCCGGACGTCTCGCTGCGATTGATGCCGGTGCGGCTGACCGCCATCAGATAGCCGCGCTGGCACATCGTGTCCACCAAGATGGTGTAGTGGCGGTAGTTGATGTTCAAGCCGTAGGCGAGGTAGGCCTCGCGCAGCTCGAAGAGCAGCTTGCGCCGCGCCGCCTCAATCCCCAGCACCGTCGCGATCTCCGGAATCTTGTTGCTGCTCGTCTTGGCGAAGTCGACGATGTTGACGCCCTGGTGGTTCACCACACCGACAAAGATGCGCTGCAGCGCCGTGCCCTCCGTGTCCACCATCCAGCTCGACTCCTTCACGATGCCGCCGGTGGCCGGGTCCACGCTGAAGGTGGTGCCTTCCTTTAGCAGCGTCTTCTTGATGCCGGGAATGCCGCGCAGGTGGACGTTCTGCAGCAGCTGCGCGACCGCCTTCGTCAGCTCAGGGACCGAGTCGGCCCCTGCACACTTGCGCGGCCGCAGACGCACCACCCGGTGCCCGTCGTTCTCCAGGTTCGCCTGCACCAGGTAGGAGTCGTCCATCTGCCGAATGGCGCTCTTCACGTCCTTCATGTTCAGCCGCTTGTCGTTGAAGAGCTCCGTGTCGAGGATGAGGCGGGCGATGAAGGGCGAGGGCTGCTCCGCGTCCAGCCGCTCATCCTCGTTCATCACCGCCTGCTCCCACTCCAGAATGTTCACGTCCTCGGCGACGACGGTGTTGAGCGGGTCGGGGTCGTAGATGATCTGCACCGTCGTCGTGATGTTCGCCAGGGTGCAGTACTCGATGTACTGCTGCGCCTCCTGCGCCTTCTGCCGCTGCTGGTACTCGCGGGTGAGGCAGACGGCGATACTCGCGTTGCGCTGGTTCTTGCTGACGTTCAGCAGCTCCAGCAGGCGCGGCACGCCGAGGGTGACGTTCTTGGACGAGATGCCGGCGTTGTGGAAGGTGTTTAGTGTCATCTGCGTGGCCGGCTCGCCGCACGACTGGGCGGCGATAGCGCCGATGATCTCGCCTGGGGCGATGAGGGACTGCTGGTACTTGGTGCGGATCTCCTTCAGCAAGTACTCGAAGGCCTTGTCGTTCAGCTTGTACTCCTTCAGCACCCGCTTCGAGCCGAGAATCTGGCGCAGGTGAATGCCGAAGAGCGTCAGCGCCCGCTCGACGCGCTGCTGGCTCAGCACATTCAAGAAGCGGCCACTGTAGTCTTTGTGATAGGAGGGGAAGAGCTGTACCAGATCCTCCTGCAGCTCCCGCACACGATGAATGACGGTGATGGGGTTCAGGTTCGATACCTGGCTGCGCTTGCCCATCGTCGTGCGTGCGTTCTGAATGAGCCGCGCGACGTTCACCGGCAAGTTCATCTTGAGCTTGTTCTTCTCTTCCATGTCGATGATGAGGCGCGACATGTCACGGTCCTTCATGAGCTGGTTGTACTCCTCGTGCAGCTTCGACACGCTCTGCGGGTCGCGCAGCAGCGAGTCTCGCACAAAGGTGTCCATGTAGCTGCCACCCATGTTCTCTGAGAAGCTGCCCTCGTCGTTGTACTCGTAACGGTACTTGTCGGCCAGCTCGTTGTTCGTCATGTGCGGGATAGAAAAGGTCTGATTGCCCTCAATACGCGCCCCATCGAGCCCATCCTCACCGTAGGCCAGCTGAACCAATTCCTGGTTGGCGTTACGCACCGTGCCGTCGTAGGCGGCATGGACGTCCTCCAGCGCCTTCACCAGCTTGCGCTGCAGGTAGCCCGTATCGGAGGTCTTCACGGCGGTGTCGATGAGCCCCTCGCGGCCGGCCATCGTGTGAAAGTAAAACTCATGCGGCTGCAGCCCCTCCACATACCCGCGGGTCGCCATCCCACGCGACGTCTCACCGTAGTCGTCCAACATGAAGTGGGGCAGCGTGCGACGGCGGAAGCCGAAGGGGATGCGGCTGCCCGCGACGTTCTGCTGGCCGACGAAGACGGCAATTTGGCAAATGTTCAAATCACTGCCCTTGCTGCCGGCCTCAATCATGACCTTGAAGCTGTTGGTGCGGCGCACGTTGCTCAGCGCCTTCTTGGCGGCCTCCTCACGGCACTTGTTCAGCGCGCTGTTCACATCGGCCTCGAAGGACTGAAGCAGACTCATGCCAGCCTTGCGGGTCAGCTTGCCGTTGTTGGCCGCCGCGCCGATCTTCTCGACGGACTGGCGGGTCTTGTGCAGGACGTTGTTCATCTCCTTCAGAGTGCTCGCATCCGCCACCGTGTCCTGCACCCCGACCGAGAAGGCGAAGCAATAGTTGAAGTAGGTCGTAATTCGCTGCACACCGTTGATGAACTTCGCCACCTCGTCGGAGCCCCGCTCGTTGAAGATGACGTGGATCAGCGAGCCCGGGGCCGCCCCGACGACGCCCTTCGTGATGGCCCCCACCAGCAGCTGCCCGCGCTGGATCATGATCTTCTTGTCGTTGTGCGGGAAGGGCGGCTTGTCGTACGGCGAGGCCGGGTGGTTCACCTCGGGTAGAATGAGCGAGAAGATCTGCTTGCCGGTCCACAGCGGACGCGGCTTGAGGATCGCCGGCACGGGCAGCTCCCACAGGTCCAGCCACAGTGCGACGCTCTGAATGAAGTACTTGTCCACGAAGGTGTCCTTGTCGGTGAGGCGGTAGCTGCCGAGCAGACTGTCCTGCACAATCCCCATGCACGGCGCCGACTTGTTCGGCGACACGAAGTTCTTGGGCACCATCATCATCTCAATCAGCTCCGCCTTCGTCAGCAGTGACTGCGGCACGTGCAGGTTCATCTCGTCCCCGTCAAAGTCTGCGTTGTACGGCGTGGTGCAGGAGAGGTTCAGGCGGAAGGTGTTGTAGTTCAGCACGCGGACGCGGTGGCCCATCATACTCATGCGGTGCAGCGTCGGCTGCCGGTTGAAGAGGACGACGTCGCCGTCAATCACATGGCGCTCCACCACGTCCCCCACGTCCAGGTTCACCGAGCTGCGGTCTTTCACGAGGGCCAGCTTCGTCACGTTGCCGTTGGGCCGGATAATGTAGTTCGCGGACGGGTACGTGGCGCGCTGCACGAACTCGGTCAGCCGCTTCTTGTTGATGACGTTCACTCGCTCCGGAAACGTCAGCGTCATGGCGACGGAGAAGGGCACGCCGACCTCGTCGACGTCGATGTTCGGGTCACCGGTGATCACCGTACGGGCGGAGAAGTCGACCCGCTTGCCCATCAAGTTGCCGCGCAGACGTCCGTACTTGCCCTTCAGCCGCTCCGTCAGCGACTTCAGCTTCTTCGTGTCACCCACCTTCGCCGGCTTGTAGAAGGTGGAGGCATTGTTGAAGAAGGTCGCCACGTGCTCCTGCAGCAGCGCCCGCGAGCGGTCGACGGCCGCCTTCACGCCAGACTCTTTGTCCTTGCGCAGCTGGATGTTGCGCTTCACGATGGACATGATTTGGTGCGTCAGCTCGTCATCGGACTTGGCGGAGCCGAAGGCCACGGCGGGGCGTACCTGCGGAGGGGGGATGGGCAGCACCGTCAGGATGAGGTCGCGCGGGTGGCAGAAGCGGGGGTCGAAGCCCATGATGAGGGCGTCGCTGTCCGACACCCGGTCCAGCACCTGGCGGGCGTTATCGGCGTGCCACACGTAATCCTGCTCCTCCTGCGTCACCTTCACCTGCAGGCCGGGGTAGATGCCGAGGAAGCGCCCAATGCGGGGCTGGCGGCCCTTGCCCTCGCAGCCCTGGATGTCCTTGCTGCGCTTGCACACGCTGCCGCAGAGCTTCGCGACAAGGCGCAGCCGGTTGATGCCCTGCACGTGAGCGATTTTCTTCATCTCCGTCGGGTCATTTGTGTCCATCAGCAGCGCCCCGCAGTACTTGCAGACGCACTTCAGGGCGATCAGCACGACATCGAAGACGTTGATGTTGAAGATCGGCTCGGCGAGCTCGATGTAGCCGAAATGGCCGGGACACTCCGGGTGCTTCAGCCCGCACGTCTCGCAGCTGAAGTCAAAGTCGGTGGTGCCCATGCGGAGGTCGTTGATGCCGCCGCGGACGGGCTGGCCGTGCTCGTAGGACTTGGCGTGTTCAATGCGGCAGGTCGCGTAGGCCTTAATCTGGCGCTCCTTGAAGACCTCGAACTGCACATCGTGCACCTTCTGCAGCGGCATCTGCGAAGGCGGCAGCGGAGCACCACCGGACATGCTTCTTGGCTTCTGCTTGTTGGTGAGTTGTGATGCTTAGAGCTTTATATATGTATGGTAGCTGAAATCGAGGTAGTAGAAACCGTAAACGACAGTTTTAAGTACGGGTAAAGGGAGGGGGAGATCTACTCGAATACACAGAGCAGAATAAATACTACACAAACACACGAACTTCACATACATGCAAACACACACGTGCACTTACACCTACTCCGTCCGTAGGAAAAGGAAAGAAGAAGAGAAGAGTGTGAAGAGGAACAGAGGAGAAAGCAAGATAAAGATGGAGAACATGTGAATAGCTGCAGAGCTACTCGTGCATGAAACGTGGTCAACGTGGCGTGAACCTTAATGCAACGCTGCGGTGTTGCCACGACGAAGGCGGCGTTTCACTGTTTAGCTAAAAAGAGACTACCACTGAGTGATTCCATTGTTATTTTGATTGCCCAAGAGACAGAGAAGAAGAAAGTGCAAGGCAGCAGAGCACTCAATGAAGTGGTAGCGGTGCAGTCAGTGAAAACCCCATGACCCCATTAAAAAAAAAAAAGAAGAAACTTCCATACCTATGATATTCATCGGAAGGAAACAACGAAGACAGAAAAAGAAGTCATTGGCAAAGTAGGATGGCAGGAGCTGCTGCTGCCCATTCCTTCCCCATCCTCGCCCTTTCAGTTCACCGTTCTCCGGTACATCTGAGGGCGGCCGATGCCACCTATGAAAATGCTCACGCCCACCGTAACGATCACGTACAAGTAGGTGAAGGCAATCCGCCCATTGCCGTAGAAGCCGACGATTTCATTCACAAGCGAGGAGACGGTGGAGAGGGCGCCGCTGATACCCTGCTGGACAATGACAAACCACACATTCCACGGGTGCTCTACCTGCATGTTGAACATGATCACGGACAGCACGACCGCCACTAAGTTGGCGATCAGCGTACCGAGGGGAAACTGCGCGACGCCGTCACGCTTGTTCAGGTAAAAGGAAAGGAGAAAGCGCAGCAGGGCACCAATCGGGGCAAACACCACCATGCGGATGTCGTCTGTGGTGATGACTCGCACGCGGCCTCGATTGATGTACACCTGCACGAGCACCGGCGCCAGCACCGCCGCCACCACGAGCAGCGCCACGGCGGTCATGTCCAGTGCGCGCAGTACGCTGCGATGTGCCGTCCACGTGGCCCAGGGGCAGTGCAGCAGCGCATCACAACCGCACCGCAGCGCTCGCCCACCATCGCGGCCCCAGAGAAAGAACACGATCGGCATCGCCGCGCCGAGGAAAAGATGCTCGAAGGCGTCACCGGCCGAGTTCTGCACCATCACCTTCACCATCCACGTGCTGAAGGTCGTGCAGCTGCCGCAGAACCCGACGCAGACGGCGCGGTAGGTCAGCGGCAGATGGGACTCGGGAGGTAGGAGGGTCACCGAGAGGCCCATGACGAAGCTGCCGACGGCGTTGGGCGGAATGTAAGAAAACTTGGCAAAGAACGGGTACTTGACGAAGCAGTTCTCCATGGCGAGGCGGACGGCGTTCCCGCCGAGCCCGGCAGCGGCCACGCACAGACAAGAAAGCACGAGAACAAGATAAGGGGACCAATCAGCCGTGTAGGGCTTGGGGAGCTGTTTGTCAGGCTGTGTAGCGGCGTGCGTGGAGTCAACATCTTTGTTATCTGGAGCGTTTCTCTGGGAAACTTCCCGAGCGTCGCCGTTGTTGATCACACTTCGCGGAGAACGATCCTCCGACTCGACCGTGCTGCTTTCCAGAAAGGGAACAGTGTCTGGTGCGCACGGCGAACTCTCATCGTTACGCACCGCTGTGCTCTGCATTTCTGGCCGTTCTACAATGTGTCGGCACGGTTAAAAGCAAGAAAAAGGCTATCAGCACATATGTATTAAAGGTTGAGCTGAACTTACTCAGCGAAATAGGTGCCACTTTGTAAGCCTTTGCATAATCTTGAGAAATGGGGAAGCATTCCCTTTTTAAACTCAGAGAAGTTGCACCGCAGAGCGCATCGGACGTGCGGCTGGAAGGGTGAGATGGTGAGAACGAGGACGAAAAGACAAGTGGACCATAAGGAGTCCGCAAACCGAAGTCAACGAATGCGCCGCACAAGATTTGAGTACCAACGGGAAAGCTGATGGCTTTTGCCAACGACATGTGATTTCTGTCAGATGAGAAGAGTATTGGAAACGACATTCATTGCTGTGCTGCTTGTGGCGGCGCCATGAAAGAAGATTTTGAGCATTAGAATTACTTGATGTCGTGCAGACGTGCGTCGTTCGCTCGGAAAAAGAAGGGGAAAAGAAGAGAAGCTCCCGCCACCCTCTCGTGAAGTTCGCATAGCAGTTGCGTTCATCTCGACCGCTCCTATTCGTTCTTTTTTTTTCTTTTCAATGGCAACAAATCGTATTCATAGAAGAAGGGTGAAGACCGACACACCAAGCGCAAATACCTACAACATTATATTTTGCATCCAGCTTGAGCGATTGCGAGCTGTTCGGCTTCGCCCACGGCAATTCCGCGAGCAGCCCACGCACTGCTGTCTCTCGATAACAAAGCAAGATGCAAACACCACCGCCACAACCGCACATACCGCCTCTGAGCAGACAGCAGCGTCACAGCTCACCGCGGAACAGTAAAACAGATCATAATTCAAACTGCACGTCGGCAACAACAAAAGGGTGCGACAGCAGCTATATAGTATATATGGTAAGATAGGAACTGGCAAACCAACCCTAGTTGAGGCACCTACGAGGCATCAAACGCATGTCGACAGCACAGCACGGCAATCAATGAGAGAAACAGAAACGATGATGTCCGCCTATACATGGCCGAGATGGAAACACAAAACACAGCTGTCTTGACATAAGGGAGAGAGAACGAGTAGCCTGCAGTCTTCATCTCCGTCTCCGCAACACATTTATCTCAAAACGGAAGGTCATTGGCGTACCGTTACGCAACAACCTCCTATAAAAGGTCTACTTTAACCAAAGAAACAAAACTGAAGACAAGAAAGCAGGAGTCGCCGTCACAGGTCTCTCTCTTTTACCTTCAACAAGCAACGCGCAGCGGAGAAGACAACAGGAAGAGCCATGACAGGCCACGGAGTATCGTCTACGTACACGGAGAACTAATAAAACTCATCCACCTGAAACAGCGGCACAATTTGCTTCACACTGCACATCAGGCTCGCATCCACGCAGAGGAAGGCGCCGTAGTTGTCGAACTCACCACAGTAATTCGGCGCAGAGAAGACCGTCACCAGTTTTCGCTTCGCAAAAAACTTGTAACCCTCATCAACGACCTGGTGCGCACGGCAGATCAGATCTAAGTCGAAGCTGCGCACGATGCCCTCCACCACGTTCTCGCCAAAGGTCCACGAGACGCCGCGGTCGTTGTCGCCAAAGCCGACAATCGGCTCGTCTGCCGGGTCAGACCAGAGCAAATCACAGATCAGGCCGCTATCCGGCACGTCCGTTGGCCGCAGTATACGTCGGATTTGGTCTAAGCTGCGCAGCTCCGGACTAAGGCCTCCGTGCATGCACAAGATACGCCCCTCCACCAGTCCCGCCACGGGCATGCAGTTGAAGGTGTCGGTGAACAGCTTCCACAGCTTCACGCTGAAGCGACGCTTGCACTCGTCAAAGAAGCCGTAAATGCGACTGATGCTGCTGCTCTCATGGTTGCCGCGGAGGAGAAAGAAATTGTTCGGGAAGCGCAGCTTGTAAGCGAGGAGGAGGCACACCGACTCAAGCGACTGCTCGCCGCGGTCGACGTAGTCGCCGAGGAAGATGTAATTGCTCTCCGGCGGGTACCCACCCAGCTCAAACAGGCGCAGCAGGTCGTAGTACTGCCCATGGATGTCACCGCACATGTTGACCGGCGCTGCGATCTCCACCAGCATCGGCTGCGACATAAAGAGCTTGCGTGACTCCATGACGAGATAGGTCACCTCCTCCTCTGTCAACTCGTTCTTGGCGACGACGGCCAGGTCGGTCGAGCTCGTGCTCCCACCGCGTGATTGCACAGTGCGACTGGCAAGCCCTGTCTTGGGTGTGGCCGCTGCGGCGGACTCTTCTTTGAAAGCTTGTAACCGTGACTGTCGCACGTAGGACGAGGTGGGGCTGCTGTCGCCATCCGCCGCTGGGACAGGCGCGGAGGTGTTGTGCACCGGGTTTAGCAGCAGCTTACCGATGATGACATCTTCCGTGGCGGTGACGCCCATCTTGGATTAGGATGCGAGAGACCCGTCGGTGGCGCCGGGTATAACAGCACAAAGCAATGGGATAGGGATCTAACACACACACACACACACACACACGCAGACAAGTAATGCACTGCAGAAGGTGAGATATGCGCTGTTGAACACAAGAAGCAGCAATAAACCAATAAGCAGAGAAGCGAGGAGGTACAACATAAATTGTTAGCGATAAAACAGAAGAGAGAGAAAAGGAGACTTCAATCCAAAGTGTCTCAAGTTGGAAGGCGGAGTACGAAACGCACCGCGTCCAGCCAGCGGGCCGGATTGCGCATCGATTTGCCTACAGCATATGAATGAACACGACACAGAAAGCCGAAGATCCCCCAACTCGTCAATTTGGCCAACGTCGCACGTCACGATGTGGTACTTCGAGTACGCACGTAACGGATGCTGTTCACACAAGAAGCAAAGAACAATGAAATTCTGCTCCTTCAACAGCCCTTCAGCGAATCCTCTCGTATTCGTGAAACGCGGTTTTTGTTTTAACAGTGAACGGTAAATAAAATGCTCCAAGCAGCTGCAATGGTTGGCAACACCGTGATGATCAACAGCAAACGCACCCCTACACACCCACTGCCCCCGTTGCTTCCCTTCACTTTCCTCCCAAATGCACCCGCGTCTACACGGACGGGACCCGCGCATCGGGTTGCCATGTCTTGATGCTGATTCGGTCCACCACGTCCGACCGGCGCTGGTTGCGGCTCACCAGCATTGCCGCACACTCCGTCACACCCTCCACGAGGGACGGATAGGCGGGTTTATGCTTCAGCATCGCGTAGACGGACTCGTTGTTGCGGATCGGCAGTGATGCCACCTCCACCACAGAGCCGGCGTGTGGCCCCACCGCCCGCACACCCAGTACTCGCTTCTCGCGATTGTTCGTGACAATGAGCTTCACGAAGCCGTCCGAGCGGCCCATCATGACGGACCGCGTGAGATGCTTCAGTTCCAGCTTCGCGACACTGTAGCTAATCTCCTTTGCACGGCATTGCTCCTCGTTCAAGCCAATGCCCGCCACCTCGTTCTCCAAAAACATGTTCGTCGCCACGTTGGACAGCGCAGACGCGTTCACCGCCTGCCGCGGCGAGCAGCCGAACATCGTGTCCACCGCCGCCTGCCCCGCCGCGTGGGCGATGTTCACCGTCTTCTGCCTGCCCGCGGCGTCGCCGATGCAGAAGATGTGCTTGTACGGCTTGCACCGACCGTACTCGTCGCGGTCCAGCATGGCGTTCACGACGCGCATCTCCGTGTTTTCCAGGCCCAGCGTCTCGAGGTTCGGCACGCGGCCCACCGCCACCATCGCCCGCTCCACGTGGTACGTCTCGATGCCGCCAGTGCAAATGTTCCGCACCGCGTACTGGCACCCCCCGTCCACGGACTCCAAATCGAATAAGCGGCAGTCGTGGTGGATGATGACGCCGCGTTGGATGAGGTGCTTCTGCACGTACATGGCCACGTCCTCGTCCTCCTTCGGCAGAATGCGGGCCGCCTTGTCGATCAAATAAATCTTTGTCCGCCCCAGCTTGGCGTACATCGAAGCCACCTCGCAGCCCATCGGGCCGGCGCCAATCACCACCATGCTCTGCGGCACGGGCAGCTGGAAGACGTCGCTGGAGTTGACGATGTGGACGTGGTCACACACGGCGAGGCTGTGGCTGCGCGGACGCGAGCCGGTGGCGATGAGAAAGTTGTCTGCCTGGAGGGCGCGGTACTCCCCCGTGCCTTTGGTGTGCACGTCGACCTCGTGCGGGCTCGCAAAAGAGGCCTTGCCGGCGATGACCTGCACCCCCGCGACCTCTAAAAAGTGGCGCCACTCCGCCTCCTTCTCGGCACAGGTTTTCTGCGTCAGCGCTGTAATGCGCTCGCTCGGGATGCCGCTGACGATGCGGCGTGCGTCGCCCTGGTCGAGCAGGTCGCTCGTGAAGGCGGAGTCAGTTAGCGTAGATGCGAAGTCAGCGATCTGCCACATCATCTTGGAGGGCACCGTGCCGCCCCACAGGTCGGCGCCGCCCAAGTGATCCGCCTCGACGATGCAGACAGACTTGCCGTAGTCCACCGCCCGCATGGCCGCCGCGATGCCGCCGGGGCCGCCGCCGATGACGCAGAGGTCGAAGCGCGGGAAAGCGCCGGCGCTGCGCAGCACCGGGAAGGGCACCTTCAAGTGAAGGAGAGAAGGACGGAACATGCGGGTTGTTTCCTTCTAATGCGGTGTGGAAGAGAAGGGCAGACGATTGCTACAGTAATGAAGGAAAATGGGCTAGGAGGATACTTAAAGAAAAAAGGAGGGGCGTGATGATCGTCCTCGTGGAAGGCGAGCAACAAGGACTGCTGTCGCACCACGAAGCAACAGCAAGAAAGCGATATACTGATCGTGGCTTTCAGCACCTCCACGCAGATTTTCAGAGATGCGACTGAAAAGCTGCGGCGACCTTGGAAGATGGTAAAATGCGGATATCAATGCAACTCGTATGCAATGTGTGTGCGTGTGTGTGTGTGTGCGTGTAGAGACAGAAAGGAAAGCAAGACAAGAGAGAGAGAGAAAGAGAGAAAGAGAAAGCAACGCCAGTAAATAATTATAAGGAAAAGACAGCTGAGCCCTCGCAGCTGCTTCCACGAATTCATTCGCATCCTAAATGAGCGATATGACGCACCTGGGGAGAACACGTGGTAAGTCAGACGTTGCGTGCGGACCCCCCGCTGACGCAAAGTACAAGGAAACCCAACGCACGCTCTTCTTTATCGTCCACTGTCGGCAGACTCCTCAAAGCTGCCTGCCGCTGCAATTGAAGAAAGAGAAGGCTGTTCTATTCATTTTGACTTTTGAAATAAAAAGCAAGCGCACTCCTGGCGCCACTGTACTTCTGTTGTAAAAGCACGCAGACTCCCCACAGCAAACGTGAGAAACCAAAGAGCAAATGGAGAAAGGGATCGACACCACGACAACGGAAAACACAACAAACACGTTCATATATGTGGAGGAGTTAATGGTAGTGGACAACGAGCGCAACGCAAGTCTGCGTGAGTGAACCTATTCCACCTTTCCTGGCTGCTACAACCGGACTACTCATCAGCGAGAGCACAAACGAGGTGGACACCTGCACTACTTCCTGTGCCCTTCTCCTCATCGCCCCGCTGTAGAGGACTGGAAAAAAGAGCCAGGCTGGATACTACCTGATGACGCAGCATCCGACTTTCCTTTGCCGATCGCCTCACCGGACAACAACGGTGACGGCGACGACGGCGGTCCACACCGCTGTTGCCGGCCGTCCTCCGCCGCCGTCCGTGCCTGATCGAGCGCAGCGGCCGCCTTCTTTCCCTTGTACGCCACACCGCGCTCCATGTCCGACGGGGCCCACTTCGTCAACTTCACGCCACTCGCCGGCTTCGCGTGGGGGCGGGCGGGGCGGTCGAGAATAGACCGCAGACACTCCTGGAAGGCCTGCGACACCGCCGGGTACGCCGTCAAGCGGCCCGCCAGATCAAAGACTGTCTGTTCATTCTGAATTGCGAGGGCGCCGATGTCGACAAGCGTACTCGCGTTGAGGCCGACGGCCCGCACACCCAAGATGCGCCGCTCCGCGTCATCGGCGACGATGATCTTCACGAAGCCCTCCGTGTTGGCCGCCGCCACGGCACGGCTCACCACCTCGTAGCTGTACCGCGACGCGATGTACGCGATGCCCTTCTCGCGGCACTGCGACTCGTTGTAGCCGACGGAGGCGACGGCGCGGGTGAGAAAGGCGACGCTCGACATCGTCTCGGACAGGTTCGGTGCCACTCTCAGCTCGGTGCCGTAGATGTAGTCGATGGCCAACTTCGCCTGCGCCTCGCCCATGCTGACGAGCTGCATCCGCGTGGCGGCGTCGCCGATGGCGAAGATATGGGGCGTGCCCACGCACTGGCCGAAATCGTTCACATGCAGCTGGTGTCCAAGCGTCTTGAGGCTGGTGTTCTCGATGCCGAGACCGACGTAATTCGGCGCGCGGCCCACCGCCAGCAGCGCGCGGTCCACTTGGAAGGTGGTCAGTGCCTTGGAGGTGCGGTCCATCACCGTATACTGCACGCCGCACTGCGGGCGGGGATCGGCCGGGTGGCGCGCCTCCGCCTCCGCCGGCGTCTCCTCCCACGGCTGCATGTCGTAGAGATCGGAGTTGTGGTGCACCACGACGCCTGCGGCATCCATGCCGCGTCCGATCATGTGGACGATGTCCGGATCCTCGCGGGGCAGGATGTGCGAGGCCTTATCGATGATGGCGACCTTTGTCTTGCCCAGCCGTCCGATGATGCTGGCAAACTCGCAGCCAATCACGCCACCGCCGACAATCACCAGACTCTTCGGCAGCGGCGCCCGCATGATGTGGTCGGACGTCATCACCAGCTTGCCGTCCGCTGCGACGTAGGGGTGCTCCCGCGGCTTGGAGCCGGTGGCGATCACGAAGTAGTCCGCCGTGACACTGCAGTACTCCTTCGCGGCGCTGCTGTGGCACTGGATCTCGTGGTCGTTGCTGAAGGTGGCCTTGCTGCCGATCAGCTCCACATTCGGTGCGGCCTTCAGCGCGGTCAGGATTTGACCCTCGCGGGTTTGGCTCACCTGCGCCATGGAGCGCTTCATTTTGTCCTCGTCGATCTCGAGAAAGCGCGAGAGACTCTCGCCGTAGAGCCGCTGCCCTGTATCGCCGCGCATCTTGCCAAGAATGTTCGAGTACTCCCACATCGTCTTGGACTGCAGCGCACCGTTCCACAAGTCAGCGCCGCCGACGCGCTCCTTCTCCACGAGGCACACCCGTTTGTTGTAGTCCGCCGCGCGCAGGGCGGCTGCGATGCCGGCAGGGCCGGCGCCAATCACGCAGACGTCGAAGTGCGTTTTCGTCCGCGGGGCCGCCGTCCAACCACGAGGCCGCGTCAGACGCGAAAAGCTACGGCACAGCATGACGGCTACGTCACACTGAATCGATAAAACTGATAAGTGATAAAGCTGTGGCACCGCTTTTACATTACCTTTCCTTCGATGTTGTCGGCGGAGGAGTTAAACTGTGGAAATGTGCAACGGCACAACGTGTGCATGCAACGTTAAATTCTTGTTTTGGTGTTTTTAAGGGTGCGTTTGGTAACGCGTGTTGCGGGACGGAGAGAAACAAAAAGGTAAAAGAAAAGTGGAAGAAAGAGCACGACGATGCATGGCGAAATGCTGTGCATCATTGGGGGCCGGATAACAGGAAAGGGACGAGAGAGAAGGCGTCGCTCTTTCCCTGGGAGGCAGAAAAGCCATTGCATCTCTCCCTGCGCTTTTCACCTCACAAAAAAGATGCGTAGGAAGCTTAATAGGCCCCTCTGGTGAGCGGCAGCACGCTGCGTTCATACCAACGAGGCCTTTTCGTTACCTTTCAGATTAAGTGCACCGTTGGAAAACAAAGAACGAAAACTCTTGAAGAAGAAAAAAGAGGAAAGGCTGTGAGCAATCAAGTCCGTTCGCACAAAGGTCTATCTAAAAGTGAGGCGCGCACGCAAAAGAATACAGCAGAAGCAACCAATCAACTCGGTGGTCCTTTGCGGAGTGAGAAACAAGCAACAAGGAATAAAGAAGAGAAAGCTGCTTATATACGTACAAGACCAACAGGCAGAATAAAAGAACAGAGAGTCGATTCGTCCGGCAGGAGAGAAGTCAAAAGTTCCACGTTTAAAGAAAAAGAAAAACAGAAGGCAGACGAAAAGAGTTAAGAGCAACGTGAAGAGTCAGACTGAAAATGAGAGAAGGAGGAAGAGGGAGCACACAGTATAAGAGGAGGAGCGAAACGAAAATGAGGAGGAAAAGGCGGATCATTGTGGAAAAGGAGGGAGGATGCGTGCTGCAGCAACTGCACAGAAGCATACGCCAGAAAAGGAAAACAAGAAAGCGTCGCGGTTGGGGAAAGCGTGTGCGTGTCAGTCGGAACTTCAGAGCACACATTCAAGCCTCCGCAACTTGAAAGAGCGGTTCATTCACCGAGATACAAGACGCTGAAGCGTTAAGAGAAAAGGTACAGTGTGGGGACAGAAATCGGAATATATGAAGAAAGATCGAAAAGGGAAAAACACAAAAGCACAACAAGGACGGAGAAAAAATGCCTTTCAGAATACTAAGAGTTAAGAAGAAAAAGAAAATGTAGAGGAATAATTACGATAGAGATGAAGGTCAAGACAACGAAGCTGAAAATGTGTCGCGTCAGCTCAGTGGATCATGTCAGTCCAAGTCGGCCCTCGCCTCATATGTGTGTTTGTGAAGAAGCGAATTTAAAGGACAAAGAAAGAAGAAGAACATCCATTATGCGTGTTCGCCGTCTTTGTGCAAACATACGTGAATGATACTGCTCAAAGAGACTGTTGGGGTGGTGCTGCTGCTTTTCCTTCTCCATGCGTTTTACGATGAAGATTGTGTCCCACAAACCACAAACAGTTGCGAACGGCAAAAGGGTCGTAAGAAAATATTAACGGAGAAAGAAAAAAAATATATAAAAGCTCAAAGACTATTTATTGCTCCTGAAAGAAGCTTATCTTTATTGAAACAAGAACAAAAACATCTTGTGAGATCATGCTTGACGAGTACCATGCTGGAGAGAGGCGGCGGAGCATCGGAGCGGCACGTCGAACCGCATCCGCCGACACTCTGCGAAGAATCACTTTCCTCTCTTTTCGAGTACGCATCGGCCACTTTGACGACTTTTTTTAGGTGCCACATCAAAACTTTCTTTATTCAGTTGTGTCTCTTCCGCTGCGCTTCCTCAGAAAGAACAAAAGAAAAGAAAAGCGCCAACTGCTGTGAACGACGGCGGAGGGGGAGGCAACAGACGAGTCACCCCAGAAGCGAAAGGACACCGGAAGAGAGCACTGCAAGGGAGAAAAGAAAAGGGCAATAAAGAGACAACCATGCTGTCAGACAGCACATATTCGGCCGCTTCTTCTTCTCTGAAAGCGCATCATCACCGCGCGTGAGGTGCGGAGACGACGGTCGGCGCTCTCATCGTTTCTCTCGTTTCGGCGACTTCGTGAAGGCTGTCGGACTGTTGTCTTTCTTCTGCATGCGTTCGATGACGGCCTTCACGTTCTCCACGGTGAGATCATCCTCGCCGCTGTCGCTTTCCTGTTGACAGAACAGCTGCGGCGAGATGTCTTGCTTGACGAAGCACGGCAGCGGTAATGCGCTGTGACGACGCTCCGAGGTGGATTTCTGGGTCTCTCGCGGTCCGCGTGGGGTGTCCCAGCACGGATGGCCACTGTTTCCTCCAGTGACCCCGTTCGTGACGGAGTGCCGGATGGTACTCGATTTGAGTAGAATGCTGGCAGGTGAGGCGGTGGGGCTCGCGGATGTGGAGTGAGTATCAGGGTTGGAGAGGAGGAAGACGCCGTCGCTGCCGTTGCCGCGACGCTGCGTGCGCGTGGGGTCGAAGCTCGAGTTGAGGCTCAGCGGGTGGAACAAACTCTCGTGCAGCTCCTCCCCGCTGTGGCGCACGAATGGGTTCGGCGGCCGTGATGGCGGAGGGGGGCTGTCGGAGCGGAGCGAGAACGACCGGTTGCTCAGGTCGGAGTTTCGATCCCCTCCGACACGACCCGGGTCGTCCTGTCGACAGTGCGGGGTGCCACTCCTCGGTGTCCTCATCCTCTCTCCATCAACAGAATGACGAGGGTAGCCGCCGTTAGCACCGTCGCCACTCACCGCCGCATCCTTCACCATCCCAACGCCGTCGCCGTCGTCGTCGCTTTGAGAGGGCAGAAATCGCACGCCAGAGCGGCGCATCGTGTCCCGCAGCGCTATGGTCGAAGTCGCCATGGCGTCACCTGCCACCGCAGCACCGGCCATTGGATCATAGCTGTGGGGCGAACTCCCCAGACGGCGTCCGGCGGGCTTCGAGTGCGAGTTTGGTGTCCGCTGGTTCGGCTGCGGCGGCAAACTTCTATTCGAGAGCAGGTACGAGTTCGATCCCGCAAGGGCGCTTTCATCGGCCACATTCAGCGACGTCAGCCGGACCCGATCGAGACGAGTGCCTCGAATGTGAGGGCTATTGACGTTGTTAGAGAAAGAGAGGTTGCTTGTTTTGCGGGTACGATGGGCTTTGCTGTGTGCCGTTGCCGCAGCGGGGTGCGTCTCACTGCTCACAAGGATAGAGCTGGGCGGGGGAGGGAGAAGGGACTGCAGCAGCAACGAGTGTTCCCCGTCCTGTGACGTGTTTCGCGTGCGGGTGCGGTGCTCGCTAACAGGTGTCGTTGGTGTCTGCGCCGCGGACTCCGATACGACGTGAAGAGGTGGGAACTGCACCGCTTCTTGCACAGCAGAAGAAGCGCTGCGCTGCCTTGCGGCACTGTTGCCCTGCAGGGCCACAGATGAGCCGCACTCACCACACACGAGAAACACATTCATTGTCGCCGTCTTTTGAATCGAAGTGCGGGTACGGGCACGGTGGCAGGTTTAGCCCTCGTATCTCGCGGACGGCATACGTAGCGCTCCACGCTCTCACAGCGGGTGCTTCGGGGCGGCTTTCACGCAAGAAAATGTATGGAGTAAAAACCGCAGCGCTTTTCTTTTCATAACACGCATGCAGCTTTGCCAGCACTCGTTTTAGCAGAAAGAGAATTTTTGGTTGCTGTTGTGCGGCGAGTACTCTAGCAAACGTATCTACTGTTGACGGAGAGAGTCCATTGATGGAAGGGTCCCTAACGCGTCAACAGGCTAGCAGAAGGAGGAGAGTTGCAAGCAGACGCACACGGAGATGCTCGTAAAAATGTGCAAGAAGAAGCACTCGTTGCAATCAGCGGAGAGACGCACCACGCAAAAGAGGCAACAGGGTGGGAAGAGCAGGAAAAGAAAGTGTGAAGAGGAGTTCCAGGAGAAACGATAACAGTAATGCGCGGACGGAGCGCGAAGATCGTGACGACACTAAACTCGCCGGCATAGTAATAACCGTTGAAGCGCTGCAACTACCACAAGAAGAGCACCAGAAAACAACAAAAGGGAGGGGAGGGAAAGGAAAACAGAACACCCTTCTCCTCTCTCTCCTCTCTGTTAACGCTCTTATTGAAGAACGCGTTTCTTTGTTATCTACGTTGCAATGGAGAAAGGACTCGTTCACTCGTTTGGCGGGGCTCCGCTCTTTATTTCTCCCTGTCATCGTTTTAATTCGTGGGTCTTTCGTCTGATCGCTCAGTCACTTCACACCGCAGCGGATAAACAGAAGAAGAAAAAACAAGAAGAGGATTGATAGGCCGGGGGTGGCTTTAGGTTCTTTGCTTCGCTAAATAGGTCAAGGATGAAAGCTAAAAAAGGGGGAAAGAAAGAAAGAAGTCGTCTCAAGAAAAAGAATCACGGAACCACAAAAGAAAGGTCGAGGACTACACAACAACAAACAAATAACTGTTTGAAGGCTATTAGTTCTCTATCGTTTTCAGGGGAGAGAAAAAGAAACGTAAAAGCTGCTTAGAGCGCACGCCGACGAGGACTTTCGTTCTCTGCGATAAGCCGGGGGGCCGCAGTTTGAGCCAAAGAAGAGAAGAATAAACCATGCGTAGCAAAGGGCGGGCATGAGAACAGCGGCTACAGTTTTAAGAGCGTCGGAATTGTCAGCACAAAGAAAGAAAACACCACAACGAAGAACTACAACACGGTGCTCTTGTATTATGTACAGGCCACTCAATGCCGTTACGGCGGAGCCTTGTCATCTTTAATCATTGAAGTAAGAATAAATAACGTGCGAGACGGGCACTTAAGGGAAAGGACGAGAAATAGAGAGCTCAGCAAAAACAAACACATGACAGGATTGCCGTTTACAACACCTTTGCCGCTCTCCATTCGTTTCGATCTGTAACTACTACAACGCTTTAAATAGAAGAAAACACAAGGAATAGTTAAAAGGCGAGAATGGCAGGAACGAATTTCCGTTAGCGTTCCTGCAAGACAAGAAAAAGACACTGTCGCTATTGGGACACCACACTTTCCTGAGCGACGCCACAAGGAACCTGCGACGGAAACTGCCTGTCCCCCTCTGCTTACATCTTCGAGAAATCCACGGCGCTCTCGCCCGTCACACGAGCCACCAAGTCTCTCGTGAAGTTGCTGCTCTTCTCCAACAGTTGCACCTCCGTGTACTCGTTCGCCAGGTGGGCACCAAAGCCACCCGGTCCCACAATCACCGTCGGAATCGACAGGTCATCCTCAAAGAAGCCGCTTTCCGTGCCACCGCCGGCTTTGCGGATCTTCGAGTCCTGCAGCATCTCACGCACCATCTTAATGAACGGGTGCTTCTCGTTGGCGTTGTACGCCGGGGCAAACCAGTCCGGCTTCAGGTCCACAGAGGCCTCCGCATACTCCTTGCGCATCGCAGGCAGGATCTCGCGGTTGATGTACTCCTGCACCTCCGTCTCCACACGCTTCGCCACACTCGTCTCCGTCACGCGAACGCTGAAGGTGAACTCGCACTCCGCCGGCACCGTGTTCACCGCATTGCCGCCTTTGATAAGGCCCACGGACATGCACGAGAAAGGACAGGTGTAATTAGGGTCGTGCTTCCCGTTCTTCTTGAGATCCTCGGCAATCTTACGGATCTTCGCGACGATCTGCGCGGCGTACTCGATGGCGTTGCAGCTCGTGTTCATCAGTGCCATGGAGGAGTGGATCGCCTTGCCGTGCACCACCACCTTCCACGAGCTGAAACCCTTGTTGCCTGTGCAAACTTTGAAGCCGCCATCACCGACGAGGCAGCAGTCCGCCTTGAAGCCCTTCTCCTTCAGCCAGTTCGTCATGAAAGGCACACCCGCACAGCCCACCTCCTCATCAAACGAGAAGGCGAAGTGGATCGGCTTGACGCGCTTCATCTTCATGAACGTTGGTGTCAACGCTAGACAGACAGCAATGAAGCCTTTCATGTCGCACGTGCCGCGGCCGTACAGCTTGCCGTCCTTCTCCACCACCACGAAGGGGTCGGAGTCCCACTTCTGCCCCTCCACCGGCACCACGTCCGTGTGGCCGGACATCACGATGCCGCCCTGCGTGGCGCCGTTGCTCCCCGGCAGCGTGGCGAAGAGGTTCGCGTGTGTCTTGGCGGGGTTGTAGATGTACGTCGACTCGATGCCGAAGGTCTTGAGGTAGCCCTTGACGTAATCCATGAGGGGGAGGTTAGAGTTGGAGGAGATGGTGTTGAAGCTGACGAGTTTGGCCAGCCACTCCTTGTGCGTCTTGGGGTAATCAGACATGATCAGTAAACGGAGAGTTGTGTGACTTACAAAATACGTATGTGCGTTTAGTGAGCACGGTGGACGGAAGCGACGATAGGAAAGTCTGCGGAGTCTGCTACTCTGCATCCACTAAAAAAAAAAACCCGTTCAGAGAGAGAAGCGCAGAAGGGAGAGGTGACCGTAGGAGGCATTCAGTGCGCTCACGGTGCGCTACATTGCGAGCACAATGTTCATGTGAGTACGTCAGACAAGAAAGCAAACCGCCAAACATTCAAAAAAAAAACCCGGAGGGCTGCTTCAGCACGATGAGACACCACCAACATGCAAGGGTTTCATCTCTGCATGTATTCGCACCCCCATGCCAGCCGTCCGTCAATGCCTCCACAATGCGATGGTAACGAGACGCAAAAAGCTGTCCGATCCTGCTGTGCGGTTAGAGGATCAGACAGGCGAAGAAGGGAAAAAAGTATTTTAAAAATCTCCACTGCTTCGCCTCTCGTAGCATAAAAAAGCCGAAAACGTCGTTAAGACGTTTTTTCAACTTTAGATTAGTTCCTTTGTAGACTGCCCACACAAGTCGGTGGCTGGGCGACACGCACGTACATATATGATTTTCTTTCTATTCATATCTTCCCCCGTCGAGCAACGCAAGAGAGAAAAGATTTTATTCAAAGAAAATACACAAATAAGCAAATCACATCAGAGAAGAATGAAAAGAAACAAGAAACAAGAAACACGGATTCACAAGAAAGGTCACTGCCGCCTCGGTTGTCTGATACACATGTCTTGAGGCAGCAGTTGTTCGCCAACTTCCCAGCTCCAGCCAGTCCCACTGGAGACAATACATCGCATTGGTCAAAAGAGACACACACATACGCACACAGCGAAACAAGAGAAATATATTGTTGGAAAAAAGGCAGCATGATAGTTCAAATGGGTGAAAGAGGAATGATACAGAAGCACATATATTGTTTTCTTAGAATGTGTACTGACGAGAAAGATGGCGGAGTCATTGGCGAAAAATGCTGTAAAAGATAACAGAGCGAGCAGAGGAACAGTTCCAACGGGGAAGATAAAACACATAAGGCTCTGGAGTCACGCAACACGCTTCGTTGCGCCACCTCTGCCCGGAAACGAAAGAGAAGAAATGAGGACGAGTGGGAAATAAAAGGGAAAGGCACAACCTATTGTACTCGCCCCTAAGCGCTGCAGCTTTTTGCACACATAGGCATTTGGATTAGGGAGAGAACACAATACATTGCTTACCATGTTGTCGCAGGGACCTTACGGCGGAGGAGGATAGCCTCAGTCATCCGAATTCTCTCCCGACCTCCACGAGTAGTTGTGACCTACGGGATCGTCCAGAGGCGGCGGCACTTCCGCCTCCCTTATACTAGACGAAGACGCCGCCTGCGCTGACAGCCGGGACTGCGAATAATGCAGGGCACAGGCAGCTCCACCGTATTCACCAAAGGCAGCTTCACCGTATTCACCAAAGGCAGCTTCACCGTATTCACCAAAGTCAGCGGCCGCGCTATGTCGGCGGCTGTTTGCCGGCTCGGTGGGCGGGTGGAGACGGTAGAGCACCGGCCTATTCATCTCCTGCGGGCGCGGGGCACAGTTCCCGCCGCCCTCGGCGTTGGGGGCAGCGGTGCTCTCGCTGTACTTGCGGACGTTCAGCGGCACCGCGACGACGCGGGCGGCGGCGGCGGAGGATCCAACCCGAGGAGCCGCGATGGTATCCGCATCGTTCGTGAACTCGGTGTCGTCTTCTTTCACCACCGTTTGTGCTTCCGACACGTCAGACTGGGAAGTATCCGGTGAGTGTTCCAGTGGGGTGAAGTGGATGAGCTGGTGGTACCACTGCCGGGGCTCTGGCGCTGCCGCCGTGGATGCCGACCTGCTGCGGCGCCGCACCTTCTTGTTGAAGAGGTTGCTCAGCTTGGTGAGCGCGGCACGCGAGCCGTATGACGACGGCGGCGGCGACGACGACGATGCAGGATGGGGATCGAGGAATATTTTTGGAGTCTCGTAGAGCCCGAGTCCCGGCGACACCCGCTTCTCGCGAGGGATGATGGTGCCATCGCGCTCGATGGTTGGGATGACGCACATCGGCTGCGGGCCGCGCAGCACCGGCGGACGGCCCGTCCACGGCACCAAACCGTTTACCTGATAAGGGCAGTTGCTGCGTCGGTTAACGTGCGCCGGATCTCCCGCCACCAGCGGCATCGCCCGCACCGAGGCGAACGGCGAGGTGAGAGAGAGGGGGTTGGGGCACCGCGTCGCGCCGGCACCGTTGGAAAGCGAAGAACCGTCTCGCTTTGACGATGATGCCTCCTTCCCTCCGGAGTACGTGGGGTAGTTGCTGGCCAGTTCCGTGTCCCTGTCGGTGAGAGACGCAGGGGCGGCGAAACACACCTTGCCGGTGCAGCGGCACCACAGCACGACGGCGACGGCCGCCAGTGCCGCGACGGGCAGGACGACCACTAGCGCAATCCACCACTTCGACTTGGACGACGTCGTCGTGTTATCTGGCGGGGACGCGGTGGTGGTGGTCGACGTGGTCGTGCTCGTCGTCGTAGTCGTGGTCGTGGATGCCTCTGTAGAGGACGCCGCTGAAGAAGACGGCTTCGAAGAAGACGCCTTGGAAGAAGATGTCTTGGAAGAAGATGTCTTGGAAGAAGACGCCTTCGTAGAGGATGCCGCTGTAGAGGACGCTGCCGTAGAGGATGCCGCCGTAGAGGACGCCTTCGTAGAGGAAGCCGCCGTAGAGGACGCCTTCGTAGAGGATGCCGCTGTAGAGGACGCCTTCGTAGAGGATGCCGCTGTAGAGGACGCTGCCGTAGAGGATGCCGCCGTAGAGGACGCCTTGGTAGAGGATGCCGCTGTAGAGGACGCCTTGGTAGAGGATGCCGCCGTAGAGGACGTGACTTCAAGAACCTCCTCCCCAGCCTCGATCGGCGCTCTCTCGATTGCCGCCAGTTCTTTTAGTAGAGCGGCCGAGACGGAGACACTACGCGCCCCGTTTAACTCCCATGACCGTGGAGCATGCCACCCACTCTCCCATTCCTTACCCGACCGCCCATTTACAGTCGGCAGCTGTGGTGGTCGCCGTTGCTCTCCAACAGCATCTGCAATGGAGGTGGCCGACTTAGGCACAAGACAAAGCAGCAGCAAAATTACCAAGCCCATCGCAGTGCACCGCACCAGCATCGACCCTTTAGGCGGCTGCGCTTGTCGAGACACCACGGACGTTGTTCTGCTCATTGAGAATTTGAAACGACTCCTGCGTGTGGGGAACGTAAGAAACCACAAAACAGATGAAGTCGACTTATGCTAGCGCCGCTCCAAGCGTGTTTCCTTCTCTCTCTTTCGGGGCGGTGCAGTAGCGGATGGATTTGTTTGGTGCTTTCTCCACCGATTGCGAAATGGACACGAAGGCGAATCAACGAGGAGAGGTGAAGAAGGGTGCCACAACGTACCGACAGAGTGAAGAAAACACGCGACATTGTCTGAGGGCCGATGCAAACATCAGCAGCAGCAACCGCCACGACAGAAGAGTGCTTCAACGATGAAGAACCTCCACGCTCGGGCGACGAGCGTTAGAGAACCAAAACAAAGGTAGAAAGACGCCTCCAACCGATTCTCCGTTTCTTATGAATTCGATGATCAAAACACTAGATTTTTTCTTCGCACCTTTTCACAGTTTTGAGCAGTGTAAAACCGATGGTGTTAACACTCCGAAGCGCTACAAAGCACGGTGCATCTCATTCGGTAATACAAAATGCGTTGACCTTCCTCTGTCTTAGCAGAGCTTACCACGTCCATGTATGAGTCCTTTGCACATGCCCAATTGTTTTTGTTGGGGCAAACGCTCAAAATGAAAAATAAAAATAGTGAACAAGAATATATATATATATATATCTACGTTGCTACTGTTTGCAAACCCGACCGGCAGCCGCGAGCACAGTTGCGAACGCCGTCCGTTACGTATCTAAGAGAAGCAGCGATGCATACTACTTACGAGGCCACTATCGGACAGTCGTGCCTTTGCCTTCCAGTTCCATTTGCGGAAATGCAGTAATGTGCGAGCGTGATGAGAGAAAACAAAATAAAAGCAGAAGGAGAAGAAAGGGCTACGACTGGATCACTACTACCCGCTTGCGTCGGGCACACAAGCTCGCCATGACGCTCTCCGCGTCCTCTGGGCGTCGCAGGGCCTCCGTGCAGCCCCTCACCATCACCTGTCGCAGCTGCGGAAGCTGCAGCAACACGCCGAAGTTGGCGAGTTGACGGCAAAAGCTTACGTCGAGCCACATCAACGCCGGCGCCCCAGCAAGGCCATCGAGACTGCGTACGCGAGTCCCGGTGAGGCTGAGCTGTCGAAGACGCACACAACGCCCAAGCAGACCGCAGTCCTCGAGCTGGGTGCACTGGGCGAGAAGAAGCTTCTCCAGAGACCCGGAGTAGCGCAGTCCGTCGACGTGCCGTACGCCGCTCCCCGACGCGTCCAGCTCCAGCAGTCGCGGCGCCAGCCCCAGCGGACCCACATCAATGAGCTGCGCGCACGCGGCCACCTCGACCACTTCCAGCGACACGCAGTACTGCAGGGCGGCCACAGAGGTCAAGGTGGAGCTGGAGGCGTGCAGGATGCGCAGACTGGACACCGAGGACAGGGCCGCGAGGACCGACACATCGCAGTACCGCATCCCCAGCCGCACCAGACTGCGGCTCTCCTGCAGCCCCTCCACCACCTCCACGGTGCTCTCGGAGATGAAGAGGTCCCGCAGGGTCGGGATGCGGCCACAGGCACTCACGTCGGTCAGGTTCAGACAGCCGTAGAGGCTGAGCGAAACAAGGGTGGAGCTGCGCGCCAGCCCGTCTACGTCGTAGATGCCGCTCTGCGATGCCACAATCTCACGCAATGCGGGGGCCAGGCCGAGGGGGGACAGACTGCTCAGCTGCGCACAGCCCGTCAGCGTGACCTTCTCGAGCAGCGGAAACGCCTCCACGCCGCTCAGCGACGCGACAGCCGAGCTCGACAGGTCCAACACGCGGAGGTGCGGCTGCACGGAGGTGAAGGAGAGGGAGAGGACGCTGGCGCTACCCCCGGTGGCCGCGCTGAGAGCCGGCAGCGGCGTCGTACCACGCGCAACGGCGTTGGCGGCACTCATCGCCTCTGCGGACGCCTGTCCGACGCGGCCGCGGCACTTCAGCGTGTGGACGTGGCGAAAGGCCCGTCGCCCTCGCGACACAGAAAAAAGTGACGCTTCCATCTTCGACATATCGCTTTGGCTCGTTGCTTTCTTTAGTGTTGTGGGGCAGTGAACAGCGGAGATGGGATGCAGGTCCGGTGACAGCATCCACTCGGCGAGCGCAATCGGGAAGCGCTCCATCGCGAGCTCCGTCAGCGCGCACCGCCGCTCGCACCACAGCTGATCCATGAGCGTCACAAAGCGGAGCACCGTCACCTGCAGCTCAGCATCTAGAGGAGCTAAAAGCGTCCTTTTCCTGCTATCACCGCAGCTGTCGGTCTGGTGTGCTGCGGAAAGGGGGTGCCGCACCCATCCCCACACACGCGCCGTCCACACAGCCCGCGCGCTGAATGCCTCGCGTATTTGTGGTGCAGCGGTTGGCACCGCTACTCGTGGTGCCACCACCTCCACGCATAGCGGCAGGCAGGCGTGATACCGATCGTGGGGTACATGCATCGAAGCCTCACCGGCGCCTCTCGTCTGACCGCTCTCCCCGATTTCAGACAGCGCCTCGTCGTCGTCGAGGTCGCTTGTCGCCGGGCTAAAGACGGTGCCCATTCCATGAAGTCCCGCCGGTGTGATCCGGCCGTACCACCACGCCGAGCGCCGCATTGCCCGTGTGAGACCTGCCAGCGAGGTGCCGTGGACTTTGCGGGTGTGCGGCAGACGCGCCTCCCCCCACAACAGGCGCCCACCCATCCGCGAGCATCGTCGCATCGCGGGGGGCGACTCGTGCGCCTGCACCGGCGGTGACGACCACCGCGTCGGCGGTGCAAAAGACCCGGCGTAGACACCAGAGGAAGCAGCAGCAGCGGCGGGATTATTAATGGACGAGGCGGACAATGAGGGAGCGGCGCGCACGCAGCAGGCAGCGCCTGGGAAGTAAAAGATGGACGTCAGCTCGCCGGCCAGACGAAGACGCGGGCCGGCAGCGGCGACCGCCAGCGGCAACGGTGCGAACTCGAGCCGGTATTCCAATATGGACTGCAAGGTGGTGGTGCAGAGGTACGTCGGGAGATTGCCAATGTCTTCCTCCTCTGCCACCTCCGACTCGCTTTCCATACACGCACCCGTGTCATCGCGAAGCCTTGCTGTGGAGCTGCTCAACATGCGATGGGCGTGGGCCTGTTGTTGTCGCCGGACAACACGCCGCACGACATCGTTCTCGAGTCCCGCCGTGCGATCGCCTCCGTGGAGGTCCGGCACGAGACGCGCAAACGGGCTGCCCTCGCTTCCGTAGGCGTCCACGTAGCGTTCGCCGTCGTTGTCCAGCGTCAGCACTTCATTTTCGTTGTTGCCGAACAGCCACACACCCAACGAGATCAGCGGACGCAGAAAGCCGTTGTTCCAGAAAAAGAGCATTTCCCAGAAATACGCTATCCTTCGCTCTCGGTGTGCATCGGGGCGGGAGGCAGCAATGGCGAACCGGAGTAGTCAATTGGAGGAGGAGGAAGGAAAAGGAAAGGGGGAAAGGAGAAAGAAGCGAGCGCAACGCAATGAGAATGATTACCTTAACGGGCCATGGGGAGGAAAACGAAAGGAGAGCAGAGCACCTCTCTTCAGCGTCGTGTGAAAAGCATGCATTGGTGGCACGGCGCAGGCAGCCTTCGAGAGCCCCCTCGCTGAACGGGAGAACCGTGTGATGAACAGTGTCCGATACCTGTCCGCTGCACGCGGCGAGCTCGGAGGACGCAGCCTTGCCCTGAGTGGAAAGATGCGTCTCTGCCCTTTCCTTGAGCTTCAACGGCCACATGACGAAGCAAAATGAGAAAAGACACGCCTTGCTGCTCAGACCGCTCGCAGTTTGCAGCAATGACAAGTACACGTCTTTCCTCTTTGCATGTTGCGTCCCTTTCTCTTTTGAAATAACGCATGAACACAACAAACGAGTACCCATAAAAAATATAATAAACGTTTTCATTCGAACACATGAAGCAACAAACAAAGAAGAAGCACGCGTATATTAAAATAGGATTTGTCCATACGGCTTCCACACGCCCGCGAAGATGAAACAAAGAAAAAGGGAGGGCAGTCACCACGCTGGAAAAGACGCCCTTTTTGTGCCTTCGAAGGACGGTGTGAAGAAGAAAGGAGAGAGAGAAAGAAAGAGAGAGAAGCCCACCTGCCAAACTCCGTAACGTGCAAAAGCGTTGGCGTCAGTGCGGAGGGGATAAAGAGGGAGGGACAAAAAAATAATAAAGTAGATAAAACTTCCACAAACCCAGTCCACGCACTTTCTCGCACGTGTGTCTTTGGGGGAGAGAGGAGGAAAACAAATATATATATATTCAGACAACCGAGATCAAAGGAAAAAAGACCTTGACCAGCCGAGAGCAAAGAACCAAAAAAAAAACCATTTGAAAAGAAATGCTACGCACATGAGCAAGCGACACCAAACGTAATGAAATATATAGATAGCTACATTTATATGCAAATATAAACGTGAGAATGCACAAGGGGGAGGGGAGGAAAACAGAAAGATGATTCACAGATGCCAATACGAAAAGAAGAAAAGCTAGAGTCCGTGAGCAATCGAAATAAAAAAAAATACAGTCAATCTTCGAAGGAGGCAGCCCCTAAAAAAATGATAAGGAAGAAACGGAAGGAGGAGGAATAGTTCAAGAAAACAATAAAGAGGTGTGTTGAACCGGACCATGAAAAGTCAACTGGGCAATTCAGTGAAGTCGAAGCGCAACACACGCGTCACGGCGAAATACATCAAGCTATAACATTATAAAGAGAGAATACAATATATATATATATATATATATATTTCCCGTGAACAAATAGTCTTCCATCGGGCAGTGCATTGAACAGCTGAAATCGCTCTTACACGGTTCAAAGCGCCTTCTTGGAATCAAAAAAGTGTACTGTGAAGAAAGAAAAAGAAAGTATGATAGCAGACACGCTGACAGTTAGACAGATACACCCGACCAAGGTAATACAACGATGGAAAACAATTTAAAAAACTGCCTTGTTACATTCCTTTTCTTCTTGTTTCGGAGGACAACAAACAAAGGTTGCAGGTAAAACGAGTACTCCGTTCCAAGAAAAAGGCGGTATCACGCAGTCATCATTGTCGTTCCCAGCAGTACTTGATAAAAGGAGAATACCACTTGTGTACATAGAGCAGAAAGAAGAAGTACATTATCAGATGTTATGGGTTAGAAAAGTACAGATAGATCATTCAAACAGGAATAGGAGAAAAAGGAGTACGGTACGCGAGAGGCGTAGCAGCTGTACGAAGGCGACCACTTAGGAAACGGAAAATAGAGAACAAGAGAACGCTTGGCAGGTGCGGGTCCTACGACAGCCGTATTTCGCCGCCGAAGGATACAAAGGACCCTCTGCGATGGCGTCTGCTAAGGGGTTTCACGATCTTGAGTTCGGTGGGAGGGGGGGAGAGGGGCCGCTGTTTCGCCGCGGCAGTCGTCAGCGGTGCCGCCTCGCCACCGCTGTTTGAGTCTCTCCGGCTGACCGGTGTCGCGATGAAGAACATGCCGTAGCCGTTCTCGTACGCGAAGCTGGACTCCTCGTTGTCTGCCGTATCGATCGAGACGCTCTGAAAACACTCGACTCCCGGTTCACTGAGCAGGTTCGCGTCCATCACCCCCGTGAAGACCGCGTCGCTGTGGCCAGTGGAGTTCGACTCCGGCGCAGTGGCCGGTGACGGCAACGCGGCTGTCGATGTGGGGAGCGGCGGCGGCGGCGGCGGTTGAGGAACAGCCGCGGTGGCGGTCGTGGTGGCGGTGGTGGTGGTTGGGGCGGTAGCGGTGGTGATCGGTGGTTGAACGACGGGCTCGGCGACCGCCTTCTCCGCTGTTGGTGGCACTGCCTTGTCCGTCGCAGCGGATTCAGGTGCTGCCGCCTCCGCTGCCAACGGCTCACTGTCGCGACGGACACTGCGCATGCGACACGTCGGTGCGGGCGGGGTAGTCGGCTCCAGCGGCGGCAGCACCTGCGAGGAATCGAGCGATTTTAACGGGTTATCCGGCGGCGTTGGGACGTCCACGATACTTTTCCTGTGCTTGTGTTTGCGCGACGCCGTCGTTGACCGGTGCGCACAGGAGTGGTGGGCGGCCCCCTCGCATGCGTTCCGCTTCACCGCATTGTGTGCTCGCTGTGCACGCTGCTGCCGCGAAGAAAGCGTCGACGCCGACGTCGAGGACGCGTCATCCACCACGTCCTTCGTCGCCACGGTGTGTAGTACGAACGGCCTTTTGCGTGCCGAAGGAGCAGCAGAGACGGCAGTGGCAGCGTTAGTGGCGTTAAGCTCCACCTCCTGCTGTCGGTTCTGTTCATCGGCCGGACTGCGCACGCGTGGGCTTGTCAACCCCGCACGGGAGTGCGCGCGGCGCTTGCTGGCTATATTCTGTCGTCGGAAGCTCGCGGCACGGGTGTGGCGCGGCCTGGAGGGACGCTGGGCAGCAGAGCCGAGCTCCGTCGCCGCAAGCGGGCGCACCGCGGAAAGGGAGGCGGACTTCTTCTCAGGTGATATCGACACGGCATTTTGGCTCGATGTGCCGCTGTGGGAGGGGCCGCGCACGCTGCAGACGCTGCCCATTGTCTTCTTGATTGTTTGTGGGCTTCCTTCAGCTGTGCTCAATTGGTATTCGACGGTGCAAATAAGCCGTGTGCTGGCAGTTGTGGATGCACTACCTGGGGCGGGGGTCTACGGGCGGCGATCGGCGCTGCTTGGAATTTGCACAGACGCCACCAACACGTGAAAGCTGTAGGGTTTCTTTCTTTTCCTTTACCCACCTGTTGGGTGTATTCCTTCAACGATCCGACAAACAGACTATGAATTGTCTGTATGCGGTCCCCCCTACGCAGTCTATATCCCCCCTCTCTCTCTTTCCGAAACCGGAAAAAAAAAGATAGACCTTATTGGTGTTACTTTCCCTAGCTTTCGTCTGTCAACGAGTACCCACAATGTCGTTGTGCGGCACAGTGCAGAGTGCTGCTGAAAGACGACGAAATAATTAAAAAAAAGAGTATCGGCCGAAAAGGAAAGCTGAAAGACTAGCTGCTTTCCGACACGGCCAGACACACACGTACGCACACACACACACACACAAACTGCGACTGAATGAAATGGGATTATCGTCAGATTGGATTACTATTATTATCAAAAACGCCGTTCTTTTGACACTAGTGACCAGACAACAAAGCAGATAGCGTATGTATAGGAAGGAACCCCAGTCGACAGAGTACGGAGAGACGGGAGCGCTTCACCTATTATCGGTCAGGCGTCACTTCAACGGCTTTCCCCCTTTCTCAGTGCCCGAGCAAAGATGAAAAGAAAAAGAAGGCAAGGACAAAGCCTCTGGCACAGAAAGGCTGCGTTGGAGAAGCCGTCCCATGCAACGACACATACGGAAAAGAAGTTGTGGTGTGCGACGTGTTGCGGGTGGGGGCGAGAGATGGGGAGGAAAAGTAAAAGAGATTGGCACCAACGAGAAATGGAGCAGGCAGAAGGACGCAACAAATCATGCGGCGGAGAAGCGGAGGCCACACATCAGCGGCGCAGGTGAGGAGGTGGGCTTTGCGTTTGGAAGGCCGCCGACGCACTGGACAAAGCCCGAGCGATTCAGCGAAGGAAGCACCACCGAGCACTGACCTTCCACGCCCGTCACAACAAACCGCTAAAAGCGGCCTACGCAGCAGCACAGCAAGGCCCGAAGCGCTTTCCCTTCCATGAAAGCCTGTTTGGAAACACCGTTATTACTACAGCAGTGAGTTCAAAGATGAGCTCCAGCTGTACGACTTTTATTAGCAGTACCGTAAGTTCAGCGTACACGATTTTTGTTGTTGATCACTCCCAGCCAGACAATGCAGAAATCCATTTCAATCAACAGCAATGTAGAATTAGAGAGCACCGTCCATTCATGAAGATAAATATATATAACGCATTGTACACATATTGCCCAAGTCACCGATATCAGACAAGCAGAAACAAGGAAAAACAAAAGAAGTAAACATCAGGTCGTGCTAAGCTAAGAAAACATAACAAAAAAACAAAGGATGTGTTGCTTTGAAAAAGCCCTGAGAATCGAGGCGGAGTACCCGAGACTAAATACTGCGTGTTCCTGCGTCTACGGTCATCAAGAGAGAGAGGGAAGCGTTGTTCCTCTTCCTCAACTGGCTGGACAACTGCGACAAAAGGGGAAGCTTTCCTTCGTGCCTCACAGGCAACAGCAGAAAAGGAAAAAGAAAAGGAAAAAAACGTGCTCCACTGCGCACAGGCTCGTGAATGCGCTAGCGAGCGACGTAAGAGGAGGTGCCGAATACACACATAGAAGCGCAGCAAAAAAAAAGCCCGGAGAAAGAAGTAGAAAAACGAGGATTCCAATATAGTGGAAAGAGCCGGTGAGTCCAAAAGACGCGTGAGGCTAAAAGAAAAAAAATCCAAACTAAAAAAGAAAAAAGAAGAGGCTTCGAACGAAAGGAAAGGGGGGAAGCGGGAAGCGGACGCAATGATTCCGGTCGACCATTCCTTTTCTGTTCGTTAGAGACATACACATAGCGATCGGCAAACGTTTTCCAGAAACAATCAAAAAAAAAGGCAATGTCAGGCACGTTGGATCCGTCAATGCTTACTATGCGAGGACTTCACAAAAGTGCCAAATGCCGGATCAGAGGTGTTGGAGTGCCGCATGAGGTGCAGTCGCAGACTCTCATCATGCGAGAGACCCATCTCCATGAGAGAAGAAACACTGCGATGCCGCCGCACTCGTTTCTTCGGACTCTCGCCGCTCCTCACGGCGGCAAAGAAGTCCTCCGGCGGCGCAGAGCGTTCCAAGACGTTCATGCTGAACAAAGATGAGGTCCCTTCAGTGGACGCGGCAGGGGTGCCTGCTGCCGCCTCTGCAGCCGCCCTGTCCGAGGGAGGCAGTGGACTAAGCGAGGGGGATCGATTCACCACATTCGCCGCCTCCCCCTCCTCCGCCCAATCTTTCCATACAGAGACGGGGTTGAAGTCAAGGGTTGACTCTGCGTATGAGCCGCCACACGACGGTGCCGCGCCTACTTCGGCCTCGCTCTCAAACGATAAGATCTGCGACGGCACTGATGTACGGCGCTCTCTGTGCACCGGCGAGGTGGTATGCGCTTTTACTTGTAGTGGGTTCTGAATGCACTCACGACTTGAGCGGCGAGGGCAACAGCGCCAGACGAGGCATAAAACACCCACAATCAGACCCACTACCACGGCAGACCCGATGAACCCAATAAGAACCAGCATCCACCACTCCCATTGTAAGCCATTTGCGGTGTCATCGCTGCTGCTGAATGCGCCTTCCATGTTCGCTGCTATGCGAGTTTACAGACGTTTCGAGACGTCAATACAACTTGGATCGGGTGCGTTGTGGCGCTGATTTTCGAAGTTGATACCTTCGAGTTGCTTTCTAAAGGATTCGAAACCGGACGCGGAGACAATAATAACAAAATAGAAGGCACAGTTCACCTGCAGCCGAGCGGAGCAGGAATCGTTTGTTTCGATATGCATGTAAGGTTCAAGAATTTTACGTGTGCAGTGGCGTGCTTATGCAATGCCTGAACGCACTGTCACCGACTTGGGAGCAGCGTGAAAGTGAAGAACAAAGAGAGGGGAAAAAAACGAAAAGAAGAGCGTGTTTGTGGAGGGAAAGCAGCACGTTGGCCATATATATATATTTATTTATTTATTTAAATGCGATGCAGCGGAACTCGTACGAAACAAGAAGAACAAGGATTCTGGCGCGTCGCTTGTCATCGTACGCGCGTGTGTCAGCGAGTCAATCAATCCGACGTCAGCTAGAGCAGCAACAATACTGCGAAACTGGCAACTCTGACCTTCGCTGCTGAGCGAGGCATCCTCAAAAGTCACCTCTGAGTAAACGCGCAGGAATACCTCCGCCACTTCCACTCAGACCCACACTCGTGCCTGTCTTTCACATTTCACATCCAAGGTTTGCACAACTCCGTCGTCATATAAACTTTTGAGAAAACCTGCGTTCGCGGTTTACACAGACTCACACAAAAACACACGACTTAACGCAACAAGGGAACAAAAAGAAATCAGCAACGACAAACAACAAAAAAGAGGCGGTGATCCGTCCGCTACTGTTCACATGCTGATCATAACAGACAAGGAATAGAAGAACACAACGTATATAACCGCCGCCGGCTACAAAAGACAGGAGGAGGTTCACAAGACAGGAGGAGGTTCACAAGAGAGGAGGAAGTGGGATTGCTCCAGACTGAGCTTTAGCCGCGGAGCGTTCGTTTCTGTTAGGTAGAGGGATCATGGGGTAGAGGAAGAGGAAAACAAAGGAGGAGAAACTCTTTAATAAAAAGCTTCGTATATATATAACCAATCGAATAGCAAAATGAGACAAAGGGAGGTCTCAAGATAGAAGAGAACAAAGAAAATTTATAGAGGAAAAGAAGGAGTGATGTACGAGTATGCCTCGCGTCTTTACCAAAATCTGATAGGCAACAAACTGACCGTTGCAGCTCTTCTGCACGTCACTTAACCAGTAACACGAATAATAAATCTTTCTTGTGTGTGTGAGGGAGTCTTCAACTGAAAAGAAAAAACCTTCTATGCAAAGGCGATGAAGAGCTGGCTGCGTACTTGGAGAAGAAAGCTGTTGCTCAGAAGTTAGACGACGCATAATGATACTGCACACGAGCTGCGGTGTGCGTCTTACCGCTAGCTGACGCGATATGGCATTCACATTGAACAACTCAGTATGTTTAGCACTGCGAAGTCTGTCATTATTGAGAAAAATAGAAACAATTCCAAAAGAAAAAGGGCACGAAAGAGCTCATCAGCTGTTACAACACGGAATAAATCGCAACACGGAGATGATCGTTGGAAGACAGCAGGAGTTCATCTTCTCGCACCGCATTGGCTCGCAATATCGACGAAAGAAGAAAAAGAGAAAAAAAATCTGAGCACAGCAACGCAGCGCTGCAGCTACCCGATGAAACCAAGGATGTACACACGATGCAGTTTAAAAAGGTAACAATGATGCCCACCTGCGAGACACACACCTCAACAGAAGAAAAGAGAGGGAGAGGGAGAGTTAACGCGATATGCAAAAAACGAAATGCAAAAAAGGGGAAAACGGCTTTTACAAAAAAAAAAACCCTAGGCGACTGCAACCGCCTCACCTGCGGAGGATAGTCGAAGGAGTGCGGTTCCCCATTTTGCTTCCCGTACACGAGGGCGGGACGAGCACATACAAAAGAAAAGTGCGTCAGCACTAAAGTACGGAGAAACGCAGGAAAGAAGAAATCATGGATCATATGCACATGTGCCTGATCATCCGTCACGCACTCAATCACATGCATGCGATGGTACTGCAATGCAATAGCGGCGCAGATGTCAGCTCTGCTCGCCACAGCGCTGAGCTGTCTCGAACAAAGAGGAAGTAAATAAAAAGCCATTAGCGCAATCGACATCCCGTGTGAGGAGAAAAATAAAGTATGTAGAAGCCCAGCCGACAAGGAACGGAACTGGGCGCTCAGTTCGAATCCACGTCGTCCTTGCCCTCGATGAATACGCCAAATGCGGGATCGCTGGTGGCGCTGGAGCGATACAAATGCAGCAGCACGCTCTCGTCTTCGGACATGCCCTGGCTCTGGTGGTAGCGGATGCTGTTCACCGCACGCAGCCGCGCCTCTTCGTCGTCGCCGTAGAGCTGCTCCACAGTTGCCTCCCGCAGCGTGCTGCGATCCGTGTACGAGATGTAGGCACCTTCGGAGAAGTTCTCGCCGTCGTCGGGGTGGTGTCCCACAAAGCCCTCTGACGGTCCCCCCGCGCCATCCAGGAGGGCGGAGGCGGTCGACTCGTACAGAGAGACACCCCGCTCCTCTGCCCACGCACCGGCTCGTGGAGCGGGCCACGACGCCGCCCGGTTGGTGTCGTCGTGACGGCCGCCGCTTCTATTCGCCCAACAGGCCTCTCCCGCTTCCGCCACGGCGAGTCCCACGTCCGTCATGGGAAACGCAACGGCGTCATTCGGCACCACCTCGTCTCTTTGCCTGTGTTGGCAGGCACGCGCCTTCGCACCGTCGCCGTCGCCGCCGCCTCCCTCCGTGTCGATATCCATGCTGCACATCTCAAAGGAGCCCTCCGAACCGGCCTCGTCGCTGTCTGTCTCCGACGGCGACGGCGTCTCAGGCGATGTGGCCGTGGACAGGGTGGCACGGCGGTGGGGGTTGCTGCGCTTACTGCCGCCACCGAAGCTGCGCAGCGACGCCTCCGGCGACGCCTCCGCCCGCCACGCGTCGTCCGGGATGGAGCTGCCGCTGCCGCTCTCGTCGTCGTCGCCGCGGTACGGTGCCCGGCAGCCCCCACCGCAGCGGCGGCAGCAGGCGCAGTACGTGCAGATAAGGCCGAGGCCAACTCCGATCAAAACGGCTCCCACCACGGACCCCACCACAGCCCCAATGATCGCACCGGGGGGTCGTGTGGAGGAGGCGGACGACGACGAGGAAGTGGGCGAAGGCGAAGGAGGTGCGGATGTCGTCGTCGTCGTCGTCGTTGCCGGAAGTGAAGTCGATGTGATGGGTGCTTCGGTGGGTGTCGTGGAGGACGGGGCGGAGTCGGAGGAGGCCGACGAGGATGACGGTGGGTTCGGCGCAGCACTCGTGGTGGTAGTCGTGGTATTGGTGGTGGTCGACGAAGAGGACGTCGTTGGCAAAGGTGTCGGGGTTGTCTCGTTGCTGCCAGGTGTCGACTGCAGGGAGGAGGAAGAAGAGGAAGAAGTGCTCTGGTCTGCCGGCTGCGCACCGGCGACCCACACAACTCGCGGAGAGGGGCTCCAAGATGATGGCGGTACCTCACCAGAGATAGACACCTCGCGTGCCAGCGAGAGTGCGAGTTGGTGAGGACTCACCGTCTCCAGCTTACCGGGATGCGCCTGCACACCATGAAGGAGAAGCAGGATGCACCCAACCAGTCCAATGAGCCGGCAGCCGCGCCGGCCTTCTCGGTGCCCCGCCGATCGATCACGGATCGTCATGCGCACGAATAAGGAAAACCGTACACAGCAACCACTCCACAGCCTCTACAACGCTGAAGACGGTCTGTAAGAACCCAGGTGACGACAGCAGAAGAAGCGTGGCGGGATGCGCGGGTGGCTGGCAGCTCCTCCTCCGCCAGCGTCCGTGCTTTAACGTACGATGAAAATACGCTGGAAAATGCGCCTTGCTTGTTATCCGGCACCGACCAGGCACATTGAAAAGAAGGAAACAAATGAGAAGTGCTTCGTGAAGAAAAGCAGTCAGAGTCCTCAATTATGATTCATGAAAGCGTCCACTCTTCCGCAATGGCATCAGAGGCAGTGGCGGCGCACGTGTGTGACCACGCCACCGCTCTCGTGAAAAGGCGATCTTTACGGATGGCGCCTGCTGCGAAGAGGGAGGAGGCAAAAGCACTACAAAGCACGGCATTCGTGTATTCAGGAAGAGTGAAGAAGGCGGACGTAAAGAGGGAGAGCCGCAATGCAGGAGGAGAAACGCGATCCGTCGCCTCCACGTAGCGGCCATCATCGCACCTTGCGATTGTCGCCGATGCCGCGGAAAACAAAATGCGGGGAGCTCACACTTCCACAAGAAATAGCGATCCCCTGTGCTTCTCAGCAGACCTTCATGCATTTACAAAAAAAAGGGAGAGACTAGGGGCATCTGTTGGCTTTCAGTAGTGTGACTCAGCGGCCAAGCGAAGCATGCTGTCACAGCTTCTGCTTCTACGGGGTGAGTGAGGCAGCATTAGTCGTACTGCCAGTCCCCTCGCTTCGAGAGCAGCACCTTTTCCGCACGTAACCCTGATTTGGGAGACTGTCTTTGGTCATTTTCGGCGTTAACGACAATCGACTCGTCGAGGGGAACCAAAGGATGTGGGAAGAGGAGGTAGAAGAGCACCAATCTTACGTTAGGGGATAAACTCACACCACACGCAACACTATTCTCTATCCCTATCGCTTGCGCAGGCAAAAAGTAGAATTCATCACACTGCGGTGAAGGACACTGAGACGATGATCGCTTTGCCGCTACATCGGCAAAGACAGCACAAAAGCCAGTTTTCTCTCTGTACCTAACAAAGCGGCGAATGCGTGCACACTCTATGGTATATATATGTATATGCTGCCGTAACCGCGAAGATCAAGTGAACTTTAAGAAGAAGCGGTGCGGACATTAAATCAACGATGCCCCGGCGAAGATGTGCATTACGCAAACGAAACAGGGAGAGTGTGCAGGAAGCACAGTTCTACGCTCCCAGCTTCCCACGCGCTTGAGAGAGTTCAACGAGTCGGTACCAAAAACAGAGAACAAAAGCCTTGACCTCGTCACCAACGCGAACAAAACCACACATTGAATGCAACGACAATAGAACATATCCGCTAGCTTTAAAAGCAAATGAAGAAGCTCAGCGCCACGATACAATAGCCAAAACGGACGAACACTCAGAAGAAAAAATAAACGACCAAATACGAACGCACCGGCGACAGTGGACTCCAAAGCAAAACACCTTCTAACGATAACAAATGGAAACAGCATGAGAGAAGCTCTAACAATAAAGTGCAGACGCCGAATAAAGAAAAGAAAGTCTGCTTTGTAAAGGGAAAAGGAAAGGAGAGACAGTACAAAACGATGAAGAAAACAGGGGAGAACGAAAAATACGATGAACACCGTAGCGCCACCTCTCACCGCCTCCGTGGATCGCATTGGCAGTGCGTCCAGCGAAACACTAGGAGGGGTGTCTTCAAGAAGCATAGCCCCGACAGCAAGGCCGTTGGCGAGAAAAGAGCCGCATGCGGAGCCGAACAGACGCACCGAATGCCGCAGCGTACGTGCACGTCATCTCCACGACTCGACCGCAGACAGCAACGCTGAAGAGAGCAGCACGGCTTTGAATTCATCAACTTCGTACCGTGGAGAAGAGAGAAAACAAAGATTAAAAGGGGTATTGTGAACCTTCTTTTCTACAGAAGCAAGGAAATAACAAGGGAATAAGCCCCTTCTGCCACAGGCCGGAACATCGTAGATGTATACGCCGCAGAAGAGAGAACTACGAGAAAACTGTGAGCGAGATTACAAGAATAAAAAGAAATAGAACGACGATGATGAGACCACTCCAGTGAGTCGCAATGCACATTTCGGGGTCTTATAAAAAAGAAAGGGATGTTGCTGCAGTTGAAGCAGAAACGACAGAAGAAAGTACAAAACAGAATTATTTCAGGTAAAAGGAGGGGAGAATATATATATAAAGAATACGATGAGAAGGGCGACCTAACGCCTCATGCACGGAAGCCGTGCGATGCTCTGCACCAAATAAAGAAAGAGAAGAAAAGATAAGGTTGAAGAGAGGCGAAACAAAGACAGTGAAGAAGACACAATCAAATCGCGTGGAAAGAAGAAAAGAGAAACGATAAATATCGAGGAGTTAACAGCTTTTGGTTGTGGCCATCGCTGCTGCGTTGCTCGACAGAAGAGCCCTCCAGAAGCTCCGAGGATTTTCCATCTCCGCTCGTGCTTACCAACGCCGTCGTTGACGACCAAGCGGACCGTCTCTGAGCCACGAAAGACGCACTTTGCATCCAGCTTTTGAGTGAGCGCCGGTGATTGCTCTGCATCGATGGCGGCGCGGAAGAGGTGACCTCCACGGCAGCACCGTCACTTCCCCCTGCTGTCGATGGAATCCGTGACCCGCTCAAAATCCACGTCAATGAAAGGACCAAACTCAGGCACACACGTCCGCTTCGACATCAGTTCGGCGAGTCGCCGCCTCTCCAACGCGCTCAGCTCGCGCATTTCGTCGTCCTCCGATGTCTCTCCCGCAGCCGCAGCATCGCCACTGGCGCTCGCCTTTTCCTGCGGGGACTTGTTCATCCCCGCGTGCGCGAGCGGCAGGGAAAATACGTTATGCGGCGGTGCACGGCTGCGGAGCAACGCGTTGTGCGCAGTTGGTGTGTTGGAGGCCTGCGCAAACGAGTTCCTGCTCGAGTTCGCCGGGGATATATCGGAGTGGAGGACAGCAGAGAAAGAGGTGTTGTGTGTCGCATTGTCTCTCGACAAGGGATTTCTGCCGGCACCGGTCTCGGAGCAGGTCTCGCTGTCATCAAGCACCTCAACGACGCTGGGGTGCGGGAGACTGTTGTTTGTGGGAGCGAGGGAGCTGTTTATGAACTTACCGCGTAGTCATGTAGGAAGGGAGGCACGGCGGCCGCTGAGGGGCCATGGGGTTCTTTTCTCTGACTGTCAGGTATCGCGTATCTGTCGGCACCTCCGTTTCCGCGTGAGGCGTTGTCGTCAGTGTCAGCGCTCGTGTCCTCCGTCTGCAGCTCTGAAGTGCGGCTGCTGCCCTCCGCCACACTCGCAGACGAAACCGAGGACCCGCAATGCGAGTAGTAGCCGGCGTGGAGCGGTACGGACTTCCCGGTGTCAACGCTGTCGGAGGCGCGACGGCCGTTCATGCGGCCCGCGAAGGAAAAGCTGCTCGCTGTCGACGCTTGCGTTTCGTCGCCGCGGGAGGTGAACGAACGGGAAGAGCGTGCTTCCGCAGACTCCCGCTCCCGCCGCTTCCGCCGGTTGCGCCTCACGACGCACACGACAACCACCACAACCACCGCAATGACCAGCACCGCGCCGACGACGATGATCAGTATCGCCCACCACGGGAACTTCTTCGTGGACCCGCCTTCGTTTCCTAGCTCGCACTCCGCCGCTTCTGGCAATCCAACGGCCTCCAGAGTGAGGCCCAACTGGCGCGTCCAGTCCGCCGGCAAGCACCCAGTCACGCCGCTGTTGGAGAGCGATACGGTATTGAGGTGCCTTAGCGCGTTCCACGACTCCGGTATCGTTCCTTTGATGCCGGTGTGGTCCAGCAGCAGTGTCTCCAGTGCAGTGATCTTGCTCCACTCGTCAGGCAGCGTTCCGCTGATGCTCGTCGCGGCGGCTGAGAAGCTCCGCAGGGAGGAAATAACACCCCAGCCCACCGGGAGCCTGCCGGAGATGCCGCTGTTGGAGAGCGACACCGTCTTCAGGCTTCTTAGTGCACTCCACGACTCGGGTATCGCCCCGTCGATTTTCGTGTGGTTCAGCAGCAGCGTCTCCAGCGCCGTTAAGTTGCTCCACTCGTCAGGCAGCGTTCCGCTGATGCTCGTCGCGGCGGCTGAGAAGCTCTGCAGGGAGGATATAACACCCCAGCTCGCCGGGAGGCTGCCGGAGATGCCGCTGTTGCCGTCGAGCGTAATCTTCTTTATCCTCGGTGGATCAGCCTCGTCGTACCGTTTGGGATTAGGAGGGACAAGACTCCCGATCAGATTCAGACCGCTCAGATCGATCTCAACACCGGAATACCTGCACGTGATGTACTTGTACTCGCAGTAGTTGTACGCTTCGGACCATTCACTAACGTGGAGAGCCCTTCCCAGATCAACAAGAAAAGTATAAGTGCTGACCCAGGAATCACCATGGCAGTCCTTCGGGTCGTGGCAGAAGTCGTCGGAGTCACCGGTGCGGGTGTCACTGGTCAGTGCTTTGGCTGTGCGAACGCCGTTGTCCGACACAGGCGCACACTCCACAACACACAGCACGGTGGCGAGGAGCGCGCACACCAGCACACACCGACGCAGGCGGAAAAGTGCAGACATCGGTACTGCCGGATAGAAACCGCTTACTGGTCTGTGTACGAAGCCGAAGATGAAGGGGGGATAACAGTGCGCAGGAGAGATTCGGAGAGCGGCTTTTTGGTGAGTTCAGACGGTGCGAAACACCCTTCGCAGCAGGGAAGGCAAATAAAGAAGGAGAACAGTTAAGAGACGGAGCGGGAAGAGGAGATAAATCAATGGAGGGCATAAAAGAACGTACCTGGGCGCGCGTTGGAGTTCATCAGCGGCCGCTCAGCGTGTTCCACACCAACAGCACGTCAGCGATGGCTGAAAACAAGCAAAACACATCTCTGAAACGCCCCCGGCAATGCGGAGGACGCACAGCAAACGAATCCGCCTCGGCATATCCTTGTTTCAAACAAATCGCTGCACAGCTTCCTTCTTCGTCTCACGCGTTGGAAAAGAAAAAGGAGCCGAAGTAAAACACACGGCCGACGGCATGGCATAACAGCTTCTCGCTGCCTTGACTTCCCTTCTTTCACTCCCGCGAGCGTTCCGCTAGACTGAGACACGCCTCAATTGCACGGGGATCGCTGGAGAGCTGGCGCAGCACGTCACGCGGAAAGGCGGGGTACCACACGTGCAACGTGCCCTCCCAGCCAAACAAGGAAAAGAAGAGAGCGCCGTGGTGGGGCAGCACCGCGGCAACGGACACCCGCCCGCCATCGCCTCCCCCCTGTCTCTGTTCATCTCCCATCGCCGCCGAGCGAGACCCATGCCTCGGAACGTGCTCGTCTGCCGGAGAGGCGACCGGAGGATGCCCAATCGGGCCTCTTCGCGGCACGCTGCGGGACGAGGCGTTGGCGAAGGACACCTGCTGACACAGGAGGTACTCCGTCGTCTCCAGCGCAATTCTCTTCGGCAGTGAAGGACGCGTGTGCGGCGAGCAGGCTTCGACAGCTGCGCACAGATGATAGAGGAGGGACAGCGTTCCGGGGCGTACCGTAGGTAGTCCACAGCGCTCACACTGCAGGCGCACAAGGGCACCGCCAGCCTCGCAGAGCGCCGCGCCGTCGACGGTGGCGTCCGCCGCCGTGTGCAGCAGCGTTCCGGACAACTCCTTCCGGTACTCAGCTACGCGGCAGCAGAGCTTCAGGGTGTTGTGCAGAAGCGCCGGCTCCACCGCACGCAGCTGCCCGCACGCACCCGCTTCGCTGTGCACATCAGCGGATGCCGAGCTAAGGGAGCGCAAGAGCAGCTGCACCAAAAACGCAGCCACCGCGCAGCGCTCCTGTGCGTTTACGCCAGCGTGTCCACCGGTGCCTTCCCACGGGCTTCGAAGCGGCTCGCCCTTCGCTGTCGACAGCACCGTGGGTTTCACAAGCGGTGGCAGCAGCCGGTCCAGTTGATTCGGCAGGAGCATGTGGGTGGGCGGGACACAGCCGTACCTCGAGATGGCGCGCTCCAGCAGCTGACACAGAGCCTGCACCCGCTGCCTCGGCCTACGCGGAACCTCGCCCCTCTCACTCCCCACACCGTGTCCTTTTGCCCCGCCGGCGGTGGATGGAGCTGCCTCGCCGCAGGGCAACAAGAGAGTGCCGTCGGTGGAGGGTGACACCTCCGCCTCAGCAGCCGTCTCCAAAAGGCTGACGACGGCTTCAAAGGTGGCTACGTAGTACGCCTCCCGTGCCCGCGCCATCTCGCTCCATCCTCCGGTGGACGAAAAAAAGTGCGGTTGGGCGTCGCGTGGTAGACCTGACGCATGACGTGGATGCCCTGCGAAGGAGCCTGCCAGCTTTCGCAGATATCGCATTGTCCACGTCCACCGTTGCCCATCGCGCCTCCTCGCTTCCTCCCCCGCGGAGTTCTCTAAGGAGCACCACCGGGAGGGGGGCGTGGACGGTGGGGAAGCTGTCACGCACCGAATAACACGCACGACCTCGCAGTGCACCGCCGGCGGATAGGCCAGCAACCACGCAGCCGGAGGAGACGTCCCCGGTGACGTGTGAGGTGCGACAGTATCTCCTGAGGACTCCGCCTCTAACAGGAACAACGAGGTGGGAAGCCGTTGCAACGCTGCTGCCGCATTGGCTGCAGAAGAACTTCGTCCTCCTGTTAGAGCGGCGCGCTGCATCAGCAAATGCACCACCGTCAGTGCCCGCCCACACGGATCATCAAAAAAGCGCTCGTCACGGTCCACTTCCGCGAGGTCCGCATCGCCGTCCTTGCGCGACACATTTCGACTGCGCTTGGCGCCGGCGCTAACGCTCTCACGAAGCAGGTGGAAGAGCACGCGCTTCTCCACGTAGAGCCCATCGTGGCGCCGCCCCAGCAGTAGCGCTCGCAGCGTAGGCAGAGACACCAACTGCAGGAGGCCGGCGGAGAGAGGGACGCCACCTCGTGCGTGCTTCGGCGCAGCGACCTCCACAGCCAACGCACGCAGGGCCAACTCCTCCGCCGCCTTGCGCTGCCCCTGTGAGGAAAGACGCTCCACTGCCGCACTCAGCGCCAGCGTACGCGGGGTGACGTTGATGTCGGTAGGACCTCGGTCACGCCCTCCGCCGTTTTGTGTCGCCGACCGCCCCCTTCTGTCTTTCTTGTGTGCTGCCTCGCTGTCGTGGGAAGCGTCGAGGAGGTCGTACGCCTCGATGAGTTGAAGCGCGACCTGCCACGGCAGTCGGGGGTGGCGCAGAAGAAACGACAGCGCAGAGGCGGTGGGGCGGCGCCGACGCGGCGAAGAAGAAGTCGACGGAATATGCAAAGTAGGACGCAGCGGCACAGCGGCCACGCCGGCGCCTGTGCTGTCCATGTCTGTGTGTGGCGGCGGACCGGCCTGCAGGGCCCCGTAGTTGTGGTCCAGCAGTTGAAGGCAGTACTGCCAGAAATCAGCAACGCGGCCCGGCGCGGCAGCAGCAGCTGCAGACTCGTTGGCCTCCAGCGTCTTGGACAGCACGCACTCCACTTCCTGGTCGTTCAGCGCCCACGCGTCTGTCGTCACCGCGCAGTGTCCCCGCCCCTCGCCTGCTCCTCCCTTTCCACTTCGGTGCGCATTCAAGAACGCTACCACGGTGCGTACGTTGTGAATGGTGGAGCTGTGCAGGAAGCTCAGCCGCGTCTCGCCGATCTCTCGCCGTGAGAGGTAGACAGCAGAACGGCTGTCTTCGCCCCCTCGTGCGGTGGCCGGCGTGCTCTCCATGCCGCTCGGACCAGTTGAAGGCAACGCCACGGTCGCTTTCATTGCCTCGGCGAACACCATCAAGGCCTCCTCCCACTGGTGCTTGGACAGGAGTCCGCGCATCAGCTTGAAGGCGTCAAGCAGTCCGCCGCGCTTGGCGTAACGCAGCACCGCGATGCGATCGTCCTCCTGCGCCAGGGCCTGCACGGCGGACAGAAAGTTGCCATCGAGCTGCAGAAGCGGCGGCGGCGATGGGGAAGAGTCGTCGCATCCCCCCTCCCCCTCCAGCTGCCGCAGCATCGCCCACAGCGCGGCGGGCGGCGCAGCGGGGCAGCACTGGACCGCCGCCATGGCCATGGAAAGCGTCGTCCCCCACGTCCGCGACGGCGGCTCGTCGGAGGTGGGGTGACGCTCCCGCCGCATCTGCCGCCGGGCGTGGAGGAGCTTGACGCACAGCTCGTACACCTGCAGCACCGCCGCCCACTGCCCCGCCCTGCCCAGCGCCTGCACGAGGTAGCCGGTGGTCACCGTGCCGGGCAGGTCGCGCTGGTAGAGGGAGTGGTAGTAAAAGTGCAGTCCCCGCTCCCACTCCCCGGCCTGCAGGAGGGTGGTGAGGGTCGTGTGGCGAAGGGCCTTGAGGAACGCCGAGGTGGCGGGAGCAGCGTCGGCGGCCGTGACGGAAGGCGCAGCGTGCGGTCTGCCTGTGTAGGGGTCTTTGATTTGCGTGTACGTCTGCGCCGCGCTCGCCTGGTAGAGCCGCAGCGCATCCTGCCACCGCTCCGTGGAAGGCGGAGCGAGGCTGATGTGGTAGAGCAGCTGCGCCGTCGCAGGGGCGGGGAGAGCGGTGGGGAAGAGGAGCGGTGAGGGCTGCTCCAGCGGAGAGGCCATCAGCGCGGCGTGCGCAGAGCGGCGCTCGTCCGACAGAGAGGACGGGGAGGAGGTCGCCAGCTGCTTTCGCTGCTCGTGCCGCCACGCGTGGAGCAGCGCGAGTGTCACAGACCACCCGGCTGGAGGGAACACACCGAATCGTAGAAGGTGCTCCAGTGTTTGAATGGTCGGCGTGACAGGCGACGCGGAAGCACCAGACCTTCGAGCTGAAGAACCTGCCGCGGTACATTTGGCGGAGCCCTCCACATAACGGGCGAGCGCCACGAGCTGCAGCGCTGCCGCCCATTCGGACGAAACCAGTGGGGGGTCCCTGCAAAACTGTTGGAACGGGTTTGCCGTGCGTGCGTTGGAAGGCGTCCCCCGATCACAATTGGATGCTCCGTAGCTTGAGCTCCACAACTCCCGCGGGAACCACTGCGTGACGTACCGCTGAAGCTCCTCGGGCGAAATGCGCTTTGCATTACTGGAGCGTTGCGCAGCGGCTAGCAGGCGCGTGAGTGACGCGTGTGACAGCCGCGGTAACGGAGGAGACATGCACTCCTGATCATACCACAATCAGCATAAGAGGTGCGCAAAGCAGAGGGGAGTTGAAACGCGCACAAAGGAAACAACGAAAAAGAAAAGCCACAACTAATGGAAGAGAAGGAAGAGGAGCACGCAGGAAAGGCCTGCTCACTCGTCGGTTTACTGAGCGTCACCCTGCAAGATGTACGACACCGGCAGCTTCAACGACCGAGAATGACACCCCAATAAAAGAAGAGAGAGAAAGAAAGACGGTTGTGTCAGTGTGGGAGGAAGTGCTAGAGAGAGATGGCGCCGGCTGAGAAACTCTCAACCTGGTAAAGGAAAAACACGCGCCACGCTGCAGAGACCACGCATACAAAGTGTGCGCTCACGCACGCATGATTCTCTCTTCTCGCCAGCTCGGAGCACTTCTCCAAGGGCGAAAGATCAAAAAGGGTCGCGAATCTCCATCGTCTCTTGGACGCAAAGCAGCGTTCAATCCTTTTTCCGTACCGTTGTATCAAGTCTGCTGGATTCCTCGCAAACGCTGAAGAACGAAGGAAAAGAAGAAGAACGAGTCACAAAGAAGGACCGGGGAGCCTTTTCCTTGTTTGCTCATCGCAAGATGCCGTCCTCCGGCACCCACCCATGCGGCAGATGCTGGGGCTTCATTCCTTCAACAAAAGACGAGCGCCACCGGTAAATAAACTGCCCTACCGCGTGCTCGGCCGTCTTCTGACAATGCTCGACCCCCTCATACTTCTTCAGCAGCATTTGGACCACCAGGAACGCGTGGCTATCCACGTAAGGGACACCCGATGAGTCGTTGTCCATGGGCGAGTCGGCAGAGGGGCTGCTTGAGCCGTCCGCGTCGTCCTCGGCCCTTTCCGTCGCAACCCTGCTGCTGTGATCACGCTGACGCTCCTCCAGGCGGGTCACGGTGGGCAACGTAGATACTAGCTCAGGATGCGCATTCAGCCAGTACCGCGCGAGAACGCCTCGGCTCGTATTGCCGCGCGACTGATGGCGGCTCGGATCCTCTTGTTGACACGTACCGGTCTCACCCTCCGCCTCCTTTAGTGACGGTGCCTCGGCTACGCAGCCGGTGAGAATGAAAAAGACGCCGGCGGACGATGCCGGCCCGCCACGCGCATCGGAAAACACGGCGCTCTGCACCGCGTGGCCGTCCAAAGCACCATCACGACTGCTGGTCGCTGTCTGCCCCAACCCCTGCTCTGCCCCCGCCGTGCCACTCCCGTGATCCGCGTAAAACGGGTAGATTGGGGCGTTGGTGCACAGGAAATCGGCCATCATGCGGCGCCGCTCGTCTGGGATGGCCGTCACCTCGACTGCGCGCGAGTCGGCAACGTGGTGACCGTGGCGCCTCGCTCGCCGTTTGTTTTGGGGAGATGGAGAAGGCAGCGTCACTTCCGCAGTGCTGTCGTCACCCGGTGCGGTATTCGCACCACTGTTGCGTTGAGTCGGCGACTGATAATGGGCATGAAGTGCTTTTGCGTAGCTGAACACCGTGTCCAACACTTCCCGATGCTCCGTCAACGTAAGATAATCCAGCATGCCCTGCAGCTTAAGCCTTGGGTGGAGGTCGCAGTCCTTGCCGGGAGTGTCCAATGGGTCGGCATCTTCACCGCTGTCCCGCACCTCGTAGGCGTGCGAAAAAGCTGCCATCTCTTCTCTCACCTTCTGAACCTGTTTCACATACGCCTCTCGCTGCTCACCTCGGAGGTGTACGAGTGGAACGCCGAAGTCTTCTGCGACGCGCAGGCGCAGCCGATTATACACCCCATTCGCCTTTGCAAAGCAACGCGGGCACAGCAGCAGCAGGTCGTAGCTGTTGTGGCTCATGTACACGCTGGGAAAGAACCGCCGGTACATGAGGGGGACAACAGCGAAGCGCACCAGCGATCCGCCCTCGCCGCAGACGACGCAAATGTTCTCTTTGGGCTGCTTGAAATACTCTAGGTTGCGGCGGATGTGCGCGTCGTTGTACCGGGCAAAGTCGGGTGCGAACTTGAGCTGAATCGCGACCATCTCACGCTTGCTTGTCGCATCGGAAGAGTGAAGCGGGTTGCTCGACGGCGACTCAGGCGCATTTGGTGTTCGCCATTCAATAACCGTGGCAAGACCCTTTTTGTTCACATACCAGTCCGCCTTCGCCTTATCCACGGTGAACACAAGCTCCATACCGGGGCTGTAGACGTTGATGTTGTCGTAGTACGGCCTTGACCGCCCCTTGCACCAGTCAACCTCGGCTTTACCTTCCGCATTCACAGCTGCGCTGATGGACGAGCCGTGTTGTGCCGCTCCGTTGTGCCTTCTCCTCACCTCACAATCGCCATTCTCCCTTCCCTCGGTTGTTGTGCAACACGCCAACACTTCGCGGCAATCCAGGCCCCTCGCAACACACCACGGGGCAGCGTTTGCATGCCCCTCTTCAGCACCACCAGCAGATGACGCATCGTGTAAGAAACCACCGCCTTTCAAGATGGCGCCGCAGACGTCATACGACGCTTCCGCATCTTCGGCGCTGTACTCAATTTGCAACGGTGTGAGGGCACCATGACAGCCGCCCCAATCACTCATCACCACAAACATGTCCTTGCCAAGCTCTTTGCCGGTTAGCGCGGTGCACAGCTTCTTGAGACTTCGTAGCGAGTCGGTGCGCACCTTTCGCGCATCAGAATCGGATGAAGGTTGGCTCTTATCGGTCACCAAGGCAGGTAAGCACGCGTCTGCCAGCGCTGTCAGCTCCACCGCGGACTGTGCGACGACTTTCGGATAGTCACGATGCAGTTTGACCTCGTCGCCGTGAATGCCGACGCCGACAAGGAAGACGGCTGGGTTCGCAATCAGTCCTTTCACTTCCGTGTATATTTTACGCAAAAGGCTTGCGGGATTTGCCTTCTGCCCGACGCGATACGAAGGCCACGTTGACGACACGGATGCGTACGGATCGCGCAAAATATCACTGGCATTTCCGGATACCAAAGCATGCAAGTGGTTCCACCGCACGACCACGGTGCAGGAAAACGTGCTGAGCTGAATCGTCGCAACAGGGCCGGTCCAGCGTCGCGGCTTCCGTTTCGCAAGCGATGACGATGCCTCCTCCCCGCCTTCCTCACAATGCTCCGCACTCTCTCCTACCAGCTTTGTCGTCCACTCCATGTCGAAACCGACAAATCCATAGAGCTCGGCTTCTGTGGTAAGGGTACTCCACGCACGATTGTAAGCACCAGCATCGATTACTTTCCATATAGGATCGACGACGAGGCGGCTGCGCGACGCAGCCCACCTCGTGGTTGTGCTGGCTCGCTGTGAAACAGTTGACTCAGCACTCATTTCCATGCGCGAAGCTGTTGCGAGAAAGAGAGAAGAGTTGAGGAAAAGAAGGACGAGAAAGTAGTGAACGCTGTCAACGCAGGAGAGAGTCCGGACATCTGTTGGGAGTTGCACATTATTGAACGCCCTGAAGGAGAAACAGGGCATTTGCCATGCATGGTTTCGAGAGGAAAGAGGAAAAGGTACAGCAGCACCTCTCTTAGTCATTAGAGGTTGTGAGGCGTGCATCTGTAAGACGTCAGCTGCTACGCGCACACGTATTCCCGTCGTTTGTGGCGTTTCTGTTTGTTCATCTGAAAAGAGCACAGAAGCCGAAACTACTAGCAAGGGACTCTAAAAACATGACAGACGAAAGCAACAGCAATGCTACGAGAGATGCATCAGAGCAGCAAAACAGGGAAAGCTCTACATATGCCCTATTATTCCAGTTGTGTGTGCATCAACTTCCCATGACAACACACTGGTCTCTTATTTCAGGAAAGTATGCATCAGTACTTAATGCACCGACAGCGCGAAAGAAAAATAGGGGGAAAAACAAAACGGATGTGAACCAAAGAAGAAATAAAAACACAAAGCTTGTAGCGGATATAAAGCACTCAAATGCAAAAAAAAAAAGAAGAAAAGAGAAGATCCTTTACACATTCTCTGTACATCGGTGACGATGAATGATCAACCAATTTGAAAGGAAAAAATAAGTGGACACGGAAGAAAGCTCAGAATTCTCTCGTGTTCTCCACAGCTTTTAGCTCTCGCTCGGCCTCGTCGTCTGAGCTGAAGGCTCCAACTAATCCTCGCCATCGGATCTCGTCATGCGTTTGATTATCCTGGAACAACGGGCCGCTCCGCGCGCCAAACAGTGATGAGAGCACGCCGAGTGTCCTCATACTTTCTTCGATGTGATCAGGTGCAGCGCGAAGCCTGCCAATCACAGCGGTGATGGAATTGCCACCCAATAAGTCGAAGAGCAGCGCCGTTTCCAGCGATCTTGTATAGGGCACGCTAACACTTTCTGCTGACAGGGCCTCGGAAAGATCTTTCAGCGCCTGACTAGAAGCGTTTGCAAACCGTGCACTCTCGATATCAGTTTTCTGCAACGAAAGAGGGCCAGGGCCACACCAGTCAAAAAGTGTGAGTCGTCCGACAGTTTGGGATTGCTGCGCAAGTCCTGTGCGAACACACTGCAGCTGGATCCACGTGTGTGACCTGCCGTTGTAGTGCTGTCGGCGTTTCGAGAGAAGGTTCCCGACGATGGCTGAAATACTGACACTGGTGCAATCAAAGAAGCGGACATTTTTGGGATGCACGTAGCCGTTCGAGTCGCGGCAAATTTCAGTAACGGCTCTCTCTGCTGCACAGTCGTAACCACCACATGCCGAGACCTCCACCATGGCAACTCGGTAGGTGTAGCTGAAACGTGAAAAGTGCGTGTCTTCTTCTGCAGCTCGCAAGAGGCACTGCACGAGAAGAGGGAAAAGTTGTGTGACGAGCGTCGTCTTGCCTGAGCGGAATTCGCCTACCGTGATAAGGCCAAACTGGAATCCGCACCACACATAGCTCAGTGCGTCGCGCACCTCGCTCAAAATTTGTGGGGCTGTTGCGTCCTTGCCAAAGCAGTAGTCGAACTTGTATGCGACTTCCTCGCCGCAGTCGCTTAAGACCATCCTCGACGGGTCTTTGTCATCGATTCGCAGCACAGATTCAACATCCGCTCTGTTGCCGGTCTCCATGTCAAACAAAGAGGCGAAAATGATGATCTGGCCATGCATCGATCCGAGAGCACGGTGGGTGCGCGCCAGGTGAATCTGCGAATCATAGAATTGCTCCGCAATCGCGTTGCGTTCAGCGGTGACTTTCTTGACGCGCTTTTGCAGTTTTTTCACCTCTTTACGTAGGTTGTCCTGCTCACCACGATCATCGTCAAGAATGGCTGACTCGGCGCTCATCTGCTGCTTTTGTTTGTCCAAAGTCGTCTCTCCATCACTGATGTGAATCTGCTTTTCGTCTAAAAGTCGCGCAAGTTCAGCGTTTTCAAGCTGCAGCTTCTCAATTTGATCAGATTTGGCTTCAAGGACTCGCAGAAGCTGCGGATCCGCCGACTTCTCCTTCGACATCGTTTTTATGGCTGCTTCTAGCTCTGCCCCTTGCTGCGTTGAAACAAAGAGACGTTGCTCGACATCTTCAGAGGTGCTTTGCAAAAGCGCAACCTGCTGCTTCAGCTTTGAAATCACGGAGCGAAAAGTCTCGTTTTCTTTTGTGAGATCACGAACCGCTGTCTCGTATGCAGCAGTATCTGTCTTGATTGCTTCGCGGTCGAGTTTCTGTTGCAGCTCACCGTTCTTTATCCGCAGCTCAATATTTAGCTGGTTCGACTGGACGAGACGCTTTTGCAACTCGTCGACACCCATGCTGGCTGTTGACTCGATAGAGAGAGCAACAGGTGACTCCTGATCGTGGGAAAGTAACTGGGATGGATTTCTGCTTACTTTCGTAGATGAAGCAGCAGTTGACGAAGCGATCGATTCCTTTCTTGTGCGGAGCTCCGCAAGTTCTTCCGATAGCTTTTCATATTGCTCTTCTGCTGCTTCACGTTTCACGTCGAGGCGCGAGTTTACAGCCGACAGGAAAGTCACTTTACGCTGCAGGTCGTCGTTAAGCTGAAGCAACAGTGTGTTTTGCATTTTCAGCTGCGAAATCTCGTCATCTGTGTCTTGCTCCGAGTCGGAAGCAGCATCGGTGGCTTCAGGCGTGTGATCTTTCAGCTTGCTATTAGCAACTGGCATCTTGCCTTTGCTGCGGTATGCGACTGATTTGCGATTTGCTCTTCCAATTTCGAGCTCTTTGATCTTTGCCTCACTGCTGCTCACGAGATCCGAAAGTTTCCGAATTTCCATCGCGCGCTCCGCAAGCGTGCACTCCAGTAACTTGACTTTCGCTTCTGCCCTTTGCAGATTGTCACGGAAGTATGCAGCGGCTACAGTTTCTGCGGAGGGAGAAGGTGTTGTAGAAGAGCTCTCGATTCTTTCGTCCGAATGGTGTGTCTTTGATTGGAGTAGCTGCATGACTCCTTCGAGGCGTTTGCGCAAAACGCTGTTTTCTGCGTGAGCGGCCTCCAGCTCATCTTTCATTTTGTCAGCAGCAGCTGGGCCTTTCTCAGGGTCGCTCACGGTCTCCCTTTCGTCAAGCCACTTCAGGAAATGGTTGTAAACGGCAGACCATCCTTCCTCGAGCTCGTCGGTCGCCTCGGTGAGTTTCAGCTTGGAAATCAGGTAGCCACCAACGTACTCCACGAGAAACACAATCCCCTTCTCGCGCAGAACGCCTTTGCCGTCCATCTCGCCGTCCTTCCACTCACCACAGTAGAGGTCGCCGTTGGATTGACAGAAAACTCCAAGGCCGCACTCGCGGCCAGCATCCCATTCGCCGTCGTATAAGTCGCCGTTGCCATGGCGCAGAACGCCTTTGCCCTGACGCAGGCCGCCTTTCCAGTATCCTTCGTAGCGGTCATCGTTTTCTTCGAGGTGGAAAATGCCGTAGCCGTTCATCTGGTTATCTCGCCAGGAGCCAACGTACTCGTCACCGTTAGCAAAGGCAAACTGCCCTTTCCCATGTTTGTTTCCCATGTACCACTGCCCGATATAGCGGTCGCCGTTGGCAAACTTGTACGAGCCCTGTCCGTGCTTCAGATCGGCTTTCCATTCACCGGCGTAAACGTCTCCTGTCTGAGCGTACGTATAAACGCCATACCCTTCAATCTTCCCATCCTTGAAGCCGCCTTCGTAAGTTGCACCACTGGGGAAAGTGAACCGTATGTTGGCGCCGTTAAGAAGCTTCTTTTTCTTCTTAAGCGCTGAGTCTTGTGTTACGCCGTTTGGTTTGTCGGCACTTGCGGGTGGTGGGGTGGGAACCAGTGGCAGTCGTAGGGCAGAGGTTGTCGCTGCAGTCTCTGCCATTTTTGAGGAAAAGATCTTGTCGTGATTTCTGTTCTAGCTGTTTGGCCTCCGCGTCCCATTTCTGAATAGTTAACGGAAGAGAAAAAGAAAAACAAGAAAGCACAAAAGCAAGAGAGAAGAAGACAAGGAAGAAGATAGAAAGAAAGACAGTGCGAGCATAAGAAAGTCACATGTGGGCGCCTGCACCGTTCCCATGAATAAAACTCTACTGTTCACACCGCTAATTGATCTGCTTTGACATCCAGCACCACTAGGTTCGTATAATTTTTAGTCTTAACTTTGAAACAGAGGAGAAGAAACCCAGAATACAGTTTTGAGGAAGGCAACCAGAGAAACGGCAACACAGTAAAGAAAGGCAACAGCGATGGCCACAAGAGAGAGATAGAGAGATAAGGAGCGAAGCCCGAAAAACCTATTCGACTCCTCTTCAACTTGTCTTTGCATGTGGCGCACCGCCTGTGGCAGTATGAGCCGCTGCAGGAGGCACCGGTGTTGCTTGCTCGTCCCGCTGGTGCAGGAGGGTGGCGCACTTCTTCACAGCGAGGCACAGAACACAGGTCGTCAGCTGAATGTACATGTTGCGCTCCAGCCGCAAGCGTTTGTTGTCGTGTTGAAGCTGGAGACTGATGTCTACGAACTTCTCTTTTGTCTCGTATTTGGAGTGCCACTCGAGGAAGTGAAACAAGAAAGCGAAGGAGGATATGATGGCCATGGCGGACATGGCGGTGAGACCATTGAGGCTGCGACTCTCGATCACGCGGGTCAGGCGCTCCGCAATCTTTGAGACAGCTGTGACCGGAACGCAGAACAAGAGAAACAATGCCAACACTGGTATCATCACCACGTTGATCTCGAGCGCAATGAAGCTGACCATTTTAAAAACCGATAAGGCAATGATGACTGTTGAAGGGTAGAGAGAAAGCGAGAGACAAACTGCGGAAGCAACAGGAAGCGTGAGAAGAGCAAGCGAAAGAGAGCGAGAGAGAGAGAGAGGTAGAGCTGGTAGAGAAAACCTATACGAGCGAGAAATGGAAGCTCCAGTTGAAAGGAAGAAGAGCCGAAGGCAAGCTGCATCTCTTTTGTAAACTTGACGAACACTTTAACGGCGCTACAGGTATCGTCGGATTCCGCATTGCTTGTTGAGCTGTTTCGCTTCTGTGTAGCACTGAGACAAAGCACTTCCAATTTCCATTTGCCTATTGGAGTAATGGGCTCCAACGCTCTGGAGTCACTGTGGATTTGCCAAGCAATTTCTGGAGAACTGGGTGTGCCGAGACTTAGTGGCACTCAAGAAGGGGCTATGCTGCACGCACCGGCTGCGGCAAAGTAAAAAAGCCGATGAGCGGGCAGCAAGACCACAGCAACGGGAGTTTTCTGAACCCACCGGGAAAAGAGAGACTTTTCTCATCTATGCCGCATATTTTGGAAGGCACGCTGTACAACGGTTTGCTGCAGTTGGCGGAAGTGGGTGTGGAAGGGAGGGAGGGAGGGAGGGGGAAGGACAAAATGAAGAGAGGAGGGTGCGGCGGAACACAGCTGTCTTTCGGGGCGTGCCAAACGTGGGATTTGTGCACAGACGTAGTGCTTTTGCGCGAAGACCCGAAGCCGCGATAGCTCAGTTGGGAGAGCGTCAGACTGAAGATCTGAAGGTCCCTGGTTCGATCCCGGGTCGCGGCATGCTTTTCGTTTCGCGGCGGGGCGCGGGCCGGGGGAAAAATCGTCACCAGCAGGATTCGAACCTGCGCGCGAGATCGCAACTGATTTCTAGTCAGTCCCCGTAACCACTTGGGTATGGTGACTCGTCGTGTGTCGCTTCTTGTTTCCAGAGTGAGCACCGAGGAAAAGGTCTCGATTCGGCAGGGTTCCGTGGGGCGCCGTGGCCCTCGCGCTGGCCAGCTTCGCGGTCGGGGCCTGGGCTCGGGGGAGGAGGAGGGGTTTGGAAAGGGTTGAGGAAAGGGCGGGGAGGCGAGACGGCCTGCGTTTTGGCGTCGCGGGGCGAGGGGCGGGGCCACGCCGGAGAAAGAAAAGCGAAGGCTGCGCGAGGCGATGCCTCGTTCTTTGCGCTGCCCCCAATTTCGCTTTTGAGCCCACGGTGAAGACAAGGGGCTATTGTTGGAAAGGAGAAACTGTTTTTATGGGGCCTCTCGTGGCGCAACGGCGTGCGTTGCAGCGGGGCGTTGCAGCTAGGGCAGGGAAATCCAAAAAGCTTGGTCGCCGAGTTGATGCAATCGCACTAGAGGGGTGCTCTCTTTTTCATTTCTCTTCAGCACGGTCTTCCTGTCACTTGAATGATGCACGCAGCCGGCTTTCACGCGAGATCGCCACCGGGCGCACGTTTCCATTTCCCGGCGGCAGCTCAATGGGAGGCGCACTCTCCGGCACACGGTAGACCTCTTCATGGTCAAACAGCAGGTTAAAGCCCCTCCCGGACACGAACCTCGCCGACCTCCAATGCGCAGTGGACGGGGCAAACATGGGGAACAGTTCGTTGACCTTGGAGGCCGGTGCAAGGTTAATCGGCTTGCCATTCAACACCTTGGTCACGTTGTGCAGCTGCCCCTCCGTGTTCGCGCCAAGTCCCGCAACGCACCCGTTTCGGTACCGCACCAGAAGCGTCGACGGACCACCGACGAGCTCCACGATATCGAAGTCACCATTCTTCACGGTCGCGCCCATGCGCGCGTGGAAGTGCTTCAGCGCGGACGCCTGGTCCACCTCCACAAAGCGAGGGGACGGAATCGCGACGCCGTACTCGGACAGCGAGCCTTGGAGGAGCAGCTCGTTTGTGGTGCTCACAAACACCGCCAAGGTGCCCACGCACGCGACGTCCTTAATGCGGATCAGCTTTGGTGTGCTGTCGACGGAGGTTGCCGCACCTGCTGCCTTCGCGCCGGAGTGCTTCTGAAACGACCGCGTGAGGGGGATGGGCACTGGATCAAACGTGTTGGAGGGCAGCTGGCCCCCGTTGGTGGACCCGCACCCGTAGACGCGCCCCTCTTGCGTAAGAAACAGCGTGAAGGAGTTGCCGAGCGCGACCGTGGCGATGCGCAGCCCGCGCTGCTCAAAGAACGTAATGCGCGTCGGGCACATCGGCGAGTCGGTGCTCCCGATCCCCAGTTCCCCCCAGTTGTTGCTGCCGAAGGCGTAGAGGGCGCCGTCACTCAGCTGCGCCACAGCGTGGTTGAAGCCGCACCGCACCCGCTGCAGCACACAGGTCCGCTCCGCCGGCCACCACGCAGCGTTCGGGTCCCACTCGGTGAAGCCGTGAACACCGTCGACGCGGTGCTTGTGCCCTGCCCCCAGCTGGCCCATGTGATTATTGCCAAACGCGATGGCACGTCGACCGCCTCGCTGGTAGACGAGCGTGAAGTTCGAGCCGCAGCACACCCGCGTGGCGATGCCAGGGTTCGTCTGCGGGAAGGCACCGTCGAGGTCGATGTAGAGGGGGTCCAAGTCCGTGGTGACAGAGGAGATGCGCGCGTGCGGGGCGTGGGCGCGCGAAAAGCCTCGTCCGTGACTGGACGGCCCGCCTGCCGCCGTGCCCGCCACTTCCGTCTCCGCGCCGTCCGAGTTCAGCGCACCGGTCTGCCCGTAGCGGTTGTCGCCGACGGAGATGAGGTTGCCTTCGCGGGTGAGCATGGCGACGTGCTTGTGGCCCACAGCGGCGTGCGCCACATCGTAGAACGGCTCGGGGGCGGCGGAAAAGCCAAAAGGAGGCATTGCAGAAGAAGAAGAGGTGGGGGCAGGCGCTGCATGGGGGCGTCGTGTCGCACGCTCCGTCTCTTCCCGCTGAAAACGGGCGTACTTCGCCGCGTCAATGTCGCTGGGAGGCGGCAGGGTTTTAAGAAAGACCTCCGCTGGGGGAGACGGGGCAAGGCCGCAGACGGCGCCCATGCCGATGATGCGTGTGTGCAAGCGACGCAGCATGACTTCACGGCTACACACAACGTCGTGTGATTCGCGTTTTAGGCTGCGTGTGCGTGCGGCGGCGAAATAGCGAGGTGTACTGCACCTCCATAAAAATCCCCTTTAAAGGAATATAAGCAGAAGAAAAAACACGCAATATGAACGGAGGATGACGAAAGGGAATAGGAAGCACCACCACAAAAACAAAACAAAATGCCGTTGCGTACGCAGCGAGGGACACGGTGCGTATTGATGGAGAAGTCGGAGGATTTTACGTATGTGTGCATTGAAGGACGACTGACGTCATAAAGGGGTTCAATCAGATCACGGAAAAAAGTGCGGTGAACCAACTTAGCAGTCATGTACTCTTCGTTTTTCGTTTTTTCTCATTTGTCCGAGGCGACGATTTCGTAGAGGATGTGACACAGCATGGGTGTCATGGAGAGAAGAATGGCGGTACAGCTACACACCGAGCATCGTGCGCCGCCTGGGTGCGAAGAGGCTACAATACATCCGAAAAAAGCGTAAAACAACAACAACAACTACGAAGCCATAGAAACGGACATCTACAAACGAAGGCTCAAGGAAGCGGAAATTTGCTGAGCGTGTGCTGCTGTCCGTTTATGAAAATGCACATACAGAACAGAACAGAACAGAACAGAACAGCAACAACAAAACCAATACGACGATAATTTCAACGGCGCACTGCGCCAAATCTCACGCGTAAAACACTGCGTGTGCTTGTGTGTGTCTTCGTTTGTTAGCTCTCTGTTCTGGAACACTACTTCGTGGCGATTTGTATTTTTCCGCGCTGCGCCTGTCGACTCAGGAAGCGAGAGAGAGAGAAGTACTGGTAAACGGCCATGGTCAGCAGAACCAAAACGTTCAGCGCCAACTCGGCCGCCATGATCTTCGACAGCGAATTCAGCTTCACGCGATCGGCCTCACCGGTGAGCTGCAGCAAGTTGGCGTCCTGCGCTATGCTAAACAGAATCGTACCGTAGCGGTGCAGCTCCTCCTCCATCTCGCTCTCCACCTTGTTCACCGCGTCCGGGTCGACCTCGAGCACATCGCGCTTTATAATGTTGAAGCGAATCCACTTCGGCGACACGGTGGAAAAGCTGTTGTTGAAGCACACCGTCACCTCCGAGGGCAGGCCATGGCGCGTCTCCAGCACCGACGGGGCCGTGTAGGTGTAGCTGCCCTCCGTGGCCCGCTGCCACTCATTCAGCACCGTCTCCCGCTGCCGATCCCGGAGTCCGGCGAAGTGGGCGTTGAAATGAAAGCGTGACACCTGCCCGATCACATCCACCGGCGGGGTGGAGCGCACCTTCAGGTCGGCGTTGATGTCGAAGGAGCCGCCGTCCGTGACGCGGAAGGTGAAGCCCAGCGTGCCGCCCGCCTCGACCACCTCCGTGTAGCATTCCGCCTCCCCGGCCTCGATCTTGGAGCCGTACGACGCGGCGCGCACGGCGAGGGAGCTGTGCAGCAGCACCGTGCTGAGCACCAACGCCCACAGCACCACCACTCGGCAAAGCGGCCGCATAATTGAAGGCGTGAATGCGAGGAGAAAAAGTGGCAATAACGATGAAGAAAGGCTCGAACAAAGCGTGGTCCCCAACGCGAGCCTCGAAGTGTAAACGCAGGAAGAGCGTCAGAAAAGAACAGAAGACAAACGTTCTGACTGTGGAGTCGGAAAGGAAGAGAAAGGAAACGTGAAGAAGGAAGAAGTCGTCCGCCGAGTCGCATGAACACACGAGCACCACTGCGAGTAAGACTCGTAGAAAAATGCGTAACGGGGAGTTGGCGCACAGCAACAGCGGGGGCGCAAACAGACTTCGGCCAACGTCCTCCCAACAGGTGACTCTTGAGCTGTCCAGAAACAACACATTTTGCGTTGTCAAGCATACTGTGATTTCCCGCTGATTCTCGTTTTCGCTTTATGTTTCGATTCTCAACTCTCCTCGGCAGCATCTACAGCTGCTTGCCTTCGCGCATCTTACGTAGTCTGCGAGCTCCATGAAAACACATGGAGTCCACCAATCCCGCCACGGTCAGCACACCGCCACATACCGCACACAGCTGCAGGAGGAAATGCACCACAGACGGGTACGGGTGCTCCTGCTGCACTACAATACGAATGGGGGAGAGGTCGTAGGTGATGAACACACCGGGGATGATGCTCGGCTGCGCTGCCGCCGCTGCCGCACTCCCAGGCAGTGCCGCTGCTGCGCTGGGTGTGAAGTGGTGCGTGGCGGAGTACTGGTTCGACTCCACCACGTCTTGCAGACCGGTGAAGAGCGACTGTCGCTGGTAGGTGGTCGGGACGAGCTTCACAAAGTAGCTAAAGCGGCCGTTCATCGCGTCCTGCGCGTTCCCGCTGGCGGCGGAGCCCTGCGCGGCGCCGTCGAGGGGGTTGCGCTGGCCTGGGAAGCGCTGCCCAAACTCGAGGGTGTGCACCACGTGGCTGAGGTCGAGCTGGCGGGTGGTGCTGCCCATAAAGTCGTGCAGGCGCCGCCCCAGGGTGTTGTAGATGCGTCCGGGAATGAACTGTAGACTGCCCGTCGCCCGCGACGCGGAGAACTTCGCGTGCACGTTGCAGCCCTCGCGCCCGGCGGCGGCGGCGGCCAGCTTGACCCGGTCCTCCGCGCATTGCTCGATGCTGATGTCGTCCACGTTGAAGGTCCACCCCTTTCGCGCGTACGCCTGCCGCACCTCCTCACAGGTGTAGCAGCAGTCGCCGGGGTCCTGCTCGGCGCCGTAGCAGCTCGGGCAGTCCTCCTTCTCCACCCCATCCGGGTCGATCGCTCTCGTCATGATCTTCTTCTCATCGACCAGCTTGCGGGCCTCGCTGATGGGCAGCCCGGTGGCGGCGTCGATGCGCGTCTTCACGGTGTTGCCCTCCACGTCGTTCGCGAACACGCCGAAGGCGTCCATCGCGTCCAGCGTGAGGAGGTCGCATGGGACGTGAGGGAAAGTCACGTTGACCCGGACCTCCATATCCCCGCCCAGCTCGGCGTCGATGAACATTTCGTGGTGCTCCTCCGACGAGGCGAAGTAGCGGACCTCGCCAATGAGGAGCCAGAGGATGATGGCAACGGCGGCGAGGGAGAAGCAGCCGCCGGTGACGGTGCGTTGACGCGCATCCTGCTCAAACTTCCGATCGAACTTTGGGAAAACATCCAGGCGCTGAAGCCGCTTCATTTGCAGAGTCGCCTGCTGCTGATGCGAGTGTGCGATACTTTGTGACTAAAGATTGCCTGTGCGAGTGCGCTGAAGCCTCGCTTCGTTAATGATAATAATAATGTGTGTCTGTGAAAGACTTATGCTTGATGAGAGAAACTATCCTGGGGATATTGCTTCGACAACTCGGCTGCGGTCCGCCCCACGTAGGACCCCATGGAGTAGATAAGTGGTAAGCGCGGAAAAGAGAATGAGTTGCTTCCTGTTGTGCGCTCTTGAACGCCTACCGGAGCACTCCAACACATACGGAGTGACGTGGGACGCCAGTGGCTAGCATTTCCAAAGCCGTACTGTAGACAGCAGAAGACACCAAAATCAGCTATCACGTTGGGTGCGGTGCCCCGCCGCAAAAAGACAAGGCGCGGCGGCGCCTGAGCTGTCTCGCACACACAGTTCGACGTGTTTCGGCCTGCTTGAGAAACCGGGCACAAGCTCGTAAAGCGAACCGAGGGGAAAAAAGACCTCGATGGTTTGATGAGGGGAATTCGAAATGATGGAGCATCTATCAGTCCAGGAACAAAATTCAAGCATTGTGGGGTAATCGAGCATCTAATGGGTAATAAATGAATATTTATGACATAATAAGAAAAAGGTGTTCATCTAAGTCACGTCCAGTATCACCAGAGACGCTGAAGGCTTCGCAATAAGCCTTTCTTTGCCTGTTGCTCCGAGTTCTCTGCGCCACAGCTTTGCGCTTCCTGTTTCTAAAGAGGCAAGAACAAGACAAGGCGCTTCTTCAAAAAGCCCCGCAAGGCCTCCCCCCAAAAAGCTCCTGACTCAAGAAAGCCCGATGCACTGCGAGGCGGGTGCGTCATCGGGAGGTGACAGAGGAAAACGCCCCCAGAAGCGCGGGAAGCCAACGAGAAGAAACGAGCAAAAAACGAACAAGGGAGGACTGTCGTGAAGAAAAAGAGTGGAAGAGAATCCAGTTGCACGACAGAAGAACGGCGTGCGGCAAACTCTGAAAACGACAGTCATCGCAACATGCACTGCTACGCCCCTTTCTTTTTCTCTGTCTTACATCGATGCGATTTCCACCTTGCGGCGCTTCGACAGCAAAGGCTCCTTTGCGTCGTTGAAGGAGAAAGCGATGCTCGTGCCGCCGATATCCTCCTCGTCGGCAGCCATAAAGCCCACCGCAGCGGTGTTGGCGGACAGGGAGTTGTGCATGCTGGCGTAGCTGTTGGTCAGACCCCCGCTGCTCTCCTCCGTCGCTGGCTCCGCTGAGGATGCGGATTCCTCACGGCCGAGGTCAAGCACGATGCTCTTCTCCGGCGCAAAGGTGACCATGCGGGAGGCGGAGGAGCCGCGGGACTGCCCCTGCAGCTGGGCCAGCGGACCGCGGCGCGTCATCTCTCGCAGCTGCACATCCAGCTTTCGGATCACCTTGTTGCCTTCCACAATCCGCTTCGTCTCGACGTCGAAGTAGCGCTCTGCCTTGGCCACGCCCTCGCGCCGACGACGCTCAATGTTTTGAAAGCCGTCCTGAAGGCGCTGCCGCTCCTGCTCGAACTTCTCCACATCGCGCAGAATGTACTCCGTCGCCTGCAGCTGCGCCTGTGCGTGCTGGGCCTGCGCCTCCGCCTGCGCAAGGCGGTCGTGCAGCATCGAACACTGCTGCTCTCGGGCCGCAATATCAGGTCGCCGGTCGATCAACGGCTCCGTGTAGTAGCGCTCCTCGTTCTCCAGCATCTGGGCCCAGCCGTGGCTGAGGTAGAGCTGCTCGTCCTCCTGCCGCTTGCGAGCCATCTGCAGCTCCGCCAGCTTTGCCCGCAGTGCCGCCTCCTCCGTTGCCGCGGCGCCCTCCTCGGCGTCGATCACGGCGGCGCGGGACGTCAGCGGGTCCACCGTGGGGTACTGCGGCTGCTGCTGCGGTAGCTGGTAGCTCCAGCGTCCGGCAGCGGTCGCGCTCGACTGGGGCGCGTAGGACGACGCGTCTCTCGAGCCGGTGGCTGCGTACGGGTTTACCACGGAGGGCATCGCGTAGCCGGAAAGGCGCGGCGACGGCGGCACCACCACCGCGGCAGCAGACGGCGGCGGTCGCTGCACTGAGCTGCGATCGATCGACGGGTGGAGGCTCACACTGGTCCGCGGGTGGGCCATCATCGAAGCTGTCGGAGGAGGAGGGCCAGCACTCTTCGCACCATCACCGTGAAGGGGGATGCGAAGGCCCTCCACTTCCCGGGAAGGGACGGTGTAGTAGGCAGGGGCGGTGTTTTCGGGTCGATGGTAGTACAGCGGCGGGGTGGTGGACCGCAAGGCAGTCGTGTAGGGGTAGGAGGCCATGGGAGAGGTCGGTGTGAGGGGAGGTTTCTAGAGAAAAAAAAACACGAAAAAAATGCAGAACAACGTGTATGCAAGATCTATGAGACGGTCTATCCGTGCGTGTGTGCGTGTGTGGGTGCTTTCCGATCCAAGAGAATTCGGCGACTGCCGTTCGAAGGAGAAAGGCGGGGTGCGATGGTGGAGAGAGGAGAGAAATCGCTGGACATCGAAGAAAGAAACGCCTCGTCGTCAGCAAGGAACATTTTGGTCCACATCGACCGCAGTGGAAAGAAGTGGAAGCGGCGTTACTGTGTCGGCTGCTTTCCTGCCTCTCCTTCGCGTATCCCCGGCATAAGACGTGCTCTTGTCATTGAACCAAAGCAACCAGTAAAGCTGCTTGCCTTTGCAAGCCACTTTTATGAGCCGCCGATCTACGAGCACTGTTCCAACTCACATCGAGAGAGACCTGAGCCATGTCTGCGTAAACTAATTTGTGCCGTTTAATCAACAAAAAACAGGAGTAGCGTCATGATACTCCAAATGACACGTGCATGATTTGAAGCGCGAGAAAGAAGTCCACGTATCAAATGCGGTGTCCCTTTACACCTGTACAAACGGAGACGGAGGCCCAACACAGCCAAAATAAAACACGATCACAGCCGCGGCACGGATTTCTACGAGACAGCGGCCTACAGAGTTGCCGAGTGCTTTGGCGATGCAGAATTTTTGACGTGCGTGAAGTGAAACACGGCGCAGGCGTCGAACAACACCACATCAGAACGGGAAACCAGCACGGCACACACGACAACTGATGAAATCAGACCAAGAGTAGCCGCAACGGGCCCAACGAGTGTTCTATGGTTCAGAGAGGGAGAGAGAGAGACTGTCGTGCAGACAAACGGCGTGGAGTTGCACCGTCACCTGCTCCACCGTCTGCTATCCCGTTCTATGAAAGCTACCCATCGAAGAAACGACGAGAGAGGAAAAATAAAAGCAAATAAAGACTGAGTTCACCGGTGGGCGCTCACAAAATGCCGACGACGTCGCGAAAACGGTCAAACGAACTTCCATACGGAAAACAAGACTTCATCAAATCAGCATTACTGGAAAGGACCGATGCCGTCCATCCACCCCACACGCCAAAGAGAAAAAACAAGATATAATGAAGGGAAAGGAGGGAAAAACGTTCCAGTCCGCTGTGCTAGCGCTAGATGCTAGCGTGCACCTCACTTTGGGAGCTGTCGGAAGACGAAGCGGGCAGTGAGACTGCGCTTCATGGCGTCCAAGGCCTCCTTCATGCGCGTCGCACTTGCTTCGTTCACCTCCTTCAAAAACCACCGCGGCTTCGATTTGTAGAGCTGCACAAACGGGTGTGCCGCGCGGGCGTCGTTGCGGTCAAACTCGGGAAAGGCCGAGATGGTGAGGGTGCGCTCCTGCCAGTCGAAGCGCAGCCCGACATCCCAGCTGTCATCCAGGCTGGCGCGGCGCAGCACCATCTCCTGCTCCGTGAAGGACTCCATCACGACATGTCCATTGGGGAGGGTCAGGGCGGCGTTGCGCAGCAGCGTCTCCGCCGACGGCACCTCCGCGGGCGGGATCGACGGCTCAGCGGCAGCGTGTACGGCCGCCACGAGGGGTTCATCCATCACCGCTGTCTCCGCCGCACGAGAATCGCCCCACGCTTCCAGCCGCGCCGCCGCGAGTTTCGCGTGCTTTTGGATCTTTTTCTTGGCGGCGAGCCGACGTGCCATGGAGGACGGGAACTTCTCTGCTGCCCCTTCCGTGCGGGCTACCGATGGGGCAGTCGGCTCCTCTGGTGAGGCGGTGGCATCGACTGCTGCATTAACTGTCACTGTTGTGGCGGACTCGACGGCTGCTTGGACGTCTGGTTCCTCACGGGTTTCCGCGGTTGTCTCGATAGGCGTCTGACTGTGTGTGTCATCGTGAGAAGCGCCGACATGATCGGCCGACGCCGCTGCGGCTGTTGTCTCCGCGTTTGCTTCAATTTCTTCTGCTGCTGGCTCGACCACTTCTACCTCCACCACCTCTGCTACATCGTCCTCTTGGAGGGCCGCTTGGCCTTCTCTTGCGTTGCCCTCGGCCACCACCGGCTGCCCCCCTTCCACCGCCTCCATCGTTGGAGACGCGGCAAGACCCGTTTCGACTGCTGCCGCAGGGACCGCCGCCGCTTTCACCACCTTCGACCTCTTCCGCCTGCTGCGCCGCTGTGCCCGCTTGAGAGGTTTGTGCGCCGCCCGGATCGACTTCAGAAGCGCGCGCACGTTCGCCTGGCGCACCACCTTCGTCGACGGGACCGCAGAGGCGGCGCCGCCAGCGAGGACGGACGGAGACACAACACCGATCGCCTCTGCTTCTGCGTTGACCTCGTCCGTCGCGTCTACGGTAGTGGATCCTCCTGTCGCGTCTGTGGCGGCTTGCGGAGATGGGTGGTCGACAACTTCTTCAGGCATCGCCTCTGACTTCTCTGCCACTGCATCCGTGCACGCATCCACCGCGGCAGGCGTCCAGTCCACTGACGCCTCAGTGGCTGCTACCGTCGTGGCGTTGGGTGTCCTATTCCCCGCTTCTCCCGCCGTCACAGGAGTCTCCGTTGCTGGGGGAGAAACGGCTGCTGCTGCGGCTGGTGGCGCCTCTTCAAGGGTAGTGAAGAAACGCTTTTTGCCGTGCGCAGGTGCCCGGGTGATGTGTCGCTTGTCGGTTTTAGCCGTGATGCGGTGCGCGAGCGCGGGTGCAGAGATCTCCGCTCCCGTGGCCGGCGCAGCTCCTGGCTCGGCCTTGACTTCCGCGGCTTCCGATGCGACTTGCGCCGCCTCAACGTGTGCCGCCTCTTCGGGCGAGGTGGAGAGAGCTGCGATTCCGTTTGCTGGCATCGGGCGTGCGGCTTCGGTGTTGACCTCAATCGCTTCCGATGCTGCTGCAGGGGCGGGCAGGGGTGGCTCCTCCACAGGGGGTGCCGGCGCAGCGTCCACCGTCTCCTCCTCCGCCGCCGCAGCAGTGGCAGGTGGAACTGCCTCTGCTGTCTCCACCGTTTCTCGTGGATGCCACATCGGGGGCGGCGGACGGAAGCGCCGCGGGATGCGGTTGAGCGCTGTTATCTCGCGGCGGCGCAGCGCTGCAGGACTCAGCCGCTTGGGCTTCTTTTGTGGCTTCACGCGCTTTTTAGGCGCAACTGGCGTGGCGCCCGGTGCGACTTCCTGCGCAGCCACCGTTTCCGGGGTCGCTGGTACGGCGGCAGAGGCGTCAGCGGACGGCTTCGCAGCCTCCGCCTCCTTTTCGCCTTCGTGCGTGTCTGGGGCCGTTGTTGCTGCTGCAGGGCCGGCGGTCACTTGTTCCGCTACGTCTGCCGTTGCAGTTGTCGGTACGTGGGCCGCCACTGCTGCAGCCGGGGCGGTGGCCCTCGCCTGTCGCAGCTGCTTTGCCGTGCGGCGGATGGCGGGACGGTGACGCGGGGATCCGGCCGCCACCGCCGCCACCGCCGCCACCGCCGCGGGAGGCGTGTCCGTCCCCGACCCGTGACGGGGCGGCGGCACCGTTGGCGTGACAGTTGGAGGTGCTGTCACCTGCTTCACCGCCGCTGCTGCCGTCTGCGCTACAACGAGCGGTGTTTCGACGGTGGTGGCAGCAGCGGCAGGTGCGTCCTGCACAGCCGCCTCCACCGCGGCAGGCGTGTCCTCGCCCACACCGGCGAAGAACTTCTTTTTACGCGGGAGCCGGCTGATGGTCGCGCGGGGAGAAGCCGCGGCAGCGGGCATCTGACCGGAGCTTGTAGGAGGGACGGCGACCGGCGCCACAGGGGGCTTCGACGCTGCCGTGGTCGCTACCGCAACAGTAGAAGCAGCTTCTACGTTGGGTATAGGGGCCGCCGCCACCTCCTCCACCGCAGCAGGAGCCGCCGCTTCGTGGATGGAGGGCAGTGCGTTCAGTTCCTCAGCGACCCGAGCGCGCTTTTTGGGGACACGACTGATTGTGGCACGTCGAGAGGGAGAGGGGGGACTTGAAATGGTGGTGGTGGTGGTGGTTGCAGCAGCGGCTTCTGGAGCCATCTTAGTCGCCTCCACCGGTGTGGGCGATGGTGCCTCCGGCGTTGTTGTGTGTGCAGCCGCTGGTGCTGCTACAGTTGTGGCTGCCTGCTGCGGTGGACGTGTCGGTTGCGCATCGGCCTCCGCCGCCGCCGCGGCCCCCGTCTCGGATGTCCTGCCGTCTTCCCACAACTCCGCAAAGAATGTTTTCTTTTTGGGCAGACGGCTGATTGTGGCCCGACGAGTCGAAGAAGACGTGGGTGGCGGAGTGGCAGCGGCGGTGCTGGGTGGTGGCACCGTGGCTGCGGCCTCCGTTGCGGCCGGTTTCGTCTCCACACCGTGAACGGGCGTTGTAGGCGGCGGTGGCACCGCTGAAACGGCGGGAGCGACAGCTGTCTCGACAGGTCTGATGGACACACTCCCCGCCGATACCGTCGCCGCTGGGTTGGGGGGAGGCAGAGGCAGGGCGGCGCACTCAGGCTTGGCCGCCTCCGCTGCGCCCGTCACTTTGCTCACTTCCGGCACCCCGCGAGGGTCGCTGTTGAGGTCGCGGCTGGCGGGTGCGCCGTCCGCCGTCGTTGCGGAGTAGCGGCGGCCTGTGCGCGAGCGCCGACGACGCGTAACGCCACGGCGCGCAGCCGCTGTCTCTGAAGCCGCCGCCGCGGTGGGAGGGGTGAAGGCGGAGGGCGGTGATGTGACTTGTGGCGGCACGGCCAAATTCGGCTGCGATGGGTGTTGCGGTGCCACAGTGGTCGAAGTCGGAGCAGGCGGCGTGGAGGCGACGGCGGTGGTGGTGGTGGGTGCGGTTGCAGGGGCTGCGTCAGGCGCCGCGGCTTCGGTGAGAGGCGCCTCTGCTGGTACTTGTGAAGCGGTTGTTGCCGCTGCCCGCGTCTCTGCAGGCGTCTCCGTTGCTGGAGTGGCGGTTGCTGCCTGCACTGGTGGCTCAATCGGCTTTGCTTCCTGCGCCGTGGATGCGGTGGCGATGGGCTGCGATGCTGCTCCTGCTGGGGCGGCGGCGGCGGCGACGGTGGGGGCAGCGGCGGGAGGAATAAAGCGCCGTGCCGCACCGGGGAGGTGAGGGCGCTTCTTCCGCGGGATGCGAGGTGCCATTGAAGCCAGTGCAGGTAAAAGAGGAGATGAATGATATGGCTGGAAGATATATATGCGATAATCGTAATGAAATCTATGATGGAAGGCGCTAATAAGGAAGTGTTTCAGCCACTTAAAGGGCAGAGTGTTTTATTTCCTGAGTAGATTCTATGGCTGTATGCAGACAACGCAAAGTGAGTGGCCGTAATGACCAGCTTTTGTTTTGAATCGATGTGCGTAAGTGATGCGCGGCGAGGGAGTACAAGGTCAAGAGACCGCAGTAATACACGTTATGAGCTGGGTGTGACTGCTGAGTTGTCTGCCTCCTTTTATAAATTGCGTTTCGCCGTTCTTTCTGTATTATCACCGTTGTATTCGTGCGTAGAATCAGGAGATCAGACGATGAAAGTCATAAACATAGAGGTGGAAGGAACAGAGGCAATACAGTGAGTGTACAAAGTTACAGTGCTGTGGCAGCGGCTAGGCCAGACAGATGTTAGCGAGCACCAGCATACATTGTGGAGCATACTGAGAGATGAACACAAGGTCTTAGCGTCGGTTGTTCACGTTGATGGGAAAAGGAAAACGATCTTACCCGCGATTCACCGTTCCCGAAGCAGACAACGAACAGCGTTCTACATTGCCAAATCAGCCGCACTCCCCTTCTGCGTATTACGACCAAGAGAAGTCGCGTTTGGGGGCGGAGAGACAGGGACCCCATAGCGGGCCGGTAGTTGAAGGCGAGTGCGGGAGGGATGGCGAGAAGCCAGGCTACGCAGCTTACCGCCGTCTCTCTCGCGTGTGGAACACATCTCGTTCCCTTCTCTGTCAAAACAAGTACACCCTCTTTTTCTTTCGTTTTGTTTTGTTAATACCTGCGTGCATGCTTCTCAAATGCCTTCACGTGAACAACAGAGAAAAAGGAAGATGGACATGCATACGCGATGTCCCTACAAGCGTGTGTACGGATGCCCTCCTTGGCGATCATCCAGGACAACGAACAAGCAAGGCTCCCTGCCCCCTTTCCCCCTGGTCCCGTTAGATGTCTCGCAGAATGCGTCACACCGATGTCGTTGAAGGCAACGATCTTGCACACACGCCCTGTGTGAGACAAAAACTTTCAGTTATTACATTAAGATAGCCATAAACGTTTTCTTTTTTTCTTTCTTCGTTTTAAGAAGTAACAGGAAACTCCAGCAGACTTGTCCTTCGACAACCGACCCACTCATCTACTCACCCAGGCCGCCCTCATCGGTCACGGCAAAAAGAACTACCGTAAAAGCCGTTATGAATCCTACCCTTTCACTTGCCCTTCCCTTACACTAGCACACGAACGGGAAAATCAACAGCGTCACCTACCCTTCTTTTTTCTTTTCCTTTCGAGAGCAACACTTTTTATGCCTCGTAGGGCATCGCATACACACGTGTCGTTTCCCCTTCATTTACACGGACAGCAAACAGAGAAGATACTCGTACACGTGAAGCTCCTTCTCAACAACGGCATTCTTCACCAATCGTCTGTTTGTTCCTCACATTTATGTATATACGCCGCAGTACTGATCCTCCGCGCCGGCGATGACTACGAACGGACAGACAGAACACTCTTGCGGCAAAGCACCTACTTAATATATATTATACACCATTTTTTTTTGTCTATTACGGTCCGCTTGTGACGGTGAAGGTCGGCGCAGCCATAATCAGATTCTCCTCCGGGTCTGGCGCCGTGTAGCGCGCGGTGTGGCGGGCACGGTTAGGATCCGCAAAGACGTTGCGCTTCATCTCCCCCGCCATACTCCAGTACGAGGCGCCACCGCTGCCGCCGCCGTCGCCGCCGCCGCTGCCGTGCCGTTCGTTGTAGCCCATGTTCGGGTTGTTGAGACTCGTGTTGCTGGTGGGGGACATGGTGCCGTAGAGCTGGGTGCGGCGGCCGAGGCTGTACAGATTGTCGTAGCTGCCGTAGTACTGCGACGGGGGGCGGTGCGTCTGAGTGGGCGGCCCACGCGGCCCCCGAGATGTGTTGCGCGGGTAGCGGCCGTTCGAGAGGGCGCCGCTGGACTGCGAAGTGCGCATCGTCGGCCCGCCCGCCGAGACGGTGAAGCCGCCGCCGTTCATCGCAGGTGAGGAGTACCCGCTGCTGAGTTGCTGGGAGGGAAGGCTGAGGCGCAGGGACAGGCCAGCGCCGCCGGTGTGAGTGCCGGTGCCGGTGCCAGACGGGTTCGTGCGGCGCATGATCTCCGCTTGCGTCTTCTGCCACTTTCCCCACGCGGTGCACTCCGGGCTCTTGTCTGCGTAGCTTACCTGAATGTAGCGCACCTTGTTCTCCTCCTCGTCCGGCGAGGAGAAGGTGAATACGTTGTGCAGGGCGGCGATGGCGGCGTCGGCCTCGGTGGTGGTTTCGTACCACACGAAGGCGGTCGGGATGCGGCGCTCCTCGTTCGGCGTGACGGTGGTGGAGTGGCGGACGATGTTGAGATGCAGAATCTTGCCGAAGCAGCTGAAGACGGGGTAGAGGTCGTGCTCCGTGACGTAGGGCTCGAGCTGGCCAACGAAGATGCGCGCCTTCGACTGCGAGACGGCGTACCGCGAGGGGCGCACGTTGTGAGACATCGCAGAGACCCAAGACACAACAAGGAAAAAACAAAAAACAAAGCGTCGCTGAGTGACAAGACGTGTAAGCAGAATCGCGGCCTTCTCTGTGAAAGCGCTTCCGATACGGAGTTGTACAGGCGGAACCGACGCAGGCAAAACACGCGGCAGCAGCGGAAAGCTTGGAGGGCGGCGCAATATCTCGAGAAAATGGATAAAAGAGCGTCAAATCGAGCAGGAAAGCAAAACGCAGAGGAGGATTCCTTTCATGAATTAATGTAAATGAAAAGCAGATCTGATGAAGCACAACAAAGAAAAGAGAAATAGTTCGGTCTTTATGGGAATACACGACGTGCTTCGCCTTAAAGGATGAAGCGAAAGCTTGTGTGCTTCGTTTGGTATGTAAGGTGTTTTTCTTATTTGAAAGATTTTAAAGAGCGTTATATGAAAAAGAAAAATTAGTTAAAAAAATGCTATAATATGTAATCCGGCGAGCCAACGAGTCTGCAAGCGAGGCCTTACACGTGTAGCTGGTGTAAAGGTCCGTGTGCGCGTGCCAACGACTCCGTTTTCTTTTCTTTTTGGATTTGGCGGCTTTTTGGGGGTTTTTTACTGCGGAATGTGGGTTTTTGGGAACCGCAGACACCTCGGTAGAAGAAAGGGGGAAAAGCAAAAGAAAAAGAGGAGAGGTACAAACGAGCAAAGCGAACAAGCAGACACCGAGCTCGGTAAAGCGCCAGCTCTCACCACACACACGAAGCGAGACGGCGGAGAGCTTCACAGAAGAAGAAGAAAAGAGGAAATGGAGAGCTGGTCGGTGAGAAGCAGAAGCAGCAGAAAGCGAAAAGAAAAGACGCACCCACTACGAAAAGGTAAATATGGAGGCAGAACGAAACGATGGTTGAGCCCCGAGCAGCACAAATGTACGATGAAACAACCCCGCAGACACACACACAAACTACAAAGTAAAAAAGAAAGAAAGTAGTAAATGAGAAGCAACGCTTTTGTTCACACACACACACACTCTCTCTCTCTCAATCTCAAGACTTTCGCGGCCGCCTGCGACTCCGCTGTATTCCGCGCTGAGGACGACACCTTTGCTTCGTCTGTTCTCCCTTTCTCCCCGAACGCCTTGCAAGTGAACAAAAGAAAAAGAAACTGATTGCCGTGTGTGCGTACCGATGTCAGCGGCGTTGCGGCTGCCGGCCAGCGAGACGCAGAGCGAGTCAATCGAAACAACCGCGCGAGAAAGGAAAGACACACAAAGAAAGCGCAGATAGAAAATAGTCGAAAAGAAAGCAGCTAAAAATAAAGAAAAGAGAGAAAGAGATGAAAATGGCAAAAAACAAAATCTGGTGGAACGACAACAATAATAGTAAGCGCATTATTGTGCCGCAGATGCGCGCGATGGTGCGCAGGTGTCACGGGGCGGAGGAGGGAGGGAAAGAAGGAAGGAGGAGAGGAGGAGAGGACGTGAGAGTGGATGAGCGAGAGCGAGCGCGTTGCACGCATATTTTCACTAAATGGTTGTCCCCCGTCCACGTTCCTTGTCGCGTGTAGGCGAAAAGCACATAGGCGCGGAGTATGATAATACATAGAGCCACCAAACACGACTCCCCACTTCACAACTTTTTGCTTTGTTTTTCCTACCTTTCCGGTAGTCATTGTACGGCAACGAAGCCACGCATAATGTGGAAGAAGAAGAAACACATTTCAGCGTTCGCTTGACAGAGCAGCTTTCATCATGAGAGGAAACTTGCCCATCGTCCCACAACTCTCTCCTCGTGTCGTGTTGTTGCTACTCTCCGTGTGGGGCGACTACGTGCGATGAGCGCACCGTGGAAACACACACACGCACACTTAATACGCCCCCACTGGAAAAGTATGCAATCATATTGGTCGTGCAGCGCGCAGCACCTACGCATCATCCTCATCACCAAAGAAAGCCATCGCCTCCTCATCTACGGCGTCCGTCCACTCCCCGGCTGCCACAGCGGCAGAAGCACCACAAGCTGCCGACTGCATCACGCCATCTGGTAAATGAACCGATTCTGTTGCAGCTGTTGCAGCTGACTCTGTCTTTGGCACATTGCCCTTTGCCTCGTCCGCGGAAGTTGCGGGTGGTTCCTTCGCTTCCTCCACCGTCACGGTGAGCGGCGCCACCACGACTGGGCCGCCATGAACAGGAAAGAAGAGGATGTGCCCAGCGGCGTGGAGAGCGACGTCAGGGGAGGCAGATACCGTCGAGGGCAACGCCTCTGTGACGCTGGTGCTATTGGGTAGGTGCGGGTGAGACACGTGCAACTCTACCGGACGGGCGTGCCACTCCACGGGACACGCTGCCGTTGCCATAGTCGCAGCGACAAGGAAAACACGAGAGAAGCTGAGAAGAAGACAAGGGAGGGGACACAAATGAAGGCGCGCGCACAGACACGCACACAGAGACACTGATCAGATAGAGCTAATATTCCAACGTCTATCAAGGTAAACAAAGTGACAGCTTGTGGGACATCTGCCAGAGCTCCTATGCTGGCAACGCTGATGTGGCGGTGTAGAAAAGAGGGGGAACCGACGCCGCTCAGGGTAACAGGAAGGGGACGGTTAAACAAGAGTGCTAAAGGCAGGTAAAAAAAGCCCACAAATGCCAAAAGAAAAACAGCATCGGTGCCACACCTCCAATCGTTGCGACGCATGCTGAAGCAGCTACGGATCCATTCGGTCGATCCGCCGTATGAAAAGGCTTCCCGACGCTGACATAGACGTCGTAACGCCGAGTGTTGCTGAACACCTCCCATACACTTTGTCGCGGAGGAAGATGCCGCACACTTCCACTGGGTAAAAATCCGCACCTCAACGGAAGAGAGAACCAACCAACGGGTCGTTGCTTTTTTCTCTCTCTCCGTGTTGAAGTCTTCATGCGGCTATTCTTTTTTGCTTTTTAATCTGTATCCATATTATGATTGTTCAAACATCATTCAAATGAATCTTTTCCTCCGCAGTACGCTAAACCCTCCTCTTTTATTTCTCGTGCTGTCATCCCTAACTCAGCGAGACGGTCCCGAGAAGATGAAAAACAGAAGCGACCTTCCCCGAGAGCATCACGCACGAAACAAGCTGCATCTCAATAGTTCTAATGAACGTGCGTACAGAGAAAGTACCTCACACCGTCTGCCGCGGTAGCAAAAAGCATGAACGACAGCGTCGGATATCCGAGCACGCGCTGAGAAAAGGAAAAGAACGGCATCACCGCCGCCGCGTCACGCACAGCCACGAGACAGCAAAAGAGAGGAGGTTCACGCCCATCAAACACCAACACCGCGTTGAAGCACCCAGATATCAGCCCATGTTAAAAATGGGGGAGATGTCGCCGGTGCTTTTTTCATTTAAAAGAAAAATCCAAAAGAATACGTTTTCTTCAGCTGTTACGTCTTTTTGTTTTGCGGCGGATGGACGGCACCCGTCGCTGCCCGCACACTCTACAGACGGCTGAAGTCGAGAGAACAATATGAAACAAGAAAGGAAAACATCGTCAAGTTAGTTAGGATTATATATATAGATATACATTTACAGTTATAAAGTTAGATAGACAGATATGGAGGATTCTAGGAAGGTAGAGTTACAGTGAGGGAGAGCACTTCGCACAAATTTGATCCATCCAACAAAAAGGGTGGGGGAAAGAAAAAACAGCTCGCGAGGCATCTCGACGAGATACGCAGTCTTCACAAGTAAGTAGCGAAGGAGAGGAGAAAAAGCACTGTTGAATTCACTGGAAAAAACAATAAATGGCAGCGTCCTTCGCCAGGAAGAATTCAGGAGCCGCGACACGCGCATTGAGTACGGCGAAGGAAAAAGGAAAAACGACCTGCTCAGACTCCCGTGATCCGGCGTGGCGGTCACGCAACGCTTCGCCAAGAGGCGTGTACACAGGGCCGGTGTGCCCTACAAAAAAACTGCCCTGCAGAAGCCAAATGTGTGCGTGACCGCCTTTCTCCCGACGGAGCGGCGTGTGCTCCCGTGATGGCGTACGGCGGAGGAACCAGAACAGATAAAAAAAAAGGATGAGAAGGAGGTGCGGGAAGCAAACGTCTTCATCTTCTTCGCCGACGGCATATGCGATGCGGTGAACTCAGGAATTCAACTGGGCAGAGAGCCAAAATAGCAAAAAGGGGAACATGAACGAGCATGATAAGGAGAAAAGAACAAAGGCCAATAAAAGGCACTAAACACCAACAACAGAAAAGTTCGTTAAACACTTAAAGACTGCTGAGAGGCGATCTGGAGACTAACCAATCTCACAGCACTGATACAAATTAGTTAAGAAGATGACCGCGTAGACTCTTTTCGCTGCACAGCGGACGGGGTGCGGAGACACACGCATGCGAGTCCCTCGCCGGCGACCCGCGCACCCGAAGAGAAGAGCTGTGCGGACTGCTGTCTGAAATACGGAAAATGATCCTCCATAGCAAATCGTCTCAGAACACCATGAAAATGAGAAATTACTCCACTTTCGTCAAGTTACAAGAAGTGGCGTGCACCGCCGCACGGCTTCTTTGGACCCAACCGAGGAAACAACAACAGTAATCGACCATTTCGTTCTTTTTACATCGTGATGCAGCAGCCACCCTTGTCCTTCTTCTTTGCGTCCTTCTTGGGGGCCGGCGCCGCATCCTTCTTGGCGTCCTCCTTGGCGTCCTCCTTCTTGGTCTCCTCCTTCTTGGGCTCTTGATTCTTCTCTTCGGCCACCTTCTCATCGGCCGCCGCCTCCTCCTTGTGCTCCGCGACCTCCTCAGCGTTTTCGGCCGTCTTTTCTGCCTCCTCCTCCGCCTTGGCGGCGTCCTCGTGGGCTTCCTCCGCTGCGTGGGCGGCCTCCTCCGTCGCCTCCGCCTCTGCCGTGGCCGCCGCTTCTTCTTCCTGCGCGGCCTCGCCGTGAACCTCCGTCTCCGCCTTCTCCGCCTCCTCGTTCACATCGTTCTCTGCCTCTGCGGCCTCCTCCTCCACTGCAGCGGTCTCCGGCTGCGGCTGTGGCTCGGGCTGGTGCTCCTCCGGCGCGTGTGGCTCCTCTGCGGCGGCCACCGGGGCGTCGTTTACGGTCGGGCGGGACATGTCAGGCTCCTCGCGGCGGTGCAGCATGCCGCTGCGGCGGGCTTCACGGGACTGGCTGCGTCGGCGGCGCACCTCCTCCGGCATCTTCACGAAGATGCGGGAGCCGACCTTCGGCGCCTCCTCCTCCGCCTCCTCAGGAGGTGCCGACGCCCCAGCGGGGGCGGCTGCGTTGAGGGCCTCCGCCTCCGCGGGCCCCTCCTCGTTGGCGCGCTCCTCCGCTACGGGCTCCCCCTCCTGCGCAGCACCTTCCTCCTTGGCGGCCTCCTCCTCGATGGCCGCCCTCTCCGCGGCCTCTGCCGCCTCTGCCGCCTCCGCCGCCTCCGCCGCCGACACAGAGTGCTCCGACTGGAGCTCCGCCTCCGCCTCCGCTTCTTCTGCCTCTGCCGCTGCTGTAGCCTCAGCGTTTTCAGCCGCCGCCTCCGCCTCTTCGGCCTCCTCGTGGGCGTCTGTCTCGGCCTCTGCCATCTTTTCCTCCGCGGCAGCTTCGACCTTGCCCTCCGCCGCCGTCATCTCCGCCTCCTCCTCGGCGGCCTCCTGCTCCAGCTCGGAGTGGATCTCCTCCACCTCTCCGTTGGCTGCTGCGAGGTGTTCCTCGATGTTGTTCTCGTGCGTGGTCTTGTCCACAATGGCCGCCGCCGCCGCCTCTGCGTCTGCGTGCGACATCATGACTGCCGGAGAGCGGAAACAAGACGCGTTCTATACTAATAGAAGTGCGCTGTTAGCAGCTGAGGATCTGTTCTCTTGTGGAGGATTGCGAAGCGTAAGTGGCCACCTTGCAGAAAATGCTAAAAAGAAAACGAATGGAGTTATTGACCAAGAGAGCGCCTGTCTGTCTGTCTGTGCATGTGTGTGCGAAGTCGTTGGACTCGTTACACCGGAGAGTGAGCTCAAAGGAAGGTTCTACTAGACGGAAAGTAACTGAACAGCTTAGTGCAAGAAAATATCAGTGGTACAGGTTGGGGGTGGGGGGACCCTCCAACGTAAACAACACGGAGAAAGAAAGAAAATGCCTTCAGTGATCACTACACGATGGGAGAGGAGCGAAAACACCTGAGAGAACTCCAAGGCAGAAAACAAACAAACAAACAAACAGAAACCCGGTGAAGACTGAACGCGGGTTGAACGTGAAGAACTTTAGATCGTGATTGGAATACAAACATAAATATATATGTATTTATAAACACAAGATAATAAGAGCAGTCTTTATGAAGGAGAACGAACAAAGCGGTCGGCGGGGAGAGCACAAAAGATGGAGGCGCACGTAATGATCATAGACAACGAAGAGGAGCAATAATAATAACCATAATAAACGCAGTACATTTTAATGCCGTGAAGGGCAGCAGTTGAAAGGGGTCTCTGTGTGTGTGTATGGGGGGCTATCCACACACCTCAACCGAAGCAGTACACCCAAATAGGCAGGTGTGGCGCAGGCACTCCTGCAACAACAGCGTTGATCATCAACAGAAAACGTATTCTTTTAGATTACCGAGACCTTTTCTCCCAGGGAGTGGCTCGAGAACCGACGCTAGCGATAGAAACACGATACAAGTGCCCTGTTATGGAAAGAGCTGAACAGGACAAGAAACATTTTAAGCGATAAGAAGAAGAGGAAGAACACTCACAGCACGATAAATAACGTGCAACGATAAGCTGTGGTTGATGAGTGTTTAAAAGGAAACATTTTTTTTTTGAAAGCGATCACTTCCTCTTCAATGCGTGTAACGCACAGAGAAGAAAATAACAAAAGAAAGAAACAAAAAGGTCCTTTAGTAGAAACAACAACAACACCGTGTCACCGCCTACAGCCTCGCGTCCACCTCCACGATACCCTCACCGGTTGTCATGCGCCGCACAATCTCCTCGGTGAAGGCTTCGCTTTTCTTCAAAAATGCAACTTCCGTGTACTCGTTCGCCATGTGCCCGCGGTAGCCGCCTGGACCCACGATGATGGTCGGCATGCCCAACGCCTGGAAGAAGCCACCTTCGGTGCCACCAGAAAGCTTCTGTACCTTGTAGTTCTTCAAAATTCTTCTCACAGTACGAACGAACGGAGAGTCCTCTGGTGAGTCGAACGCTGGTGATATCCTCTCCGGCTTCAAGTCCACAGAGGCCTCCGCATACTCCTTGCGCATCGCAGGCAGGATCTCGCGGTTGATGTATTCCTGCACCTCCGTCTCCACACGCTTCGCCACACTCGTCTCCATCAAACGAACGCTGAAGGTGAACTCGCACTCCGCCGGCACCGTGTTCACCGCATTGCCGCCTTTGATAAGGCCCACAGACATGGAGCAGAAGGGACAGGGATAGTGTGGATCCTGGGGGCCGTTATCGCGGAGGTCCACGGCAATCTTACGGATCTTCGCGACGATCTGTGCGGCGTACTCGATGGCGTTGCAGCTCGTGTTCATCAGCGCCATGGAGGAGTGGATCGCCTTGCCGTGCACCACCACCTTCCAGGTTGCAATACCCTTGCTGCCGCTCACCGGTTCCACGTGAAAGCCGCCATCTCCGACGAGGCAGCAGTCCGCCTTGAAGCCCTTCTCCTTCAGCCAATTCGTCATCACCTGAACACCCACACAACCCACCTCCTCACTGTAGGAGAAAGCGAAGTGGATCGGCTTGACGCGCTTCATCTTCATGAACTTCGGCATCAGCGTCATGCACACCGCCAGGAAGCCTTTCATGTCGCACGTGCCGCGGCCGTACAGCTTGCCGTCCTTCTCCACCACCACGAAGGGGTCGGAGTCCCACTTCTGCCCCTCCACCGGCACCACGTCCGTGTGGCCGGACATCACGATGCCGCCCTGCGTAGCGCCGTTGCTCCCCGGCAGCGTGGCGAAGAGGTTCGCGTGTGTCTTCTCTGGACTGTAGATGTACGTCGACTCGATGCCGAAGGTCTTGAGGTAGCCCTTGATGTAGTCGAGGAGGGGGAGGTTGGAGTTGCTGCTGACGGTGTTGAAGCTGACGAGCTTGGCCAGCCACGCCGTGGAGTCTTTGGGGTAGCTAGACATGGCGCTTGCTGAGCGAGAACAGAGAGGGGGTTACGTGGTAGTTGTGTTGAAAGACTGAAGTACGGAGCAGCGCCTAACAGACAAAGGAAGCGTTTTGCTGCTCGAGGAGCTTGTCACCTGCAAGGAGCACGGAAGAGTGTGTTGAGTTGAACAGCAAACCAAAGGCGAAGAGTGGGAGTCGGACGGCGGATGAGTGAGGAACGCGAATCGTAAAAAGAGGCCAGCACAGCGGTGTGCAGCAGTAGGTGAGCACATGGGGCCAAAGAGAGTTGCGAAACAGCAACTAAGCCCACGGACCACAATCGATACAACTTGTTTTTACTTGCAAGCTCGGAGAGCGCGCGCGAGAGTAAGGAATGCCGAGACAAGCGAAGAAAACTCTCCCTGCCCCTTGAGCACTGCGTATTCAGCTACCATGGAGCGCCGTAGACGTGCACAGGGTCGATACCTCCATCACCACGCATCGCTCCTGCAACTCCTCGACCGCGCTGCAGCCACCTGTACCACGGTCCTTCATCCTACGAACTGAGTCGGACAGTACGTGTTTATTCTTTCGTTTTCTTTTTTTCCTCACGAACACTGAATCAATGACAAAACCTCTTTTTATCATAGGCCAAAAACTCCTCGCACTCCAGCATCTTCAACCGTGAAGTATTGCAGGCTGCAAATACACACACACACACACACAGATATACATGTGTGTAAACAGACGTCATGCCCTCTCCGCTATGCCTCCAGACGTGAGACAACAGCGCCGATAAGCCGTCATGGAAAGGACCTCGTGCCCGTCAGCAACGACAAGGAGAAGATTATCCCCAATGAAGCACCGATGGAGAGAGAGAGAAAAAGGAGAAAGATAAAGGGGAGGGAAAGCACCGCTCAGGTTCAACAGTCTATTATCACACTCTTCGTCCACACGACACACCCTTATCATTCAGCCATATTAATTCCGCAACTACCAACGCTACAGGAAAAACAAACGCGCAAATGAGAAGAAAGAAAAAAAAGGGAGCTCTACACACCAACTGGCACCTCCGGCATCCGCAGTGCTTTCGGAGGCACTCGTCTCTTTATAGAGAATAACGACACACACACACACTTTATATATATGCTGTTCTTACCTTTGTTCCGACCTGCTTCGAGACGACGTCTTCACAACGGCTGCGTTTTAGCTCGCCGACGGTGCCAACACGTTGGCCGTCAGGAGAAGCACAAGTATAAGAGAGAGGCTCGAGATCCGAAAAGAGAAGCGCAACCAAACATCACCGCTGCGTTTTTTTGGGAGTTCACCAAAAAAAACAACACAACTAAAACAGAAGAAGAAACAAAGAGTGGGAAAAACGTTTCCGGCACGAGAAGAAGCGGTAGAGAAGCACAAGGCTCCGTCCTCACCGGCAGCGTTATCTTCCCTTTACACAGGTGAGCGATGAGCGCGGTCAGTTCATCGTCTTCTTGATGTTGGCCGACAGCCAGTCCAGACCCTCGTAGAGACCCTGCGCGGTCGTACCGCAGCAGCCCTGGATGTACCAGTTGCGCTGGCGCAGGGCGTGCAGACCGAGCTTCTCCGTCACCTCCGTCGTGCTCATCGCGTTGGGCAGATCCTGCTTGTTCGCAAAGACGAGCAGCGCGGCGTTGCGCAGCTCATCCTCGACGAGCATCTTATCGAGCTCCGCCTTAGCATCCTTGACGCGGTCGCGGTCGTTGCTATCCACCACGAAGATAATACCATTTGTATTTTGGTAGTAGTGGCGCCACAGTGGGCGGAGTTTGTCCTGGCCACCGACGTCCCACATGGTGAACTTCAGGTTCTTGTACTCGAGCGTCTCGACGTTGAAGCCGATGGTTGGGATGGTCGTCACGACCTCGCCGAGCTTCAGCTTGTAGAGGATGGTGGTCTTACCAGCGGCGTCGAGGCCGACCATGAGGATGCGCACCTCCTTCTTTCCCAGCAGCGACGATAACCAGCCTCCCATTTTGGATGATTCTCGCACTTCAAGAAAGGAACAATAATAGTAATAAGGAAAAGAAGAGGAATCTACAAGGAAATAATGGAAAGAGAAATAATGTGGAGGAATTCTCTCAGATCGAGCGATCTTCGGGCGGCGCACACGCAAAAGAGGACAACAGAGAGAGAGAGAGACAGCGAATGAGAGTAAAGGGAAGAGAAGAAAGGGAGTGGAACTGGCGGCAGGAAACAGACGATTGTGGAAAGTGGACGGACGTAACTCAGATCTGCGTTGCCGTCATCGACAGTGCGATGTGCAGTGGTGCACGTGGTAGCACAAAGCACTCACGAGACACTGAGACAAGAAGGGGGGGGGGCACCCAAAGGTGAAAGGGACGATCCCCGTCTCATGCTTCTTCGACGTGGGGGTTCAAGGCAGTCCGATGCAGCGACGGAGGAGCACGGTGCAACACGAAAACAAATGCTTCATGTGGATGACGAAACGGGAAGAAGAAAGAAGAAGAGAAGACCAACCGCAATAAGAGCGAATGCAAAACAACAACGTCGATAACAAAGCGTTCCCAAAGGACCGACACGACGCCACGGCAACGCGGTAAGCAAACGGACGCAATTCGGGTCGTCTAAGAAGAGAAAGGAAAGTGCATATAACGAGCTCCAAAAGGAAAAAAACAGAAAAGGCTGTTGTGGAGAGTCATCGGCCTCCCAAATAAAGACCCCTGTGCGGTAAAGCACCGAACAAGCGGAAGTGCGCACAAGGATCCGATTTCACCGGTGAAACACACTCATAAAACCATCATCCTCCTCCCCCCCCCCCTCCCGCGCTCAACACGCCTTCTGTGGAGAAAGGCGGACAGAGAAAGGGAGAGGGAGCGCACGTAGAGAGCAAACACGAAAAGAGAAATACGCAGAGGCGACGACGGAACAACACCGAGATCGGCAGACAACAAGAAAAGAGAGCCCCGTCCCGTATTTCACGGCGCCGTGCCACATACTCTGCCCTGTATAAAATATGCATGTGAAGGCGAGACTAATGCTCTCATATAATACATCCAAAGCACCTCCTTACCTCTGCAAAAACAAAAGAAAAGGAAAACCAAAAGAACGTATAGATGCACCAGAAGCAGACAAACAAACAAAAAGAGTGAGGGGTTTCGCGCATAGAGAAAAACGGGAAGAGAAAACGCCATCGAGAGAGCAGCGAGAAAGGTGCCCCCCTGACAGGGAGACCATAACTGGACAGGGAGCACTACGAAAAGCAGAAGGAGAGACGAAGCACCGTGGAGAAAAGAGACAGGATGAAAGAAACACGAATGCAGAGGTGACGTTGAAGCCGTCACACCCTCATCAACCACAGCAAGAAAGAAGAAGAACGCCACCGCAAAAAGAGAGTCACGAGAAGAACTTTATATATAGCAGACCGGGGTAACAAAAACACATCGAATTGGCGTAATCACCTGATGTATCCGGCGGCTGGTGAGGTCTAACGTCCGGACAGATGCATAAGGAAAACCAGGTGTGAAAAGCAAAGCAAGAATGATCCAAAGAGCGCTCATAAACTGCTAGACAGCAGCGAGAGCAGGTGGCAGAGGAACAGGCCACCACAAGAAGGAAATAAAAGACGGCGTTGTTTCACACCAAATACATCAGTAAGCGGGAAGGGTGAAGTGAAAAAAAAAGTCAACGTTTATATACGGCACCCCTCACAGCCACACACACACACGGGAAAACAGTAGATTTCAAAAGCAAAAAAGTCGGTGTAATGCGCCTCTTTAACGGTTCCAATTTTTGAAGACACACCCACGAAAGATAAAAAATGAGTTAATTGGTGCATAATTTTGGCATCGACACGCAAAGAAATGTCACTGGAAAGGAAAAGAATGAGGAACCAACTTGATTTTCTTTTACAGGAGAGTCGCTCACGAAGCGGCCACGAAGGCAGATGGGAAAACAACCGATCTTTCTCTTTATATATATCGCTCTCTCAAACACTCCCACACGTGCGCACAGCCAAGGCGGCCAAACATTAATGAGTTCTGCAAAAACTAAAAGGAAAACAAACGAAAAAAAAAATGCAATCAGTTTGAAGGAGGCGGCTACGCATACCGTTCCCGAAGCGCTTCTGTTCCCATAGGCTAAGAAGATCAGCCGTGATATCTTGCTCGACAACAACGGAGACGTACGCAACACATCTTCATTTGCTATTCACCACACCCGTTACGGGGAAAAGAGAAAATTAACTGCCATGTCTCGACGCTTCCGCCGACTCGCTGCAGACGGCGACGGAGCACTGCTGCTGCTCATGTGTGCGAGGACCGCCTCCACACTTGCTTTCACGTCTCGGCGGCGGTGCGACGTATTGGAGCGACCGCTTCCGTTACTCGTCGCGTCGTGGTCGTTGGACGGCGGAGAGGGGAGAGAGATGGAGGTGTTGCTGATGGGACGTGGAAGGGTGGGCAGCGGCTCCGGCGAGGAGAGCTGCGAGGGCACATCCGCGGAGCTGTTCAGCGAGGGTGGGTGCCGGTGTGGACGGGTCCAACCGCCGCTATCGCTGCTCATGCGCAGGGGCGGGGGCGGCGGGACGGAGACGGTCACCGCGGCACGGCCGGCGCTGTCGAGCTTGCCGCTCCCCCTACGTGAGGCCCACCCGGCCGTCTCTCCGCTGCCGCCGCCGCCGCCGTCGATCAACTCCGCTGAGTCCGGCGTGCCGCCACCGCGGTCACCGCTGTCGCCCTCGGCCCTCGTCTTAGCGGATTTCATGCGGGCCACGAAGTCCGTCACCGTCTCCACCTCCTTCGATCCCTCCGTCTCGCGAGAGCTCTTGTGGTAGCGGGCCGAGACGAGGCTGGTGCTACCCAGCGTCGTGTCGACGGAGCCGTGGGAGCTGGGTCGGCGCGGCATGAGGATCGACGCGCCGACCGGGTTGGGCGAGACGCCGTCGCGGGGCTGAGGGGATGACTTCGCCGCGTCGGGGGGTGCCATTGTGGTACTGCTGTTCTGCCACGTTGCGAAGCCATGCTCCGTCAGCGGTGCCCGTTTCGTGCCGCCTTCCATCGGGTCCTGATCGATGAGGCTGGCCACGGAGCTGGACGAGATGAGCGAGCCGGAGTGAAGTGAGCGCGACGCAGAGGAGAAGGAGGAGGCGCTGCGGGAGTGCGGCGGCCTCGGCCGCATCGGCGAAGACCTCGTGGCGGCGGCTTCCGTCGCGCTGCTCGGCATGTTGGGCGGTGGACGGAGAGCGAGGGGGAAGGCTCGGCCGTTGGAGGCGAAGCGGTCTGTCGCGTCGGTGGTGGCGGTGACGTCGTGGTCGGCGTGGAGGGAGATGAAGTTGTGCTGCGTGGCGCCGTTCACGAGCATCGGCAGCGTGCCTGCCATCTGCGTGTTGAAGACGAGGAGGCGGCTATCGGGGACAGGCAGCGCGCGCAGCTGCGGTAAGTCCTGTTCGCAGGAATACGGCGTGTTGGCGTAGTAGTGGCGGGGGCTCAGCAGCGGGGAGAACGACAAAGGCATGCGAGTTCGCATGGCCGGTGAGGAGGAGAGCTGCTGCTGATACTGCTGATACTGCCGTGATGGTGTGGACGGGGCAGACGACAGCTGCGTCACGCGGGACAGCCGGCACGGTGGGGAAGCCGCCTCTGAGTCCGGCAGCGTGGTACAGATGCTCGAGCGCCGCTCCACGTACTGCGTGCTCAGTTGCAGCGCCCGCAGAGGCGAGCTCGCCCACGCCGGCTCCTCTCGCATCCGTGAAGGAGCACCGCTGCTCATCGTCGCTGACGCAACAGCCGACTGCGCGATGTCGGGCGGAGACGAAGTTTCGGCGCGGAAAGGCGTAACGAGGTCGTCCGCCTCCGCCTGCGGCAACTTTTCGAGCGTGTCGCTGCGCGGCGGCGCCGTCGTGGCGTCGGTTGCTCGTGCCGACGCAGCGGGGGGCGTGTGCGGTGCGACGGCGTCGGCGACGGGGGAGCAGAAGCACCGAAAGAAACGGAGGTTCCGCGGCTGCGACTTCTTCAGCTCCGCCGCTTCCTTTGACCTGCGACTCCCCATGGCGTGGCACCGAACTACAAAAAGAGGGGAGAGGAATATACAGAAAGGGGAAGAGAAAGAGAGAAGAGCGGAGGAGCACGACCCACAAGCATCGAAGCTCCTAAAAGAAAAGAGCGACCGATTTGGCTGAAAAACAAAAAACCACGCGGAAAGGGTGTGGTTGACTTCTGTGAGCTGCGACGGCGAAGCGGCTGATACCGACTGTACGAGAGTCCTCTGTTGCCTCCCTCAGAAGCGAAGTGCGAGAGACCAAGACGGAGGACGGCCGAGGGAAAAAGAAAGGAAAGGAGCGGGGGAGGGGAGAGCGCGTCGCAGAAGGAAAGAGAAAATACCCCCAAAACGGTAAATACAAAAGGAAAGATCGGCGATGAATGCCCTCCTTCCGTTTTCGCAGCGCTTCCACAGCGTGTTTCGGTGAAGTCAGAGAGGGAGGAGGGAAGTGAATACAAGACAAAAGCAGGAAGTAAAAATTTGGGTAATAGTTCTCTCGGAGGAAGCGACGTTAGATAAAAAAATAAATTTTTAGCTGAGGATGAAAATTCAGTGAGAAAAAGTATCAGATTATTTCTTGCGAGGATGCGGTGGGAGATCAGCCAGCTGCTGCGCGGTGTGCGGTAGACGACGGCGACAGGAGGAGCTGGCGGTGCAAAAGAAAAGAGAAAAAGAAAGGAGAGGAGAGGAGCCGATTCCGCTTGCTCCATACATCGAATAGTCACAGCAGCCGAACTCCCGAAAGAGAAAACAAGAAACGAAAAGAAAGCAAAAAAAAAATAGTCGCTTAGTTACCGTCGTAAGCCAGCACACACAGAACCAAAGAAGAAAGGAAAGGGAAGTGATGAAAGAACATCTACCGCCGTGTGCAAATATACCACGCACCCAACGGTCTGTGTGCGACTGCGGAGACGACCAACGCGCAGAGGAGTGGGAGTGCACGGCCCAGAGACAGAAAAACAAAACTGAGCAGCTGCTTTGTGCACCGCAGTTGCCGCGTCGATAACAGTTAGAAAACCCCAAAATAGAAGAAAGAGAAAGGAGGAAGGAGTGGAGGGAGGGAGACGGGGAGGGGGAGAGGGAGGGGAAGGCGCGTCGCTCAAATGGTTAGAGTTGCCAAAAGCCAATACGTTCTGGTGTACGGCAAAACGGGACAGAGAACGTGGTGACGCTGCGGACGTACTTTTGTATCTCAGTTATTCGCTTTTCTTTCCGCAGGGAAGCAAAAATCTCCCCAATGCGCTTCCGCTGCTGTTCCGTTTTTAGGGCATCGGCGGGCCACCAGCAACGCTATTATTTCCTTAAAGGCGTCGATCGACACAGGATGCGGGGCAACTCCCTCTATCACCAGGAGCCCCGCATGTGTTGCCGTGCGATGCGAAGTTATTGAAGTGCAAGGATAAAGAGGGATATAGAAGGATAAATAGGTGGCTTGAACGCCGTAAAGAAAAAAGGGGGAGAAGGATTAGAGGGGGTAGAAGACGACGACCAAAGGAGGGGCACCAAAAGTGAAAAAAACGCGGTGCAACTCGATTAACGTCGGTCAGCTGGGAGGCTTCTTTCTCGCCCAACGCGCAGCGTATACGGAGCCAGAAAGCAAACAAAAAAAGGGTGCCGCGTGGCGGAGATGCACCCCCAATCCGTTGACTTCCGTAAAAGAAAATAACCATAAAAAAGAAGAAGAAGAGAGAAGAGATGATGACGAAGCGTGCACTACGGAGCGCGTCCGCTTCTCTTCGGGCGTCGGATGTAATCAACAAAAACAGACGCACCAGGAAAGAAGAAGATGCACCGGGTAGTAACACCCACACACACACGCGCGCACTCACGGCCGACGGCCCCCAAAAAGGCAACTTCCTTCACCCGTCCGCTACATCTTCGCCAGAAACCCGCCGTGCACGTAGAGCATGTGCCCGTTGCCGAAGTCTGACGCGGCAGAGGCGAGGAACACCGCCGCACCGGCCAGGTCATGCGGCTGGCCACAGCGACCAGCGGGGGTACGCTGAGACAGCCACGTGCGACAGCCCTCATTCTTCAGGAACTCGGCCAGAATAGCCGTATCAAACCAGCCGGGGCCGATGCCGTTCACCTGGATGTTGTAGCGGGCCAGTTCCACGCACATGCCTTTTGTGAGCATCTTCACCGCACCTTTCGTGGCAGCGTACGGCGTAATGTTGTCGCGACCGAGTTCACTCTGCATAGAACAGACGTTGATGATCTTGCCTCGCTGGCGCTCCTTCATGTGCTGGCCCACCGCCTGTGACACAAGAAAGACCGAATTCTCGTTGACCGACACCAACGTGTCCCAGTCAGCCTCTGGGAACTCTAGAAAAGGATGCCGGCGCTGCATCCCGGCGTTGTTGACGAGGATGTCGATGGGGCCCACCTCCTCCTCAATGCGGGCGATTCCGCGGCGCACCTCTTCGGCGTTGCTGACATCAAAGGCCACCGCCACGGCATCAATGTGCTTCTCCGCGCGCAGCTGGGCGACCACCTCGTCGCACTTTTTGGCCTCCCGCCCGTTCACGACGAGTTTGGCGCCGTGCTCGGCGAGACCGGTGGCGATGGCGAGTCCGAGGCCTTGCGTCGAGCCGGTGACGAGGGCCACCTTGCCGGACAAGTCAAAGAGAGAAGTCATCGGTGCAGTGCGTGTCTTGGCGGAGTAGAAGAGACTGTGAAGAAGAGGAGGGGGGGGGGGGAAGAGAAAGAAAGAGATACAAGCGACAGGAGGAGTGCGCGAGCACTTGCAAGGAGTCAACTGATAGTGGAGGTAATCGGCAACACGCTTCGTTGCAGTTTGATGTCCCCTCAAAAAGGCACAGAAGTCGTTGCCTGCTCGTCCTCTGACCGTAGTGAGGAGGCACGATTCGATCTCCGATCTTCTCTTCTCTACCAGTTTTATCGGTGGCGAGTGCGCAGTGGCCACCGGCACCGGTCTCCACGCGAGAAGGTAGACGCTTTGCGAAGGAAAAGAAAAAGATGCGAAAGGAAAGAAAAGAACCGCAACTTGGAGATCCGCAGCAACAACCAAACCACCTTAAAAACGTCGACGTCGCAACTCCCATGGACTGCAACTCAGAGGCAATAAACGCAAATTCTAAAAAGAAGTTGGAATGTACAGAAGAAGAAAAAAGACATGACATTGAATGAAACAGTACACGCTGTGTTGCCTTCAAACGCACACCAAAGTACGCAGCACGGAGGAGACGGAAAAAGAGAACAGCGCGACATAACAGACGCCCGGCTTCGCATTGCGGAATAGAAAACACATGAAACAATGCGTAAAATTGGAGGACACAAAACTCCCCCATGCGAAGGTGTGTTTTCAGTTAGCGGGTTAGTTATACTTTGGTTTGTAAATGAAAAGAAAAAGAGATTCGACCTCGCGTCGTGGAAGTCAGAAGACCGTGCACCGTTGACCACGTTGACCGAAGCAACATAAGAAAAAAGAAGAAGATTGGTGAACCCATCAGCGGTGCACCAACGGGAAAGGAGTAGACACATTGTTTTGAAATATGAGGAAATGCCGCTTTTGTTCTTACTTGAAGAGTGCGCGCGTACGTCACACGCGGCGTGCAAAGTGGAGATGCAGTACGTAACCAACGATCGGCGCCCACGAGTAAAACCAAAAAAAAAGGTGCCATCGTTGTACGAAGAACCAAACAGGAAAACGAAGAGTGATTTTTTTCCTCCTCCTGCTACGCAAAGAGGTGTGCGACCCGAAGCAACAACGTATCCACATAACACAGGCGCAGTACGCAGCAAAGGAAAACAGGAAAGAGGCCAAATAACCCCGACAGCAAGCACTTCTGCTTATTGCATCCGATCAAGGATCCATACAATGAACGCGGCAGACAACAGAATTGAGACAAAGAGAGTTGGCACATGCAAGGCCCGCCACACGCACCGTCACGACAAAGGCGCGCAGAGCTTAAAAACAAAAAGGACTGAATACACCCCCAAGATGGGTAGCAGATCGCTATCGGAGGAATTGAAAAAAGAAAAACGGATGCAACGTAGCAGTGAGAAGGAGAGCTGAGTAGAAAACAACGCTCTCACATCTCAGGAAAACAAAATGAGAGGAAATATAAAAATAAAAGGCGCGGAGACGCAGCCACAAAAGGCAGCCCTCGCCATACCCTTTCCTTTCCTCAACGCGACGGAGTCAAAGAAGCGCCGGGTCGGAGGTAGAGTTCTCTAGTGTTTCCGCACCGTAAAAGTCCGGCACGTCGTCCACCACGTTCGTCATGGAAGACTTGCTCAAAATGGACGCCGCCGGCATCAGCGCGGGGAGCTCAACTCCGCCCTCCAGCGGCACCAGCACAGCCTCATTGTGCACGTCCGGCGCTGCCGGAGCTGCCACCGCCTCCGTAAACCGAATTTGGCTGAAGCGACGTTTTAAAGCGCTGTTCTCCACCGGGTTGTCGAGAGGGATGTAGTCGCCTTCGCGGGTCTTCCTTCGGCGTGGGGCGTCAGGACGGGGCCGCTGCGCACGCGTGCTCATGTACGTCCCCTCCTCTGTCGCTACCGTCTTGCGGTACTCCTTGATGGCGCGCTTCTCCTCCGGGTTGAGGGGGACGTACTCCTTGTCCTTCCACTGCAGAAACGACGCCGCCGCCCGCCGGGCGCGTTCTTGCGGGTCGGACTCGACCGAGAAGACGTCCTCGCTGCCGAAGCTGTTCAAACTGCCGGATTGATTGGAGCTGCTGCTGGAGCTGGTAGTGGAGGACTTCTCCGACGAAGAACGGGAAGAGGACGTGGAGTCAGAGGCGGACGTGGAGTCAGAGGCGGACGTGGAGTCAGAGGCGGACGTCCCATCGTGGGTTGGGCTGCCACTGTAGCCACCGTCGCTATCGTCGTCACCGCTACTCACCGTGGTGTAGGAGGTGCTCTTGCAGTCCAGGAGAGGGTTGCGGCGTGGTTGGGCCGGCACGCGCTGGGACGGCTTCCGAGCTGCCGGGATGGTGTCCTTTAGGTATCCTAAGCAGCTGCCCATCGCGGAAAGAACTAAGCGACTCTAAAAATCGTCGTTTGAGCGGTGGTCTCGCCTCCTCTCTTTTCCTTGGTTGTTGATGTTCGGGGCGGGAGTGGAGAGGCTGCTCCGTGGACTCCCAAGGGTAGCTTCAACACAAACACACACAGGAAGCGAGACCCTGGTTTGTTTTTGCTTCCTTTCTTTCCGCAAAGGTCGGTGGTCTCCAGCCGCGATGAAAAGACTGAGGGTACAACGTGAATCAAATCGTAGTGCTCGATGGCGGCCACAATGGAAGTTGCTTTGATGTGTGGGCACGCACAGATACATCTTTAATCCCTCAGAAAGAAAGGGTGATCGTCGTCGTCACGCGGGAACTGCAGGCCACCCACACACGCACACGCGCTTTCTGCTGCTCAGCGAATACAGCAGGCACGAGGAGAGAAAATGCTGAGAAGCGAGATAAGGAGAGAAAAGGGCGAATACAAGGAAAGAAAACAAGTAAGACGCATCGACAGGAGAGAGGGCGGTGCGACACAATCTGCAGCCGTGCGCTCTCACCAAGTGAGCGGACGCACCCGATTTATAGCGACCATGAAGTGAGAAGGCCGCGCTGCCACTTAGAACTCTCCGGCTCCCAATAGCACAGCTACATGAGCTAGCACCCTTGTCAGCTAGTAATTAAAAACCATATAATCACTATGATAGCTGTCATCAGAAAAAGAAGTGCAGCACGCGAACGAAGGAAAAGGGGTTTATTGGCGCACGCAGCGCCGCCGTCTTTTCCCTCCTTTCGTCTCATCATTCATCGTCCAATGGGAGAGCAAACCCACGACCGAAAAAAAGCAAACGGAAACAGTACTACGGACAGCTGCGGTGCAACAGAGTTCCGTCATGCGTGAGATTTGTGGCGCACGTCAGACAGGCCGTGGTGGTGGCTGAGCGACACACCTGGCGCAGAGCCCCCCATTAGGATGCTAGAGGAAGACAAACCCAACGTAGAGCTGCTTGTGGCACCGGACTTGCCTGCGGACAGCTTCGTCAGTTGCTGCTCAGGCCAATTCACGTAGCCGTCCTTTTCTGCATCTGTGGGGAAGCGCTTCCATGGACAGAATGTCTCGGGCGACGCTCGTCTCGCTGGCGCACCCATCCCGTTGTGCGCCTCTACTGCCGCATTTCCCCTCATTCTGGTTCCACGAGCTTTCTTTTCGCTCTCTCTCGCCGGTGACGAGGACGGACTATCCACTGTGCCGGAGAGCTCCTTCTCGGGTGCCTCGTAGGGAAAGGAAACGAAACACCGACGTGCGCCGCCACGGTTGCCGCCTGGTTCACGCAGATTCATTCCAGTGCACGGAGGTTGCGGCTTTCCGGCTGACAACGGAGAGACGGGGGCGGCCGGACTCGCCTCCATGAGCCGTGATGACACTTTCATGATGCGTGTGGCGTGACCTCCTCGGCGTGAAAAGGAGTCTGAGTTTGTTGGTGGCAACGAGAGACGAAGAGCTTCTGCGCGCTGCCGAGGCTTGTGTTGTCGGGGTTGGTTCTCCTGCGGTGGGGCGTCCGCCGTTCCCGCCACGTTGTTGCGCCTCCATGCCTGCGTCGACGGGGGCGATGCACCGCGTGCCGACAACGTCGCTACGGGCGAGTGCCGCCGTGCGGTCTGCGGTGGCACCCTGCCCATCGTGTGAAATCGCTCCGCCACGGGGACCAGCGGAAACGCTTGCATGGCCGCCTCTCGCAGATTTACTGGCTGCGGCCTGTTGGCGGTGTGGCTTGGGCTGGCGGCTGCGTAGGGGCGGGGGATCGCATCGACGTAGCCGTTTTGATGCTGTGTTTGATGGGCCTCCGCGAGGGGTTCCCTGTTGACCGTCGACAAGCCGTTCTCACAGTGCGGCGCCTTCACAGACGCGTTGTCGTGCGGAGTGTGTGTGATACCTACAGTGCAGCTGCTGCTGCTCAAGGAGAGTGTTTTACCCCGTCGCAGCTGCCCACTACTACCCGCAGTCTCAGTAGGAGACACGCTGGCACCGCTCCCGCTCGTATTCTCCGTGTAGTTGTAGAAGGAGGCGACCGCAGTGGCGGCGAGAGGGATGCCGCGTGACGGGCTAATGCTGCGGTGCAGCCCGCTCGTAGGCTTCTTCAGCTTCTTCGAATTCTTCTGGTCTTCCTTTTGAGCGGGCGAAGACTTTTTTTGAGGGCCGTCCGCCGACGGCGCTGCGTTGTTGTACGTGCCCGCGTCGTCACGTTGACGCTGTGGGGAGAGAGCCGACTTCTCCGATGCCGCGTGTGGCCTTGGCGGAGAGGGCTTGGGTCCCAGGTGGGTTCGGACTCCCCGCAGCGTAATCGCAAGTTCGTCCGCGCTGCCCTCCGCCGTCTCTACCATGCGCGTCAGCGACGTCGCCGTGCCGCTTCCCTCGGAGCTCGAGTCGAGCAGCAGCCATGACGAGGGAGACGCACTCACCCTTGCTAACAGTGGGAACTTCTGCGACGGAGGAGGGGAGGACGACAGCGGTGGGGTGGCTTGTTGCAACGAAGCGTCGGTTTTAACGTCCTTAACGTCGCCCCGGCGCGGCGTGTCCGTTCGCTGCTGCAACGCAGGCCACTGCGTATTAGAAGGCCTTGCCGTGCCTGGTGGAACAGCAGAGCGGCACTGCACCTCCACGGCCCGTACAGGAAGCGTTGTCTCTGTGGGCAGCACCGGCTTGTGTTTTGTTCCTCGCAATTGCAGCGCGAGGGCGACCGAGGGCGGCACCTCGATGTCCACTGTGCCGTCGCTGGAATGCGACGACTGGGCCATGAAGTTGTCTTCAAAAACACCTTTCGGACTGCTCTTCTTCTTCTTTGGCCCAGCTGGACAGGAAGAGACCTCGAGTGGCGTCTTCGGTTGTGCAGCCGAGACAGCCGCGGTGCCCCTCACAATCGGAGGACGCGAAAGGGCAAGACGCCCATCGCCACTCCACCGGTCACCGGCAGATACGACAGGAGAGGTGATGCGCCTGGGAGCTGTCGGTGCGGTGCGGCAGGGCGGGTCGGCTGATTCCGAAAGCGCCTTCACCCTCGCCTCTGCTTCTCCAGCTGTATCGTCGACACTCGTCGATGCGGGAGAACGGCGCAGAGGTGCGAAGGCCGGCAGCGCTCCTGCTGCTTTGGGGACACCAGAGGAAGGCAACAGACGAGGAGCACTCGCCGCAGCGAACAAGGGCTCTTCGGCGAGTGTTCCGGGGGCTGGAAGAAGAGCACTGGGGCTGGGGCTCGTTTGGATGCTCTTCAACGTACTAGACGGCTTCCAGTCGAGCAGGTACCCCGTACTGTGCTCCTGCAGAATAAGGGTTCCGTGAGCCGTCGTCATCGCTGCATCGTCCGCCGTGGTCTTTTGAGCAGCCGGAGGAAGGAGGCCACTGCTGCCGGGCTGGCCTAGCTGACGCAGCGCACCCATCGTGAAGTTGAAGTCGCCGTGAAAGATAAGGGTGGTGCTCACATCCGAAAGAGAGGCGTCGTGCGCACCACTGGCGGAGCGCCCACTGGGCAGGTGCTCCCGTGAAGTCAGCGCATCCTTCTGCGCTTCGTTTTCAACGGAATCGTGCTCGGCGGCCGGAGAAGGAGAAGAGAAAATGGGCAGCACGCTCCCATCTTCATCCGATGCGGCGGGCTCTAATTCATAGAGGGCAGACGGAGACGGTGTGTGTGCTACAGGAAAGGTCCTCGTTTTGCGGCTTTCGTAAGAGCTTCGCCAGTACTCCTCCGCCACCGTCAGCGACGCTTCCCAGTCGGCGTAGGAGTCGGTACACCGAGAGGGCGGCGAGACACGAGAGGAGAAAGAGTAGAGGGGCACATTGGCGTCTGACGTTTTAGACGTGAGAGCTTCGGTGGAGCCCGTGCCAGCGCCGTCGTCGTCGTCGTCGTCTGCAGCCCAGTCCGAGGCGGTCTCGAAGAGATCAGGCGGCGGGGAGGTACCTCGCCTCACGCTCACGGGCTCGTACGCCCACTCTAGCGTCCAAAAATCGTCCTTCATGGTGCCTCGTGCGTCTCTATCACTTGTCCAGTTCCTTGATGAGACCCCCCCCCTCCTCCTCAAAAAAGAATCAGCGAGGTGATTAACTGTGATGCTGTTGAAGCTGAGTGTGAATCCCAAACGTCGTCGAGTAGAACGCAAGATGATACACAGGAAAGAAAGGGGATTAAATATAACAGTTAAATAATGAAAATATCAACAGCAACGCTAAAGGCGAGATGGAGGCGTGTGCATTTGAAGGAAAGAAGATGGATGCCACACACACACACATACACACCTGAGGAAGCTACCCAAGAAAACGGGCAAAGGAACGCAGAAAAGAAGTAAGATAGAATGAGCAATACGTTTGTGTTTAATAGTAAGCAAAAAACCTCCCACTCAGTGGAATCCGAATGATAAGCAAGTAAAGGAAAAGAATGAGATTAACGAAAAAATAACAATCATAAAGTAATAACAGGACAGTAATGATACGCGCACTACGCAAACGAGCAGAGAGGCGCTACACCGCCGTGGGAGTCAACGACAGCTATATATATATATAAACAGCGTTTTAGGTGAAGTGAGACAAAAATCAAGAACAGAAAAAAAAGGTATTAAATGAAAGCAGCCGCGCCGTTGGGCTTCGGGTGGAGAGAGGGAGGAGAAAGGGAAATCCCAATGCAGATGTAAATTGGCTTTGGTGACTTGACATGGCCATAGCCGCCACACAATGTTTTGCTCAGCGTGCGTGGAAACCGCTGATTTATTATTATTATTAATTGTTAGCAGAGACGTGCGAGAACGGCGTTGGAGGGAAAGAGAGATGAGACACGCGAGATGACCAATTCTTGATGCGTCACGTACGTGAAGTGGGTGAGCTGAGGCGGCAACCAAGAAGACAGAGGCAGGCGCGACGACTCGAGTTGGCGCATGCAACAGAAGGTCGCAACCCGAAGATGAAAAAGAAAAATAAAAAAGCTTGTGAGCCTGAAAAACGTGGAATTCACTCCGAGCAGACCTTCACGTCTAGATTGTGAAAGTGACTATCGGTATGTATTTTGTTTCCTTGTTTTGAAGCGCTAGGTGACGCACACCAACGCCCGTGTGCCACATAAACACCATCCTTGCCGCGACAGTGCAACGAAGTACAAACACAAATAAAGAGCGTACAGTTAAATTAAGAGAGGGAGAAGTCTACATATATATATTAACAAGAACATAACACGGTTGCTACCAGCGGCGTGCACTCTCTCCCCCCCCCCCAAAAAAAAAGAAGAAGGAATCCACCCCACGCTTCTCAGCGGCGACTTGGCAGGGAAACACGCATTAAAGCGAATGAAAAATAAAAATCTACGGTGCGTATGCGGTGTCACGCAAAGGGCGTAACGGAACACATAAATGGCAACGGAAGACAAACACACACTCCAAACCATCATCAAGCCACGGAGAAATGGGCTCTTGACGTGACATGAGAAGGGAAGAATAACCGTACCGTTAACGCCTGCATTACGCAAATCGCGTGCTGCAGGACAGAAAGAAAAAAAAGAAACTTTTGAACACATCCAGAGTGACACGCGGCAATATAACCCCAATCGCCTGTGCAGCCTTACATGCACGCGCAGCAGGACTTGCCCTTCTCTTTCTTCTTCTTGTCTTCTTTGTCCGCGTCCTTTGCCTTGTCGTCCTTCTTCTTTGCAGCCGCTTCTTCCGGCTTCTTCTTGTCGGCGGGCTCGGACGAAGCCGGCTTCTGCTCGGCCTTCGGCTTTTCGTCGGCCTTGGGAGCCTCCTCCACCTTCGGCTTCTTGCGGTCGCCCTCCTCCGGGGCGGAGACGATGGCCTCGCCGGTGCCCGGGATCTTCGCCATAAAGGTGCCCGCGTTCACCGCCTCGTAGTCGAAGCCCTTCTCTTTCAGGAAGGCCTCCGTCGCCCCCTTCAGCTTCTGGGCCCCGGGAGCGGAGTGGTGGCCGGCGCCGGGGATCACCTCGAACTCCGTCACGGTGCCCTCGGGCTTCGCCTCCAGCTTCGCCACGCGCTCCTTCAGCATCTCCATCGCCTCATCCTCGTGCAGGCCGTGCATGTCGAAGTACTCCTCCCCTTTGCCTTTGTCCTCGTTGTTGAACTTCGCGATGGCGGCGGCGGCCTCGCGGTGGCGGGCCTGCATCTCCTCCCCGGCCTTCTTGCCCTCCTTCACGAGTTTATTCGCCCCTTCGTGGTCGCCACCCTCGCGCTTTTTCGTGGCCTCGTCGTACAGCTTCGACCGCTTGTCGCCCAGCGCGTTGGCCTCCGCTCGCAGCCTCGACCCCTCCGGTCCTTCGTAGTCGGGGTTCTCTTGGTTCTCGACGATCTTGTTCACCTCCGCCACGGTCGCCGCGAGCTGAGCGTCGTCGTCCGCCGTGATCTTCACCTGCGGGCCCTCCTTGAGGATCTCCACCTTGGCGCCGGTGCGCTCCTGAATGTCCTTGATGGTGGCCCCGCCCTTGCCGACCACGTGGCCGATTTGGACGGTGGTGATGTCGATGCACTGCTCCGGCATGATGTGGGTGTGCGTGTGTGTGGGGCTTATGGAAGGAGAGCAAAGGAACAATGAAAGCGTAAAATAATAATGATAAAAGAAGGCTCTAATTCAATGACGCAGGAGAATGCCAAAGGTGGGTAATGCTAGCACTAGTTGAAAATATAGCTGTTTGGTTTTCTCATTGAAGAAGTGAGAAGGATAACGGAAGAGAGGGGAAAGGTGAGAGGAGGCAGCGTCGTAGGGAGGTCGATGACCGAGGCGGGGGGGGGGGTCCACAAGACCGCCAAAGTGCGTTGTGCGATGCCTGTAACGGAGTAAGCAGCTTCGACATGCTCCTCCACCAATAGGCGACGCTGATGTACCGGAAGCCACGCCGTCGCACGAACACCAGCAAATACTACAGTTCACATTTTACACATCAACAACGAAGAGAGGATAAGAAACAAAAACAGAGCCATTCATCAACGGGCCAGAAAGGAAAAAACAAGAAGAAGGCGGAAGCACAGGTATAAGAAGCGAGATATGATCAACAGACGTGTCGTGGAAGTGGTAAAGCGGCGTGAAATGCGGAAGTCAATGTGAGAGAAAAATCCTCCTCCCTCGAAAGGCGCAGCAAGAGAAGCAGAAACATCAGGCGAAGAGAGAGGGAGAGGGCCCACACCGACTCTCAAGTTCAGCGAACAACAGCAGGTACAACAAAAACGAATGCCGCGCCAGTTCCTTAAGCGTTGGGCAGGTGAGGAAAGAGAAAACAACTCCACAGGCGCTTAGCTGAGTGACGCTAATAGCCGTAGAAGTCTTTGTTCTTGCCTCCCACGTACTCCGGCTCCTCCTCGTCGTCGTGATCCGGCGTGCTGATGTAGGTCGGGCTCTCGACTTCCCACCCCGCTATCCCCGCCCCTCCCACCGCCCGCAAAAGACCGTCATCGCCGCGGTACGGGTTACTCTCGCCGTACTCGACCACCAACACCAGCACCTTCTTCCTCTTGTTGTAGAGGATGTAGTGCCGCGAGTAGACGGTGCTGTCCGCCAACGGGTCGCAGGAGGGGCAGCGGAACTCGTAGTACTCGCACCCGCCCGCCGCGTTGTCGACCACCTCGTCAACTGTGGGCCAGAAGCGCTGCACCGCCGGGCCGCACTGCTCCGGCAGCGAGTCGAGCGTGTTCTGCACCTCCGTCTTGAGCTGCGGCTCCGTGTAGCAGACGAAGTCATCCTCCTGCAGCACCGAGAAGTCGTAGCCGTCGCTCTCGTAGACGGTGTTCAGTGCCGTGACGAAGTACACCAGCCGCTCATCCAACGCCTCGGGGTCAACCGGGGTGTAGCCGCCGACCTCCCCTCCGCTGCCCCCGCCGAGCACCAGCGGCGGCAGCGGCTGCGGTACAGCGAAGCCGTCGAAGGAGGCGACGCCCGGCGAGGGGCTGATGGGCGGCGTCATTTGCACATTGTTTTGATAGCTGGCGATGCTGTTGGCGATTTGCTTCTCCTCTTTCGTGTGTCGGCACGTGTACGCCTCCAGCCGCACCGTGATGCGGCAGCCCTGCGCCTCCACGCCTAAAAGGAGGGAGTTGAGGGTGCTAAAGCTGTCGATGGGGATGAACTTCATGCTCTCTTGGGTGTGCGTTGAGGAAGGCCCGCACAGCTGGGTGCGATCGGACGCAGGCGGCTCGGGTGCAAGCGCAGCGGCAGGGTGTTAAACAGTACAGATACAGTTTACAGATAATTATGTTGAAGACGTTTTTGATGGCGCGTCCACGTTGGTATTTTACAAATCATAAATTCCAGAAAAGATAGCGCCATCCACAAAAGGACTGCACAGAGGCGTTTGCCGGATGCACGTCAAACGGCAATCGAGTTGTAGCTGCCCACGGGTTTGAGTTGGCACGACACCGCGTGAAAGATAATATCTGGTGCACGTGTGGGAACGTGCGGATTCTACGGAATTTGCGGAAAAGCCAGGAGGAGAGAAGGCCGAAGGTGTGCGTACAGGAGTGAAAAGAAGAAAAGATAGAATTTCCAGTAAAGCTGCTAGCGTCGTGTTTGGCCGATGCACCAGCCTCCGTAGGCGGCGCAGGAGGTGCGCTTCACGGTGCCGGCGTTCGTTTCAATAAACTCCATTAAGAGAGAGAAAGAAAAAAGGGAAGAGCTTCCGGGAGGGGGGGGGGGAGGTACGTTGCATGGCAAGAAGCACCGGAGGCGCATTTTCCTTCACGCCGTACTGATGGCAGCACTCTTGCAAATCGATAACCGTTGCTGATGTAGAAAACAGTCTTTGACGGTATGAACGCAAAGGCGATTCCCCCCAGAAAAGGACCAGACAGAAAACAGTTGGAGAGCATCGCTGCCTGCATGACGCCCCGGTTTCAAATAAGAAAAGTGGAAGACAATTTTGCGTACGGCTTTTCTCTTCTTTTGAGCTTCTCTACTGTAGGCTCGAGAACACATCATGTAGAGAAAGAGAAGCGCCTCACTAACGTGCTCTTCACGCAGTAGGCATTCACCGCAACGATCTCTTCCAGTGCTACAGCACAGTAGGCAACACACACACACACACACAGACACAACAAACTCAAAGACCAGGACAGTGTCGCCCTCCAACAGCGCACGGGACAACTTCTTCCATGTATGCAGTCGTGACAAAGAAAACAAACAAAAAATGGCACTTCTATTCACGGTAGTGTTACGGTAAACAACAGTCTATTGTGGCCACAGGTCCAGTGCGATAAAGAGAAGGTTATTGTTGTTTCTCAATTCTTCTTCGACATCGCCCAAAATGCCGTCGTCGCACCACCTTTCTCTCCGTTCTATACAAACCCCCCAAAAGTAAAATACAGTTGTTGTCTTACCTCTTCCTCTTCTTGCCACCAGCGCTCTGTGCCTTAGCGGCCTTTGTCACCGCGGCCGCCACCCTCTTCTTCTTTCCCGGCGGTGCTGCAATTTGCTCTATCTTCTTGAGCGCTAGTCGATTGAGGTTTGGCAGCGGAATCGAGCGGGAGACGCCGGACTTGCGAGGCGACGCAGCAGCCGCAGCAGAAGACGGCGACTTCTTTCCATGCGCACCGCCGCGACCGCCGGCCACCGCCTTTGCAGGTCGTGCCGCCTTCGTTGTCTTCCTCTTGCCCTTGGATAGCTTGGCGGCATGAAAGGCTTTCGCATGCGCAGGGGCCGTGTGGCGGCCCTTCCCTTTGGCCTTCTTGGGGGACGGAGAGTCTGCCCCAACCGCCGTCGCAGCAACGCGGCTCTTTGCGTTTTCTATCGTAGCCGTCGTGGCGGCATCTTTAAGTCGTTGTGACGCACGCCGGCCTTTCCTTCTACCGGTCTTGACCGCCGTGGAGGACTCCTGCAGCGAGCCGCCTTCCGCGGTCTCTCCCCCCGCCGCCACCTCGCCTGCTGATGCCTCGTGTCCGGCTAGCGAGTTCGTCCTTCGACCTGCGCTAACTCCCTCTGCGGACGCTGCATTCCACGGCGCTCGCACCGCGCCGTTGTACCGCGAGCCCGATGCGCCGCGTTGTGCGTGAAAGCGCTGCTGTGCGTGACCGGTGGGCATCTCCGGCATCTGCCCCTCCCGCGCCATCTCCATCGTGCACTCCTTCACGCGGTCCAGAAAAGCTTCGAAGCGGGTACAGCCGCGGGTGAGCTGGTACTTCATCTCCTCCCTCACCGCGGCGTTGTAGTTGGCGGCTTCCTCGTAGAAGCGCTTGCGACCGGCCGGCATGGACTTGTAGTTTTTGTGGAGCGCCAGCACGTACATTTTATCCTGCCCATCGTGTCCGGCAGCGTTGGGAAGGTGGTTGCTGTTGGCGCTGCTGCCGCCCCCGCTGAGTCGCTGCTGCCGCGCTAGCTGCTGCTCCTTGATGTAGACATCCACCCCGGTCGCAGGCAGGGCCGGCTGCATCTCCGTCGGCAGCAGCGTCCACGGCGCCTCCATCAGCTCGAAGAGCTCCTTAATGCGCTGCGTCTGCCGTGTCTGCACGCTTTGGCGCCGCGTCGTGACGGAGGAGTGGCGACGCTGCAGAGCGGCGATTTCGGCATCGATGTGGTTCAAGAGAAAGCGGTAGGCGTCGGCGGACTTGGCGGCGGTGGGCGACGAGCTCGCCGCTGCGCCGTCCCCCACGTCGCTGGCTGTGTGCTGTTGCTCTTCGTGGGTACTCTCCATGTGACCGGCGCTGGTCCCCGCCATCGTCTCTGCGGTGTGACTACCGTGAGGGGTCCGTGCTGTCTTCCCGAGAGAGCCCTGGGCAGGGTCGATGTGTGCTGCCTCTTCGTCCGTTCCTCCGACGGTTGCGGAGGGTGGTGAATGCGGCCGCCGTGTGATGGACATCACCCGCCGTGCGGACCCAGCGGCGGAGCGCTGCTCCTGCGGCGCCTCACTCCTACGCTCTCCCACTCCCCCCTGAGCACCGGCTGGCGGAAGGTCGTACTTTCGCTCCAGGCGTGAGAGCATCTCCTGCGCACTCATGTTGCGGCTACTGCCGTGCGCAGCGGCACTCGTGTGCAGCGGGCGGCCCAGCGGCTCAATAGGAATGTCATCCATTAGGTCGAGCGACTCCGACCCGTCAAGATCGTCCGTGTCTCCACTTCGATAGCCGGGAGAGGCGGAGGCGGTCGCGGTGGGGGTTGGGAGCGGCCGGCTTGCTGTGCGACCCGCTCTGGACATGACGGGACGCACCGACTTGCGCTCCAGCCATCGACTCAGCGTATGCCGTAGCATCGTTGCACCTTCTATACAAAGGGGTGGAAAACCACAGAAAGCGTACAGAAGGCAGGAAGAGAAATGAAAGAAAACAAAAGAGAGATCGTACACGTCTATGGGATAGCGCTGAAGAACATCCAAACTGGTAGTCGACGAGGCAATTTCCTTCTTGTTGTTTATTTGCGAAAGAAAGACCCCAGTGAACTTTCAAGAACGCTTCAACAGGTGATGGCGGCAGAACACTTTTCTCCGCCCTCGTGTGGGCGCAGGCTAAACGGATGGAGGCGTGTCTTGTGCGCAACGCGTGGCACGCATGTGTTTCTTCGGGGCCCCTCACAAAGCTGTGCGCCGTTGCTCGAGAAGGGGAGAACGAGAGAGGAAACAAAAGTGAGACGTTCGTGCCCGATGTGGGAAGCGCCAAAGAGACACGAAAGGTAATAAGAAAAAGGAGTTCGCGGTACACAGGAAGGTTTTCTTGCGCAGCGGACTTTCATTGGTCAGAGACGAGAACAGAAGACTCAACGCACACGTACCCACACGTAGAAGCATCCCTTCAAGGGGTAGAGAGAAAGCGGCTGAGGAGCGGAAGCCAGCGGTGCAGCGCCTCGCTCCGACTGAAAACCGTTCGTTGCGTTCGCAGCCTCAAGAACAGCGGGCACGCGGTGATGTGGGCCACTGTGAAGGGAGCCGATCCGGCGCAGTCCCGCAGGCTCTTTTTCACGTCCAGAATTTATTATTATTACGAAGGAGACCGAGCTTCAACGAATTAATCATGCATTGGAACGAACGCGACCACTGGAAGTGCTTCCAGAAAACAGAGTTTCTCCCTCGCACCCGCAACTGTGGGGCCCTGATGACCATCCATCAAAGCACGAACAGACACAAATCCAATCGTGTCCCATTAAATATATTTATATTAGGGGGAGGGAGTGAGAGGGATTAAAGCATCAATGCAAAAGAGAAAGATAAGACTACAAATACTGCAGTAAGAAACGACGAAGACGGTTCGAACGGACTTCGAAGACGTGCCATCAACAGTTTCGTCCTCTACGCAAGCGCGCTGTACCCCTCGTTGATGCCGGCGGCCTTCTTCGACTCCGCAGAACCGGGCACCAGCACCCGCTCCACATCCACCTCTCCCCGCACCAGCTGTGTGTGTCGCTGCACTCGATTGAGCTGCTTCTCCATTTTCATGACGCGGTGGGCGAGGTACATGGCGACGGCGAGCATGCACCCGGTGATCGCCCACGCCCCGAGGCCAAGCAGCGCCACGGCGGCCATGATGAACATGAAGTCCAGCCGGAACCACATCATCGCCATCCACTCCGTCTTCGTCACATCGAAGACCTGCGTCAGATCGTAGGCGCGCATCGCGTAGAGGCCGGCGGCGGCCAGGCCCGGCACCGCGGCGAGGTAGGACAACACCGAGGGCACGTGCAGCCGCGTCCAGCCGAAGACCGACGGTAGGAGAACAAGGAGAAGCGTCAAGACGGGCGCCACGACCCCGCAGACCACGACGACGGCGTGCACTATGTTGTTGCTGCCGACGTTGTCTGCTGCGTCCGACCGGTTCATCGCAGCTGCAGTGGCGGCGGAGGGCCCGTGCTCATCAATGAAGGCGTAGTCGCGTGCGTTGGCGGGTGCAGGTACGCCAGTGAAGCGCTCCCGCTCGTGCTGGTATAAGTCGACCGCGGTGGCGGTGAGGGAGTCCAAGACGGCGATCGTGTCGAGATCGGGGGATTCGTTGGGCGCGCAGTCGTCCAGCTCGGGGTGGGCGTTTTTCTGCTCGTTCAGCTTCTTGGCGTAGAAGAAGTCGCAGCAGAAGAAGACGATGAGCTCGAGGAAGCACAGCGCGGTGGGAAGCCCGTCCGTCATTTTTCTCTGAAAATCTGAGGAGCCGCGGTGATGCTGAATAATCGAATAGAAACAAATAAGGAGACAGGCGTATCGTTGCTGCCTACGCACGGAGAGAACGGAATATCACTCGGTGGCCGACGATCTGTCACCTGCCATGTGAGGAGAGGAAAGGTAAAGAAGGAAGGCGGGAAAGTTGAGGTGCAGCGAGAGATCCACACGCACTAGTGAAAGATAATAATAAAGTGCTAGAAATCTGCACAGGCCAACAACCAGCAAGAGCATAAGACGCCAGCACCTTTACACAGCTGCCTTGTATGAAAGACCTGGAATGGAGCAGCAAAAGTGTCCCAACCCCCTTTCAGTCCCTTCTCCAACCCGTGCACCGGCGTTGCGCTGTACGCCCTGTACTTCGTGCACTTCAACGTCGTGAGTGTTTTTGTTTGTCATGGTAATAAGAGATTGACCGGGGGAAACAACGACTCAAGTTTTTAGGCAGAACGGCGCTGCCAAAACACAACGCAGCAAAGTACAACGCAAACCCTTTTTGCAGCCGAAAGGTGATCGAATCATCTTCTAGGTGAGCTCCACCTCCGCGCCCAGCTTCACCATCGTCGCCTTCAGCTTCTCCGCGTCTGCCGTCTGCATGTGTCGCGCAATGACACCGGGGCACTTCTCAATCGCCGACTTCGCCTCCTGAATGCCGAGCCCGCACGCAGCACGCAGCTCCTTAATCAGCTTGATCTTGTTCTCCGGCGGGTATTTCTTCAGTGTGATGTCAAAGGCGCTCTTCTCTGCGGCCTTCTTGCTAGAGGAGGTGGCAGCACTCGCACCCGACGCTGCCTCCACGCCCACGGCAGGCGCTGCAGCGGCAACCGGAGCAGCAGCACCACCACCACCCCCTCCTCCCATCGTCTGGAGCAGCTGTTCCTCGTAGTTTACAGCAGCAGCGGTGCCGCCATTCCCGCGCAGCATCTCCGCCATTGCCTTCCTGTGAAAAGCGCCCATGGTGGCCAGGTCCATGTTCACGTAGGCGTCGGCGAGCTGCTCGACCACCTCCGCGCTGTCCCGCACGGCGAGCGGTGCCATGCCACGTGGAATGCGATTGCTCGCCATCCCGCTGATGAGCGTGCGTTGTGCGAGCATGAGAGGGCCGTTGGTCATCGTCGGCCCTCGGCGAGGAACGAGGGCTCTACCCAACATCATCAACTCGAGCACTAGTGAGTATGATAGATGGAATTGAATAAAGATAAAAATGACGGGGAGAGAGGAGGGGGAGCCGCTGCGTGTCTCTTCGGTTACCCCGTGAGCGGAAGAAGACGACAGAGTGGTGCAATCGAAAGGCGGCGCTGGCTGGCTTGAAGAAATCCGATAAAGAAACAAGAAGACAAAGGAGAGAGGCGTTCGTAGCGATTCGGCAGAGTGGGACGTGAAGAGGAAACCGGTGCTGAGCGTCCCCGAAAAGGCGTCGCAACTGACGGCACAATCGCCAAAAAAAAACCTTCGTCTCAGCGGCGACACAACTAAGACGATCATTTGACAAACTGTGGGAAGAAAGGAAGAACGATGGCGCCGTGCCGCGCCTCTGCGGCTCTCACGCACACAGACTCAAAGCAACACGGAGAGGAGCACTTGACTAGCACTCTGATCGTTCGTTGTTTTGATTCGCCCAAGGCGAAACTCACGTAGAAACGGCCGCATCTCTCAAACGGGGGAGAAATGAGAAATCGATAGGCCCAAACGTCAACGCATCCCCACGGAGGCGGCACCAACGTTGAGATAAGTGGAAGGGCGTCAGGCTCTATGCAAGGGAAAGAAGGACTTAACGGCCTCTTCCTCCGGTTTTCTCTATACGTGGCGGTGGAACGCATCTGCAATCCACATTTCCTCTGTCTTCTATGCTATAAACAAATGATAATAATAAAACAAAGACAAATGCATGCGAAAGGAGGTGCCCTTCACGCACAGTGCGTAATCCCTGTATCATCACGCAGATTGGCAATTACGCGGCTCCCGTGGTGTCTGTCGTCGGAGAGGAGGCACTGGGTGCATTCACGGACGGGGCGACGCTCTTCGTCTTGTTCGCCGAGCGCCGGCTTGTGCGAAACAAATACGGGTCCTGGCCGAGTTGGAAGACGTCGCAGCGCTCGCTCTCGTTGAAGGCGAGGCAGCTGCGAATGACGTCCTTCGCCTCCTCGCTCACCTTCGGCGTGTCCGGAAAGCTCAGCGTGCGGGCAGATTGGATGATCAGCCGCTCCTGCCAAATCCTGCGCTGCGACTCGCCCTCCGCAAAAGGCCGCTTGCCGTACAGCATCTGGTAGAAGATGACGCCGGCGGACCAGATGTCCACCTTGGTGCTGATGCGCGGCGTCGACGACGTCTCAAAGCACTCGGGCGGGAGGTACCAGTACGTGCCGGTGCCCTGTGAGGTGAGTTCGATGGACGGATTGTCGCTCGGACCCTCGCGGGTGTTGCCGATGATCTTGGAGAGGCCGAAGTCGGTAATCTTGACATCCAGAATCGTTGGGTCATCGCGGTGCAACAGAATGTTGGCCGGCTTCAGGTCGTAGTGGATGATCGGGCTGTCCAGTGACGCGAGGTAGCGGAGCACGTCGACAATCTGCAGAAAGATAAGGCGGGCATCGGCCTCCTTGAAGGTGCGGAAGCGCTTGAGGTAGGTGTCGAGGTCCATGCCGTGGCTGTACTCCATGACGGAGATGAACATGTTGTCTCCGCGCGGGAACACGTCGTAGAGGTGGGTGAGGTGCGGGTGGTCGAGGTCGCGCATGATGTCCAGCTCCCGCTGTGCGTGGCGCAGGTAGTGTGCGCGGGTCTGCGTCGGCCACTCCCGTTGGATGTGATGGATCTTACACGCCACGTAGCGGCCCTCCATAAGGTCGAACGCCTTCCACACCTCCGAGAAGCCACCCTTGCCGAGGAGGTGCATGAGGACGTAGCGGTTGTCTTCTCCGATGGTTGGGATGGCGAGAAACTCCGACGTGTCCTCGTCGTTCACCCGGCGCATCTCCTTCACGAAGGCCTTCTTCTCCAGCTCGATCTCCGCCTGCCGCTGCCTCATCTCCGCCATGGTGTTGGTCAGCGCGGTGTGCTCAGACGCACGTAGCTGATACTCCAACTGGGCCGCCGCGAGAGCGTCTTGCACATCCGGCCCGGCGCCCGAGTCCTCGCGCTCGCGCTCCTGCCGCGCCAGCTGCTTCACGTTGCTCTGCGCCGCCTTCTTCTGCGCCTCCACCTCCTCTCGCTTCTGACTCAGCTCTGCAAGCTTCATGATGAGGCTGCGCACCCGATCGCCCTCCATCCACACCGTCTGGCCGTTGCTGTGCCAGGTGGCGGTCTGGCCCAGCTCAAAGTGCCTCTGGAACAGCAGCCGCCGCGCCTCCGAGCGGGCCTTCTGCGCCGCGCTCAGCATCTCCTCGCGCATGACATTCTGGAAGTGCTGCAGCTTCCGTTGATACTGCTGACACTGCCCGTCCATGAAGGACACCTGATCATCGCGCCGCCCGATCTCCGCCCGCGCCATGTCCACTTCGCGGTTCAACTCCTCGATGTGAAGGTCGCGATCGGTGATTTCCTTCTTGAGGGCCATCGTGTCACTCACCATCCCGTAGGCCGCCAGCGTCGGCTGCTTGAAGCGGCGGGGGTCGGCGAAGGACGGCGCGGCAGGTCCGTTGCCCATACCGCTGTTATTGATATTGTTGATACTGCTGCCGCTGTTGAGGGGGCTGTGAACGTGACTGCTGCTGCTGAGCTCCGCGGTGCTGCTGCGTTGGGCAGGTCCAGGGGAGGCACTTGTCTCTAGCACGGCGGACCCAACGGCGGCGGCTTTCATGGCTGCTGATGTGGTCGGTGCTGTCGCAGTCGGCGCAGACACGCCGTGCCCCTCCAGGCTGTCCACATCCACCACTGCCTCTACGGCCACCACCGGTGTGGTGCTGTTGGAGGGGGCGTTCGAGAAGGAGGCAGAGGCGCTGGCGTTGCTGCTGTCCTTCTGCGCGGCATCGCCGTCCTCGCGTGGCCGCTTATGACCGTGAGGGGGCCGCTGCCTGTCCGCGGTGGTCATCTCCATTGCCGGTGGACGAGGAATAGAAAGGAACCGACAACGGGTCACGGAGTGGAGAGAGAAGAAACGAGTTGATGAAGGAGGGCGCGATCGCGTAAGGACAACGAGGAGGCGAGCTCGGAAACGAACTGCTCAATCGGCGTGTCCTTGCTGGAGCACTCCTTCAACGGGACACCTTCGAACGAAGGAAGGAGTTTGAAATAAAGATCGTATGCGGAAGAAGAAAGAGCTGCGCGTCAGCAATAAGGATGAAGGAGAATCAACCGACTGCTCTGTTAGCGCGCCACCTGCAAAGAGGAGTGCGGCTTCTTTTCTTTACGGCAGATCAGAGCGAGAAGAGAAAACAAAGAAAAATAGAAAGGAAAAAAAATAGTGGAGAGTGCAGAAGTGTTCGGTGAAAACGGAAGATCTCATCTTTTCGCGGAGACGTCGCCGGTCGCTGTCCCACCGCGTTGACCATTTCATTCACAGGCGAGATTAGAGCTTTGCATCTGCTGCAATTAGGAAAAGATAATTGTTGTATGGAAGCTGAATAAGAAGCGAAAAAAAGAGAAGAAAATCTACATTCATTAACCACACGGAGTATCAGCCATCAACAGGGAAGATAGCAACAACAGCAGTGGCAGAGAGGACAGATGGTGCATTTCCAGAAGTGAAGGGCACCCAACGCAGCAGTGTCCTCTTCTTTGCTTTGCCGTCCTTCTTTTCCCTGTGGACGGAACGTGCCTCCTCTCCACCATCACCTCAGTACGCGCTCGACTAGCCACTGATCGTCGTCTAGGTAGAGGATGATGGTAATGGGATAGGTCAGCTCCGGGATGTTGCTCTGCAGAGACGACTGGCACTGCTGCAACACCAGTCGTTGGTCCACCGTGGCGTAGTACGCGCTCGTCCCTGGGCAGGTCATGAGCATCCAGTCCGTTGTCTCCCGCACGGCAATCTCCGGCATGCAGGCCATCGGCTCCACGAAGTCGAGCGTCACCTTGAACACGATGTTCTTGGAGAAGGTGATCTGGTCCATGTTGGAGCTCCGCACTGCCCGCTTATCCTCTAGGAAGGCGGCGCTGTCGACGGGGAGCCGCTGCAGCTCCTCGCCCTCTCGGTAGACGATGGTGTTGAGCGTGCCGCCGCGCACAAAGTCCAGCTCCGGCGACGTCTCCGCCGTACTCAAATTCTTCCGCTTGCCCATGTTGATCGGAGTTGGTCTGCGACGGTATATCTACGTTTCGGGAAAAAACAGGGGGAATGGACACACAAGAATGAGTTTGCGCAGGCGCTTTGTTCGGTTGTGGATGCCGCTTTTCCGCAGAAACGCGGAGTACAATCCTGAGTAGCACGATGCTCTTTTTTCTTTCTGTCGCCTTCACAGCATCGAACAGCAGAGATGATAAGAGAAACGAGCTTTGTTGCTGCGTTCGGTTCGTACAGGGTGAAAAGGCAGAGCACGAGGGCGGTGAAGAGAGGAGCCGAAGTTGGAAAGAGTCGTGCAGAGTCGAAATAGCGTGTCCGACGACGTGCGGTCGGCCTCTGAGAAGGAAACACCCGCAATAGTGAGTTTGATTGGGAATTCTAACCAGTTTAACGAACTCGTCGTGCAGCGCAGCGGGGTGGGCCTGCCTCTCTTTTCCTTTTCCTTTTCCTTTTCCTTTGATGCGTGGTGGCAAATACACCGCTGTCGCAGCGGACGGGAAAGGGGCGGAAGCGGCCGAAAGTTGAGGTATAAAAAATACACAAGGCAGCGAAGCGCCAGTACGCGAGCGTTATAAACACAGATAGAATGAGATGTATATTGGCCAGCATCTCCCTTCACGGCAAAGAGAGGTCGCTCTCCCACGTTACACAATGTCCAAGGGAGTCTTCGTCTTGGGTGCGGGGAAGGCACCGTCGAGCTCCTCCATATCCGCCGGCGTCAGTTCAATGCCGTCCGCTGCGGCGTTCTCTGTCGTGTGCTCAGCGCTGCTCGAGCGCGGGATGGCGATGACATGTCCGCTGCGCAGCACAAACGCCAGCAAAATCTGCGTCACCGTCGCCTGGTGTCGCTGCGCCACCTTCTTCAGCACCGGACTCGCGTACAGCTCCGACTTCAGCTCGCCTGCCTGGGCGATGGGGCAGTAGGCCATCACCGGCACCTTGTGCTCCGTCAACCACGGAAGTAGGTCGTACTCAATGCCTCGGGAGCCGAGATGGTAGAGGACTTGGTTCACCGCACAGTGGCTACCATCCGGCACACGCCACAGCTCCTTCATGTCCTCCACATCGAAGTTCGACACCCCCCAGCGGCGAATTTTGCCGCCCTTCACGAGCTCCTCCATGCAGGCGACCGTCTCCGACAGCGGCACCCCGCCACGCCAGTGGAGCAGGTAGAGGTCCAGGTAGAAGACACCGAGGTTGCGGAGAGAGTCGTCACAGCTGCGGAAGATCCGTGCGCGGTCTGCGTTGCTCGGGAGCACCTTCGACACGATAAACAGACTTTCACGAGGGGTGTTCTGAATCGCCTCGGCGACCAGCTTTTCGGACCGGCCGTTGCCGTACATCTCTGCCGTGTCGATCAGCGTCATGCCGGCTGACACACCCGCCCGCAGCGCCGCCAGCTCCGCAGCACGCTTGCGAAGGTTGTCGCCCATCATCCACACTCCCTGGCCAAGCGCAGGCACCGACGTGCCATCGGGCAGGCGCACCACGCGACGCGAGGTCATTTTTATGCTGTTGTTTGTGGTGTGTTGAAAGCACGAAAGCGAAAGGTAGAAGAACAAGCGAGGCGGTCCTGCAGTGAGCAGAGAGCAGAAGAGAAGAAAAAGGCTGCGGAATGGAGCGAGCGGGTACAGAGGTAAAGCGATATATCGCGGAATGAAACGCCTTCTGTATGTCGGCCGTAATGTGTCTTATTGTGGTTTGCGGTTCTACGGAAGCGGAGTGTCCTAGAGAATTCAAAAGGAAAGAAAAGAAGTGGGAGCACTTAACGGCGGAGATGTGTCACAAGGCGAAAGCGACAACTGGAGCTAATGGAAGGAGTGAATAATTGCTGAATTTAAAGAAGGGAAAAAAAAACTGTGCGGGCGAGATTTGCGCTGCTACAGCGGTGTCTGCTGGGACGATCCGGCCGCTTTCAAGAGTGATTCAGAGAGCGTTTTGTTTTGTTGTTAGCGGCGCTGTAGGAAATGCGGGTAAACAGACCCCTCCCCCTCGAAGACCTGAGCCCCCCTTTTTCTCCTTTAAAGCGGTGTGTTCGTTCTCTATTTGAAAAGAAAAAACAAGCACCGTCGGCGCACCGGTGCAGGTAGGGAAGACGAGCGGCCGCAGCCAACGGACCCTACCACACATCCAGGTCCTCGGCGTTCAGAATTTCGGCCGCGTCTCGACGGGCGGCACCGCCGGACCGCAGCGGCACCGCAGCTTCCACACCAAACAACCCGGTGTCCTTGTACAGCGGAGGCGCCCCCAACACCCCACGTGCGACGTAGTCCGCCACAACTCCAAACCCGTCCGGGGGCAAACTGCCGCTGCTCTTGCCGTTGTCGCCGTTGGCATCTCCATCTGCAGCTGATGTACTTGGCTTGCCCACAGCAGGACGTTGACCACCAACGCCCTCACCTCCACCCTGACCACCCGTCTTCACATCTTGGAAGTACTGCGCCGTGAATCCGCTAGGGTCCTGCCGCTGCCCCTCACGCTGCTGCGTCTCACGAATGCCGTCGAGCAGGCGGCGGTGCTCCGCTGCGCAGATGTTGCACTCCGTCGCGGTGTAGAGACAGCGATGGTGGAAGGCGTGCCGGCACATGAAGTACACCGTCGGCGCATCGAGCGGCTGGTGGCAGTGCGCGCAGGTCGTGCTCTGGAACACCACCGCAGAAGTCTGAAGCGCCGCCACCTCCGCCTTCACGCGTGCCACCTCGCCGAGCTGCTGCGCCGTCCCCGCGAGGACTCCCTGCACCGCTGTGGTCTGCTTCATCAGACACCGCTGGCAGTAGTCCCGCACGGTGCGCAGCTGCAGCGTGCTCTGCGGGTTGCTGCTCAAAATCTCCAGCACCACCACCGGCGGGAGGGCGTCGTGGGCCTCGATGTAGTCCAGCACCGTCACCATGTCCTGCCACTCCGCCTGCGACGTCCGTACGAGCTGGGAGAGCAGCGTCATCCACATCGCCGTCGTCCCGCTGTCCCCGCCGGGGCACGCCTGACAGGCCTCGAAGAGTTTCTTCTGCGCCTCCTGCCGCTCCTCGGGTGTGGCGTGAGGGTCGTTCAGCTTCGCGCTGTAGTAGCCCAGAATCTCCCCCGACAGACCGAGGGTGCGGAGGAGGTACAGAATGCCGTCCTGAAAGCGGTGCTGGTGGGCGAGGCTGAGGGCGAGGTGGGGGTCGTAGCGGCCGCGGTAGGCCTCGAGGAAGGTGCGCGCCTGCTCAAGTCGACGCTCGTACGGCTCTACCGGAAAGCTCTCCGCGGCGGCGGTCGAGGTGGCCTCATTCTTCTCATTCTTCGCCACAAGAGAGAATGGGCTGCTGTTGTTAGCGGCATCGCCACGGCGAGCCAACGCAGTCGCTGGCACGAGTTGCAGAGTGGTCTTCAGGTTGCGTGTCATGTACAACTCCAACAGCGTGTTGTACAGCACCGCATGCGGGCTGGGTGGGGACGTGTGCTCGCGCATCGTGTCCGCCACCGCCGCCTTCGCTTGCTCTCCCGTCCCTACTGCTCTGTCCTTTCCGGTCTCGTCGTCCTCATCCAGCACGCCGCTCTCCACCACCGCACGCAGGAAGTTCAGCAAACACACCGGGGCGTCCACGAAAATGTGCAGGAAGGCGGCGGCGTTGGCGTGGTGGGTGTGTCGCGGTCCGCCAGCGAGGAAGTTCCCTTCCGACGCAACGGCCGCATCGAAGGGCGGGGGGGAGGCTGTTGCTGTTATCGGTACTGTTGTGATCCCACCATTCCCTCCGCCGCTGCTGCGCGCCGTGTCGACCAGGCGCCGCCCGGGTCCCTTCCAGTACACACACAACTCCATCAGCAACTCGGTCGTGGAGCGGGGGGCCAGCGCCAGCAGATCCTTGCCCAGCTGCACACAGATGCCCTCCACCTCGTCCACGCCCAGTGTGCGCAGGTAGGCCAGCGTGGCGACGGGCTCGTGGAGGTCGTAGAGGCGAATGCGGGCGCAGTCGTAGACCTGGGCGTAGCGGTCCGCCACGTACAGCGCGGCCTCCGCGTAGCCGCCCTCCCGGCACACCGCCACGGCGTTCTGCGGGTCAAAGCGGACGTCGTCGCGATGGATAAAGGCGTCGAGCCGCGCCGCATCGTTGCGCTTGCGGTAGCACTTGAGCAGCAGCGTTGTGTGCGCCATGTTCGTGTGGGCGGCGTGCCGCTGGTGGTGCAGCTCCTCGAGGTAGCGGATGAGCTCCTCCATGTGGGCGCTGCCCATGTAACGCCGAATGACGTAGGACGACTCGAGGTAGCCGATCGTCTCCACGTACTGCGACATCGCCTCGCTCTCTTTCCCCTTGTTGTAGAGGTAGTCGCCGTACTTCTTGCGGATACGCATCTGCAGCGACGGATCGGTCGTTCCCACCGTCTGGGCCAGCTGCTGCGCAATCCCGTAGCACTCCTTGCTGAAGAGCAGCTCCAGTTTTGTTTGCGTGTCGACCTCACGCAGTCGCACACCGCGCAGCGTCAGCTGCTTGGACCGCACCACCGGGTCCTGGAAGAGAACGAGCAGGTCGGTGTCATCCGCCAGCACGGTGGCGCAGTTCACGTAGCTCTCCTGCGGACGGCTCAGGCCGCGTATCTTGAAGAAGAGATCGTAGCACTGCAGCTGGAACTGGTCCGGCCTGCCCTCCTGCTGGACCATTAATGCGAGGTAATGACGATAGGAGTAGAGGAGGCAGCGGCCGGGTGCGTGGTCGAGGTCGATGGTCTGCACACACGCTTTTACGGTTGGGTCGTACGGCTTCTGGGCTGCCGCGGCGGCGCCGCCAGCGGAGGGCATCGGCAGCCCCACCCGCACCACCCGACTTCCCGCGAGATGTGTCACGCTCTGTTTGTTCAGCAGAAGCAACTCACCTCGAGCCGTCAGTGCCGCTCCAAACCGTGGGGCACCGCTAAGAGTAGGGCAGGGATACTCGGACCAGTTGCCGTTGGACCGCAGCGCCCAGCACGTCACGACGTCCTCGTGCACTGTGTAGAGGAGCTGCACGTTGGCGGTGGGAGCCGTCGCAGCCGCAAGCGCGATGGTCGGGCTGCTGTCTGTCCTGTCCTTCCCCACCTGTCCACCCGTCCACCTTGCGCCGCCAAAGAAGAAGCTGCCCCCTTCTGCCGCACCGCTGTGATGATCGTTTAATGCGGTGCTCGCGCTGTGGTGCCCGTCGCCAAGCAGCGTGGCATGCTGCGGGGAGGGCAGCCCGACAAAGGTGAGGGCACCCTTCGCGAGGCCGCTGCGGATCGTCTGGGCACGGACGGAGCGCTTCTTCGCCAAGTCGCCCATCAGCACGACGCAGTCCCGCGAGACGAGGCCGACAGCGGCGCAGCTGAGATCGGTGGCAACGTCAAGGCTGACCACCGCAGAGCGAATAGAGTCGCAGGAGACCACGCTGACATTATTACTATTATTGCTGCTGATGGGGCCGTCATTCACCCCACGCCTCGGCATGGCCCCAATCGAACCCGCGTTGACCGGGGGAGGAGAGGAGGAGAGTGAGACGGAGGATGTGCTCGACTTGAAGGTGTACTGCCGTTGCTTTGCTTCGTGCAGAAGGATGGGGACAAGGGGGAGGTCATCGGCGGCAGTGGAGGGGCCGCTACTGCCGACAGCAGCTGCAACGACGGTGTTCGTGGAGGCGCTGAGCAGCTGGTGCTCTTGACACGGCGGTCTCCACCGTAGTGCGGTCGTCGTCGTCGGCGTAGCGGTTGCCGGCGTTGTGCTGGCGGCATCCGGGTGGCTGTCCAGCAGCCCTCGATAGAGACCCATGAGCTGGTCGAGGTCCCACACACGCAGGATGGCGCTGCTCAACGCATCATCGTCGCCGATGGTGACGAGGGTGTTGCGGAGGGCCGCGTACTTCATGTGGGTGACGGCCCCGGCGTACGCCTGAAAGCTGCAGACAACACCGCCGGGTGCGTGCCGATCGACAAAAAACACTTGACCCTCGTAGTCGCCGACCACGAGAGCGGTGGGGGTCAGGCAGCTGCAGACGACGTTGATGTCGGCGAGCGCAGAGGTGGGTGGGAGCGGCTCGCTCTCGAAGAAACGAAAGTTGCGCCACACCCCATCTGACATGATGTGCAGCGAAAGAGGGAGAGAGACGTAGAGGGAAGCCTGGAGAAGAAACAAGAAGCACTGCGTGGGGACCGCTAGTGTGTTTTCCTGTAGAGAAGGGAAGAGGCCAGAGGAAAGGGAAAAGGAGATAGAGTGATGAGGAAGCTCGGAAAGATTCCCGCACGACTGTGGCAATCGAGAAGGAACGATGTACAGCGACAGGCAAAAGAGGGCTATTGCATCCCCGCCTGCGCATGACTCTTCGGAGCATCGCATCTTTCAGGCGGTGCCAAGACGAAGATACAGCAGGTGTGACACCAAATGCCAGATGAACTGAGGGAGATGACCTTACACGCGTCTCTCGTGCAGCACCCCCGCAGCGCATCCACTCACACAGACATGGAAGGAGAAGATCAGTCAGCAAGCGTTTAACGTCATCTAGTATTAGCACGCGCTCAAAAACAAAGAAACACATCTCAACACTTCGCCGCTACGCAGATTCGATTCGCTCGCGAACGGCGCGCATCTCCTTCACGTCCGTCTTGAGAAGCTCATCCAGCGTCTCGATGCCGTCCTGCATCTGCCTCGCAAACTGGATCCAGTCCTTCATGATGTAGGGGTCCACCTCGGACCGCAGCAGGGGGCGACCCGAGGCGCTGCGAAATGCAGCCGGTGCGCGGCTCGGCTGCGGAGGAGACGAGGGCCGCCGCTGCTGCGTCATCATCGCCACTCGCGACACCTCCTCGCTCAAAAACGGCCGCAGGTCCCGCAGCAGCTGCCCAAATTGGCCCGGTGCCCTGAGGTGCTGCCGGAGCTGCTCCACGCGGCTACTCAGCAGACTCTCCTCGCCGTTGCTGCTGCCGTGGTGGCGCAGCAGCTCCATTTTACGCAGCACCGCGTACCACCGGTGCCGCAGCATCAACTCTGCCTGCTCCACCTCGCGCTGGCGCTGCACGTTCGCTGCGTCCATGGCCGCCACGGTGTCCACGTCCTGAAGCAGCTCTTGCACCTTCGTCTGCAGCACCTTTACTGCCGCCTTCTGCTTCTCCGTGCGCTGGAGCAGCTCCTGGGAGAAGTGGAGAGGGGACGGGTAGAGACGACCCGGATCGGGGTTCTTCTGGAGGGCCTGCATGTAGGCCTCGTCACTGCAGCCGCCCCCGTTTAGGTACGCCGTGTAACGCTCCTTCTGGATCGCGTCCATCACCTGCCCCGGGCCACAGCTGTTGTACACGAAGGCGGTGAAGTGACACTTCGGGTGCAGGGCGTTGTAGGACTGATCCAGCTGGACGAGGTAACTCGCCAACGCGCTCTGCCGCGTGAAGTCCTGCAGCGTCACCGTGGGCGGCTGCGGTGGCTGTTGAAACTGCTGCGATGCTGCCATCATCGGTGGCGGCTGCGGACCAAACCCAAATCCCTGCGTCGCCGTGCCAGATTGCTGCTGCTGCGGCGGCATACCAAAGCCACCGCCAAAGCCACCCCCGGTGTTCGCCGTGCCAAAGCCGGTGGTGGTGGGTGCTGCGGAGGCGCCAAACCCGCCCGCCGTTGTCCCAAAGCCTCCGCCGCCACCCCCACCACCAAACCCGCCAGTGGCTGCGCCAAACCCGGTCGGCGCCGTATTCGCCGTGGCGTTCGTCGCTGCGGGTCCGAAAGACGGGGCAGCTGCCGTGGGTGCTGTGCTGGGAGCCCCGAAGCCTCTCGGCGCCCCAAAGCCTCCTACCGAAGTAACGGTGTTGGTGGTGGTGTTGCTGACTGTACCGAAGCCACCGGTCGGGGCTGTGGCGGCACCAAACATTTCAAATCTCTATCGATGAACGCTGTTGTGCTGTTCGCAGGTGCGACGTGCTCTCAAAGACTCGTGCTTTGACGTATGCACAGCTGCACAGCCCCAAAATGTGCTGTCAACAACGTTTCCCAAAGAAAGCGTGGTTGAGAAGAGGGGCGTGCGGCGGGATTTTTAGAAGCGAAACGAAAGGAAGACGCGAGAAAGAGTCGAATGGAAAGAGAGAGGCGAAGGAGAAGCTTTGTAGCGAAACGAAGAGCAGTGAAGAGCTTCAAGATGCATCGTGGCGGAGCGGCGCGCAGGACAGCGCAAAAACTGAAAGAGATGCACGATCCGGTCAGCGAGAGACGGTGAAGCGGCCTCCGCCTCCACAGGCTGAAGTCGAGTACTATCCTTGGCGTTTAACGTGGTGAAGACAGCGCAACTGTACAACTCGATTGGAGTCCATAAAAGAAATAAAGAGGCGTGGGCACCCTTTGCTATCTACATACACAGCACAGAGACACAGAAGTGATACAATGTTTGCGCCCTGCACGGCCCTACAGGTCACTCCTGCGTCGCATTACCTACTTGCGTTTCGGGAGACCGGGACTTGACGTAGTCCCTTATCGCCTCCAGCGGATGGTCCGGCTTGTGCACCAAGACGTGCTGCATAATATCGTGCAGCAGAGGATTGATCTCGGGGTGAGCAGCGAGATAGTTGTTGTAGGCATCGACTAGCACATCCTTGCGCTTCTCTGCACGGACGCGGCCCTCGAAGTTGAGGTGCTCCTTTGCTCCTGGGTCCGGTGGCGGTGCGACGGCCCCGTTGGACATGATGATGAGATAGTCGGATGGACACAAAGGTGAATTCTGCGTTGCTCAGCAGGAAACAAAAACAAAAGAGAGGGGGCGCGGCGACGAGAATGTCAACGAGGAGCTACACAGACGCAAGTACGGAGAAAGGGAGAGAGAAGATCAGTAGAAGGCGCGAAGCGAGTGTGCTCCAATGTTTACAAAGAAAGCGTCGAGACCTTTCCAACTGAATCAGTGAAACAGAGTCATTGAGAAGAAAACAAAGGCGAGCGGAACAGCAAGAGGGCAGTCCGCACAAAACACCTTGTTTGCGGATGATCAGCACGGAGCAAAACAAGAGGTGGTACTTGTATTAACGCGTTCGACACGGGTGTTTCTTGTCCATTTTCTTTTGTCGCCGGAGAAGCAGCAAAAGTGACTCTGCACACAGCCTTCCTCTTCATTTGTGTATATTTCAGTCGCGTAGGAGGAAAACAGAAGCGTAGTGGCAAAAACAAGATCGACCGTCGACGCGGACACGGCCCGCGTTGAGCTGCAAAGGCCTTAATGAGGAAACCTCAAGAAGAAACTGCTTCTTTTGGGGGGTTTGAGTTCGCATGCTGTCGGTTCAGTAGCGGTGTAGCACACTCAAAAGTGAAGACATACGTCCCCAAAGTGGGGTACGCACCTTACAAGTAGGCTCCACAAATCCCTGCACTCGCTGCCACAACCACCAAGACCCAAGGTTTACGTCCCGCGACCGACGTGAAGCGGCGGAGGGGAAACGGGAGGTCCACACGAGGGGCGAAGGAGTCGAAGTTCCGCGCCGTGCGTGCGATCGGTACGACGGCGCTGCCGACGCGGCTGCAGCGGTGTCCGCATCACCGGACCTCGCGGCTCCAAATGCGTGATGAGCTCGATGGCGTGGTTCAGCGTCGAGTCTGCGTGGTCCGCCACCGTGGCGGGCGGCGAAGCCATCGCAATGAGCGGGCCTGGGCCGATTGCACGTGTTGATGGTGGCTGCGGTGGTGTCAGCCAGGACTCCTCCTCCTCCTCGTCGTTCTCCCCGTTTTCTGATGGAGACATCTCTCCAATCGGGTTTTCGGATGTGTCGTCCACCGTTTCCGCCATGTCGCGGCGGCGCCGTCGCATCGAGTGCACTCCCCGTACCACCGCCATGCGCGCACGACGGGCTGCGACGGTGTCCTGCAGGAAGCGCATCATCTGGGCTGCGTTGACCGTCGTACACAGACCCGACGAGGAAGAGGACAGGAAAGAGGTCGCAGCAGCAGTGGGTGCCTGCGAGGACGTCATCGGTGTGCTGGCCTGCAGGTAGCGCTGGACGAATAGGAGGGCATCGCGGTAGCCGGCTTCATAGGAGTTGGAAGACTCGCGGTAGAGGTCAGCGAGCGCCGTCGCCGCAGCGGCGAATTTCGTGTGCAGCCGCTCCCTTTCGTTGGCGCCACTGGCGCTGGAAGCTGGGGGCATGATGAGTCGAAAGAGATGTCTGAAGAATGTAACTAATAAGTAAACAGCAAAGAGAGCAGCAGACGATGGCAATTCGTACTGGTCGCCCTTGAATAATACGAATGATCAGACACGGTGATGGGAAATGAATGTCACACACACCATTCACGATAGCTGGCACAGCATATTCTTTTTTCTTTTAACTATCAATGTGGCTAACAGCAATTTCTTATAGTGTGGTGCGTCGCAATTGAATCGTACGCGTGCCCACTCAGAAAATAAATAGCAAGAGCAAAGTAACAGCGAAATCGCGCGCGACTGTGCGCACGCAGAGTCGGCTCAGCCGATGATGCGAAGAATGGAAGCGGAAGACAGAAGTGACAGAGGAGCTGAGTTGAGGAGCGCTACCGCAAAGCAGCGCAACAAGGCACCATAAAAGGAGAGCAGACAAATGGAGAAAACAGCTGTATTGGTTCGTCCCCCGTACCGTCATAGAAGAAGAGAAGGCAGTCCGCACCGTTGCCCCATAGCACCACGTACTCTCCTTTCACAGCTTTTGTTTCTTCCCACGACTGCCACATCTGAGGTGTCGCAGCAGTGAAGGTGAATCAATAGGAGGATTAACATGACTCGGCACGATGTGAACAATGATAACAGTAATAACGTGAAAGCAGCAACAAAGACCGCTGGTGACAGAACAAACACGATAGAAAGAATAGGATGCGCGGAGTGTGAGGTAGGACCGGTTGTGCGTCACGCTCTTCCGTCGTCGCACACCTGCGCGATAGAATCGGCGTCTTTTGGGGTCACACGCGATTCCCGCATGCCACGAGGCCGTGCATGGCGTACTCGTAGGTCACAAATAGGAGAGCGCTGCTCGGAAAGGAGAAGAGCGCGACAAGGCCGAAGCCGCGGTAAAAGCTGCACGCACCGCCCGTGCGGTACTGCGTGCGCACCGCCTGTGCGAATCCCTTCATTCGGTAGCGCTTCGGCTCCGTTTGGATGCGTGTCTTCATCACGTCCACCGGGTACACGAATACGGCATACACGAGGCCGCTGAGGCCCCCGCAGAGGATAGTGTCCCAGAGCGGGAGGTCGGCTGCGGAGCAGCCCCGTGGTGTCATTGTCTCCCGCAGCACATCGTTCGCCCCGCACCACAGCGCCGTCCCAGGGACCTCGCGCAGGAGGGTGGCCGCGCCGCCCTGGTAGAAGCCGCGAAGTCCGCCTTCACGGTGGTAGACGTGGCGCACCCACGCGGACAGCGTCAGCGGAGGCCGACCCAGACCTTCACCACCACCACCGCTCACACTGTGGCTGCACTGGGGTGTGACCTGCATACGACACTTTAGGAGCTCCAGCGGGGTCAGCACGGTTGTGGTGGCGAGGCCGCCGCCGATGCCGCCGGCACACACGTCCAGCAAGGTCAGCCTCTCCTCCGACGCGCCGACAAGACGCAGCGCGCTCTTGTAACCGCCAAAGGTCAGCGAGTACTCCACGGCGGAGGCGAACAGACGAGGCGGGATGCCTTTAAAGAAGCCGCCGACGCCCTCCCGCCGATAGAGGTCCGTCACACAGCTGCGATACGTCGTGTGGGCCGGCAGCTTGTGGCTCTGCATGAGGACCAGAACCGTCTCAAAGGGGTAACCGACCAGGGCGCAGACGACGCCGCTGATGCCGCCAGCAGCGAGGTCCATAACGAGTTCCACCATGCTTCATGAACGGGAAACGAAAACACAATTAATGAATGAATGCGAATGACAGTGAGGGGCGCCTGTCGGTGTGTCCTTCGGCCCATTAACACGCTTCAGGGCAGTCACCTTCGAAGCTGTGCGGTGCCGACAGCGGACCCCTCCAAAAACCTCAACGAGGGTTCACGGCAAATGACACGACAACTTCGGCGTCACGTAACAGAAGCCGGCACCTTTTCTTTACAAAGACGTTCTTCGTGTTGTGTTGCACGTCGAACGGAGAAGCGAGGAGTTGAGAGGTCGTCGAGATGCAGCTGAAAGTCGAATACCACGTTATGATACGCAGGCCGTTGAACACACACGCATCGCAAAGCCAAGAAGTCAAGAGGAGGGGGCGCCATGACGGGGCGCATGTGCGAGGAGAGAAGTCTGTTCTTCAAAACAACGAGGTGAAGCAGCGTGTGGTGCCGCCACCATAGCGTGAAAGCAGAAAAGAAACGCTCGCTTTCATTCGTGTTCTTTTTTGTTCTATTCCTTTTGAAAGATGATTGCGGGCAGCAAGAGAGAAGAGTGCCCACCGACACACACCAGAGCCACCATAACTGCCAGCGCAGTCTTTTCCCTTTTGATGTCTCGGAAAAACAAATTGACGAAGGGCTGAGAGCCGTTGCCCAACACATGACCCGTACTCATCACCGCGTCTACGAGGATTAGAGGCGGCCCCTCCAGCGCAACGCACCTCGGTCCAGAATGCCTCTCTTGCCAGCTACGTTGAGCCCACCGCCCACTGCATGCGACGCGCCACCTCCTCCTTCACGTAGGGTGTGACAGCCAGAAGGCCCTTCGGCAACGCCGCCAGCTCCGTGTGCGTGCCAGCAGAGCCGTCTGGCCGCGCCAACGCGTACCGCAACGGGGCGCCGTCGTGGGCAAAGATGTCGCCGCCCATCGCGTAGAGGAAGGCGTGCGGCGCACAGCAGTCCCACTTTTTGATCGTCACGGGCGGACAGACGAAGGCATCGGCGGGGGTGATGTGTTCGCCGGAGACGGCGCTGCCGGCCCACATCTTCTTGAGCAGGTGGTACTGCTTGTAGCCCGCACCTCGTGCACGGATGGCTGTGCAGGGCTGAAGCTGACCGAGCAGCTGCTGGAGAAATTCTTCCTTGGTGGTGCTGGAGTGGCAGACGAGGAGGGCCGAGGCGGGGGTGCAGGGCGGGTGCGACGCCGTCGTCACCGGGGCCGGCAGCAGCGCACCGTCAAAGACCACAAAAGGGGAGGAGAGGCGCGGGGCGTTGAGGATAAAGGACAGACTCGGTCCACACCGCGTCGGACGCGCGGGGCCTGTCGTTGCGGCGGTGCTGCTGCTCTGATGAAGAGAGATGGCGCTTGCACTCTGTGTAAGGGGGAAGCAGAAGACGCGGTTCATGACCGCCGCGACGGGGACGTTGTCGAGGGTGATGCCAACCAGCGTCATCGGCGCCTGCCACACGCCGTCGTAGAAGCAGTTGGTGCCGTCGATGGGGTCGATGAAGACCCCCACGCGGCGACGCAGCGCCTCGACGGAGTCAGCGTAAACCGTCGACGCCGTCTCTTCAGGTGCAACATCGGGTTTCGCGTACGTCTGCAGGTGTGCGCGCAGCTCGGCGCCGTTCGGCATGAACGCGTCGCCGCTGTCGTAGTGCTTCTTGACACAAATCACCGCCTCCGCGGCGAGGGCGCTGCTGGGCTCCTCCTCCTCCCCGACCACTGTAAACGGCTGCGAAGGAAAGGTGCGCTGCAGCACGTGGGTGAGGACGGCCTGCGTCAGCACGTCCGCGGTGGTGACCAAGTCCTCCGCGGCGTCGCCGTCCTTGTAATCCAGGTGGGACTTGACGTCGACGTTGACGGCGCTGCGGAGAGAGGCCAGTAACAGTCCTCTGTCTGCCTCGGAGAGGTCGAGCACCGTCTGCGGACGGGCGGAGGTTTTTGGATCATCGTGGTGGAAAGACATCTTCGCTTCGGCTTCGGGCAGTTTGACGAGGTCGAGCATCACGTAGCGCTGCGCTGCGAGTGCAGCCCGGACGCACACCTCTAGAAGCTGGGCCAGGTCGATTGAGGCCATTTGCCACAACTGAATCGACTCGGTGGTGTGGACACACAAAGAGAGGGGGGGGGGGAGGAGGAACGATGAGAGCGCTTGTGTATTGGGGAGAAGAGCAAGTAGGCCGAGAATCAGAAAGCCACGGCAAGGGTTTTGACACAGGGTAATAGCAATAAAGTAAACCGTTCACCACTTAAAGGAAGAGGCACTAAAGAAAAAGCACCAAATGCTCTCGGCGAGATAATGCGAAGTTGAGGGGGCAAAAAGAAAAAATGTCGGCCTCGCTCACTCGGGAAATCGCGGCGCCCTTTGCCAATGCCTCGGTGCTGAAAAGACCCTTCTGGGTGTGTGTGTGGAAGCGCAACGGAGGAGAGAAGGAGGATGAGGGGAGTGCATACGTGCAAAGGAAGGAAAGAAGAGCCCAGAGCTGTTACAAAAAGTAGCTGTCGACTCGTACAGTGCAACAATTACATGAGTGGGTAAGAAAACTAGAACGGCGCACATTGAGCAGGAGCGTCATCATAACAGAGCGACAGGGGAAACGGAATGGCGAAAGAGCAGAAAGCAGCAGAAGAAGAATTCTTCAGGGTGAATGTCTGCACGCACATAAAAAAAAGTTATTGATACTTGAATGAAACAAAAATGTATGTGTTGGGGAGCAGCGACGTACGGAGAACCTTCTATCAGAACTGTTTGAATGCAAACAATAGAGAAAACAAACATGCAACAGTTAGCACTGCGACGCCCAATCGATTCCGTTCATTGTGGACCGCACAGCTCCTTTCGAGGTGAGTGTCTCAGCCCAGCGGATGAAATAAAAAAATGAAACAGAAACAGTCGATAAGGCCAGGAACACCAAAGGCACCTATTCGAGTCCAACGTCACGCTCCGTACTTGGCAAGCTGCCCTGCCTTGAAGGCCAGCTCTCGCAGCAGGGCGTTGAGGGTAGACTTATTCGTCCACTGCTCCACGGGCACCTCGGTGGCCTCTCCACCATATAGTCCTTCCTGCAATCCGCGATCGCGAACAACGGGGTAGCGCGAGTACACCTGCACGGGAAACACATAGCAATGGAAGTCAACGGAGCAGGAGCCATCCGTCGAGGTCGCACACTGCGACTTCGCGGCATCTAGCAGTTCGGAATAGTAGCTCGGGGTTGGACGCAGCCACGCATAGGCGTCCGTCCGTGCGTAGTCGGAGGAGGGGGTGCAGAGGGCGCCTCGAGACACATCCAGAACGGCGACGAGGGTGTAGGGGGTCTCTGCCGACGCCTTCTGTGGCGTCGACCCACCACTGTTTACCTCACCGTACAGCCATGAAAGAAGTGAAATGAGCAGCGACACGTCTGCCACGCCCGTCGCGTCGAAGAGCGTCATGGGCTTCGTCAAATGCTCAGTGGCACTCGCACCTCGCATGGGAAGACTCCGCGCCACTTCATCGGTTACCTTCTGCACGGCACAGGCAACCGTGTTCTCGCTGCAAAAAGATGTAACATGTGCCGTAATGTCTTTTGAAGACGGGGCGTTGTCGGCGTCTGCGGAGGTGAGCACACAACCCACGTGATAGCCGCAGGCGGTGTCGAGCAGGGGGGCGGTAAGGTGCGTGGTGTCCACCAGCACCAGCACAGAGTGGCAGCGGTCACCCAGCGCGTTCATCATCGAAAGAAATGCGATGGCAATGGCAAGAACAGAGAGGCGAGAAAAATCTGATCAGAAACGATAAAGAAAGAGAAGTACGAGAAATGAAGTAGACAATCACGAACCTTCAGCAGCAGACGACGACGTCTTCAGCGTCACCGGAGGTAGCACCTCCGCCGTGTTACCCGATCGAAGAAAAAAAGAAACGTAAAGCAGTACATTCATAAAAGAATGGCTTTCGCCGTTGCCCCAACTTGCGCTTGAAAATTAAGATAAGAGGGGGGACTCGAATGACACTCTCATGCATCAAACGACGGACGCCTCCTCCTCGCGTGCAAAGGTGCGTCAGCGAGGGAGGCACTCTCACACAGCCTTCATCGACTGAGTTCTTCATTCATCACCGGAGTAACCGTTGACTTCTTTCTTTGTTGTGTTTTCCAGGAAGATGTTTGAAACGTGAACAGATTTCACTTTTTTCCTTTGCAAAAGATGGCGTAACGCTGAAAAAAAGAATTACATCCGCATCGAAAGATAAGGAGAAAAACTTTTAGACGCGTTGCACGACGTCAGAACGAGAAGTCTGAAAACAGAAGTGTAAATGAAAACAACACAAAACACAAACATAAATAAATAAGAAGTGGGTGGCACCTTTGCTTTCTATAAAACAGTGCAGTGTCGAACACAGATACTCGTAGCAGGCATTAAACAAAACGTCTAGATTCGAAACTCAGCAGAAATGCGCACGCATGAATTGTTTTCCGCAGTGCATCTCCATATTTTTTTTCTCTCTAACTCTCTTCGTAGGGCATCATATATATATAACATTTTCGCGCAGCAAGGCTGAGCGCGATGAGCCGCCAGAGGAGAGCTAAAAACGTTAGGAGGACGGAGGACACACATACCTTGTAGAGAAAACAACCCTTATCGTTGTTCGTCAACAACTATTTTATCCGTTTTAGGGCAGGCATACATGCATCGAAGAAACGTGAGCAGACGCGAACGGGGTCGGTGGAAGAGCGAAAACGGTTGGCTGACACTGACGCTGAGCATGAAGTACGAGCGACTTAATGGCACAACCTTTTCAGTTATTTGTTGGTTTTCCCTTCCGCCTTTGTCTTACGTTTGCGAGATGTCGCGTCGCGGCTCGCGGATCTGCGATGTTTGCTGTGCCGATCCCACTCAAAAGAAAAAAGAAATACTTATAAAAAAGAAAATGGAGAGGACGAGAGGTTTTTTGAGGAAAATAAAGAAAAACAAACACAAACAAAACTAATGAAATACAGAGAGGAAAAGTAAATAGAGCTGCAAATCGATCGTCGCCGTAGCGTAGGACGGCAGTGCAAACTTGAGATCCCGCTACTCACTGACGTACCGTGGACCTCCTCCAATGGCCAACCCGCTTGCAGCCAAAACTCCTCTATTGCTACATGAATGTCAACGATGCGGGGAAGTCTCCTGTAGAGCTTGCCCCACAGAACGATCGTCTGCCACTCATACGCTAGGGCACACCTACACGCACACCACCACTTTTCTTCCCTCTCTTCTCATGCTTTTCTTTTTTTTTGTTCATTCATGAGCAACAGCACCGTCTCCTCACTTACGCAAGGCATTACCACCCCAGAGGTCGTGTTTTCCTTTATCTTCATGCACATGTGATGACACAATAATGGAGATGTTATGCGTGGTTCGTGATCTCCCGACGGCCGCCAAAGAAGCTAGTCACGGTGTCCATCATCGCCAGCATGTAGCCACCGCCTAGCCCGGGGTAGCGGGTGAGGAGGCTACGCGAGTACGACTCCTCGTCGCACTTCTTCAGCTGTGCGTCAATGCGCTCCATCGCGTCGGCCAACGAACTTTGAATCGCCGGCGTGCTCGCGTCCTCCGGGTCCAGCTTCTCCTGCAACTGCACACAGTACTTGCGGAAGATCTCCAGTGAGCTGTAGAGGGTCGTAGCGTTCAGCATGATGCGGCACGACTCCGCCCGCGTCGTCTTGACCTTCACCTGGAAGGTGTCGGCGTTGTTGTAGACGGCGGTCAGAGTGGCGATGGCCATGACCTGCGGAATGGCGCAGAAGCGGAAGACGGAGGGGTCGTGCAGGGAGGACATGTAGTTCACGACGTACGGGATGTGCGTGACGGCGTCCGCCACCATCGCGTTGAGGCACTGCAGGGCGGCGGCCTTGTTGGCCTCCTCCTTGAACTCGCCAAGCTCCGTCGCGTAGCGGCCCCAAATCTCCTTTGGCCAGAACATGCGCGGCGGCTCCTCGCGGATGTCCTCGAAGTAGTCGCGGATGATGTTCGTCTTCTGCAGAAAGAGCCCCATGTTGTTGGAGTCGGTGAAGTCCCGGTTCAGGCTCGGGTCCTCGAAGCCGCAATTGGCAAAGAGGTCCGTCAGCCCGTGCCCGACAAGACCAGCGACGTAGTGGCAGTACAGGTTGTAGTCCTCCTTGGTCACGACGGGGCGCTGCAGGAACTCGCACATGCCGTTTGCCATGCGCTCGCAGATGTCCGCGATGACGTTCTGGTAGGCGGGCTTCAGCTTCTTGAACTCGCGCGAGACACGCGGGTAGTTCTCAAGCAGCTCCCGCTCACGGCCCTCGCCGACACCCGTCATGCACCAGTTCGGGTCGTCCATGTGTGTGTGGAACTTCGGCAGCTCCTTCAGCTTCACGTCCACCGGCACCTTCATATCGTCCTCGACGGAGTCCAGCGCACGCAGCACGAGGTAGAAGATGCAGATGGCGTCGCGCAGGGGCTTGTCCGACAGCTGCGCCACCACCACCGCGAAGGAGCGCGACACATCGTCCATCACATCGTAGCAGAAGCGCAGGTCCGTCTCCTCCGGCGGCACCTGCACCTTGATGGAGCGCATCTGCCACTTCACGCGCATCATCACCACCGCATCCGAAAGGAAGCCCATTGTGTGTGTGTGTGTGTGAATGTGAGAGAGAGAGGGTAGTTGATTGTGGGGGGAGTTTTGCGTGGTTGAGGGTGTATATATATATATATACCTCTTTTAAAATATTGTCTTTCTTAAACTCACTACTACTTAAAAGAAAAGAAAACGAGGAACTTTAGCGGAAGAGAGAGAGAGAAAAAAGGAGCGGATATTTAAGCTTTGACTTGGTGAATATGGCTGTAAAAGAGAAGAACACTCTCCTTCCAGTGGCGACGACGCGTTGGGTGGTACGAGTGAGTGGAATAGAACGAGTGTGCTTGATTCAACGGCGGCAATGGAAGAAGAAATAAAAGACAGGGGCTATCAGAGAGGAGGGGAGGTTGAGAGAGGACCGAAGTGCTGTACGATGAAACGACACACGTACCTAGAGCCAGCGAAAGGCTGCGTGTATGCACGAGAAGAGGGTTTTGCGTGCTTCCCAGCACGGATCAGCGGCGTAGATGCGGCGAGTGGCGCAACACCAAAGATGAAGCAAAAACATGCGGTAAAACGGGGGAAAACACGGATGGGCGGACATACCTCGGCGTGACTCTTATCTCAAATATATGAATGAATATGGTAAGTTAGTTCCTCTCACTCTCTGCCAATAACTGCAAAGTTACAAGTAACGGAAAACTAAAGAAAGGGAGAAGCATTGGGAGAGGCGGACGAAGCGTTCGATTAATTGACGATGACCCGGACTCGATAAAACCCCCCACAAGTCGAGGCTGCACAGACGGAGACGCACGTGCCGTTGGCATTCATCGTCACAGTAAAACAACCGATCTTAGCGTTTTTGATGTATAAAAGAACTTTTAGAAAGTAGATAGTTACGATGGGAAAGCAGCCGAAACGACCAGCCTTTCTCCATAAAGAAGAGAATTTTAGAAAAGGTGAGACGTAGCGCTACCTTCTTTGCTGACAGGCGGCGAAGGTAACGTACTCGACTCAAATGCGGCTCGCGCGTGATAGCTCGCAGCGGGTGTGTGCGAGCACGCGGGCGCGCTCACAGTTTACTCGAACGCTTCACCGCCCTCCCAAAGTCATCCACGTCGCCGTCGACCCACGGCTTCAAGAAGGCATACGGTGTTGTGCCGGGCCCATGCAGCGTGAAGTCGGGGTGCCCCTCCGCCAACGCCTTCCGCACATCCGCCTTACTCACCCACACCACCTTCGTCAGCTCCTCTGCCTCCACTACCAACTTCGGCGAGTCCGCGGCGACGGCGTAGTAGCAGAGCATCAGCAGGTAAGGGTAGGGAAAGGGCTGCGAGCCGATGTAGCGCACGGCGCTCACCTTGGCCCCCGTCTCCTCCTCCACCTCCCGCCGCACCGTCTCCTCCGCCGTCTCACCGAGCAACATAAAGCCCGACAGCAGCGTCAGCTGCTTACTCGTCTTGCGCCGCTGCGAGAGGATGACGTTGCCGCGGCCGTCAAACACGGCCACCAGCACCGCCGGCATAATCTGCGGAAAGTGCTGGCGCTTGCACCTGGTGCAAGTGCGGCTGAAGCCGACGTCGCGGGTCGGGTCGGTCGGGGCGCCGCAGCGGGAGCAGAACTTGTTGGCACCGTTCCAGCGCACAAGGGAGAGCGCGAGACCGAAGGCGGCCTGCTCGGCCCGGCCCATATCGAGCACGTCGTTGTCCTTCGCCACCTTCCACTCCAATGTATTCAGCAGCGGGCCGGAGACGTTGTTCGCAGTCGTGACAAAAAGGTTCTCGTTGGACAGCGGGACTTCGCCGACGTAGAACAGTTCCTTCGTGTTCTTTATCGTGAGAGTGCCGTCGCTCAGCGAGTGGTGCCACCAAACCACGTTAGGTTGGCGCTGCGCACGCGGCACAAAGGCGGCGTTGTTGCGCTTTACAATGATCACGCGCGGCTTGCGGGAGGCCTGCAGCCGCTCCGCCTGGAAGCCGGGGGCCATGCGCTCCTTCTCGTACCGCTGGAGCGTGCCACCGGACATGGGGAAATCGTAGTAGTCGTTCATTTTTTGACGTGTAATCGCTTGGCGCTGTGAAGCTTTAAAGCGAGAGCTTCGATGCAGACGTGCTTTATTTTGTTTTTGCCTTTTTATTGTTAACGATGGAAAAGAGAACTGCTGAGAAGGGTGAGGGGGCAGTAGCGGGAGGAGGTGGCCTTGAACCGTAGGCGGCCCTGCGCAAAGGCAGCACCGAGGAGCAGCCTGGTTCTGCTCTCCGTTTTCGCACCGAGGACGAACGGTCGCAACCCGCGACAACCGAAGGGGGAAGCGAGGAAAGGCAGAGAACGAATCCAATAACCGCCTTTCCGCGTCGGTGCACCGTACGTGTGCTTGGTCCACGCACTTGGCAGCGTACGAAGCAAAAAGAAACGAAACATAAACGTAGTTGGGGGGAGTGACTCTTGAAGGAGTCCGGGCGGGGAGACACCTATGCTTTTATCATTGTTTTCTGCTGAAAAATTGAGACGCACACGCTTTACTGCGTGGACGCCAAATGACGGTCCGCCGCCTCTTCGATAACGGCTCACATGCATATAAAGGACAAGAGCTACGGAGCGAGAACACTGTCTACCGTAGCCGTTAGTAGTGAACTTGGTAGGATTAAGCACAGTGCGGTGACCCCCGTGACAACAAACCTCTCCTCCACTCCAAAGCATTGAAGCTTGTTACGACCAGTTAAAATGATAGTGATAATAATAATCGAGTCACCGCGTCCGCTCCGCTTTTGTCAGGTGCAACGCGTTCGCGTTGATCTCGTTGAGTTCAGTTTCTTATTCGTTTTCAGCTAGCGAAATGAGAACAAAAGATAAGAGCGCAGCTAACAGAGTCACATTGTTGGCTGTTATTATTGCTGTTGCTTTGACAGGGTTCTTCCGCGCCTCCCCTTAGAGACACACGCAAAAGTACATCAGCAAGATATAAGGAAAGAAAGGGAGAGAGAGAAGAGAAATTCAATAAAGGAAGGGGCAGAGGCGAAAAGGCATTACAGAAGAAAAAGAAAAAGGGCAAAGGAGGTAAACGAGCATATGAAGCGTAGCAGACGAAAAGAGATGAATGGGGCATTCACCGGTCATACATGAGTAAAAGGTACAGTTAATTCTACTAAAATACGGGGAGGCGGAGAGTCGCCGACTTGCGTAAATGCGAGGCATTTAGAGAGCCGAATATATATATATATATATATTCAAACGGAAAATAAACGGGCGTACCGGAACAAACATGTAACACAAACACAAGGGAAAAACACACACAGAGGTAGAAGAAAGGTTAGCACAACAACTCTTCGAGCCTACGCTGCCCCGGCGAAAAGAGCTAAAGTAAAGTAGTACATAGCTGAAGAAGGGGTAAGGGAATGATCACCAGACGAGGTAGCTGCATTTCGGCGACCGCGCGCAGAGACAAATGATCCTCTGGAAAGGAATCACGGACTCAGAAAACACACACACACACAGAACAAGGAGTGTGCTCGTTGCATCATCACCAATAATAATAATAATAATACTAATAATAATAATAGAACGTCTCTGTTTCGCCAAAGGTTTTCCTTTGTGTACAACCATACGTGTCGCTTTCTCCTGTTGTACCAACAACACATTCATTTTCAAAGAGCTTAGCGAATTAAAGATAGACAAACAACAGTGATTACGCCTTTACCCCACCCGCGACTCCTCCGCTCCCACATGGTCACGTATCCGCAAAACGGCTGAGCTTTCCATTAGCACTGAGGCGATTAACCGCACCGACGGCCTCGTCTACGTCCGGAGAGAACACACATGGTGAAAGAAGGCAGAGAACCAGAAAGTAAGAAAGAAAGAAAGCGAACGCACGTGCGGAAAAGCCAAAACCAAAAATATTGAAGAGGATCCACAAACGATGAAGATGAAAAGCACATCTATAAAAACTGGAAAGCGCTGTACTGCGCGGACACCTCTTCCGCGTACGTGGCGGGAGGGGGCCCCCCAGAAAAGAAGAGGGAAAAACCAACTGCAGGGATTTATATAGCCGCTGCGTTTGACTGGAAAAGGAAGAGAGGTAAATGAGACTCATATATATGTTTATACCGCACACCACTCCTGGACGGCTCAGAGAGCCTCCTCTCTTTGGACAGTGCCGCCCCATGCTGCAACGACGCTCGTCACCTCTGCATGCCTTCTGACACGCACGCACACTGACAAAAGAATAATAGCAGTAGCGGTATCATAGGTTTCTACGTCACAGAGACAACACCACCACCACTAAAAACAACCACAACCAACAAGCATGGCTAGACACGCTCTGCCACTTACGGCGCAGCTCTCTGCAACGTCGTCAGCCATTCCCCATACGACTTCGCATCCGGCGCCATAAACCAAAATGCTTTACCGGCCTGATTCTTCATGGCAAAGACGAACTCTTCGCCTGCCATCATCACATCGATTGGACACACGGAGGTCAGCGTCGCTACCGGCACTACCTCTTCCGGGTCGGTGCCGGAGGGATCACGAAGGGTGATCTGCCTGCGGTCGAAGTTGAGCTGACACGGCTGCCACCCACGCAGGGCGGTGTGGCGCTTCACGGTACCGACCAACGGCGCCGGCTCGGCTGCGGCCACCGGCACCTCCTCCGGCAACAGCGCCTGCGAGATGCACCGCCCGATGGCCTCCCGCACGTCATTCGGAATGCGGTTGTGCTTCTCCACGCTGCGCTTTAGCGTCTCCAAATTGGTGCGAATAAAGGGCTCGTGGAACAGCTCCTGTATCGTCGGGCGCTTACTCGAATCCACGGAAAGAAGACGGTCACAAACATCGCGTAGGTTTTCGCTGTACCGCGCAGGAAGCTCAGAGCAGCGGCCGTGGCAAATGTTCGTGATGAGCTCGTCCATGTTCTTGCCGGTGAAGGGGCGCTTCAAAGCCATCACTTCGTACAGCACCACGCCAAGGGCCCACATCTCGCTCTTCTTGCTGTAAGGCTGACGGTGCCACAGCTCGGGGCTGAGGTAGTACGGTGTGCCGCAGAACGTGGAGCCGACAGCGTTCGAGAGCGAGTCCTCGTACTGGCGAGAGAAGCCAAAGTCACCCAGTTTCACGAGGCCCGTCGTGGTCAGCAAAATGTTGGCCGTCTTCAAGTCACGGTGCATCATCTTGTTCGAGTGAATGTGATCTAGGGCAAGACACAGCTGGAGAAATATAAAAACCACCTCGTGCTCACGGAAGTACTTCATGCTCGCCACGCGCGCCTTGATCTGCTTGTACAGGTCACCGCCGTCCGCGTACTCCATCACGATCAAAAGATGCCCACCTTTTTCCGCTGCATCCTCGCAGCGCACGATGTGAGGGTTGTTGCACCGCGACAGGCACTTCACCTCGTTCGTCACGAATCCACGGTCCTTCTCACTCATATTATTTAAATCCATCACCTTTGCGGCGTAGACGGTTCCCGTCTCGCTGTCCTCCACGCGCCAGGCGCTGCCGAAGCTGCCCTGGCCGAGCAGGCGCTTCTTCACGTATTTGCACTCCGGCCCTCGACCAAGGATGCCCTGCAAGGGGTCCTGCGCTGACTCGCTGTCGCTCGGCGGCACCGGCAGACCGTTGTTGCCGCTGTTCGGCCTTTTCAGACCAACATCCGTCATCTTTGCCTCTGTGTCTGCGTCTTCGTTCCACGGTCCCTACTCCGTTGCAAAGCAGCGTAAAAGGAGAGAAGGCTTCTGCGGTGACGCCGCACAAAACCACCAGCATGAAGATGCCGAGGCGTACGCGGAGAAGGCGACGCTAGACAAGACGGCGTAGAGGGCGAAATGCACAGTGGCGTATAAACGGGCAAAATACATCAACACTTTTCTGTGTATAGAAGAAGAAGAGAAACAAAAAGCGCAGCAAAGCCGTCTGTGGCGCCGTCTACCGGACACTGCGCGATGCAGAGGCCACCTACACAGAGAAGCAAACACTAACAGATGCGGAAGAGGAGTCCACAAAGACGCTTTCTGACGTATTGGATCAGCAGCGCTCTACACCCCACCACACGGCTAGAAAAACGAGGGGGGAGGGGAAGAACCGTTCAGCCAATGAACCTGCTTGTGTAAGCAGGGGAGGAAGAAGACAAGAGAAACGCACGTGGTCGCAAGAGCGGATGTGGTCTGCCGGACGTACAAAACGCCGTCTTGCTTGAGGAAGAGAGAGAGAAAAAAGAAGAAAAAAAATCGTGAAAAACGGGGGGCGGGGGTGGTGACAGCGGAAGCGGCGTTTCTTATTCTTAGATATAAATACCACCTGTAGTGTAGTCTTGCTGCGGTTTGTGTATGGATAGCTGCTACGGTGCACGACAGAGTGAGGGGTCTCGTAGCACCAGAATTAGATCTAGGAAGAGCTGAGATGTAGTAACCGGAGTGCTTAACAGTGAAGAATGCAAGAGGAAGAAATCAAAAACGAAGCTGCAAGTCAGAGCAGATGCAGAGCGCAACAGTGATGAGAGAGAGAGAAAGAGATGAGAATGCGTCTCCGCTCCCCCCGCACGGCCGACACAGCTGGAAGGCAATCCAACGAGGGAAGTGCTTGCCGACGCTAGCCAGCCTGTTTTTAAATGATACGCTGTAGGTGAATCAAACCGCAAAGGGAGCCAAAAAGAAATGGCACAAGCCAACATAGCACGGAGGCAACGACGACGCAGCTGTCGCGAAAGAAGCGGGTGGGGAAAGAGAGGGGGAGTTCATGGTCAGTGTCCTCCTGCCCTCACCCAATACACGTTTGCCTCGTTCTGCATTGGAAAGCATCAATAGAGCTACTTAGAGAAGTGCACACCGAGAAGAAAAACGGGGGAAAAACAAACATATAAGCGCAAAACAGACACAAACGGAAACACCCACACACGCACACAGAGAGAGAAGCATTGGAAAGAAGATGCGGACGAACCTGGTCGCTGCCGTATAAAAAGGAAAAAGAAAATCGGTATGAAAGGCGAAAACACAACCAACACGTGACGTTTCGCCACTGCACTACTTCGCTACGCGGAAAGCGGATGATGTGTTTTTTTTTTTTTCAAAAGAGTGTTGTCTTCGCTTCATACTTGTTTGGTGATGATGCACGAGAGAGAGCAACAACCCGCAGCACCCAGATTCACTGTTTACAGAGCGGCGTTCTGCAACGTCGCTAGCCATTCCCCATACGACTTCGCATCCGGCGCCATAAACCAGAACGCCTTGCCCGTTTGATTCTTCATGGCAAAGACGAACTCCTCTCCTGCCATGATCACGTCAATCGGGCAGACAGAGGTCAGCGTGTCCACCGGCACCGTTTCTTCCGGATCCACGCCGGACGGGTCACGAATAGAAATCTGCTTGCGGTCGAAACTGAGCTGACACGGCTGCCACCCACGCAGGGCGGTGTGCCGCCGCACCATCCCCATCAGCGTCCGCGGCTCGTCGATCGGCGTTGGCGTCGCCTGGTGGGAGAGGGCCTGCACGATGCACCGCCCGATGGCCTCCCGCACGTCAAGCGGGATCTTCTCGTGCCGCTCCACACTGCGCTTCAATGTCTCCAGATTAGCGCGAATAAGCGGCACCTGAAAGAGCTCCTGAATCGTCGGGCGCTCGGCGGGGTCGATGCAGAGGAGTCGGTTGCACACCTCTCGCAGACCTTCCGAGTAGCGCGGCGACAGATCCGGCCGATAGCCGTGGCAGATGTTCGTGATGAGCTCGTCCATGTTCTTGCCGGTGAAGGGGCGGGTCAGTTCCATCATTTCATACAGCACCACGCCAAGGGCCCACATCTCGCTCTTCTTGCTGTAGGGACGGCGCTTCCACAGCTCGGGGCTGAGGTAGTACGGTGTGCCGCAGAACGTGGAGCCGACGGGCTTGGTCAGCGAGTCCTCGTACTGGCGAGAGAAGCCAAAGTCACCCAGTTTCACGAGGCCCGTCGTGGTCAGCAAAATGTTGGCCGTCTTCAAGTCACGGTGCATCATCTTGTTCGAGTGAATGTGATCTAGAGCAAGGCATAGCTGAAGAAAGATGTAAACCACCTCGTGCTCACGGAAGTACTTCATGCTCGCCACGCGCGCCTTGATCTGCTTGTACAGGTCACCGCCGTCCGCGTACTCCATCACGATCAAAAGCTGCCCGCTCTTCTCGATGGCATTCTCACAACGCACGATGTGCGGGTTGTTGCACCGCGACAGGCACTTCACCTCGTTCGTCACGAATCCACGGTCCTTCTCACTCATGCTATTTAAATCCATCACCTTTGCGGCGAGCATCTTGCCGGTGGCGCTCTCCTCAACCTTCCAGGCGCTGCCGAAGCTGCCCTGGCCGAGCAGGCGCTTCTTCACGTATTTGCAGTCCGGCGTTTTCCCCAGAATTCCTTGCATCGGATCTAGCGGAGTGTCACTGTTGCTCGGCGGCACCGGCAGACCCACGTTGCCGCTGTTGAGCCGTATTGTGTCTGCGTCAGACATCTTGAATATATATATATATATAGGGTGATTTGCTTCACAGGGAAAACTGCCGCGGATTGACGAACCCGAAACAGTAATAAATAAGATAATAGTAATCGCAAAACAAAAGGCGGCAATTAGTTCGTTTTTGCGAGGTCCTTTTTTTTTTGCCGCGTTGCTGTCTCGCAGAAACACGGGACTAGAAGCAAGGGGAAGATAAAGCAGTAAGGGTCAGATAAGTGGGTCAGCACCGGTGCGACGTGTCGTCAGAGACAGATAGGAAAAAGAAAGAAAAGCCTAGCGAGATAAAGGAAACAAGAAGAACAAAACACTTCCTGCAAGACAGGGCGATCTGAGAAACCAGAATGGTGAATATCGAATTACGCGTGTGCGAGTGTGTGAGGGGTAAGTGTGTATAGAGCTAAGAGAGAGCGAAAAACAGGTAAAAAGGTATTTTTTGTTTGCTTTAAAGAGGCAATATTTTGCGTCAACGTAAAGAGCCAGCAAAGCCGCGATCTGTGAAAACACGAAACAGGAGAAGCGGACGTGCAGAAGACACAATTAACTGAACTATTATTTCAGGACAACGTGCGGTAAAAGCGGAGAGAGGGAAATGCCCGCCAAATTGAAAAAAAAACCACAAACAACAGCGTCTCAACGTAAAAAGAGAGAAGTCAGTTTGGAAGTTCGTGTCTCAAAAACGGAGAGCGTCGCTTCGACTTGAGAGGGAAGGAAAAGAAAATGGAAGAGGCGCCTTTCCAGCGTGTCTACAGTGAGAGGATAGAGAAAAGAGCGGGGAGTTCCTTCTGACGGTGCGTGCGGCAGAAATACATAAACAAAGAAAAGACGCTTATTATGTGTTTAAGGTGATGACAACAGAGGAAAGAAGAAACAGAGGAAAGGAGAGAAAACGGAGAAAAGGAAACCGAAGATCGAACGTTGCAGGAAAACAAACAAAAACAAAAAGCCAATTGGGGGGGGGGGAACTGAGAAGTACGTGCGAAAGGATATTCTCCTTTCAAAAATATGTAGATTTGAGGGGCAGCGGAAAGCTAGAAGGGAGGGGGGGGGGTTGAGGGAAAAGCGGGGGGACAGAGGGGCGTGCGAAAATATGTGGGTTTTCAGGTTGATGGGAAAGGAGAAGAAGAGAAAGAGTTAAATGAAGCGCAGTGGTGAGGGCTTTCCTGCATTCACAATGTTCGTGTTCAGCGAAGAGCACAACGCCTTGCCTTCTTACGGATTAGAGACTCATGAGGCGTGTTGATGTCGGCTTGGGGCATTTGAATGACGAACCACGCATCTCCTCGTGCTGTCGGAGTACAAAAGAGAGACGGCGCTCGTAGTCGATCTTTCTTCCGAAGGCCACCCTGCCGCCGAGAATGCCCACGATGCAAGCCAACCACAAAGTTCCCCGTGCATTGCCTCCGCAGTGCAGTGACCTTGCATCTACACGCAGTGGAGGTGAGGGCAAAGTCGATTAACCGCTGCAGCTGAGCGAATCCGCTTGCTTTACTAAAAGCGAGGAACACGAAAGGTGTAGTAGCTTCTTTCTTGGAGAAGAGCAAAAGACAAATTATTACGTTAAAGCAAAGTTAAATCCCCTACCCAAATAGAGACAGAAGTCGTGCTCCCAGTGCTCCACGAGTCAACAAGTAAAACAAAAGGGAGGAAAAGGAAAAAAGCCCGCAGGCGAGCCGTTCTCAAAGACGGAGCACACAACGTGAATGTGCCGTAGCAACTTAAGTACGGCAATCGTCTCGCGCCCTTCAGGTAACGCAGTGAACCCAAACCTAGACGAGGGAAACTGACAAGCAATCAAACAAACAAAAACCTCAACCTGAGTCAGCGCGATGCACTCGAGAAGGAAACAGGTATATATTTATAACGATCACCCAATAAGATACGCGCGTACTTCAGTTTCAAGATGCATAGAGCTATACAAACACAAATATTTCTTTCTGTCATTCTACCACTCCAACAAACCGCAGAAACGTCACGCACGAGAGTCGCACGATACAGCGGCAACGATTACGCCCTCAACTCAGTACTACGCCATGATACGCAGAGAAACAGTGAAGCTCTATTTGCAAGCCATTCAGCACGTGCAAATTGGTTTGGTAGCTACAACAGAACGCCATCATAAATTCATTATTATTATTATTATTTTTTTCCAGCTCTGCAGCGGGTAAAAAAACCGAACAAAACTCACCGTCCTGCGTTGCCAAAATATATATATATATGATAATCAACTGACGAAGAATTTGTTAAGCAGCAAAGCAGACTTTCATTTCTCCACTCCCTCCTTTTTATTCTTCCTCACCACTGCAGACGGAGAAGTTGAAGGAGGACTCCATTGCACCCTTCGCCGCCTCGGCAACCGCCGCATTCTCGAAGAGCTTCGCCAGCACCCGCTCCATTGACGCCGCATCGCTTCCGTGCTGACGCAGCAGCCGCTGCATCTCCTTCGCACACTCCGCCGTGCCCAGCTCCGCCTCTGCCGCCTCGCCGTCCATCCAGCTGCCGTCAACGCTCTCCAGCCACTGCAGATGCTGACGGTCGTCGGTGCCCCAGGCCGGCCCGTGCGGGTACGCCGCGGCGTAGCGCTGCTGGATGGCGCGCACAGCATCGCCCAGGGTGGCCGCCGTCCCGCCCTCCACCAAGTCGTTCGCCACCGCCAACTCCTTCAGCTTGCGTTGCAGCTTGTGGTAGAAGTGGCGCCGGCTCTCCTTCCACGGCACGACGTCGCGCACGACGCCGGTGGCCTTCATGCGGACGTGCGTGTCGTGGAGATCGGCGAAGCGCACGGCCACATCGCGGTACTGCGGGAGCATCGCGTTCTCCGCTTCCCGCGCCGCCTTCGGCTCCATCGCGGCGAGGTCGGGGCGGTTGCGCCGGATCAAGTCCCGCACGTCGTTGTCGCGGAATTTAATCTCCGTCACCCCCGACGCCTCCAAAACGCCGCCGCGCGCGGACGGGTCGCAGTACATCTCGACGACGCCGCCGTGGTTGATGACGGAGTCCACCACCACCCACGCCCCACCGCGCAGCTCGCCGGCTGGCGGGATGTAGATGAACACCGGCGCCGTGTAGACGCGCAGGTTGTCCACGATGGACGCACCGAACTTCAGCACCTCGTCGAACATGTCCCGCATGCCGCCCGAGAAGCCGCGCCAGTTTGCCAAGATGAAGCAGGGCAGCCGCTCGTGGTGGAAGTCGTCGAGGGCGTCGGCCGTCTTGCGGGCCGAGTCGGGGAACCACACCTGGCCGGCCTGCGTCAGGAAGGAGGAGGTCGAAGTCGGGTCGGCCGGGTCGGCGGGGTCGAACTTCTTCGTCAGGCGCGTCTCGACGAGGACGACGCCGCACGGGACGCCGCCAAGGGTGGCGCGGCCAGCCACCACCGTGCGGGCCCACCCCTCCAGCGTCTCCATCCACGAGCCGCGGTCGAAGAGGCCCGTCTGGCCCAGCAACCCGGTGACGAGGAAGCGCGGGTCGTAGGGCGTGTTCGGCACCGGGCAGAAGGTGACATCGCGGTCGACCGGGTCCGACGACATCCACAGCAGCGACCGCGGCGAGCAGCGGGTGGGGTGCGCGACGGCCGGCACGTAGTCGAGCCACTGCAGCAGCACGCGGGCGGAGGCGTAGTCGTGCCGCGTGCACCAGTGCGTGACACCGTTCGGCACCATAATCTGCTTGCCGCCGAGTTGGCTGTTGCCCATGTAGACGTCCTTGCCCAGCAGGCGGTTGAGGGCGCCCGCCCCGGTTAGGATGAGCGGCGAGTCGTTCGTCTGGATCACGCGGCGGCCGAGGCGGTTGAGGTAGGCCCCGATGCCGACGCTGCGGCCCGACACGAGGCTGATCGTCGGGATCTCGCCGTAGTTCTTCGACATCTCACCCGCCACGAGCCCGGACCCGCTCAGGTTCTCCACGCCAAGGTACTCCGTCGGCCCGCCGACGACGCCCTTGATCACGTAGCGCGTCTCCCCGTTCACCTCCAGCGGCTCCGCCTCCATGCGAATGCTCTTCTTCGTGGTGAGCTCCTCGTAGTCCGCCTTGGTCAGGTACAGGTAGGCAATCTCGCTCTTCCCTGTGAACTCGACCAAAAACTTCGACTTCACTTCGTTGCTGAGGCCCAGGCGGGCACCGCTGTTCGCGCTGATGTACACAAATGGCAGGTGCTGCGCGCGGGCGAGGACCGAGGCCGCCTTGAAGACGCGGTCTTCCGGCACGGCGAAGGAGCCGGACTGGAAGGTAATGTCGTTGGCCACCACCACCACCCGCCGCGTCGCCGCCAGCTGCGCCTCCACGTCATAGTAGCTCGGCGGCGCGTACTCGACCATCCACACCACCATGCCGCACGTCTGCGCCGCGTGGTGTCTCTGCGCCGAGAGCGTCACACCGTCCTCGCCGATGAAGAGCTCCGTCGCGTGGAAGGGGACCTGCGGAATGGTTGACGCGTCGAGGCTGCGGGCGCGGCACATCTTCATCCAGACCTTGCGCACAATGAGGTTCAGCATCGCGGGCCAGTCGTGCACGTACGTCGTGCCGGCGCGGCGAGCCTGCAGGCGCTTCACCTGGCGGGTGTCGAGTTGCGGGTAGGGGCCGAGGGTGTCCGCGCGGTGCCGCGCCTCCTTCGGCTCCGGCAGGCTCGCCACCGGCTGCTGCTCCTTCTCCGAGGGCAGCATCTCCCGCAGCGCCTCCAGCTTCGACATGGTGCGCATCATGCTGGGCGAGCCCTTCACGGTGGAGGTGGGGCTGGCGGGGTTCATGTCGACCAAAAACTCGGAGCCGCGGCTGGTGGAGGAGTAGTCGACGTCCTCGGACGTCTCGGCGCGGTGCAGCTGCACGCGGCCGTTCTCGAGGGACTCGTAGTAGAGGTGCACCGTGACGCCGTAGCCGGAGGGGCTGCTGGCGATGACGCGCATCGGGATGAGACCGGAGGGGACCTTCACGTGAAAGGCCAGCTCGACCTCGCCGACGCCGAGGTTGGCCAGCGTCTCCTGGTAGGAGCTGGCGGCCGAGGCGAGCAGCTGCTGCATGGTGCGGACGTCGAAGGTGAGCTCGATCATCTTCACAAAGACGTGGTTGCTATCAGGGTACTTGACGCTCGAGTCGTCGCGCGCGGCCTGCAGCGCGGCGAGGCACTTGGCAAGCATGTGCCCCGCGTCCACGTCCGTCGCCTCGGTCCACGGTGTCATGCCCATGTCATGCGGCGTCACTGCCACCCGCGCGAACATGCGGTGCTCAAGCATCGTGGCGCCGGCCTTCTTCGGGGCCGCCTTGAAGACGTGCACGTCCTTGTAGGGTGTTGGGTACATGCTGACCTCGTAGTTGGACAGCCGATCCAGCTCGAGCCGACGCGCCGACTGCGGCAGCACGTTGCGCAGCAGCGTGTCCTCGTGGAAGTTCATCTCGGCGCGGAAGGAGAAGAAGTGCGGCCCCTCCGGCATGCCGTGGGCCACAAAGAAGAGCGTCTCGAGCTTCTTGAAGCTCCTGAAGACGTCGGCGTCCTCCTCGATCAGCAGGTAGCACATGCGGGCCACGTCCGACTGCGACGACTCGCGCGACACGGAGACGAAGACGGTGGCGATCACGACGTCGTCGGCGTACTGCATCACCACATCGCGGAAGGACGAGGCGAGCGTCGCCTTGAGCGTCTGCTCATCCGGCAGCATCACGCAGACGCCGCTGCCAGTGCTCAGGTACGGCGACTTGACGACCGCCTCGTCGCCCATCAGCAGCGCGTCGGCGTCCATGATCGGGTCGAAGCTGTAGGTGGCGTACCAGTTACTCGCCTCCTTGAAGATGTCCAGGTTCTTGATGTCGCTCTCGCCGAAGTACTCGCGGCGGACAAACAGCTCTAGGCAGATCTGCACCAGGTGCTCCATCTGGCGGTCGAACATGATGGAGCAGAGCAGATCGTAGCCGAAGCTACTAGCGATGAGGTCGCGCAGGCTGTCCTTCTCCAGCGCCTCGGCGAACTGCGCCTTGCGCTCCGTGAAGGACGGCAGCGAGCACAGACGCAGCAGATAACGCGACTGCAGCAGCAGCGAGCCGTAGGCGAACGACTTGAGCGTGACGATCTTCGCCAGCGTTTCCTTCAGTGACTTGAGCAGCAGCGTGTTGCCCTCCAGGTAGCCCAGCACGCTGCGCATGACGTAGTGGTGGCAGTCCTGGTTGTGGGCGAAGTCGACCGCGTAGACCGCGTCGGCGTTGTCGAGGGACTCGCGCACCGCCTCGATCGCCTCCTGGCGGCTCTTGCCGTCGAAGCCTTGCTCCACCCCGACGTACCGCTCCACGATGGCGTCGATGATGACGCGGTACTTCTCGTTGGGGGTCAGCGGGTGCGTCTCGGACTCGACGAACGACTCCGCGGGGAGAAAGGACAGGTGCACCGCCTTCAGAGTGACGGCGGAGAGGCTCAGCGATGCGAGGTCGGCAAAGGCCTTGCGCACCCGCTCCTCGATCGGCATCTCCTTGAAGTGGTAGCCGTTGACGAGCTCCCACAGCGACTCCGCGGCGCGGCGGGCACGCGTGACGCCGTCCGGCCGCTCGTACTGCCGGGCCAGCAGCAGCTCCGTGGGCCACGGGTCCTTGATTTCGGTGGGCCGCGCCACCTTACTCGGGTCGTCGGGCGTAATCTCCGCCAGCTGGGAGCCCATGGCGATGGTGCTGCCCGGAACGGCGCGGTGATGCAGCGTGCCTGTCGTGCTTGCCCGCAGCGGCAGCAGCATCTTCATCACCTCAACCTCGGCGAACGTGTCGCCTTCGTTGACGTGACCGTCGTTGTCGATTACGTACCGCACGAGGCGGCCCGGCACGGTGGCCATGATCTTTGTCGGGTCGATGTCGCCGGAGAAGTTCGTGACCTTGCCGCCGATGGTGATGCGCAGACTGTTCGGCTCCTCGGAGACGTAGGCGACCAGCGTCTTGTCACCGATCGTGAGCTGCAGCGCACCTGACTTGAGAACGCGGAACGGCACGAGCACGATGCTGCCGTTGAGGGAGATGGCGTACTCGTTGGGGCTGGCCATGCCGGCGCTCAGCGTGTACTTCTCGGAGCGGTTGACGTACGACTCGGTGCGGAAGTTCGACAGGTACTCGGTGGACGGCACGTGGCCGGCGGCGAGGAAGGAAATGTACTTCTCCTTGTGCTCGTACATGGAGCGCATGTTGCGGTAGATGCTCGCGGCGATCAGCGCGGAGTGGATGCTGCGCTGGTGGGCCGGGACGTCCGCGGCCTTCTTGGCGATCAGCCCATCCAGCCACGACGTGCTGACGTCGCAGTCGCGGAAGGCGGGCGTCTCGAGCAGCTCCATCACGTACGGCGTCGAGGTGCGCACCTCGCCCCGCACGACGAGGTTGCGCAGCGCGAGCACCATCCCACGGCGTGCCTCCTCGCGTGTCTCGCCGGAGGAGAAGATGTGGCCAAACTGGGAGTCCGCGAACTGGTGAATCTCGCCCCCCGAGCCGACGGAGAAGTAACCCCAGCACTCCTTGCTGTTCTTGAAGGCGATCTCCTCCACCTTGCCAGAGGTGGGGCGGAAGCCCTCGTCGGTGTCCTCGGCGGTCACACGCACGGCGATGGTGTGACACTTGGGCGGCAGGCTCTGCCGCACTGTGAAGTCGATCGGCGTCGTGCCGTAGGGCTCCTCGCCGTAAAAGACGCGCACTTCGGGAATGTGGTCGAGGCGGATGCCCATGCCGACGCACAGCAGCGCCGCTGGCAGATTGACGCCGGAGATCATCTCCGACACCGGGTGCTCGACTTGGATACGCGGGTTTAGCTCCAGAAAGTAAAAGCCATGCGTCTCCTTGTCATACATGTACTCCACCGTGCCCAGACCGCTGTAGTTCACCGCGCGGGCCAGCTGGATGGCCGCCGTCTCCATGGCCTGGATGATGGCCGGATCGACGCCAAAAGCGGGGCCCTCCTCGACGATCTTCTGATGGCGGCGCTGCACACTGCAGTCGCGCGTGCGCACGGCGATGCAGTTGCCGTAGTTGTCGGCGAGCAGCTGCACCTCCAAGTGGCGCACGTTCTCCAGCATACGCATGACAAAGATGTGGCAGCCTTTGACCTCCTCGGAGACGGCAAAGAACAAGTTCTTCACATCCTTTATGTTGGTGCAGCACCGAATGCCCTTGCCGCCGCCGCCCTCCGAGGCCTTGATCATCACCGGGAAGCCGATGCGCCGGCACACCTCCTCGCACTCCTCGGGCGACGTCACGTAGGCCTTGTCGTAGGTCTGCGCATCCACGTCGAAGGTGCCGGGTGTGAGGCGGATGCTGTCCCCGCTCCACGGCACCGTCGGCACCCCGTTGGACTGCGCCACTATCGTCGAGGCGATCTTGTCACCCAGGGCAAACATGGCATCCTCCGACGGGCCGAGGAAGGTGACTCGCTTAGACTTGGCGCACTCCCGTGGCAGGGCCGGGTTCTCCGAGGCGTGGCCCCAGCCGGGGTAGATGGCATCGCACATGTTCTGCAGCGCCGTCTGCATGATGACGTCGACGTTGGCGTAGTTGTTGCTGTTGGGGCCGCCTGGCACGGGGATGTGCTGATCCGCCATGGAGATGAACTCCGCGTTGGCCTTCAGATCTTCCGGGGTGGCCATCACGATGAACTGCACCGCCTCGGAGTCGCCCATGTGCTCGTACGTCCAGGAGCGAATGGAGTCGATCCCCTTCACGGCGGCCAGCCCATTGTTCGCGATGAGCAGACGCTTGATCGGCTTCTTGGCACCCAGCGAGCTGCACAGCTGCTGCAGGGAGTCGTACTTGAACCCCGCAGGCGAGTCCACGTCTTTCGAGTTGAGCATGGCGCTTCAATTGTTTCTTCTTTAGAGTATAAATATAAAAGGAGAGATAAATGAAAAACAAAAGAGAGACAAAATAACGAGAGATTTCACGAGTGAGTGTGCGGTAAGGACGGTAGTCGCAAGACGCGCTGGATGTCTATTGATTTTGTTATCGGCTCAACAGAGAAATGCAAAGGCATAGGAGCAGGAAACCACGCCTACTTGTCTGCACGCGAATGATGGTGTAGTGTTGAAGAAAACGACAGGCGTGCTCTCAACTACTGTGTGTTTGAAGAAACAAAGACGAGGGGAAGGAGGAGATACGTGCACAAATAGAGATGTCAGCGAGGCAAAGGGAGAATCGCTGACAAGCTCCGCAAAGAACAACCTCCTTCACTGCGCAGAGCTCATGACAGCCTCCAAAACTTGGTACGAAAGCTGGAAAAGGAAGGGATGAAAGACCGCCGCCGTCTACGGCTTTCACTTCGTCAGCTAGAACCGCGCTTGTAGCCTCTGCACCTTTTAACAAACGAACGCTGTTCAAAGCGGGAGTTGTGGTCGTGGATCTGAGGTTCTACACGAAGCGATATGAACTTCATTTATATACTCCTTTGTATGCTAAGCACGGGAAACGAAACCCCCAACGCATCCACACGCAGCCGATCAAAACCAGCAAATCGGCTTCATCCGGCTTTCTCTTTCCCTCACGCTTTCGATGCTGCCCAAACAAGCGCCGCGGACGCGGAGAAAAGAAAGAGACATCACGGAGAGGAGAAACGCAAACGGCATCGCAGCTCGTCTTCTTTGGCCTCCGCACCGCCCTGAAACGTGCCGTCCTGCGCACCCCTCATGCAGCGGAGCCCTCCGCCCTCATGCGCTTCGACTCGGCCTCTTCCTCGTTTTCGGCCTTATCCGTGTCGGAGCGCCCGCGCTTGACGCTCAGCCGCCTCGGCAGGCGGTTCTCCTCATCCTCCAGCAGTGACCCCCGACCGCTGGGTGGGTCGATGGACTCGAGCCCCGCCACGGGAGACGGGCTCGGCGAGATCAGCGCCGCCGTAAGGGACGGCGACAGTGAAGGAGAGGAGATGTGCGGCGTGCCATTCGCCGTGGGCACACGGGGCGAGTGGGTCGACGAGGCGGGAAGGACTGGCTCCGCTCCGGCGTCGGCCGCGGCCGGTGTGTCCGCCGTGAGTCCCCCCGATGCCTCCGTTGCGTCTGCCGTCGCCGTCTCCTCCGCACCCTCTTCGTTGTCGTCCGACTCCGCCTCGATGCTGCTGAGGTCGGCCAGCGGGTCCTCGTCGTCGTCGCTGGCGGTCAAGGACCGGGCCAGGCTGTTCAGCCGCTCCTCCGTCACGGCGTCTAGCGCGGGCGTGCGCAGCGGCGGCTCGAGGCCAAAGTCGATGGCCGCCGTGTCGAAGTCAGCGAAGCTCGACATGGTGGAGCGCTCCATCGAGCTGGCAATGCTGGAGGTCTCCATCTCGGCCTGCTGGGCCTGCTCCGGCGTCTCCTCCAACGCCTTTTGCAGCTGGTCGTACAGCACGGGCGACGCCACGGCCAGCTGCTCGCCAAACTGCGCGAGGACGGCGGCGGCGACGGACTCAAACGGTTTGGCCGAGGCGGCGGTCGGCGGTGCGTTCTGCTCCGTCTTGCTCATCGAGTCCTCGCCGCGCAGCAGGGTGACGAAGGGACTGGGCCCCAGAGACCCCGTGCTGCTGAGAGTGCTGCCGCCGTAGAGCTTCTCGCGGTGCACGCCGTCGCACACGTCCGACAAGAGGTGGGCCAGCGACGAGCTCAGTATGTTGTCGCGGTGGCTGCACTGCAAGAAGAGCCGCAGGGCCGAGTGCAGGAGGTTGGGACTGTTGGGAGAAGAAGCGGAGGGTGCCGAGGGGGCGGTGACGAGAGAGACCAGCCGCGCATCCCGTCGCTCCAGCACCGCGGCGATGAATGACGTGACGGAGGACTGCAGGTTGGCCAGGAGCCGCATCGGCCGCTCGAGGGTGCCGGCCAGTGCCGGGAGCAGCTTCGAGAGCGTCATGACCTCGAGGAAACTGTTGCACCGCGTGGTGTCGATTTTGGAGACGATGGCCGTGATGAGGCGCAGGCCGTACACAGTCTGCCGCTCCGTGACCCCGCTGAGCTGCGATGGGCCACCCGCACCGCCGCTGGGACCGCTGCTGGAGCAGCCACCGCTAAACTGCGCTGCCTCCATCAGCAACGAGACGAGGTGCGAGGCGAGGTGGAAGAGCGGGGGGCGGTCCACCACGTTGCCCTCGATCCAGTAACGCAGTACCTCGTGTCGACGCGCCTCCAGTTGGGCGTTGTCGCCGAACATCGCCAGCGTCAGCGACACGCCGACGCCGCAGCACTGCACCGCGTCCACGACGGACTGCGCCTCGGCGCTCGTGCGGGCCACCGTGATGGCGCGCAGTAGCATCTGCAGCAAACAGCGGTTCGGCGCCGCGTTGGACTCCGCCACGAGGTCCTCCACACACTCGGGGAAGTGCGTGGCGCAGCTGTAGAGGGTGTCGCACACGAGCTGAATCGCACGGGACGGCTGCACGACCCACTGCTGGACCGGGTAGGACGCAGGCGGGTCGTAGTAGCGCAGTGCGCACTCCATCACCACCGTCAGGAAGGGGAGCAGTCCGACGTGCACGAGCGAGGAGAAGATCTCCGTCCGCATGTCGACGCCGATCATCGCGTTTTTCACCGTCTTGGCGATTTCGCTCACAAACGCAGCGAGTTCGAAGACGTGCGCCACCTTGGACGGCTCGATGGCGGCCGGATCGGCGGACGGCGAGTCGAGCCGCACCCCCTCGACCGCCTGCTGGAAGGCGTTGGGTAAAATCGTCGGTGACGTGCACAGCTCCGTCAGCATCGACATGGTAAAGCGCAGCGTGAAGGTGCTCAGGAGCGAGTAGGAGGCGGCGTCTGCCGGTTCGAGGCTTAGTGGGATGAGGTCCTTCAAGAAGCCACAGGAGTAGAGGACGTGGATGCGGGACTTCATCGCCTCGGGGAGGTGACACGGGTCGTGAAAGGTGGCCCGGCGCTCCTCGAAGCTGACAAACCCGCTCGCCCTGTCGCGCCGCCCCAGCCCGTATTGGACGATGTCGATGCAGTCGTCAATGTACTCGTTCTCCACAAACTGGGCGATGATCCTACCCTCGGTGCTGTAGGGCGACTGCAGCAGTGCGAGCACGATCTTCGCAACGAGCTCCATGGTGGCCGTGTCGTTCGTCTTGCGACTCGAGTGGAACAACTGCGCTAACTTGATAAAGTACGACGCGTCGCCCCGCACGTAGAGGCCGAAGCGTTTGTTCTGGGTTTCGGCCGCATCGAGGATGGTGGCCAGGTTGCGAGGGTGTACGAGGAACTTATCAGCGATGGTCGGTAGCCGCTCGTCCTGCACCCGGCGCAGCCGCTCCGCCTGCTGGAAGGCTTTAATTTCTTTGTAGATTAAATCGCACCCGTCCTTGCTGTTGAAGCTGCACGCGATGTCGTTGCTCACCGCTTCGTCGTACCACATCAAGATGGTGTCGCCCTGAATGGTGTAGATGTCATCGAGGCTCACGTAGCTGGATAGCAGAAGATCGTTTGAGCTGTCTAGGGAGAACATCTGCAGACGAGCTGCTAACCTCGTGTCAGACTCCTCGTCACTTGCTTTACCGCGCTTGCCGCCAGTGGAAAGGGGAGCTCCCTCCGCTGCGTTGGCCGGCAGCGTCTCTGTCACGATCGACACGACGCCCAGCCCAATCTCCGTCCACTGCCCGGACTCGTGGGAGGCAAAGAGCTTCGCCTTCGTCAGCGGCTCCGCGCTTTCCATCGGGGCAGCTCAGGCAGTGAACAAAAATAGAAATTAAGTGAGCTCTGTTCTCTCCTCTCCTGTGGCGCCGTGAGCAGCGTGGGTGTCTGCTGCCCCGTCCCGTGGAACAGCGGTGAGCCTGGCTGTGTGCGTTCCCACGAAACGATGGCCAACCTTCTCCTTGATGCGACGCGAACGTTCTGCGGCGGTGCGACGATACAAAAAGCCAGCAAAGAAGGAGGTAAGAAGAACAAACGCGGAGGGACTTAGATGTGTATGACGGAACAGCTTCTATGAAAGTACGTACTCGTAATTCGTTTACTTGTATTTTGTGGTGGAAAGCAACCACAGACGCCGTCGCCGCTCGTCACACTCACGCACGAGGGCGTATCGACTCCGCAGCAGGGAGTTGCCACCGCAGCCAAAAGAAAAAAATCTGCACTGTTGTCGCGCCGCCTTGACTCGTCCAGGTGGAAAGGGAAAAGCGAAAAGATGAGAGAGGCGCCGAGAGTCCGGCGTCCGTACGCGTGGGTGATCGACTGCGCAGTACGGGCACGGTGCCCCCTCGCCCTCCTTTTCACTCCGTACACGCCAGCACAGCAGCCTCCTTCGGCCACAGGGGAACACAACCAACAAAAAAAAAAACGGAGGAAGAAGCAAGCAGTACTCCGCACGTTAAATTATATCGTACAGCGAAACTGTAAGGACCGTGTTGTTTATTCGAATGGACGGTCCACCACGAGTTCCAAGGAGTGTTGAAGGGGGATAAAGAAGCGCGAGCTACATACAACCGAGAAGAGTTTGCCGATCCAGACACACATGGAAGGAGGAGCAACCGCCTAACGTGCTGTGGACGACGGAACGGCATTTCAAATCAGTCGGCGAGATCCCTCCATGATTCTTCCGCTGCGCGATGCAACAGACACGGTCGGCTCGTGCTCTCTACTGTGTCGGTGAAAGAACTATTTCACAAGCGTGTCTTTCGCCGTGTATGCGCTCTTCTCGTTTCGTTGTGTATTCTACGGCTGACGCTGCCAAAGGCGCGCCAACGCAACAGCAAAAGAAAACGATGAAAGGGAGCACCATGTGCAATCCGGAAGTGGGCACCGCCCTGTGAGGCCCAATGGGTGATTTCCCACCGACGATCCATTTCTCTAAGCGTGAAAACAGCGACCGTAAAGTGATGAGGAGAGAAAAGTTAGTAAAGCAGTCTATCCGTCTAAATCTAGTGCGAAACAAGCAACCCCCCAAAAAAAAAATATATATATATATATACACGTACAGAGCTCCATAAGACAAAGGGCGTTAGCGGTGCCCCTGCGTGTCTGCGAGACGCCCCAGTTCCACTCCACACAGGAGAAGGTCATCCACCTCCGCCGTGAGCGCCGTTGCCCGCTCCAGCCGCTCCGTATTGCGTGTCCGGTGATCACTCAGCATCTTCGAGTAGCGCAGAAGCGACTGGGTCAGCTCCAACGAGTCTACTGACGGACTGCGACGTCGTGTGGGAGACGTCCCTGTGGAGGCGCACGGGCGGGTTTCGTTCCCCACGGATGCATTGCCGCGCTGCACACGTACCGCTGCAGAGGCGGCGCGAGCGGGACTGCACCGACTCGTAGAACGACGGGGCGATACGGGCGTGTGTGTGTTCATTGCTCCCTTTGCTATCCGTGTCGTCGTCGGCGTGCGCTGCGGAGACGGCGACAACGTCAGCGCCTGCGAGGAGGTGTCTTCCACGGTGTCTTCTCTTTTCGACAACGCAGCCGGCTCGTCCTTGTCGCTCCACTTCTGAATGAAGGGTGAAGTAGACGGTGCCTTCTCCAGCAGCGACGCCAGACGCTCGCGCAGGTGCATCACCTCCGTCTCCCACTCCTCACGCGCCTGTTCAACCAGCTCCGCGACGCACGCTGTGAACCACTCGGCCTTATCGTCGCACTGCGCTACAAAAAGGCTCGCGGAACAACTCACGTAGGTCTCCCAGCGGCCATTCACGTTAGATGGTCCAGTTATTCCATCGCCTATCCCGCTGTACGTGCTTTCCTCAACATTAGCGTCCGCTGCTCCCGCACCGTCCAGTCGTCGCTGCAGGCGTGCCACGGCGCGCCGCTCCAGCTGCAGGCGTCTCTCGTAATCCTCCTCCTTCGCAGTCCAGCGCTCCTCCAGCAGGACCTTTTCAGCGGTGAGACGCGTCAGATTCTTCTCGGCACCCCGCAGCGCCTGTGCGTGTTCGATGTCCAGCAACTCCGTCTGCCTCGCCACCGCGTCTTGCACGGCAGAGTTCGCGGCCTGCCGCGTGCGCTCGAGCTCCTCTTCTAGCAGCTGGAGGTGCTCCGTCAACTCCGCCATCTCTGAGGTGTAGTTCTGCCGCATCAGCTGGGTGTCACGCGTGTGCTTCTCCGCCGCCTTTGCCGCCTCTGCTCGCTGCTGCGCCAGCAGTTGCTCGTAGTGCAGTTTCTCCTTTGCGTGCTGCTTCGTCGCCATCGCCAGCGAGTCGTTGCTCGACCGCAGCGTCGCCTCGTAGCGCTCCGCCTCTGCCCGGTAACGCTGCCGCACCGACTCCTCGACCGAGACACACGCCGTCTGCAGCTGCTGCGACATTTCCCCTTGTGTCTCCTTCAGTCGATCGGTGCAGCTGCGGAGGGCCGTCATGACGGCGTGTGCGGTCGACTCCGCAGCGGTGTACAGACTCAAGAAATCCGCCTCTGTCAGCGCGAGCTGGGCGAAGTCCTTTGCGTCTTGCGCTGCCCACACCTGCGCCTGGAGGGACGGCGGGGGTGCGATGGAGGCGGCGCGGCGAGCGCTGTCCATCACGGCGCTGGCCTCTGCGATTTGCACCTTGGCCTCGACCAGCAGCTTTTCCAGCAGATGGACGCGCTCGCGCACGGCGTGCCTCTCGGGTGATGCGTCAGTCATGGGCGGGGTGGTGGAAGCGGACGGCGACTTCGGCTGCTCTGCTCGCTGATCGGAGGAAGGGGGAGGAGTGACGGTGTCACCCAACACACGCGCTAAGAACGGCGTCTCCGCACGTTGTGGGTTCTGCGGCTCGGGCGACATCATGGAGAGGTCACTGTGGGAGATGGGGTGCGAAACGGGTGTAACGCACGGCCTCTGCGCTGCAACGCTTGTGGGATCGAGTTGGTGCTTCAGTCGCGCCATCTCCTGCATGTTCTCTTCAAACCGCTGCAGCAGCCCTTCCGAGAACTGATCCACCTCAACCAACATGCCATTGACGCTGTAGAAGGTGTCCTGCCGTCGGGCGATGTCGGTGCGGAAGGTGTCCAACACACGCGCGTAGCGAGAGGTCAGCGCACCCAGCCGCTCCCTCCACGTCTGCGAGTGCATCAATGAGGCTTCGCTTGGTGAGATAGGGCCTTCCGTTAGTGCGGTTTGAGACTGCACGTCGCTTTGCATCTCTCCGGCGAGGCTGCGCTGCTCCTCCAGCAGCCCCTCCATGTTCTCTCGCAGCCGCGTCAGTGCTGCCTCTGACTGCGCCCGCTTCGTATTGAGAGAGGCGACGTCGGCGGTGCGGCGCTGCACCTGCGCCTCCGCCCACCGCAGCGCCGCATTGCGCAGTGTCTCCAGTGAGTGACACACAATCGGTATCACATCTGGAGGATGGGCCGTGCCTTGAGAAATGGAAGCAACACCACCTTTCCAGGCCGAGGAAGCCGAAGAGAAGGATGTGTCGAACACGAAAGGCTCGTGAAGTAGATGGCAAAGGTGCTCCTGAGCTTCCCTGTCCAACAGCTCTGCGTTGCGGGTCGAGTACGTCTCGAGCTCGCACAGACGACGCGCCAACTCACCTGGAAGGATCTGCCGATAAAGTTCCGCGCCAGATGCGGTGGTTGAGTTGCTGTGCTCTGCTGCCACGACTGCCACAGCCCGTCGACTCTCGTGCGTCTGTTCCCGTTGCCGGTGCTGCTGCTCCTCCTCCGCGTCCAACGCACTCACCTCGAGTGGATCATCAGTAAAACTGCTGTCAGCCAACAACGCCGCAGAGGAAGGTGTGGGCTGTGATGCGTGCACCGCTGCATCCGTAAGCGACCTCTCGTGCTCTTTAACGTACGCCGAGACGGCGCTCTGCAGCTCCGGTGCCTCTACCTTCGCTCTCTCACACACCTCCCTTATGGCGTCGTGCTTTCGAGCCAGCGTAGCGCGTGCGTCGTCGGCGGCTGACTTCTCTGCGCGCATGCTGTCCAGCTCGCCTCGGACCGCGTCGCGCTCCTTCACGACGGTGGCAAGCGTTTCGGTCAGCTGCGACACCTCCCTCGACGCGTCTGCGTGCAATTTCTGGAGCGCCTCGTGACGCTGCACCAGTCGCTCGTGGACCTCTTCCAGCTGCGACTTTTCGGTGACAGCGCTGTTCAGCGACGTGCGGGTTGCTTCGCACTCCTTCACGCAGTCCACGTACGTCTGCTGCAGCGCCTGTGCATCAACGCGGGTGTCATCCAGCATCGCCGTAACCGCGTCTTCAAAAACGCGCACCACCGCCCGCTGCTGCTCGTACCACGTGCGGTGGCTTGCTTCTCGCCACTCACTGAGTCGCGAAGCCAGTGAAAGGGCGGCGCGTTGGTCACGGCGCTCCTCCGCAGCGGACTGCTGCACCGCCTCGCCGTACTGCCTCTCCGTGTCGTAGAGGGAGCGGGTGTGCTGCAGTTCCCCGCGCAGGTGTGCCGCCTCCGTCGCCGCTGCGTCTTTTGCTAGCTCCAGTTTGTGCAGGCACGCCGCGTGCAGCTCGAGCTCCTGCGAGAGACGCTGCGTGAGGGCGTAGGAGCTGGCGTGGTGGTCCTGAGCGGCACGTGCAGTGAAGTCAGCCAGCAACTTCACTTTCTCCAGCAGAGCATCGTCCTGGGTGCGCGCTGTCGTCACATGCCACTCCTGCGCCCGCATGAGAAAGCCGCGTTGAAGCCGTCCGTCGCGCTGCGTCCGCCGTTGCATCGCCCACGCCCGCCAGCGAGCAAAGGTGGCCGCTGCGCAGTACTCCACCACGACAGAGCCGAGCTGCCCCACCTGGCCGTGCAGCTGCCGCATCTCGTCGTTGAGCTCCGCCGTGACGTCTGCGTGCGCGGCCTGCAGCTCGGCTAGCTGCCTTCGGTGCTGCTCGCCCAGCTGGAACTGCTCCTGCGCGTGCACACGTCGCTGTGTCTCGCTGCGCTCCTGGTGAATTGCCTGCAGCTGCGTCTTCTCCATCGTGAGTTCCTGCTGCTGCCGGCGCAGCGCTGTGTCGTGGCGGGCGTGCAGCCGAGCCAGCTCATTGCCGTGGCGCTCCACCAACTCTTTTCGTGCCTCAGAGTCGTGAGCTTCCAGAGTGCGCACCGTTCGCTGCTCCCGGGTCCACGCCCGCCACGCCGTCCACGCCGTGAGCGTCTGTGACTGTAGGAGGGCCCGCTCGAGGGCACACGCCAGCTGAGATGCGAGCGTACGCCTGCCTTGGTCGTGCTCCGTCTCCAGGCGGTGGCAGTGCGCCTCCCACCCCTCGCAGACCGCCGTGAGCTGTGCCGCGTCGTAACGCAACGACGCCGTCCACACCGTCAGCACCGTCCTCTCCCGCCGCTGCAGCGCCGACCACCACTGACACTCCTGCGTCTCAATGCCGCAGCGGGCGTGCGACTCGGCGAGGGCGACGTTCTCGACCCGACTGCACCACCATTTGTCATGCAGGCCGCGTCGCTCCATTCTCTCGCGCAGCAGCGCCGCCGACAGCTCTCCGTTCTTCACCTCGCCGTCGTAGCAGGCGCGGTCGCGGTCCTGCTGCGCGCGTGCGGCGGCGTCAAGCTCCAACTGCAGTCGTACGTTGGTGCGCCGCAGCTGCTCCAAGTTGTCCCTCAGCTGTGCCACTTCGGCTTGGTGTCGAGAGGAGCTTGTTTGCTGCTGCAGCAGCAGCTGCTGGCGCTGTTTCTGAAGAGAGAGCTTTAGCTCGTACGTCTCCGTCTTGCTGCGCTGGAGTTCATGGGTGCTGCGGCACTGCATCCACTGCGCAAAGTAACGCATTCGCAGTGCCTCGTTGTCGGCACGCACTGCACGATCCGTCAAAAGATCGCTGACAAGGCCATCCGCGCTGGCGCGTCGCTCCCTCACGCGTCGCTCATCTTTTGCTTTCTGTAGCAGCTGCTGTGCGGCGGCAAGTTGGTTCTCCAGCTGCACGCACCGCTCACTCAGCGGGGCGAGGGTGCGCACCTCACTCGCGAGTTTCGCTGCCTCGTCTTGCAGCGCGCGGTGTCGATGCCGCAGCCGCCCTACGAGGCCCAATAAACTGTAATGAACGAACTCCTCTTTGCGCTGCATCGTCGCCTGCCACTCCCGGTGTTGGCCCTCCCAATATGCATTCACCTGTTCTGAGAACGCCCGCTGCTGAGCCACGTGGGTGTGGAACGCTCGTTGCTCCTCGTGAAGGTTGGCCTGCAGACCCACAGCGGTCTCGCGAAGCTTTTGTTCCTTGGACCAGAAGAGCTGCTCCAGGTGCTCTTGCTGACGGATGTACGTCCCCGTGCGCTCGCTAAACTCCACCGTCATCTCCTCCAGCGCTGTCCGCAGACGCCGCACCTCGTCCTCGTGCTCTGCGGCGGTGGTGGATGCAGAACCGGCGCCGGCCGTCGTCGCGGTCTTCTTTGCTGATTCCTCACGGTTGATCGACGGCCGCGGCTCCAGCGCTGCACCGAGACGGTCGTGAAGGACCTGCTGCGTCGTGGCCAGCTCCTGGCGAAAGAACTGCGCGCGCTTCTCCGTTTCCACGGCCGCCTCCTCCAGCCGTCGCAGCTGACGACTATGCAGGCGCGATCGCCAGGTGTAAAAAACACGCTGCTGAGACACCACCTCTCGCTGACGGGCGATCGCCTCGCAGGCAGCTGCCTGATACGCCTGCCGCGTTGCCCTCTGCCGCGTCGCGTACTCGCGGGTGAGGTTGCGAATCATGGCTTTCTTCATCCACACGAGTATGACGTGGTGGGCGAGCTGCTGTTGATGTTGGTTGAGTCGCTGGTCCGCAGCTCCTTCCTCGAGATGATGTCGGCGTTCCCGTTCTAGGCGCATGACACCGTCGTGGGTGTCCTTCATGTCCGCCAGCTCCGTCGCGTGGGCGTCAAAGTAGCGTCGCATGCTCGTCTTCGCTGCCTGCAGCTCCTTCTCTTTCTCGCGCACGTTTTGCAGGCGTACCGCCTTCTCCTCCAGGGCACCGAACTGCTCGTAGAAGAGGTGGGCGCTGTGCTGCAGCAGCTGGGCAGCGACTTCTTGTTTTTGCTGAACACCGGTCTGCAGCTCCACGGTGTAGGGATTCGCAGCTGCCCCGCTGTCGTCTACCGACGCTTCCACACCGTCCCTCTCCAGCTGTGTACGCAGCAGCGCAAGATCGTCTTGAACACCCAAGACAGCAGCTTGAGCCTGCTGCACCGACTTCGCGAGTTCCTCCATTCTCGAAAGACAGACTTTCTAGCGATTCAACAACAATAATTGGTATCTAACGCAGCAGTCTCTCTTCCCTCTCCCGTGGTTGACAGCTTGCCAACGTGTGTGTGTGTGCGTGAAAGGATAATAAACATACAAAGCTGATGAAGGCGGGCGCTGATGGACTACACTTCATTACCACGGCACCTGGTCCTCAACGCCTCCAGACTTTGCGCCGCGCGCCTTCTCGCAGTTCGAGTGATGGCAACCTTCGCAGAGGCCGCAAGTACTGCTACTGTCAGCACAAACAAACCGCTGGTGCTTTCAACGAGTTTGGAGAACGAGACAAAGATGCGAGGGAGGTGACGGAAAGCGCGATTCCGAGAGAGAGAGAGAGGAAAGGGACGTTCACCAACGTCCGTCGTATTCACACGTAGAATAAACATCGACCGAATCGATATGAGCAGCTGACTTCGTAAAGAGCACAAAAATGCGCGCAGAAAGGCATCGCCTCGGGATGGGCGGTGGAGAGGACTCCGAAAGCGATGCGTTGCCTCCCTCGAAGCGCCTTCATTTGGCCGCCATTGAGAGTCAAGTGCTCGGGACACGGCAAACCCGTCGTCGCGGAAGGCAGCACGAGTTCTTACCTAGAAACGAAACGCCGCATCATCCTTTCACTCCTCCAGACTTAACAGAAGAAAGAAGACAAGCGCCTCACCCGCAACAGCACTGTTCATGGCGAGGCGAAACTAGCAGAACAACAACAAAATAGCTAAATAGGGTGCCTCGAGAGACGGGCAGTGTATCGACTCCCCGCACCCGTGCTCAAAGCCGTTGAACCATTAAGCACAGGCCATAATGTCGCAAGTGGCCATGATGGAAGAACCGATCTGGCAGGAAACAAGCAACATGCAGTTGAAGCAAATGCCCCGAATCAACGCTAATAAAAAAGGAAGCGAATAGGTACACAAGCAAAGCGCCACAGTAAAAACAGCTAGTTGCTACTTCTAGGCGCTGTACGACGGCTATGAATCGACGGAGACGGAAACGCGGAAGATGCGCGCGACACGATACGGCTCTCCACGTCCATGAAGCTCGCGCATCGATCCAGCAGCCGCTCTACCCGCAACGTCAATTCACCATCACAACGACGGAAGGTGAGAAGTGCCCTCTCTGTCTCCTCAATTAAAGCATCCTCCACCTCTCCCAGTTCGTCCGTCGCGTCCGCAAGTTCCTCAACAGTTTTCCGCAACTCATCCACCACAATACCAGTTGCGTTGAAAAAAGAACACTTCTCTTCACCGTCCTTCAAATGTGCCTGCTGCGACGTCAACGCCGCCAGCTCGTCCGCCACGGCCTCGCGCTCGCCCCGCAGACGCTCCAGCTCCGCCTGCAGTGCGCGCTGCTGCGCCGTCGCGTCCGCGGCGACCTGCCCGGCGGTGTCCGCCATGCGCGCAGCGAGGTCCGCCACCGCTTGCTGCAGCGCAGCGGCCTGCTCCGCGCACACCGCGTCCCGGGCATCCTGCTCCGCGCGCGCGACGCAGTCGTGCTCCTCCGCCTGCGCGCGCGCAAAGGCCTCGAGCGCCTCTGCGGCGCGGTGCGCGTCGTACTCCTCCGCCGCAGCGCGAAGACGCTCCTCCTCGTCCGCCGCGCGCGAGCGCAGCGCGTCCAGCTTGTGCGTCGTATCGTCGACCTCAGCGTTCAATGTCTCCATTTTCCGGAGGTTCTTTTTCTCTGCGCGGGCGTGTGCGGAGCGGAGTTCGGCTAGGACTGCTCTCACATCAGCAAGTTCTTTCCTCGCCTCGTCGCGCCTGGACTGCTGTTGCTGGCAATCCGCATCCAGCTCCTCGAGCCTCTTCCGCAAACCCTGCTGATCGGTTCGTAAACGCCTCAGCACTGCCACGCTCTCGTCGTAGTCCCTCAGTGCAGTCTCCTGCGTTGCTGCAGCCTCACGCACCTCGGCATCGATCCGTTGCTGCTGCTCCTCACGCGCTCTCTCCAGCTGGTGGATGCTGCACTGAACTTGTGCGCAGTCGCTCCGCAGAGCGTCGACCGCTCGCTTCAGGTCGTCTTCCTCACGGTGCAGGTCAACAACGCGGCGCAGCTCAGCGCCGCTCTGCTTCACGACCTCTTCCAGTCGTTCCTCCGCCTCTTTGCTCTGCCGCTGCAGCTGCGAAAGGTGTGTCGACCACGCGTCTAGGCATGCCTCGTCCGCCAGCGAGTGCGTGTGGGCGTCAAGCACCGCAATCTTTGCAGCCACCGCGCACGCGTACTCACGACACGCCTCTCTCACGCAGTCTCCGTAGCGCAGTTCCAGAACCGCCCGCTGGCGCGCCGCGCGCTCTAACTCGTCCGCCGCGCACCGCCGCTCCTCCGCTGCCGCAAGCAGCCGCTGCTCCTGCGTCTCCAACTCCGTGCACGACTGCTGCAACATCCGCTGCCGTATCAGCAGTGACGCCTCCTGCGTTGTGTAGGCGCTGCGCATCTCGCTCATCTTCTCCTCCATCGCCCTCAACTGCTCGAGCGCCTCCACCTCCCGTTCTCGTGCCGCCTGCACCGCCGCCTCCGCCCGCCCCTCCGCCACCGTCACACGGTCGAGCAGCGACTCGTCATTTGGGCGGGCAACCCGCTCCTGCGCTCTCTGCAGCTGCTCTACGCTGCTTGCTGCCGTTTCAGTGATTGCATCAGAGACCGGCGATGCAGATGCCATCGGTCGTTGAATGGGCTCAGCCGATTTAGGCTGAGGGGTGTCGGGCGTGTTGGCTGAATGAGAGATGAGGGAGGGGGTAGTGGAGGGAGCAGCGTGAGTGCGGCAGTCAGGTGAGACTTCAGGGGGCTCGTGGAGACGCACGAACAACGACTCTTCCACCCTACGACGCCAGAAGGGTGAGGACGTGCCGTTGGAAGTAACGGATCCGGCGGGGCCACGCTGTAGTGGCGTCTGTGCCGGCGAGGACGTGTGCGGGGCCGCACTTGGGGGTTGTGCCTTCTGCGGGCCAACAGAAGTCAGCAATTCCTCCGTCATCCTCTGGAAGGAGGAAGTTAACGGGTTAATGAAAGGAGGAGTGAGAAGTGTTCTCGACCGGTCAACAGAAGGTTTGTCAGGTGATAAGGTGTGTTTTGCAGTTGACCCGGCATGCATAGTGCTTGATCTCGCCGATGGAGCACCGTTACAGCCGAAGCAACAGGCGTCGATGCACGGACGGCTGGCGTAGCGGCCCTTCGCAGAGATGCACGTCAGCACGCTGAGGCCCTCAATCGCCACACCGGGCAGCAGCACCGGCAGCAGCGGGTTGTCCAGCAGGTTGCCCTCGCGGCGGCACACGAGCACCTCGCACAGCGCCTCCATCGTTGTGCCGAAGCTCGTGCACACGTCGCAGATGGACGGCACCAGCGAGAAGAGGTGCTCCGCGCACAGCACACGCCCCGCCACCGCCGCGTCGCCGCCGCCGCACGTGTACACCGCCAGCCGCACCTGACGCACGCACGCAGAGGCCTCACCGCGCTCGGCGTCGGGCGGCAGGCTGCACAGCTGCTTCAGCACCGTTGCGAACAGCCGCTGCTGCGCCGGCGTCTGCAGCGGCACCGTCGTCTTCTGCTGCAACAGCGGCGACGTCGCGGCGCCCACGCGCAGCGCCTCGCCCAGCGGGTCCTCCTCCCCCCACGGGTACACACGCGCAGCGTTGAACACGCACTCGCAGGGGCTTCCCGCGTGCTGCGCGCCGCAGAGCCGCACCACGTCCTCCGCGGCCAGCCGCACCACCTGGTAGAACGCCTTCGCCACGTGGGACGCGGGGTCGCCGTGCAGCACCGTGGAGCGGCGCGGTGCACTCGTGCAGGCCGCGGCGGGTCGCCGCACCGCCGCACCGAACTGCGCCCGCACGTTGTCCGCCACGCACATCGCGTAGAGGGTGGTGTAGAAGGGGGCGTGCACCACCGTGTCGAAGGGGAAGGGCTCGGAGCTGAGGTCGCCCGCGCAGTGCAGCGTCACCTGCTGGGTGCCGGACACGGACAGCGTCTCATCCCCATCTTTGTCCGGTGGGTAGATGAACACGCCCGTTTGCACTTGCTGAACTTTGAAAGTCGGGCTAATCATGTCATCGAAGAGGCGAGTCAGAGCTCAGCAGTTAAAGCGTGCGTTGAATACAGAAGAAAGTGAAGACGGTCTCAATAGTCAGGGCACATTGAATGTATATTGAATGTATTTGCAGTGTATTTGCTAATGGAGTTGTGAGTGTATGTATAAGCACACAACCGTTGACGTCAGCGATGAGTAGCGGATGTAAAATAAATAATGAAGACAACAGCGTTAATTGAACGTCTCGGACCTAATCTGTTGAAGGAGAATAGTCACCTACGCCGGTACTCGCCAGCACGGCGATTTGCAGGTGGAAGAGGACGCTTTGGATGTAAAAGAAAAAAATAGCGGTTTTAAATTTAGGTAGAACTAAAAAATGTGTCAACACTGATGGAAGAAGCGCAACGACAACAAAAGGGAAAGGCGTAGGAGAGAGGCATAAGGACGAGCAGCAAGTGGTGCGGTCGTCAACTTTGTCGGACGTGGCGCAGCTGCTATCGAGGGCTTCTCAGCAGTGACGGCGTGCTTTCTTTCATGGTGGCAAACTGAGTCCAACGTGGGACGACGGAATAGGATGGAAACACGGCACCGTTTCTTTTCCTCGTGTTCAACGACGCTGTGGCGACCTTCGTCTTTCGAGGCACGCATAACGCACCACTTTTCAGCGTCGTGTGCCATCAGTGTTTATTACAGTTGCTTGGATCCTCAAAAAGAATATGTACAAGGAAAGGGGGCTCTAGTTCTCAGCAAATGTTAAAGGACAGTGGAGTTGTTCCGTTACACAAACAAACATGCGCTGTGGCGAAGCACCACAGCAGTACACAAGCGGAGGAAACCTCGAGCGCGTTATTCGCTGACGCTGATCTTTGAAGCGCGACTTACGTTCCTCTAACAACTCTTTCGAGGTGAGACGCGCGTTGCTGCAAAAAAACAGTAAAACCAATAAAATACCAACTCTCGTCTGTATGCACGACTAAAAGGAAAAGTGGATGCGGAACGCACAGGAGGAGACGCAGAGCCGCCGCTGCGCTTCACAGCCCGTCTGCAGAGTCCCAAAAGCCCCGCAACCGGCAGAAGAGGCAAAACAGTGAAGCAGTTGCGGTCTAAGGTGAAAAGGTGAGGCAAAAAAAAAAGCGGCGAGTATTCACCCCAACTGCAGCGGAGAGAGATCGTCAAACGCTGACATCGAACATTCACCGTCACCTAATTCAACCCTATCCGAAGAGTCCGGTTGCGTTTGTTCATCGAGGACGCCGACAAATGGGAAGCGGAGCAAGAAGCAATGCGGCTTTCCACGTCCATGAAGCTGGCACAGCGGTCCATCAGCTGCTCCACCCGCATCGTCAGTTCGCCATCGCCGCGGCGGAACGTGAGGAGGGCCTTGTCCGTCTCTGCGATCACGCCGTTCTCCACCTCCGCCAGCTCATCCGTGGCGTCCGCGAGTTCCTCCACCACTTTCCGCAGCTCCTCCAGCACAATGGCGCTTGCGCCGCCGAAGCTTGTCGTCTCCTGAGTCGCTGACTCCGCGCGCTCTAACTCGTCCGCCGCGCACCGCCGCTCCTCCGCTGCCGCAAGCAGCCGCTGCTCCTGCGTCTCCAACTCCGTGCACGACTGCTGCAACATCCGCTGCCGTATCAGCAGTGACGCCTCCTGCGTTATGTAGGCGCTGCGCATCTCGCTCATCTTCTCCTCCATCGCCCTCAATCGCTCGAGCGCCTCCACCTCCCGTTCTCGTGCCGCCTGCACCGCCGCCTCCGCCCGCCCCTCCGCCACCGTCACACAGTCTAGCAGCGACTCCTCCGCCGGGTGGGCAACCCGCTCCTTGAGCTTCCGCAGTTCATAGGGGCTGGAGGGCAACCGACTTTTCAGGGTACTCCGCGGTGGCGTGGGGGTCGAGCTGGACGCCGCCAGAGCAACGGGCTCTGCAGGGGAACTGTGCAGGCGACGGTAGGTTAAAATGCGGTCGACTGATGCATCAATGTGAGAAAGCGGGGACGACGCGCGGTGATTGGGCGTAGTTGGTGACGCTCTGCCGGTGAGTGGAGATCGTCTCGGCGATACGTTGGACGGTGGAGCAACAGAATCACGTTGCCCGCCACTGATGTGATCTGAGGCCGTTTCAGTGCTGCGTGCGTCCGCCATTATCTCGACCTCGCCTGTGGCACGTACGAAAGAGGGAGGAAACGCAGGTGCAGGCGGCGTGCAGACACGGTTCGACGGTCTGGGGGTAAGTCCTTCCCGTTTCGTCGGCCTGCAATCCCGTCGCAGAGGGCTCAGCGCAGCTGGACGCTGCCTTCGGGCACCGCTGCAGCCGAAGCAACAGGCGTCGATGCACGGACGGCTGGCGTAGCGGCCCTTCGCAGAGATGCACGTCAGCACGCTGAGGCCCTCAATCGCCACACCGGGCAGCAGCACCGGCAGCAGCGGGTTGTCCAGCAGGTTGCCCTCGCGGCGGCACACGAGCACCTCGCACAGCGCCTCCATCGTTGTGCCGAAGCTCGTGCACACGTCGCAGATGGACGGCACCAGCGAGAAGAGGTGCTCCGCGCACAGCACACGCCCCGCCACCGCCGCGTCGCCGCCGCCGCACGTGTACACCGCCAGCCGCACCTGACGCACGCACGCAGAGGCCTCACCGCGCTCGGCGTCGGGCGGCAGGCTGCACAGCTGCTTCAGCACCGTTGCGAACAGCCGCTGCTGCGCCGGCGTCTGCAGCGGCACCGTCGTCTTCTGCTGCAACAGCGGCGACGTCGCGGCGCCCACGCGCAGCGCCTCGCCCAGCGGGTCCTCCTCCCCCCACGGGTACACACGCGCAGCGTTGAACACGCACTCGCAGGGGCTTCCCGCGTGCTGCGCGCCGCAGAGCCGCACCACGTCCTCCGCGGCCAGCCGCACCACCTGGTAGAACGCCTTCGCCACGTGGGACGCGGGGTCGCCGTGCAGCACCGTGGAGCGGCGCGGTGCACTCGTGCAGGCCGCGGCGGGTCGCCGCACCGCCGCACCGAACTGCGCCCGCACGTTGTCCGCCACGCACATCGCGTAGAGGGTGGTGTAGAAGGGGGCGTGCACCACCGTGTCGAAGGGGAAGGGCTCGGAGCTGAGGTCGCCCGCGCAGTGCAGCGTCACCTGCTGGGTGCCGGACACGGACAGCGTCTCATCCCCATCTTTGTCCGGTGGGTAGATGAACACGCCCGTTTGCACTTGCTGAACTTTGAAAGTCGGGCTAATCATGTCATCGAAGAGGCGAGTCAGAGCTCAGCAGTTAAAGCGTGCGTTGAATACAGAAGAAAGTGAAGACGGTCTCAATAGTCAGGGCACATTGAATGTATATTGAATGTATTTGCAGTGTATTTGCTAATGGAGTTGTGAGTGTATGTATAAGCACACAACCGTTGACGTCAGCGATGAGTAGCGGATGTAAAATAAATAATGAAGACAACAGCGTTAATTGAACGTCTCGGACCTAATCTGTTGAAGGAGAATAGTCACCTACGCCGGTACTCGCCAGCACGGCGATTTGCAGGTGGAAGAGGACGCTTTGGATGTAAAAGAAAAAAATAGCGGTTTTAAATTTAGGTAGAACTAAAAAATGTGTCAACACTGATGGAAGAAGCGCAACGACAACAAAAGGGAAAGGCGTAGGAGAGAGGCATAAGGACGAGCAGCAAGTGGTGCGGTCGTCAACTTTGTCGGACGTGGCGCAGCTGCTATCGAGGGCTTCTCAGCAGTGACGGCGTGCTTTCTTTCATGGTGGCAAACTGAGTCCAACGTGGGACGACGGAATAGGATGGAAACACGGCACCGTTTCTTTTCCTCGTGTTCAACGACGCTGTGGCGACCTTCGTCTTTCGAGGCACGCATAACGCACCACTTTTCAGCGTCGTGTGCCATCAGTGTTTATTACAGTTGCTTGGATCCTCAAAAAGAATATGTACAAGGAAAGGGGGCTCTAGTTCTCAGCAAATGTTAAAGGACAGTGGAGTTGTTCCGTTACACAAACAAACATGCGCTGTGGCGAAGCACCACAGCAGTACACAAGCGGAGGAAACCTCGAGCGCGTTATTCGCTGACGCTGATCTTTGAAGCGCGACTTACGTTCCTCTAACAACTCTTTCGAGGTGAGACGCGCGTTGCTGCAAAAAAACAGTAAAACCAATAAAATACCAACTCTCGTCTGTATGCACGACTAAAAGGAAAAGTGGATGCGGAACGCACAGGAGGAGACGCAGAGCCGCCGCTGCGCTTCACAGCCCGTCTGCAGAGTCCCAAAAGCCCCGCAACCGGCAGAAGAGGCAAAACAGTGAAGCAGTTGCGGTCTAAGGTGAAAAGGTGAGGCAAAAAAAAAAGCGGCGAGTATTCACCCCAACTGCAGCGGAGAGAGATCGTCAAACGCTGACATCGAACATTCACCGTCACCTAATTCAACCCTATCCGAAGAGTCCGGTTGCGTTTGTTCATCGAGGACGCCGACAAATGGGAAGCGGAGCAAGAAGCAATGCGGCTTTCCACGTCCATGAAGCTGGCACAGCGGTCCATCAGCTGCTCCACCCGCATCGTCAGTTCGCCATCGCCGCGGCGGAACGTGAGGAGGGCCTTGTCCGTCTCTGCGATCACGCCGTTCTCCACCTCCGCCAGCTCATCCGTGGCGTCCGCGAGTTCCTCCACCACTTTCCGCAGCTCCTCCAGCACAATGGCGCTTGCGCCGCCGAAGCTTGTCGTCTCCTGAGTCGCTGACTCCGCGCGCTCTAACTCGTCCGCCGCGCACCGCCGCTCCTCCGCTGCCGCAAGCAGCCGCTGCTCCTGCGTCTCCAACTCCGTGCACGACTGCTGCAACATCCGCTGCCGTATCAGCAGTGACGCCTCCTGCGTTATGTAGGCGCTGCGCATCTCGCTCATCTTCTCCTCCATCGCCCTCAATCGCTCGAGCGCCTCCACCTCCCGTTCTCGTGCCGCCTGCACCGCCGCCTCCGCCCGCCCCTCCGCCACCGTCACACAGTCTAGCAGCGACTCCTCCGCCGGGTGGGCAACCCGCTCCTTGAGCTTCCGCAGTTCATAGGGGCTGGAGGGCAACCGACTTTTCAGGGTACTCCGCGGTGGCGTGGGGGTCGAGCTGGACGCCGCCAGAGCAACGGGCTCTGCAGGGGAACTGTGCAGGCGACGGTAGGTTAAAATGCGGTCGACTGATGCATCAATGTGAGAAAGCGGGGACGACGCGCGGTGATTGGGCGTAGTTGGTGACGCTCTGCCGGTGAGTGGAGATCGTCTCGGCGATACGTTGGACGGTGGAGCAACAGAATCACGTTGCCCGCCACTGATGTGATCTGAGGCCGTTTCAGTGCTGCGTGCGTCCGCCATTATCTCGACCTCGCCTGTGGCACGTACGAAAGAGGGAGGAAACGCAGGTGCAGGCGGCGTGCAGACACGGTTCGACGGTCTGGGGGTAAGTCCTTCCCGTTTCGTCGGCCTGCAATCCCGTCGCAGAGGGCTCAGCGCAGCTGGACGCTGCCTTCGGGCACCGCTGCAGCCGAAGCAACAGGCGTCGATGCACGGACGGCTGGCGTAGCGGCCCTTCGCAGAGATGCACGTCAGCACGCTGAGGCCCTCAATCGCCACACCGGGCAGCAGCACCGGCAGCAGCGGGTTGTCCAGCAGGTTGCCCTCGCGGCGGCACACGAGCACCTCGCACAGCGCCTCCATCGTTGTGCCGAAGCTCGTGCACACGTCGCAGATGGACGGCACCAGCGAGAAGAGGTGCTCCGCGCACAGCACACGCCCCGCCACCGCCGCGTCGCCGCCGCCGCACGTGTACACCGCCAGCCGCACCTGACGCACGCACGCAGAGGCCTCACCGCGCTCGGCGTCGGGCGGCAGGCTGCACAGCTGCTTCAGCACCGTTGCGAACAGCCGCTGCTGCGCCGGCGTCTGCAGCGGCACCGTCGTCTTCTGCTGCAACAGCGGCGACGTCGCGGCGCCCACGCGCAGCGCCTCGCCCAGCGGGTCCTCCTCCCCCCACGGGTACACACGCGCAGCGTTGAACACGCACTCGCAGGGGCTTCCCGCGTGCTGCGCGCCGCAGAGCCGCACCACGTCCTCCGCGGCCAGCCGCACCACCTGGTAGAACGCCTTCGCCACGTGGGACGCGGGGTCGCCGTGCAGCACCGTGGAGCGGCGCGGTGCACTCGTGCAGGCCGCGGCGGGTCGCCGCACCGCCGCACCGAACTGCGCCCGCACGTTGTCCGCCACGCACATCGCGTAGAGGGTGGTGTAGAAGGGGGCGTGCACCACCGTGTCGAAGGGGAAGGGCTCGGAGCTGAGGTCGCCCGCGCAGTGCAGCGTCACCTGCTGGGTGCCGGACACGGACAGCGTCTCATCCCCATCTTTGTCCGGTGGGTAGATGAACACGCCCGTTTGCACTTGCTGAACCCGATACGACAGCATGAAAGTCGTGGAGCGGCTGAACGCACGATGTGGTTGGTATTTTTGGTTGAGTTCCAAAGATAAAGCCTGGAAAATGAGAAGTGATGAGAGGAACAAAAGAGAGAAGAACACGTTTAAAAAAGCACTCGAAGAAAGATCAGTTACGACGCTATCATCTAAATGTGGGAGACTTTTTAGTTGGTTGACCAGCGCTCTTGGCCGCCTTGGGTTGGGTATTGAACGGTGGCTTAGAGAGAGAGAACGCGCTCTGGGAGCAGGCCTTCACCGCAGTCTCGGAGCTGCTCAAGGCGCTTTGGGCCCCGAGAGGGAAGATGGCACTCGAGAAGGAAAGCGGATGAGGAAACAGAGGATAATGGGAAGAGAGGTGTCCGGGCTTCACTGCGCGGCGGTCCGCTTGGCACGCAGAAACCCGAAAAGCAAAAGGCAAGACTGCCGGGTAGCCTCGTGCAGAGGGGCCCCGCTCCACGGCACTCATCGAGGCGCAGATACGAAGAAGAAGACGCGTTGTGTTCTTCCACGCATTACGCAGGGCTCGTACGAGGAGTATAGCTTCGAATGACGTCGAAGGAAATGTACAGGACTGCCCGGTAACTTTCCGTGAGCAGACGCTCAGCATTGAAGGAACGAACGGCAACTTTACCTGTTAAACGGCCACATGTATAAACTCCGCTAGCGCAGCAGCACCGCCTTGCTCTTCCTCACAGGGGAAACAGAGACGAAGGCGTCAAAGCTGCACGACAGGCTGGAAACAAGCGTCGCTTCAGGGAAGGTGGGGCTCTGCGAAGCGCCGTGCTTCATCGGGGACAATGTGGAAGCTGTTATGGATGCGCCTGGAATAGGTGTACGAGGAATGTTAGAGCCCTTAATCGGTTGCTCAGAGGGGCTTGAGGTGCAAGAGCAGAGAGGTGTTTTTGCCTTTGCCGGTGTTGCTGTGTCGAGACCTGAACGCTGAGTCACCGGGGCAGTTCTCTGCTTGGTTTCGTCGTGCTGCTCCACACTCGGGAAGAAGTCCACCTTCTCCGTTGCAACGGCGCTCACGAGATTCAGAGACGTGTTGCCCTGAAAAGAACGATCAGGAGTGCTCGCAATCGTCACGGGAGCGCTCGTCGCCCCGTTGACTATCTCACGCTCCTGCGCCGGCTGTGCATTATCTGTGAAGTCTACGTGTAGTTTCCGCGTTGGGGTAGCTTCGTTCTTGTCAACGACAGCAGCTAGCTCCTGTGTCGTACGGCTCAGCCCGTGCACTTCCTCCTTCTGCAGCGAAACACGGTGGTGTGAATTGTGTGATGGGGCGGTGGGGGCCTGTCGTTCTGTTGTCGCGGCCGCTATGCGTGTATCCGCGGCAGACAGCAACTCCTCCATCTCCCGCTCGAGATCCCCCATTTCTCGCGTCACGGTTGAGGTAGACGTCGTGCACACAGGCGGCGATGCCGCCGACTCCGAAACCTCAGGAGGCTGACGTATGAAGATGCTAAACTCCGCAGCGTCTGCACGTCTTATCGCCATCCGTACCTGCTCCTCACACATCGCACACTGCGCATCGGCCCACGCCTTTCTCTCCCGCACCTGCGCCTGCAGCACCGCAACCGCTTGCTGAAAGCGGTTTTCCACAGAAGCAATTTGTGCCTGCAGCTGCTGCTCTGCTGACTCGCGGCAGCGCCGTTCTGCCTCGTCTTCTTCTGCTCGTCGGCTGTGTTGGTGCTCTTGGAGCGCCGTCTGCGCCGTCGAATACGCCGTACGTTCTTGCTGGACCTTCTGACGCAGCTCGTGCAGCTCCTTCTCAAGCTGCTGCCGCGTCCCCGCAGCTGATTGCTGAAACTCTGTCAGCTCTGCCGCTGCGGTGCGACGCGTCTGCTGCAGAGCCTGAATCTTGTCCTCGAGCCTATTCAGGTAGGCAAGGCACTCCTTTTCCTGATTTCGACTGGATTGAATGACGGCTGCAGCGTGCGCTACGGCCTGTCTCGCCCGCTCCTCCATCAGCAGCGTGTGCTCGTCCAGTTCATCCTGAATAGCCGATACGAGCCCGCTACGACGCTCGAGGTATTCCGCGTAGGTGTGCGGCCCGTCCTCCGGTTTCGGCCTCGTCTCAGACCGTGGCGGGCTCATCGACTTGTGCATCCCCGCCGAGTGCCGCAGCGAAGCTCTTCGTTTGGACCTCATGACGCTGGCAGATGACGAGGGGGACACTCAGGTCCTACAGGCATACGTTTTCGGGGAAGACGGAACGGGCGACGATGTGTGGTGCCCGGACAGTGTTAGAAGAGGAAGAAAAGATATTAGTGCGAAGGGTGGGGGGGGGGGGGCGTGCATCGGTGCGGTGCACGATTCGAAGTGCGTCGTGGCGGGGAGAGTAGATTGCGAGCGGCGTGCACACCTTGGCAACACGCAGCAGCAGCCACTCTCCGTCAACATCAGTGGGTGAGGTGAGGGGGGGGACCATTGCTTGCCTTTGAAGGAGTTTGGACACCTTGGAAAGGCTCTCGTCGGGTTCATGCGGTTATGGAGTTTCCAAATAAAGACCTTTGGCAACAGAGAAACGTGCTCTAACTGCTTCATGTAGCGATGAAGAGGCAACAATGAATGAACGAAGTTCCGCATCTACCGAGAAGGAAAGGAAAGGAGAAAGCATCTACTGTCTATCGAAACACACGCCAACTCGCAGGCACGTACAACGGTGTGAGGGGTGTAGCACCCCCCGATCTACTCCCCTTCTGCTTCACAGCCGGAAGATGCGCTCCGGGGAGGGGATCACTTTGGGCTCCTTGACGTCGGGGTTCGACACGTGCGGCGTCTTCCGCGGCGGTGCGTCGGAGTGACGCCCAAAGTCGACGAGCTTTGAAGGCTTCGTGCGAACTCCAATTCCCTCGTTCGGCGGCGGTGCCCGCGGGGACGGCCATACGTGTGGCGGGGCGACGTCCGGCGAAGGCGTGGGGGCGGCGGAAGAAGAGGAAGAGGTCGAGGAGGACTGCTGCAGTGGCACGGAGAGAGACGGCAGGAGTTGCTTGCGCCTATCAAACTCCACAATACCCGCTGAGTGGTCGCGCCGGCCGCCGTCTGCCCTTCGCGGGGGCGGGGAGGTGTCGCGCTGTGGCGGCTGCGACGGCGTGGGTGCCCGTGGCGCACTCGTCGCACCAGCAGAGCGGCTGAGGTGGAAGGAGTCGATGTCAACGAAATCCGTCCCCGTCGAGACAGAGCGCAGCGGCATCAACGGCGTCTGCGTGGCGCTGGACGCCCGCTGCGGTGTCACCGGCGGTGTGTGCAGCGACGTGTGCCGTCTCCACTTATCATAATAGATGCGGTAGATGCGCTGCCTCACTTTGAGCTTTACGAGCTGGTAGTGCGCCAAGGTTTCCGCGGAGAGCGTGAAGAGGCGCTCCTGTGTCTCGTGTGCCTGTGACGCGTTCACCGCGACTTTCTCTAACGACATAGAGAGTCCGCTCCGGTCTATCGTAGCGTGAAAGCGGGCAGGAGACATCGGAGGGGAGCAACCACCCGGTGAGGCTCCGGCGAGAGCGGCCACTGGACTCGATAGGCTGCGCGGCGTTGGGATCTCCTCAAACGACTCCTCCTCCCACAGCGGTGACACGCGCAGCGGCGCCTCCACCGCAGTGTCCGGCTTCACACAGAAGTAGGAGCTCATGCTGGGAGGCGAGGCGCTGTCCCGTGTGGCGGAGAGGGAGTAGCGGTACGACTCACCCGGGACGGTGCTGCAGAGAGGATCGCGGGCTTCATCATCCTTTTCATTGCCCTCGATGCCGCCGGTGTGTGTGGAGGGCGGCTCCGCAGACGGTGCGGCGGCCAATGGCTCGCCGGTAGCTCCGTCGTCTTCGAATTCCGTCTTCTCCAGGGGAAGGGCAGCGTCGCCATCGATGCGAGCTGCGAGATGAGACGGCGGGAAAATGTCCCCGTTGAGATCCGCCGCGTCGGTCTCCGTCAAAGCTTCTACGTCATGGACGCGAATGAGGAAATCGCCTTCATGATCCGAGACGCTGCTGAAGCTGCTGGAGTTGGAGAACTGAATGCTGTGCTCTCGTGGACTGCTACGATGGGGCATTACGCTGAGACAGACAGCGACAGAGGATGAAGTGCGCAGCAGCCGTTCACGCAACAGCAATGGTTTCTTTTTTCACCTGAAAGGAATACTGTTCGTAATGTACGGCCGACACGGTTGATCTCCAATTTTGTGGGGCACTAATATCGGGTGAATGTATGCTGATTGTAAAGCGACGGTGGCGGCTTCACCGCAGAAGACGAGCGCATGCAGGTCGGTGAACAGCGTAGCGTCGCACCCAACTCCACAGCAAAAGCGCTGTCATCGATCAGAAAAGAAAGAGCGCGCCGTACGAAGCGAGGAGGGAAGCGAATAGAGTACAGGGAGTATCTCAGCACAACTACACAAAAGAAAACACCTTGTTCCGCTGCATCGCCCGTTGCATCTGAGATGGCTCGGCATGTACATATGTTACTGCAGTGCATGTTTATGTTTCCATCAGAGAAAGAAAGGAGAGAAGTCCCCGACATCCGCAAAGCGTGCTCCTGAGCTTTTCAACCTGCCGCGATAAAAACGAAACAAATGGTGTGCGCGCTTCGTAAAGAGTAGAAATCAGAAAACTGGAAAGGAGCACATGGGCCTCGCTCAACCGGAGCTGACACAGCGTGAATCGCGGCATTCACCATCCCACGTCAAACTAAACAAAGTAGCAGGCTACAAATCTTGATGGACGTACTGCATACGCGCCAGCGGCACTGATACCGAAGATGCGGTAGCCCCACGAAACACTTCCAAATCATCCTCCGCCACTGACGGCATCGCAGAGACCGTCGCCGCGCCTTCCCACACCCGCGCAGGAGAGGAGCGCCCACTCCATGGATTGGTGTCCGAGGTCAACGACGGTGCCCCCCCCCCCCGAAAGTCTTCGCTCGGAAGGGGCGTCGCGGGACGAAACGGAGAAGGGGTGGCATCGTCGTCCGTGGCGGTTGCCTGCGGGGTACACGGTGGCGACGCCGCCGCTGCTGCAGCATTGGCCACACAGGGCGGCATTGGAGCACGTTGCTGTGCGGGCTCCTGCAGTGGGCTGGGTTCCCCGACCGCCTCCTCGTCCTTACGAACACTTTCTTCCTCCTCTGCATCTTCGCGCTTGTCGCTCCCGGCTGCTTCTGGCGTCTTCGTATCCGCAGACCACGGTGTCAGCGCCGATGCCGCACTGCCGTCTACGCGGGCCGGTGAGGTGTACAGCGAGCTGCTGTGGAAAACCGGCGTGCTGGCCAGGCTGCTAGAGTTGTTGGAGAAGAGGCCGGGCGATTCCGGCATGGCCACCGCCATTTCGCTCGCTTGCTCCGATTGGCAGCGGCGGGGGCTTCCGCTGCTCTCCGACGCCTCCTCTACGGCACCACGCAAATCCCTTTCCACGGCTGCCGGCGCCGGTAAGAAGGCTGCTGTGTTTTCAGAGCTGCTGCCGGGCCACTGCGCATCGTGTGCGACCGTCACGTCTGTGCTGGGCGGAGGTGAGTCGCCCACCAACCCACCCCATGGAAACGCAGTGGTCATAGCGCCACCTTCATCTACGCCTGCGGGGGCACCTGCAGCCGCTATCGCGTCGCTATCCATAGAAATCGACTCTGAGGAGCTGTGCCCCGCCGTCTGCGCCATCCAGAAAGTAGGGCTCGCGGCTCCTTCAACTATTTCCCTCTCCGCTGTGTGCGGCATCGTCCCTGTTTGGACTGGCGCCGCCGTTGTGTGCCCTTCGGCCGCTGCGTTGGAGAAGCTTCGGGTGGAGGTGTCGGAGCGAGAAAAGGCGCGGCTCGATGAATCGGTGACGGTTGCAGTTGCGTCCCCGGAGGTGTCGCGCACCGCAGCGAACCTCTCCAAGGCTGGAGATGCAACGTTGGGCGGGGGTGACCGCAAACGCAGCGGCGTAGGGGCGTGGCTGAGAGGCCCCCTTGCGCCCTCGCTCTCTCCCATTTCGTCCGCGGAGGCGTCGGAGAGCAGACCCGGCAGTGACCGCTCCATCGGTGTTCGCTCCATCTCTGTCCCACCCATCGACTGCGACCCGAGAAGGGTGTGCGTGGTCGAACCAAGCGCTGAGCTTGCCTCTGGCGCGTGTGCGGGTGGTGAGGCAGCAAGGTGCACGTCCGCCAGGTCCCCCATAACTTGTCGTGCGACTCCAGAAGGTCTGGATTGTGTCGGTGTCTTTTCCATTATTTGAGCCGCGGAAGATGAAGGAGAAGCCACTGCCTCTGCTGCCTGTAACTGCGCCTTTTGCTTTGCCTTCCACAGCGCGTACTTCGAGAGTTGCTGGATGCCGCTGTCCGGCGCCGGAGACGCTCCTTCCGTCGCGTTGAAGGGTTTCTCCCCTGTCGCCTTTACCGCGGGTGAGGCGAATTCAGTCATGGGTGGTGGTACCGCAGCATTCGTCGGGGTGGGAGCTGGAGGCGGCGTCCCAGCAGGCGACGGAGTGGTAGGCGCTGCAGCGGCTGGTGCCTCCTGCTGATTTGTGGGCGCGGCATCGGTAGCGGGTGTTGTCGAAGCAGCACGCGCCTTGCCTCTCTTCGTCGGCGACGTAGTGGACAGCTGAGGCGCTCCAACGGGGGAGGTGTCACTAAGAGGACACGCACTGGGACCGTCTTCTTTTGTGGAGAGTGTCGGACTGCACGCATGCTGCCCTGCACCTCCCACCGTGTACGGGCGCTGGTGTGTCCACGGAGAGAGGGCGGTACGAGTCGGCGGCGGTGGCGCCGACGGCACTTCAGAGCTGGCTACGTGCGCGTTCACCGACAGCGGCGAGTTCTGCGGCGCGGCTCGCGAACGAGCGGGAAGCCGAGAGGTGTGGAACGGCTTCGGCCCACTCGCAAGAGGCCGCTCCGTCGATGGGGACGACGAAGACGCCGGGGTGCTGTTGATCGCGACCGCAGGTGTGTTGGCGGTGGCGGTCTCGACAACTTTATCTGTTTTTTCTCTTGCGGGCTCAGTTGTTTCCAAGGGTGCTGCTGTCATCCGTTCGGCTTTGCTCGCTGACGGTGTCACGTCCTCTATTGCCGAGGCCGTCAAATGACCGCTTTTCTCCTCCTCCGTCGCCATGCACGCCATCACCTTTGGCGTGGGTGGAGAGCGGCGATTGCTCTCCTGCAGCTGCGGCACGCGGACGGTGTCGAGGGCATCCTTCCAAACAGGGCCCTCCATGCGCGGTTCATAGAGCGGCAGCAACGCCTCTGTGGTAGACGGTCTCCTGCGTTTTGGGTGCTGCTCAGCGGGGGGTTTTGAGGAGGCGAAGGACGCCGCGTCGCTTCCTCCCGTCGAGGCCGCTCGTTGTCGCGCCTTCCACGCTGCCGCGGCGTGGGTGTGATTGGTCGGCGGGACAGGGAGGCCCCACGCACGGGGACCGCCGCCGCCAAACGGCTCGTGCGTCGGCGCGCCGCCACCCGCCTCAAACGGCGCCGCCGACCCGCGAAAAAGAGAGAAGTCGGCGGTGGCGTCCGCCAAGAAAGAAAAGGCCGGGGCCGAGAGAGAACCGCTCTCGTGCTCGTCCACCACCTCCTCACGCCAGTCCTGCGGCGGAGACGACACCGAGGCGTCAGAGTGGCGCAGATGTGGGTGCGGCCCTTCGCTGCCGCTGCGTTGATTGTATTCGTCTTCCACCGAGGAGGTGGACGCGGTGGAGACGGAGCTGCGCGCTGTGGCGCGTGAGCTGGACCGCGTTGTGGTGGCCGTGTGCGCGGACTCCTCCCTTTCCGCGTCTGTCTGCGCCGTGTTTACGATCTCCTCCACAGCCGTGTGCGGGTGCGACTCCGCCGTGATGGCGCCGACGTCGTCCCCTGGAAGGGTGCGCATGGGCAGCGCGGCGGGGAGAAGGAGCGGAGCCGCGTGCCGCACCGGACCGACCGAGGATGAGTTGGCGGAGCGGTAGTACCGTAAGAGCTGCGCCTGCGTCGTGGCGGCGTCTGCGGAGGGAGAGGGAGCAGCGGGGGCCGAGTGCGCCGCAGGAAGGCCGTGCGCTGGGTGTTCCGCTGCGTCGGGCATCGCTTCATCGTCGGAATGAAATGAGCGGACGGAGGGAAACGACTGCGACAGTGCCATTTCGTCAGCGGGCGACTCTTCTTCTCTTTTGGGGGGCAGAGCGTGCCGCGCAGGTTGCGTCGTCGCTACGTCCTTTGCTGATGACTGCTGGAGCTGCCCTCTCCGCTCAGCAGGAGCCCTTAGCCGGTCAGCAGATGACTCCGTCGTAGGCGGTGCTGCGGTAGCTGGTGGTGATGTCGTTTTTGGCGCAGCTGGCTGTCTCGATGATGTGGAGAGTGCAGGAGGCGGCACCGGTGCTGGAGCCTCCACCGCTGCCTTGGCAGGCGTGCGCTTCTTCGGGGAGGCGGACGGACTTCGATTCGATGCAGGTGACGGCGATACGCAGGCGCCATGCTCACGTGGAGGGGAGCTCTCTGCCTGGTCACGGTCAAGAGACAACAGACTTCGCCTCCGCGCGGCGTCAACAGAGGAGAGGCTTCCCCCTGCGGGCCTCGGCGTGCGCGCGACATCGTTTGGCAACCGGTGCGTTTGCGGTCTGCTTCCTGCAGCCGTTGCGTGATGTACACCGTCGTGTGCTTTCTCCTCCTCTTCGTGATCAGCAGGAACAACACTAGGCGACAGCAACACTGAGCTGTGCAGCCGCGACGGCGTTGCCACGTCAAATTCGATGGAGGAGTAAGGCGATGGCGACGGCGTAGGCGACTTCGTGTCGCGTGTCGCCGCTGGAGGCGGTCCCGTAGTGTCCGCTGCACCCCCCACAGCTGCTGCGGTCGGCTCCGGGCCCGCTGTCAGCGTCTGCTGCGTCAGTGGTGCGTCTTGCGTAGTGGCGGCCGCACCTTTCCTCACTGGGTAGATAAACTGCTGCTTTGTCTGTGCGGCAGCATCCCTCGTACTGCGTTGCGGTGGTGGTGGTGGTGGTGGTGGCTGTGCTGTGGTCACACTGGAGTTTTTAGGCGGCACATGTACGTGTGCCACAGCGGCCGGGGAGACGGTAGAGGCAGGGGGAGGGCGAGGCTCGGGAGAAGGCGGTCCCGCACCCGCCGCAGCGGGCTGCCGACGTGGCACTGACATCTTCGACTCCATCTGGTTGTCGCCATCTCGGTGTGCTTTTGTTGATAGCAGCGGCTGTGCCACTTCCCCGCGACGCCGCCGCTGCTTTGGTGCGGGCAGTGCAGCCGGTGCGTCGTACTCCTCATCTCCTTTCATGCTGTTCTTTTCGATAGGTGACAGCGCGGCCAAGAACTTCTCCGAACTTCTTTCCTGTTCATCGAGGTACTTCGACACCGCTGCCTTCATCTTGTCCTTGGAGCTGACGCTGGCATCGGAGCCTCTTCGCCGTGTGGGCGTGGCTGTTCCAGTCGGTGCACGGCGGCCGTCGTGCCCGTCGCTCGCCATCCTGCGCCGCTGCCGCTCTTCATTTCTGCTCTGCACCCCCACTGCCCCAGTGTTTCTGACCGCACGCGCTTTTGCGCTTCCCGTAGAAACGGGAGACGGCGCTGGTGTGCTGCTGTGCGACGAGGCAGGGCGTTGCCGTTCCTTTCCCTCCTTTGCCTCCTCCTCCACTCGAAGCCGCGTCGCCTCCGCCATCTCCTCGAGCAACAGAGTGGAGTGGCGCTGGCGCAGTTCGGCGGCTTTAGTGGAGCGCGGCGTGCGGGCCGGCGTCGTCGCGTTCCGGCGCTGCGGCGTCGAGGTGTCCGTCGCGCCGGACAACCGCCGCGGGCTCCTCAGTGAGGTGGCGGAGGAGGGCCGCCCTTTGGGACGGTGAAAGATGTCGTGCTCCGCCTCCTCTCGATCCTCGAGCTGCTCGTAGATGTGATGGGCCCGCAGCTGCGTCGCACGCGTGGGTCGGCAGGCAGAGCTGTTCAGCTCCGTCGCCGAGGCGCTGAGGAGCTCGGAATGCGGGCCCTTTCCCTTTCCCTTCTCAATTGCAGCTTCAAAGCGCTGCCACTCCGCCACCTCCTGCGCCAGCGCGTGTGCCCGCCGGATCAGCGACGTGTTTCCAGAGTGGGCGGACGACCGCGGCAGGGGGATTTGTGACGGCGTTTGAGGAGTAGAGGACGGCATTGGCGACTCCGGCGTGGTCCTCTCCGCACCCGCACGGTCGCGTCGTCGCTGCGGGGTAGCGTGCGGCGCGGCCGGCACAAAGCGTAGAGGCCGATGCAGATAGGTAGAAGACGGCAACGTGGCGTGTGCGGTGTCGTGGCCGTTGTGCACGGGCGATGTCGCTTCTACAGTGCCCACTACGGTCTTCTTCGACTGTGGCGACGTGTGCGCTTCAAAGCATAAGGGATTGTAGAGGTAGTCCTCCGGCAGCCGCAGCGTCGGCATTGGCGGCTTGATGTCCCGGAACTCCATCGCCGTGCCGTTAAACAGACGAATCTCTAGAATGTTGACGGGTCGATAATTACTCAGAGAGAAGAAAAACAACGAGGGAGGTAAAATAGAAAGTAAGCAAGTTCTAATGAGCGTGGAAGTATCGTTTGAAAAAAAGGTGTTCTAAAAAGGTACGGTGAGGTATGTTGGGTGTACGTGCGCGCGTGCTCCTCTCTTAGGTTGCGGCGAAGTAGCCACGGATGTCTAACCGTGGAAATAAGAAAAACGATGACGAAACGCTGACGCCGTTGTGTGCAGCCAATGATAATAATAGAAAGTGGGAACGCAAAGAGAAAATAAGATATATGAACAACAAATCCAAGTATGTGGATGCTTGTGCGTCTGTTTAACACCAAATACCTTTCAAAACGCGATGCTCCCGTATTTTCACCTATCAGCCGCAGCAGGGAGCCAACACGGCAAACGGTACGGTTCCTCGCTTATCAGGAAGGCGCGGGTGGACACCGTGTGGACAACAAATCCTCCGAATCGCGTTTCCTTTAACAACTAAAATAGCTGAAAAAGAGAGTGAGAAGGATGATTCGAGTACAAGTTTGGCATTTAAAGATGGCGAAACGCACCTCGTGTAGCTCCAGATTCAGCAGGGATCTGAAGTCAAGGGCCGGAGTTTCAAAGGGTGTATGTGTTGGGCATGACCCGGTGTCTTCACACGGCTGAAGTAAGTCTCCCATGGGATCCCCTGGTAGTCCGTGGAAGAGGCTGTTTATGAGGTTTGAGATGTCTAGCGAGGCCGCGATACACAAAAACAACCGCGTCGAAAGCAGTCAAACGACATTCACATCCGCGCAATGTATAAAGCCCCCCAAGAAGAGCTCGTCTCTAAATCCCAGCAGTGCGAGTCCAGCCATCAACATTCCTCTTCTCCTTGTCTTGCTTCCTTTAGTGGGTGCGGAAGGTGTAGGCGCTGGCCTGCGTAATGGACCGAATCCACTTTCCCGGGTTTTGCGCCGTGCCGCGCTCGTCGATCTGGAGCGACAGCACCCGCGTGCCGGACATGTTGAACTGCGGAATCTCAAACACCAGCGTCACCGGGCCGACTTCACGCCGCATGGCAGGGGTGATCTCCTCCGAGGTGATGAAGCGCACCTGGGCCTGGTGCTCCACGCCGCCGGAGAACTTCGGCACGGTCCACCACAGCTCCCGATCCGCCTCCCTCCACTCATAGGAGTGGCTCGCCCCCTCCGAGCGGAAGTCGGCCACGGCGCTCACCGTCGTCGCGGGGAGCGGGACGCAGATGCGCACGGCCAGCGCCGTCGTGTCGGTCGGCAGCTCCGCTCGCACCCGCAGGAGGAGAGTACCGCGGCAAGCCGACTGCACGTCAAGGGACTGCGCCAGCCGGAAGGGCGGTGAACCGGCGGGGGCGAGGCAGCGGTAGCGCAGCACCGTCACTTCACCCAGCGAAGGTCGCAGTGTCACCAGCCGCGAACGCGCAAACTGCGATGTGTCGACGCCGTTGTCGAAGGTGATGCCGTCCATTGCGATCGACCCCGGCGGCGGGCTCTGGCCTCGCGGAAGGGTGCTGCGCAACACAATTTCGTTCGAAAGGCCGATGGTGACGGTCGGGGTGCCGGCGAGGAAACTCTTGAGCGTCAAGGTGCCCTCCACGGCGGCGTTGACGACGTTGCCGCGTGCGCCGAACACCATCGTCAGACGCTCCAGCAGGTCCACGTAGACCTCGTTCTTCGTCGCCGCGTCGACCGTCAGCACGGATGTGGCCGCCTCGTCGCTGCGTTTGCTCTTGTCATCGAAGTCACCCCTCCGCAGGCGGTCCATTAGCGTCTCGGCCTGCACGACAGGGACGACAGCGTCGCTGATGAAGGGGCGCAGTCGATCTGTCGCCGTCTCCTGCACCACGCCAAAGTGCGCCACTTCGTCAAGCAGCTCGTAGACCAGCGTTAAGTTCTTGCGGACGCTCTCCTCCGTCACCGCACCGAGGTAATCCTTGAGGAGGTGCACCAGGCGGAGGAGGAACTCCGCCATCGTGTTTGGTGACGCGTTCTCGCGGGTGGTGCACACGAGGAAGAGCTGCCGCCGCTTCACAAAGGCGTACTGCACGCCTTTCTCAGTGAAGAACGGCGGGCAGTCCCCACGCGGCGCCTGACTCAGCTTCCCGTCCCAGAAGTTGTACTTGCGGAAGAACACCTCGTCGGTGCGGTCGGCGATGTCGTCGCGGTAGTCCTTGAAGACGAGTGTGTCGCCCCGTGACGATAAGATGAAGATGTGGGAAATGTGCATCGCTGCGCGTATCTGCAGCCGCGACGCCGTTACACGGGAACAGGTCGTTGCACTGCAGGGTGGGGGGCCAAGAAGAGGAAAAGGCGGACAGAGGCGAGTGAGCGTGGCGATCACACGACGAGAGAGATGCGTCACATTTCCAACAACAAAAAGAGAAAAGAGAAAAGAGAAAGCTCTGCGCGACGGCAGAGGGGACGCTCAGCAGAATTCACGCACAGAACGGCCGACGAGAAAGTATCGCTCGTCCAGCCTTGGCGTTGCAGCGCGCGATCGCATAAAAGCAAAGGCTTAGTTTGACGTAGTAACACTCATACACTCAGGTGCACACCAGTTGCAACAGCTCCTGTCGCACGCACACGCACCGCACCAGTCGCCCGTACGTGCGATTACCGCAGTTGACTTGCCACGTGTGACAACGCAAAAGTAGAAGAAAAAAGGGGGCTACGCTTCTGCGTGTTTTACGACTACTGAAGTGGCAGAAACTATCTAACTACGAATGCCCCCTCCATAAACAGCACCTATGTATCGATAACCGACCACAACGAAGAAAGGACAGGCCGCGGAGAGCAACGCCCGCTCATTCGATCGAGCACACGACGACCAACGACAAAAGTACCGCAGTTCAGACACAACACACTTTACTCGCTCGTCTCCGACCTGTCCGGCAACGAGGCCTCAGTGACCTCCTTCAGCTCACCCGGTGCCTCCTCCGTCGCCATCACCGGTGCCCTCTTCGCCGCCATCCCAAAGGGAGTCGCCGCAGCAGCAGCCGTGGGCCGAATCGAGCAGGAGCGTAGCGCTGTCGTCATGCGGTCAATGTCACGCGTCAACTCGCTGTTTTTGTCGATGATGCCCTGCATCAGCTGGTTTGCCTTCGCCATGTCGCACTTCCACTTCTCCGTCATGTTGCGCACGATGTCCACCATCTCCTCCGTCTGCTGCTTCGTGGACGCCATGATCGCCTCACACTTGCGCCGAATCGAGCGGCGGCGCCACGCGATCCAGTACCACATCACAATGTAAATGATGATGCAGGCGGCGGGGACGTTGTAGGACTCCCTCCATTGACTCTGCACCAGCTTCGAGGCGTGCGTCTGCACCGCGTTGAAGTCGCGCTTCTTGACGGCGTCGAGGACTTCGTTGGTGGCAAAGTGGTAGCCGCCCTGCTCGCCGCCGCTTGCGGAGGTGTCAGCGGACTGCGGCATCGCCTTGGGCGTCTCCGCAGCCGCATCAGCAGAGTTTGCCCTTGGCGGCTTCGCCTCAGCGGTGGCAGGCGGGGCCTCCTTGTCGCCGCTGGACTGCCAGCGCGCCTGCACCACGAGCGGCACGAGCGAGGACGGAAGTCGGGCAATACGCCGCATTGCTCATGCAAAGGAACGGAAGTGGATGCGCTGGTAGATCAAGAAAGAAAAGGGGCTGGAGTGCGTTGTCGTCCCGGTGGTGCAGCAGAGAGAGGAGCAGAAGAAAAATAAGCTAGGAAAGAAATGAAAGGTTAGATGGAGGAAAGCGAATACCGCGTTGGAGGGGTGACTGCCCCACAAATTGAGCGGAGTGCCTCGCCACGCCGCCGTTGCCGAGGGAAAGCGTAGAAGGTGCCTCACCTCGTCTAATACGGCGCCATCAGCGTGTGTCAAAGCCCACAATTCGTCTGGTCACTTCAAACTTTCGCGCTCTCTAGCGTCGATACTCATATGGCAACTTACATTGCAAACTAACGCGTCAAAAAACAGCAGCACCAGAAGCATGAAGAGACGCACCGCAGTAGCAGCAGCTAAACACGGAGAGCACACGCTCCGCGCACCTACGAAGTCGTTGCGCAGCCTTCGGTGAAGGACTCTCTCCCAGTTTCACCATCACGGATGACAGCCACGGCCCGCACGGGAGACCCATCGCCGCCTCGTATGCGCAGCGGAAACCCGTAAAACGTAAACGCCTTCCCCACCAGCTCCTCCACATTCACAAGATCGGTGTACGTGACCACGCCCGCCGCAAGCAGCAAGCGCTCCGCTTGCTCAGACAATGGACCCCCCACAAATCGAGGATGTGCCGCAAGTATCGATGGCACGCAGCTGGCCGGCACGTCCTCATAAAACAAAAGACCGCACTCCATCGGAAAGACGGCGCTCGTAACTGTCACCGCTACAGCGGACCCACAGAAGCGATCGAGGGGAAGCTCATCGAGACTTGCACCTTCCTCATGCATGTGAATCGGGGCATCCACGTGCGTGCCGGAGTGCGAACCCATCTGCAGCTGCCGCACCTCCCACCCGTCCTTCTCTCGAGTGCAGACCGTTGTGATGCGGACGGCCGGATCGCCTGCGTAGACTGCCATGCCGTCAAAAAGCGGCGTGGAAAGATCGACAACACGCATTACTCAGACGCCCTGCGAGGGCTTCTTCCTCTTCTTATCTATTCGCCTTCTTTTCTGTTTCCAGAAGGCGCCGCTGTTGCACCTCGAATGTGAAAAAGAGTGCCGTACACAACGGTGCGGCATCGCGTGCGTTTACGTGGGTGAGACGGGAGGTGAAGGACGGCACAGAAATGGTTTAAAAAAAGATTCTGAGAGCAGCAGATCGGCATGCAGAGTGGACAGCGTGCGATCATTGAGCTCGCCTGATGAGGAATATGCTTCGAACTCTCCATTCGCTGTTCAGCATGAAATAAACAGATCTATTCATTTGCTGCCTACAGCAAAGCGGTCAAAAGCAGCTGTGATCGTCATTCGACCACGGTTTGGTGTCGATCATGCGCGTTGTTGCCTTCAACATCGCCACTTTTGGATGCAATACACCTGCGATCGTGCCAGTGCTCGAGCAGTTTGCTTTCCGTCTCCGCTTTCGTATGTGCCACCAACAGAACAACGCATACGTGGGGAGCCGTCCATCATTGGAGCTGGTGCTGGCATCTCAAATAACAAGACGTCGCTGCTCACGGTGCAAGAAAACTCACGTCCAACTCACTCAGTGCTTTGCTGAAAGCGTAAAAGCCGAGGGGGCGATCGACGGGGTTGATGGAGACGCCGTAATTCTCCAGCGACTTCTTCTCCTGTTCGAACACAGCCTGCTCCGTCTGTGCTTCCGGTGCAGCCTCGACAGCGCTGGCCGTGAGGTGGAACGGGTGAAAGACAGCACGGCCATCAGTCCCACCGGCGGCGTCGGCACAAACGTACTCCCCCTCAAACTTCTCTGGCTTCCAGTTGTTCCACAGTGCATACGAGACGGCAACGTTCTCCAACAAGGCTGCGTGAAGAGGGGTATACGCCACACCGCACCTGCGCTCCAACAGCGCCACAAAGTCCTCGATCGGCAGCTGCAGCTCGGCGTGCGTACAGCATTGCCTATCGGTCACCAGTCGCTGCAGGCACGCCACAACGTAATCCACGGGAAAGAAACGCATGTGAGTAAAGTGGACCCCGCGCAGAAACATCATGTGCTGATGCGGCATGAGTGCAGGGGACATGTACTGAATGTGCAGTTGATTCTGCGAAGGAGGGTAATTGTAGCCGGCTATCATGTGCCATTCCCAGTTCGCCGCTGCCGGGACACGCAGCAGCGACGCGCACCACGCCGCATCGTCGAAGAAGTCCCTTCTCGCCGCATCGTGGCAGGCCGTGAGGAGACGCTGGTGGATCTCTAGACCGCGCTCTGGCTGCAGCGTCAGAAAGCGCCAGTCTGGTAGGATGAGCTTCGTGGGCACGGCACAGAAGTGCAAGGGAGCGAGGGACAAAGGATCGTCGAAGACCATCGTCTCGTCATCTTCGGACCGCAGCGAAATCCTCAAAGGAAAGCGACCGCCAGATTCGACGCCGAGGAGAAAGCCAGTGAAGAGGTTCGGAGTCTCGCTAAGGCGGACGCTGAGGAGACTGCGGCGGCACTTGTTACACCGCTGAAGCGTGTGCCCGTTTGGCTTCCCGCACGAGGGGCACACCTTCACGGGATTAAAGAGAGCTGCTCGGCCCAGCTGCCGCTGCTCTTCTGGGAGGGTGGACGTGTAGGCCTGAATGGTGCCCTTAACACGTGGGCTGTCGGTGCCGAGGTGAGCGCCTCGCCGTGCCCGCCTGTAGGCGTTCGGCTTCACCCGCCCCAGAAAACGGCTGCTGTCTTGGACACGTTGCATTACGCCCCGAACGTTCCCACTTGGCATCTAAACAATCAACTACAAGAGAGGTGAATTGGGTCTACGCGCCGTATGCGCCACGGTGGGCGTGAGGAGTGGTCGAAAGGACGATGAGAGATAGTTATAAAGGACAAGAACAAAGGTGCAGGAGCTAAAACAAAAGGACATGAAAAGCAGCGAGGTCGATGCAATAAAAAGAAATTGTGAAGGTCAGGCGTGTTTGGCGGTGAAGCAAGAAGCCTCTTCTCTTCCAGCGTACTAAACTCAAGTTGCCTGCTCCGGTAATTAAGCAGCCGGGAAGTGACCGAGGAATGTGTGCATTTTCCTCGCCTGAAGAGCACCTCCCTCACCTGTATCGACGTCAGGAGCCCGTTCTTGCATGTTGGTCTCTTTTCTTTCGCTGAGCTGATGTAGCGTCACACTAACACAAAATACACGAAATCGTACCGAATCTCGGTTCGCACGCACGGGGCTGCAATGAGGATTCAAGAAGAAAGGGTTAGAGGGACGGCCACACAAATCGAGAAACAAAAACAGAAGCGATGATACCGCACTTTTCCGAGATGACACAGTTTTCAGTTTACCTTTTTCCCCCGTGTGCGGTTGTGCGCCATTCGAGCAAAGAGACCCGACCGCCCCCAGCTCAGGGGTCACGTCGCCCTTAAGAGATGTCGCCATTTTCCTTTGATCTCTCGTTGGTACACTGTTGCAGAAAAGAAGGAAAACAAAACGTCTAGGCAACGAGGAACCATCAACGCCGATTCGCATTGACATTTGAAAAAAAAAAAACAAAGACAGTCGAGAAGGGAGAGAAACTTATTTTTTTGTAGCATTAAAGAAAAAGGAAATCTGTTTAGCCTCGCATGACAGTCACGATTCCTTCTCTCCTAACGGCAAAAACCGCTTCAATAGATTATCGAAAGAGAACAGTCGGATGAAGTCGCTGCCGCAGAGAGAACGACCATAACGCACGCGTTATACTGTGCACAAACTAGAAGTAGAAAAAAGACTGTTTAGTATGAGAGAGGTAGAGTTGTTGATAAAAAGCCCTTTGATCACTTACGGACAATGCTGACTAGGTATTTAAAACATGCGTTGCCGTGCCAGCATCTAGCACGCCTACGTTTTCCGCAAGAGCATTTAAACAAATAAGCCATCATGGACTGTTTGAGAAACAAAGAGACGAGTTTAGTCGTATGTAGCTGTTCACAATCGAGAAGGCGGGAAAGCAACGAAGATTACAGTACCGATTCACTTTGGTACCTTAAAACAGCATCCGTCGATCGGTGCTCCTGTCGAAAAGAAAAAAGAACGACTACAGCCAGTTGCCGACGAGGGCCATCAGGCCCATGCCGATCCACAGAGCCACAAACATGCCGATCTTCTTCCACAGACGGTAGGGCCGGCCATCCGCGCAGTGGTGCTTCAGGTCCGCCACGAAGTCGCCAAGCAGCAGCGTGAAGGCGAGGTACAGCAGAATGCCGCCGCAGAGCGAGTCCAGCACACCCATCAGCGTCACAAAGCCAGTGCCAGTCATCGCATCACGCGACACCGACACCGCGATCGTCGCGGCAGCCATGCCGGCCGGTGCGCTGACGGAGAACACGAGGGCCAGCACAACCTCCAGGCCCGCATGGAAGTCGGCATCCACAAGACGCGACCCCATCGCCATGCCTTCGAACATCTGGTGGAACACAAGCGCCACGATCAGCGGTCTCAGTTCCGCGTCGGTTGTCAGCCCGACTGCCAGGCCCACGAAGACGCTGTGCAACGTCACGCCGAACTCCATGCAGACGGCGGCGATGACCCGGCGGATCGAGTTCATGTCACGCGGCGGCCGCACCGCCAAGTGCTGGTGACCATGAGCGGCGAAGTCGTCGTCTTTCGACTCAGCGCGGTGCTCACTGGCGTGTGCATAGGGGCACGATGGGGCTTCGTTCACGGCAAGGGCAGCTGGACAGTCGTCACGCTTCGGCTTCTCAGCAGGGGTCGAGTCATCGGACACGCCCTTCGCAGGCGCCACCACAGCGTCACACCCGGCCGCATCCACGTCCGGCGCATCGCCAGTCAGCCCCGCATCCAACTCAACGAAGTTGCCGTCCCGCTCCTGCGGTTGCTGCGGCGGTTGCTCTGCGGCGTCGCCTTCATCCGCCAGCGCACTCGCCTCCTCAGCAGCGGCGGCGGCGTCCGCAGTCGACTGCGCCTTCAGCCAGCGCTCCGCAATCTCGCCAAGCTGGATGTCCAGCAGCTGCATCAGCAGAACGGCAACGAGGGCAAACAGGAAGTACGCAGGCTTGTACAGCTTCAACGTCTCGTCCATGCACTCTTCCCTGAACGCCATCGCACCCTCGTGGATCAGGTGGATCGTCGACACGGAGAGCAGCACGCCGGTGGCGGCCGTCTTCGCAATAACAAAGACGAAGGGGTAGCGGCTCAGGACAGGGAAGAACTTGCCGGCGATCGGGATCGCAGTGCCCAGGAAGGACACACCCAGGATCAGGAAGATCGCCCCGATGTGGAGCCCGTTGGAGTAGACGCCGACCAAACCATCACACAGAGAGTGTTCCGTGGGATCCTGAACTCCCAGCGGCACCACGTGACGCGTGTCCGGGCCCTGCACGCTGTATCCGCGGTCTGCGAGGTACCGCCGGCAGCCTTCGACGCTGAACTCCTCGCCACGCATCGCGGCCGTACTTCGGGAGGAGGTGGGTGTAAGGAAAGGGATTGAGAGCGTTAAACAGAGAAGAAGCCAAATCTACGCTACGGCGGCTGGTAGACGATGGCGTGCGCTCGCTTTTCTAGGAATCAAAACCAAAAGGGCCAGTAGCTCGTGAAAGCTGTGCGACAACGAAAAACAAAACCAGAGCACAGAAAGGCGAAGGTCAAGGGGAGAATGCTGCGAGGAAGGATGCAGCGAAGAGAGGAACCAACGTGAGCTGGAATGGGCAGCGGCGTGTAGTTCTCTTTGCCGTGCATTGTGGCTCCTGCTGCTGCTGCTCACCGCGGCAATGAAAGGTGCAACGGACACTGCGCACCGCGTAGGCGCAAAGCTAGCTGAACACGGTTTTTTAAGTCTCGATATACCTATTTCCTATTTCCATGCGCATATACCAAAAAAAGAAGAAGAGGTGCACAGCAACGAGTGTGCTGAAAACGTGCCGTCTACCACACTGGCGGACGCGTAGTCCACGCTCATGACACACGGCGGGCGAGAGATCTCCCCAGAGCAGCCGCTGTTTGCTCGTACGTTGCGGAAACCGGTGCGACTGCGGTGCAGGCAGCAGCGAGAACCCTCGCCAAACCGCAGAAGTGGAGGTACGTTTCAACCGACGGATCTGCGGCATCGCCAGGCGACGGAAGTGCAAAGAAGCTTCGTTATTCTTTCTGTAGTTAACCGGCAGTTGAGACCTGAAGAAGAACAAAGGAGAATAAACCTGGTGCGCATGCAGAGACGGCCAACAAAGAGGGGAGGCGGAGGGCAGACGCAATTGAATTCTACGGGAGTTCCTTTACCGAACAAGGGGAAACACTACCAAAGACCTCAACCCGTCGCTGTGGCGAAACCTTGGCCCACCACCTCCAACCGTCACCGGCGGAGCTGCACCACGCGTAGCCGCGGCGGCGCTACTTCGGCGGCCTCGTCCCCGCGGTGCCTGTGGCCCGCGTCACCTTGACACGCGTCAGGAAAACAAGCAGCCAGAGGAGCACCGGCGGTATCGGCCACAGGTGCAGGCCCACAGGCTCCCACGGCTGCCTCACGTGCAACACGCGAGCTCTGGCGGGAACGGCACTGGATCATCGCGACCAGAAACCGGGCCAATACAACGCCAGGGCCAGCTCCAACGACGGACCCAGGGCGGAGAGCGCAATTCGTGCGTAGTGCCGCACACCAACGGGTGTCTCGGAGTCTCCTCGCACCGCAGCCGGCTCCATATCTCAAAGTCAGAAGGATGACCAATGCCACGCTCAGCTGCTTGGCGACACTTCAGTCCTTCAGGCTCGATAAAGGCAGCGGGGCATAGGGGGCAGCGGTGACCCATCGGACGGGCGAGAACAGACTGCGGCCGACCACCCGCGACGGGGACAGCTAGTCTCGCGACAACGGCATGGTGCGTGCAGGCGTGGCAGAGGATGCCGGGAATAGTAAAGAGAGCGTAGTGGCAGGCTGCACACACTTGGACACGGGGACCCGTTGTGCGACGAGTGTGCGGCGGCGTGCCCGTCTTGACGGCTGCGGGAGGGGCGACGGCTGCAGCGGCGGTGCGGCCACCCGCGTGCGTCGTTCGACGGTGGCGTTGCGCGTGCGTGGCAGCGGTCCGGCGGTGGCAGGTGGGGCACTCGGGCTCCACGACTACGCAAACTCGCCTCACGGGCGGGGGAGTGTCGAGCCGCAGCGGGCCGTGACCGAGCATGCGTTGCTGGGAGAACGTCAGTGTGCTCGCAGTAAGGAAGGTGCACAGAGGACAGCGGTGGAATAAGCCAGGCGGCGACGCGTGGAGCGCCCGAGCAAGCTGCCAGCTCAGCTCCGCCGGGGCAGAGATCCCGTGGTCGCGTACGAGACGGCGAATGAGATGCGGTCGGCGCACGCAACACTCGCAGCAGACGGGGCACGGGACTGGGTCGGAAGCTGCCTCCGCAAAGTAAGCGCACGGCGGCGGTTCAGGCGGAAGCCCCGGCAGCGGAGGGGCAGGTTCGCTCCCCGCATGCACAGTGCGACACACCATCCGCATTCGGCGTCGTCGTCGCTGCGAATGCGCCGCTGAAGAAAGCCCAAAGAGCACGATTCCGCAGCCCGCGGACACGAATTCCTGTAGGTCGGCTCATACGCACATGTTGCTGCAGGTTCCTTTGGCGTGGGACCAACCCGGACCTGTCCGCCGCGCCAACAAACCCGCGACCCAACTCGACAGGTCGCAGGCACCTGGCTTCCCCACATTGTGGCTACCGCACCCCGGCACCGCCCTGAGGTGACCGCCATCACCACAGTTCTGCACACCGTCCCACGCACAAGGGAAACCCCAAGGCACACCTCCCCGGCTGTTCTACTTTGTGTATCCTCTTTACTCTCGCACCCACCGCGGCACTGACGGGCGCTCCCGCAGAGAAAGCCCGGTGTCACGCCGCCTCGGGAATCCTCGCATGTGGTCTTGGCGCCGGGGCACGCAACGGCGCAAAGTTTCGCCGGCATCTCCGAGTCGACAGGGTGCCGTCGCCTGTGGGAGTGCTGGCCGTGGCGCTACGTGCGGTGGGATAACCACGAAGGCATGCCTGGCCTTGTGAGGCTCGGCTGTCAAACACATGCGCTGCAAGACACTGCTGGGCCATGCGTTCGTAGCGAGCTGGCAGGCGCCACGGTGCAGCACCGGCACGGAGCACAAGCATTTCCTCTCCCCGCCACCACCGGCAACGGCGGTCGTGCGCTGGTCAACGATGCAGGAGTTCAGCTCCGCACTGTGGCTGCCGCAAATGGCCAGCCTCGAGCATGCTTAGCGACGGCAGCGGCGGCGGTGACAACAACGATAAGCCACCTGGCGATCTTGATGCCACTTCACTACACCACTGCCCTGCACAGCAGGTCGGTGTGGACGGCGTAAACGGCGACGGCTGGGCAGCAACGGGCAGTGCCGCCTCTGCCGCTGCAATTGTGGTGGGGGGCCTGCGGTGTCCTCGACAGGGCCGTCGGTGCACCCCCGGCCGATGCGCGCGCCAGCTCCACACCAACTGTCTGCGCGAATTACGCAATAGTAAGCAGATGTGCAGGTGGGAGGGTGCTTGGGTGGTGCAACGCGCTTCGCCGATGTGCCGGTAGCCGGCCAGAGAAGGAACAGCTCACATCGCGGGGGTTCTGGGACCGAGAAACAAACTAAAGAGGCGCTGTCGTACCCTCGAGGAGCAACAGCGAGTTTCCGACCGACGTTCGTAGAAAGCAGCGAACCAGCGCGGAGGACGCACGCCAAAGACAACAGCACGACGACGCTAGAGCGGGTGCACTGCAGGCTGCGGCTGTAAGCCCTCTAGCGCCTGCACAGAACACCCATTTTGAGTTCCTTCATTGCATCGGTTGGGAGAGGGGGGAGGTGCGCGGACACAAAAGAATTTGAGATATTCAAAGAGGAGATAGCACTCGATGCCAGCAACCGTTCGTTGTCGTCCAGCGTCTCGTGCGCAGCACTTCACCTGCTCTTCACTTCGTTTTCTTGGCGGCCACTGTCGACTTCCATCGCAGACTCCTTGAGTCACCGTCAGCAGCAGCGCCTGACTGCGTGAAAGCGCACCACAAAACAGAGCAGGACACACTGTCGGCTCAACACACTGAAGGACACCCCACACGGAAAGCACGGAGTCGATACGTACCATATTACCTTACGCGGCCGCCCCCCAACGGTTGGGCACGTTGCACCTCTGCTTTTCTTTTCTTTAGTGGAGCGTTAGCCGCTGCCATTCTTTGTCAACCTTACTGCAAATAAACAGAGATGTATATATAGAAAGAGAAGAGCCATTTTGAGCTCGGAGAGGAGCTGGTTAGTGTTTTCGGATTTAAAGGCCTTAGATGTGTCATCGTTTTATGAAAAGAACTGCTCCGTTGCGCTTCGATAGACGCACCATCTTCACGAGCGCTAACGTTGCCGTGCTGTGGAAGAGGAAATGGGCTGCGCATACGAGAGTCAAGACAAAGCGAGAAGAAACAAAAGAAGTAGCACACCGCATCGTGTGTACAAAGAGGAAGGTATTATTTAAAAAGAAAAGCGGAAGAAACATTAACAGTAAGCAAAACAAAATGGTTTTTGATTGGAAAAAGACAAGCACGGGACAACATGTGCGTGCGTGTGTGCGTATATACGTGTATCTCCTGTGCAGCTTCACGGACAACGGCTTTGGGTCACTTCACCGCCTCTCAGGCACTTGAAAATACGATCGGCTCCACCGCTCGCACCACGTAGTACAGGAGAGCAACATTCGGAGAGGGAAAGAAACACGAGGAACGAATCCAGAGTGCCTCTCCGGCGCCGAACAGAGCGCCGCAGAGAAGAGAGGCAGCGAAACAATGGTCACAAAGCTTGCGAAGGTCTAATGCACTCGTGAGTAGGAACAGAAGTGGTCCTGTACAGACCGTCACTCTACGCAGCAGAAAAACAGTGTCGTCCGCGCACGGTGTCATCGCGTCGCCGTCTTTAGCCACATGAAAATATGTTAGAAAGAAGGAAAATCAGAGCGCACTCATTCGCGCAGAAACAGCGTTAAAGTGAAAATACTTTTTGATGAGAAGTTTATGTTTTTGATTGCTCTTGCGAGCAGCCCCGCCGCACGCAGGCCCGTTTCCGATGGTCAGCCGCTCCTCCGCCATCCAGAGAGTACACAGACGGCAGGAAGACACGTCCCTCCGTTCAGGCCTTTCTTAGGTGTTGTGGCGCATGCGCTACTGTTCACAACACACGGAGCATATCGACGAAACAAAGCCATCGTCGCCTCTCCTGCTTGGCATTCTGTGAGGAGTGCGCACGCTCAAAGCTCACAGGCGAAACAGTGGCACGGGGAATGCAGAAACAACGAAATATGCGTGCGTGCGGTGGCGGTTTCATCCGCCGATGGAAAGATCCTACCGAAAGATGCAATTCAACTCGCCCGCTTGCCAGTCGTGTCCACGTATCTAGGTGTGCGTTGCTGTTGCACAAGGGGGGGGGGGAGCCGGTGAGTACGCCACACACACACACTCGCGCAGCCAGCTCCTCGAAAGAACCGCTCTCTCTTGCGCAGAGGCACACGTCGCACCTCCACCACAAAAATACCGGACCACACATACTCTACTGCGCGAGCGACGTGCTGCACGTTGAGGCTCATACATGTGAAACGAAACGGCCCACACCCTTGCCGTTGCAACTGTGCCTCACGTCACCATCCGCTGGGGCTCCTCGACGTCAGCGGGGAAAGGGCTCTCCGCGGTTGCGCAGGCAAAGGTGACAAAAGGCCGCAGAACGCATGCAAAAGAGTTATCTCCTCGTTAATAAGATCAGAAACACATAATCAAGCGGCGGGGCAAGGAACATATCGCCAAGCCATCCACGACGTCCTCCGCCGTAATCCGCAGAGCGAGCAGGCCAGCTAGACCAGATTCCACAGCACACATGTGCACAGCAGGGCCAGCATTAGCCATCCATTTGGGCTGCCCAGGCTCTGCCAGTACGCAGCATCACCCTTGGAGGCGCATTGAGAGTCATCCGTTAGCGCGTACCTGCGCGCGCACTGGCTGCACTTCGTACTGTTGCCCGCTTCACACTCCAGGCAGTGCACCACAGCGCACTCGAACGAACTGGAGCTGCTGCTGCTTGCGACAACCGGTGATGGCTTGCTGTGGCTGCTGCTTGCCGGGCTCGGTGACGGATGGCTGTGGCTGGAAGAGTGGGGACCAGCACCGCTGCTCGACGCCTTGCCACACGCGTTCGTCGTTGCACAGGTCTCCGCGCTCACCGCGGGGTCCACGGTCGGCGTCAGCTTACCAGCCCACTCCGGCGGCACGCAGCCGCAGAAGTGGTTGCCTTGCAGCAGCAGGCCGTTCTTCACCCTAGTCAACTTGCTCCACTCCGCCGGTAGCGTGCCCGACAGGCTGTTGTTGTTCAGCTTCAGCTGCATCAGCTTAGACAGAGAGCTCCACACCGCCGGCAGCGTGCCCGACAGTGCGTTGTTGCCCAGCGCGAGGGTCACAAGTGGGGTCATGCCGTTCCACTCCGCCGGCAGGTCGCCTGACACCTTGTTGTTTGTCAGCATCACCACCTTCATCTGCTTCAGCGAGCCCCACGACACGGGCAGTTCACCCGTCAGCGAGTTGTTTTCTGCGTAGAAATTACGCAGCAACGTCATACCGCTCCACCCACTCGGTAGCGGCCCCGTCAGATGGTTTGCCCGTACGGACAGCACCTGCACCGTGGACAGCGTGCCCCACGACACCGGCAGGTCACCCGTCAACCCGTTGTTGTCAAGCCACAGGAACTTCAACGACGTCATGCCGCTCCACTCCACCGGCAGCGGTCCTGTCAGTGCATTGTTCTCCAGCTTGATGTCCTGCATCTGCGTCAGCCGCCCCCAGCTCGGTGGCAGCGTCCCGGACAACATGGCGCCCTTGTCGTTCGCCTCGAACGATATCACAAGCACGAGTGCGCCGTTCACGTCGTCGGCGAGATCCGGCAGGCTCGACACTGTCGACAGAATCCGGTCCGTCAGCCTCACCGTCACGCCGTTCTGGCACTGCACAAAGCTATACCACTTGCAGTAGTCCTCATCGCTCGCGGACACCGCCAGGTCCGGCACCGCCTTCACGAGGGCCTGCAGGAACTTCAGCGTTTCGGTCACCGGCGTGGGTGCAGGCGGCGCACTGCTGCTTCCTTTCTTCGACTCGGTGTGGCTGCTAGCACTGCCGCTGGGCTCCGTTGAACAGTGATTGGCGGTGGCGCAGTCCGACGCACTCACCGCAGCGTCCACTTTCACCTCTACCAATGTGGGCGCCACCCACCCAGACGGCAGGCAGCCACACAGGTCGTTGCCGGTCAACGTCACGGCGGACAGGTGTTGCATCCCGCCCCACCCCGCAGGGATGGGGCCAACAAACTTGTTGTTCGACAGGTCCAGCTCAGAGAGGCTAGACATCCCGCTCCACGCAGCAGGCAGCGTGCCCGAGAGCTTGTTGTCCCCAAGTTGAATAGTATAGATCTTCGTCATGCTCCCCCATTCAGCAGGCAGGTTGCCCTCAATACGGTTGCCGCTCAGCTTCAGAGTCGCCATCTTCGCCATGCCGCTCCACGAGGCAGGCAGCGTGCCCGTCAGCGCGTTGTTCGACAGGTAGAGAGAGCCGAGACCAGCAAGCGTACCCAACGTGTCAGGGAGAGGACTGTCCAGGCGGTTGTCCTGCAGCCACAAGTACTGCAGCGCTTTCAGCCCGCTCCACGCAGCAGGCACGGGACCCGTCAGCGCGTTGCCATGCAGGTACAGCGTCGTCAGCCGCGTCAGGCCACCCCAGCTCGAGGGCAGCGTGCCTGTGACCTTCTTGCCCATCCCCTTTATGGAGATCTTGACGAACATCACGAGGGAGCCGTCAACACCCTCGGGCAACTCGGGCAAGACCAGCGATCCGCTGAACGCCGGTGAGTCGGCGTCCGCGAAGTTGAGGGCGTGCCCAGAATCGGCGCAAATCACGTACGGCCACTTGCAGAAGTCCGTGCCCGTCCACACGCTTACAAGAGACGGGTTGGACAATGCAAAGCCCTGCAGGAACTGGAGCGTGTTATCTCCGGCCGACAGCGCGGCTGCGTTCGCCAAAGCGGGGGAAGCGTTCACAAGGGAGGCGTCCACCACGCACAGCGCCAGCAGCGCCGCGGCCACCATCATGCGGCGCAGCGGGTAGTTGAACCACGCCATGTGTTGCAGTCAGAGAGGGGCAGAGGGGAAGAGAGGCCGGAGAGCGAGCAGCGGCGGGGCAGCCGAAGAGCGTTGGACAGAAGCGAGGAGGTCGGTGCCGGCACGTGAGGCGTGCGTTCGTACAGTGCGTCAGAGAGACCTCAGTGAAGTTGGAATGTGGGCTTGCCGAAATAGGAAGAAGGCGGGGGAACTAAACAGCTTCAAAAAGGATTACGGTTAGAGAAAGAGTTACAGTTGTGCGGTTTGCAATTACTGTGGCGCAGTACGGGAAGAATGGGGAGGGGGGAAGAGCAGGGGAGGAGCAGTGATCGAAGCAGCCGGAGAGAAGGGCTGGCGTGTGCGCAGCAGGCCGCAGGTACGCACCTCACACACACACACACAGGAGGCCAGCAGCTCCGCGCACACCAGCAGCCGGTCGTCGGAGGCGCAGCGTCTATCCTGCAAGCCGTTCCTTTAGGCGTCAAACACATAGGGCTTACACGCGGCGCCTGTGCGTTGGGGGAATAACCGCGTCCGCACACCAGCGTTCTAAGAAAAGTAGAGTTCAGTCGACTCAATTCAGAGAGCGCACGCAGAAGCCGCGCGGCGCGTGCAAGTTAAACTCTTAAAGTCAGGAAAAACTCTAGTCCACTACTCTCAGATCAGGAAGGAAGGAAGAAGAAAGGAGAAAGGAGAAAGATCAATAAAGTGCAAAACAGTGTCGTTACATCCCTGTATTGTTTTCATTTTCCTTGAAGGGTAGACGGCGTTATTTTCTTTTCATATTTATTTTTGAACCAATTAGAACTTTACGAAAGGGAGTTTCTTGCAGACTCAGATCGTCTGCATTTCCACCTCGTGGGGTTGGAAAAGGGGCGGGACGGTGGGAAAAAAGAAAACAGCCTTTCCTGGAGAGAGGTCGACTGGAGAGGAGAGAAGAGAAAGGGATAGTAGTACAACATGAAGCTTTCGATTCATCTCCCGGCGATTTTTTCCTGGCGCAAGCTCTCAGAAAAGCATGTTTTTGAAACAAGAAATCAAAGAAAAAGAGAAACCGTTTTAGACATAAAAAACAGTCACTGCGCATCCACACCGACGCAGGGTGCTCCGCATCCATCGCAACGAATGTCTTGGGTTGCTCGAGGGCCCGTAGCATCGCGTCGAGCACCACACGCACAATACAAGTGGAAGGGAAAAAGAGGAAAGACGTATTTTCGATTCATCGCTTACCATGCACACCGCGCGGCCTACGCTGCGACGCTGTGGACGTCAGACTTGCGGCACAGCACCTCTACAGCGTTCGCCCCGCAGACGCTGAGATACATCATCTGCACAGAGAGCAGCACGCCCAGCACCGCTGCATTAGTCAGGGAGAGGGGTGCGGCTCGCGGCAGTGAGGCACAACAACGAGAGCGGAGGCGGACGCACGAAGCGAGTGCACATTGGCTCCATGCACGCTGCGCAGCAGCTCACCTCACGTGCTCCTTGCCGTTCCGCTCAAGGACGCGCTCCGCAGCGCCTCTCCACACAGGCAGCGGAGTCGCGGGGAACGGGACAATCACAAACAGCGCAAGGGCGAGTGAGGCGGCACGCGGTGCGGAGGGAAGTGAGACGAAAAGACAGGAATGAAAACATCAGCTGAGGTGCGAGCAGTGCGAGTGTGCGCGTGTGTGTGTGCGCCTCGCAGACAGGGATGGCGATGCAAGATTCAATACCAGAGCGAAGGGTGATCGGCACGACACAACAACATCATCGTGGTACACTCGCCACCGGTGCTGGCGGACACCGGCGGAAAGGGGCAGTTCGTAAAGGCAGTCCCTCCCACGTGCGGCGTCTACGTTTGACCGTCTGACTTACCGGAAGGCACGAATGCCGCGCGGTTCACTCGCGTCTCCACACGCCCCTACTCGAGTGAACAGCGCTTGGAATCAGTGAGCACGCCATCCCTCCGCGCTGCCAGCTTGTCGAAAGAACCGCACCCCACCGCGCAGAGGCACACCTCGTGCCTCCATTACAAAACCACAGGACCACGCATGCACACACACACAACACACAGCACACTCTATTGCGCGAGCGAGCCGCAGCCCTTCGAGGTTCATACATGTGAAACGAAACGGCCCACCCCTTTGCCGTTGCAACTGTGCCTCACGTCACCATCCGCTGGGGCTCCTCGACGTCAGCGGGGAAAGGGCTCTCCGCGGTTGCGCAGGCAAAGGTGACAAAAGGCCGCAGAACGAATGAAAAATAAGTTACTTCATGGTTAGCGAAAAGAGTAGTATATTTGAAAACCAAATCTCAGAAAGAGAACATCTCGGTCAACCATCTACATCGTCTTCCGCCGCAATCCACAGAGCGGCCACGTCAGCTAGACCAGGTTCCACAACACAGATGTGCATAGCAGGGCCAGCATTAGCCATCCATTTCGGTCGCTCACGCTCTGCCGGCACGCACCGTCACTGATAGAGGCACATTCAAAGTCATCCGTCAGCATGTAGCCGCGCGTACATTGCATGCACTTCGTGCCGTTGCCCGCATCGCATTTGAAACAATGCAGCACTGTGCAGTGAAATGAGCTGTGGCTGCTGCTTGCCGAGCTCGGTGACGGACTGCTGTGGCTGGAAGAGTGGGGACCAGCACCGCTGCTCGACGCCTTGTCGCACGCGTTCGTCGTTGCACAGGTCTCCGCGCTCACCGCGGGGTCCACGGTCGGCGTCAGCTTACCAGCCCACTCCGGCGGCACGCAGCCGCAGAAGTGGTTGCCTTGCAGCAGCAGGCCGTTCTTCACCCTAGTCAACTTGCTCCACTCCGCCGGTAGCGTGCCCGACAGGCTGTTGTTGTTCAGCTTCAGCTGCATCAGCTTAGACAGAGAGCTCCACACCGCCGGCAGCGTGCCCGACAGTTTGTTGTTGCCCAGCCACAGGATCTTCAGTGATGCCATGCCGCTCCACTCCACCGGCAGCTGTCCTGTCAACGCGTTCCCTGACAGTGAAATCCGCTGCATCTGCGTTAACCGTCCCCAGCTCGGCGGCAGCGTCCCCGACAACATGGCGCCGATGTCATTCGCCTCGAACCCCGTCACCGTCACGAGTGCGCCGTTCACGTCGTCGGCGAGATCCGGCAGGCTCGACGCGTGTGCCAGCTTCAACCCCGTCAGCTTCACCTTCGTCGCTACGCCTCTCACACATTGCACGAAGTCCCAACCGACGCAGTAGTCTGTACCCTTCTTATAGAACTTCAGGTCCGGCACCGCCGTCACGAGGGCCTGCAGGAACTTCATTGTTTCCGACTCCGGCGTGGGTGCAGACACATCGCCGTCCGTGGCGGTGGCCGGGTGCGGGCCGAGAGCACAGCACAGGAGAAGAGCGCCGATGGCGAGTGCCTTCCACGGCTGCCAGGCGCACCAAAAACGGTTCAGGCCGCTGTCCGGTTGGCCGGCTCGGCGAGCGGAAACGGAGGGCGGGAAATCGACGCTTAAGGCGACGTGAAAGGAGAAGTAAAAGCGGAGCGCAGCGCACAGTTAACTGAGGGAGTCTCCTTCGCCCGCCTTCAGCTCACAAAACAGGTGGAACACGTGGGTGCTTTACACGGCGGAACAGCGCTGGGGTGCGGATCGGGTCTCGGCGAGAAATAGCAAGGGGGCTCAAACGGCGTGCGCGTTAGCAACGAATGGAAAATAGAGATACTTCAGCGCTAGTAAAAGAGAAGGATAGCAATGAGAGAGGGGTAGCGTGGATGTCTGCGCAGCCGCCAAATGGGACAGGAGTGCGGAGTGGCAGCCGTTGGTGTGTTTTAGAGCCATCCACAAGAAGCGCAGCGTGATGGAAGAAGGGCGTCGACAGTGGAGTGGAAGGGATTTCACAGAGGAGCGCAGGGCAGCAGCGCTCACGTGTAATGGGCACGCACTCGTCAAGCACGCGAAGGCGCGACCCGTACGTGCGAGTGAGAGAAAACGGAGGCACCCTACAGAAAAAAGGTCCGCTCTCAGCGTTGCACACAGCAGCGGCGGTGGCATTTACGCCTTTCATCGGTGCCGCGATGCGCACACGGCCCGGCTGCCGCCTTTCAGCGAGTTTGGCACCTCGCAATCCACAGGAGGGGGACACGCCCGGGCAGAGCAGACAGTCGGCCCCGCAGGAAGTCCGGCTTTCACGCCATCGTATTCCGCAGAGCATTTGCATCTGAGCAGAGAAAAGAGAGCAGAAGGAAAAAGGCGGCTGCACGGCAGCACCGCGAACGTAGACGCCGCTGCTACCAACACTCGCCGCCGCTCTAAGGCGAAACCTTGGCCCACCACCTCCAACCGTCACCGGCGGAGCTGCACCACGCGTAGCCGCGGCGGCGCTACTTCGGCGGCCTCGTCCCCGCGGTGCCTGTGGCCCGCGTCACCTTGACACGCGTCAGGAAAACAAGCAGCCAGAGGAGCACCGGCGGTATCGGCCACAGGTGCAGGCCCACAGGCTCCCACGGCTGCCTCACGTGCAACACGCGAGCTCTGGCGGGAACGGCACTGGATCATCGCGACCAGAAACCGGGCCAATACAACGCCAGGGCCAGCTCCAACGACGGACCCAGGGCGGAGAGCGCAATTCGTGCGTAGTGCCGCACACCAACGGGTGTCTCGGAGTCTCCTCGCACCGCAGCCGGCTCCATATCTCAAAGTCAGAAGGATGACCAATGCCACGCTCAGCTGCTTGGCGACACTTCAGTCCTTCAGGCTCGATAAAGGCAGCGGGGCATAGGGGGCAGCGGTGACCCATCGGACGGGCGAGAACAGACTGCGGCCGACCACCCGCGACGGGGACAGCTAGTCTCGCGACAACGGCATGGTGCGTGCAGGCGTGGCAGAGGATGCCGGGAATAGTAAAGAGAGCGTAGTGGCAGGCTGCACACACTTGGACACGGGGACCCGTTGTGCGACGAGTGTGCGGCGGCGTGCCCGTCTTGACGGCTGCGGGAGGGGCGACGGCTGCAGCGGCGGTGCGGCCACCCGCGTGCGTCGTTCGACGGTGGCGTTGCGCGTGCGTGGCAGCGGTCCGGCGGTGGCAGGTGGGGCACTCGGGCTCCACGACTACGCAAACTCGCCTCACGGGCGGGGGAGTGTCGAGCCGCAGCGGGCCGTGACCGAGCATGCGTTGCTGGGAGAACGTCAGTGTGCTCGCAGTAAGGAAGGTGCACAGAGGACAGCGGTGGAATAAGCCAGGCGGCGACGCGTGGAGCGCCCGAGCAAGCTGCCAGCTCAGCTCCGCCGGGGCAGAGATCCCGTGGTCGCGTACGAGACGGCGAATGAGATGCGGTCGGCGCACGCAACACTCGCAGCAGACGGGGCACGGGACTGGGTCGGAAGCTGCCTCCGCAAAGTAAGCGCACGGCGGCGGTTCAGGCGGAAGCCCCGGCAGCGGAGGGGCAGGTTCGCTCCCCGCATGCACAGTGCGACACACCATCCGCATTCGGCGTCGTCGTCGCTGCGAATGCGCCGCTGAAGAAAGCCCAAAGAGCACGATTCCGCAGCCCGCGGACACGAATTCCTGTAGGTCGGCTCATACGCACATGTTGCTGCAGGTTCCTTTGGCGTGGGACCAACCCGGACCTGTCCGCCGCGCCAACAAACCCGCGACCCAACTCGACAGGTCGCAGGCACCTGGCTTCCCCACATTGTGGCTACCGCACCCCGGCACCGCCCTGAGGTGACCGCCATCACCACAGTTCTGCACACCGTCCCACGCACAAGGGAAACCCCAAGGCACACCTCCCCGGCTGTTCTACTTTGTGTATCCTCTTTACTCTCGCACCCACCGCGGCACTGACGGGCGCTCCCGCAGAGAAAGCCCGGTGTCACGCCGCCTCGGGAATCCTCGCATGTGGTCTTGGCGCCGGGGCACGCAACGGCGCAAAGTTTCGCCGGCATCTCCGAGTCGACAGGGTGCCGTCGCCTGTGGGAGTGCTGGCCGTGGCGCTACGTGCGGTGGGATAACCACGAAGGCATGCCTGGCCTTGTGAGGCTCGGCTGTCAAACACATGCGCTGCAAGACACTGCTGGGCCATGCGTTCGTAGCGAGCTGGCAGGCGCCACGGTGCAGCACCGGCACGGAGCACAAGCATTTCCTCTCCCCGCCACCACCGGCAACGGCGGTCGTGCGCTGGTCAACGATGCAGGAGTTCAGCTCCGCACTGTGGCTGCCGCAAATGGCCAGCCTCGAGCATGCTTAGCGACGGCAGCGGCGGCGGTGACAACAACGATAAGCCACCTGGCGATCTTGATGCCACTTCACTACACCACTGCCCTGCACAGCAGGTCGGTGTGGACGGCGTAAACGGCGACGGCTGGGCAGCAACGGGCAGTGCCGCCTCTGCCGCTGCAATTGTGGTGGGGGGCCTGCGGTGTCCTCGACAGGGCCGTCGGTGCACCCCCGGCCGATGCGCGCGCCAGCTCCACACCAACTGTCTGCGCGAATTACGCAATAGTAAGCAGATGTGCAGGTGGGAGGGTGCTTGGGTGGTGCAACGCGCTTCGCCGATGTGCCGGTAGCCGGCCAGAGAAGGAACAGCTCACATCGCGGGGGTTCTGGGACCGAGAAACAAACTAAAGAGGCGCTGTCGTACCCTCGAGGAGCAACAGCGAGTTTCCGACCGACGTTCGTAGAAAGCAGCGAACCAGCGCGGAGGACGCACGCCAAAGACAACAGCACGACGACGCTAGAGCGGGTGCACTGCAGGCTGCGGCTGTAAGCCCTCTAGCGCCTGCACAGAACACCCATTTTGAGTTCCTTCATTGCATCGGTTGGGAGAGGGGGGAGGTGCGCGGACACAAAAGAATTTGAGATATTCAAAGAGGAGATAGCACTCGATGCCAGCAACCGTTCGTTGTCGTCCAGCGTCTCGTGCGCAGCACTTCACCTGCTCTTCACTTCGTTTTCTTGGCGGCCACTGTCGACTTCCATCGCAGACTCCTTGAGTCACCGTCAGCAGCAGCGCCTGACTGCGTGAAAGCGCACCACAAAACAGAGCAGGACACACTGTCGGCTCAACACACTGAAGGACACCCCACACGGAAAGCACGGAGTCGATACGTACCATATTACCTTACGCGGCCGCCCCCCAACGGTTGGGCACGTTGCACCTCTGCTTTTCTTTTCTTTAGTGGAGCGTTAGCCGCTGCCATTCTTTGTCAACCTTACTGCAAATAAACAGAGATGTATATATAGAAAGAGAAGAGCCATTTTGAGCTCGGAGAGGAGCTGGTTAGTGTTTTCGGATTTAAAGGCCTTAGATGTGTCATCGTTTTATGAAAAGAACTGCTCCGTTGCGCTTCGATAGACGCACCATCTTCACGAGCGCTAACGTTGCCGTGCTGTGGAAGAGGAAATGGGCTGCGCATACGAGAGTCAAGACAAAGCGAGAAGAAACAAAAGAAGTAGCACACCGCATCGTGTGTACAAAGAGGAAGGTATTATTTAAAAAGAAAAGCGGAAGAAACATTAACAGTAAGCAAAACAAAATGGTTTTTGATTGGAAAAAGACAAGCACGGGACAACATGTGCGTGCGTGTGTGCGTATATACGTGTATCTCCTGTGCAGCTTCACGGACAACGGCTTTGGGTCACTTCACCGCCTCTCAGGCACTTGAAAATACGATCGGCTCCACCGCTCGCACCACGTAGTACAGGAGAGCAACATTCGGAGAGGGAAAGAAACACGAGGAACGAATCCAGAGTGCCTCTCCGGCGCCGAACAGAGCGCCGCAGAGAAGAGAGGCAGCGAAACAATGGTCACAAAGCTTGCGAAGGTCTAATGCACTCGTGAGTAGGAACAGAAGTGGTCCTGTACAGACCGTCACTCTACGCAGCAGAAAAACAGTGTCGTCCGCGCACGGTGTCATCGCGTCGCCGTCTTTAGCCACATGAAAATATGTTAGAAAGAAGGAAAATCAGAGCGCACTCATTCGCGCAGAAACAGCGTTAAAGTGAAAATACTTTTTGATGAGAAGTTTATGTTTTTGATTGCTCTTGCGAGCAGCCCCGCCGCACGCAGGCCCGTTTCCGATGGTCAGCCGCTCCTCCGCCATCCAGAGAGTACACAGACGGCAGGAAGACACGTCCCTCCGTTCAGGCCTTTCTTAGGTGTTGTGGCGCATGCGCTACTGTTCACAACACACGGAGCATATCGACGAAACAAAGCCATCGTCGCCTCTCCTGCTTGGCATTCTGTGAGGAGTGCGCACGCTCAAAGCTCACAGGCGAAACAGTGGCACGGGGAATGCAGAAACAACGAAATATGCGTGCGTGCGGTGGCGGTTTCATCCGCCGATGGAAAGATCCTACCGAAAGATGCAATTCAACTCGCCCGCTTGCCAGTCGTGTCCACGTATCTAGGTGTGCGTTGCTGTTGCACAAGGGGGGGGGGGAGCCGGTGAGTACGCCACACACACACACTCGCGCAGCCAGCTCCTCGAAAGAACCGCTCTCTCTTGCGCAGAGGCACACGTCGCACCTCCACCACAAAAATACCGGACCACACATACTCTACTGCGCGAGCGACGTGCTGCACGTTGAGGCTCATACATGTGAAACGAAACGGCCCACACCCTTGCCGTTGCAACTGTGCCTCACGTCACCATCCGCTGGGGCTCCTCGACGTCAGCGGGGAAAGGGCTCTCCGCGGTTGCGCAGGCAAAGGTGACAAAAGGCCGCAGAACGCATGCAAAAGAGTTATCTCCTCGTTAATAAGATCAGAAACACAT